AAGCTATATAATTTATACAGACACTTTCTTTTGTCACGTTTCTTTTACTTTATATTTACAGTTCTTAAACGCTATTAGAGAAGAGAGAAGAGGTAGAATTATAGGACCTGATCCTAAGCTATTACTTCAGGGTTATAAAGCCGCGCTAAAATAACGCGAAGAGTAAGGGACTTGATCCTAAGCTACGACTTCTAGGTTATAAAGCTATACTAACACGCTAGCCCGAACTATAATAATAAAGGGGTAACGTTCCTAAGCTGCTACTTAAAGGTTATAAAGCCTATACCGCTTACTAAGGAGGGAGGAGAAGGTTAATTAACCGCCGGGCAGCGCTAGCTATAACGTTAACCTCTACTAAAGTAGAGGTATATAAGGCTAAACGCGCCGCGGGGGCGACGATAGTAGCTCCCGTAGAGCCGGAGCCTATTCCTATAGCGCTAAAAACAGGGCAGGGAGGGGGAATAGTAGTCTCTCTACAGAGAGCAGAGGCAGGGGTAGGGGTAGCAGCTGATATTAATAGTTAGATAACATCTGAAATCTGTAAGACTACTATTACGACTTACAGATAGTAGCACGAATCTCATCCTTATCCTTATCCTTGTCTTCCTTAGCTTCTAAGGCCTTCCGAATAGCGGCCCGGCGGACCGTGAGAGCCTATATATATCATAGAGTTAGCCTCGCTTAGCACTTTAATATTAATACCTTAATACTTCGTCGTTCTAATACTATAATATAAGGAAACACTTACGCGTATACCCTCTGGGAGGGCCCGGGCTACTAAGTAGCTAGCGAAGAGTTCAGTAGCGCGGGCGGGGGCGGTGATATAACCCGATTTATTATTTTTATAATAATAAAAATAGCGCGAAGCTATCTCTTTGTCGCGACAGGGGTCGCCTAGTGTACCTCGTAAACTACCGCGAATACAGTAGCTGTAAGGCATAGTATAGATAGCCCTTACTATAGCGGGGCAGCGGGCAGGAGTTAGTGCTAGTACTAGTAGTAGTAATAGTGATAGTAGTAGTAGTAGAGTAGCAGCGGCGGGGGAGCTACAGCGGCCACGGGCTTATTTTATAAGTATTAGTGTAGTTCTAATGATTCCTTATAACGCTAACTATATTAGAATCTTTAAATTAATAACTTATAGTCTTCTTCTTTACTACGCGAGTAGCGGCGAGGTTAGAAGCGCGCGAGGCGCGGGTAGCGCGGGAGCTTTTAGCTATATTTACTAATATTACATCGAAGTTATTATTTAAGGAAAGAGTGTTCCAGGGGACCTACTTAGTTTATATATTCAGAGCTACTAGGCGCTTAAGACCTGACGCTGTTAGTTAGTATTAACTCCTATTATAGTTTAGGTAGTATTATCTGTATTATTTATATTACTTCGCTTACTATTATAAAGCTAAGCGAGGGGGTATATCGTGCACCTGATATACCTAAGGTACTCCCTAAGGCGCTTCAGCTAACTAGAGGCTGCTTATGTAACTAGAACTCCTAGAGCTTCCTCTTATAGGGGAGCTCTAGAATACCTTAATAAATCAAGACTTTCATACTATATAAAGCTCCTCCCTATAGTATATGATAATTAGTTATTCGGAAATTAAAGCTACAGCTTAAAACTCAAGGGCAAAGCAAATTCCGTACAATTGTCTACTAGAGGACTAATAATAGCAAGGGAGAGTTCAGTCCTAAGTTTATTAACTAGCTATAAGAGAGTGGAATCATTCCTAAACCCTCTTCTCTATATAAATACTCTCTAAATAGAGTCGTAGAGCGATAGATATATAAACTAGCTAAGATTACACACTTAATCCTCTACGACATGAAGATACCTGAGAATATATAGTGCTACGCTATTAAGTAGGCGGTAAAGCTAAAGAACAGACGCCTAACTACTGCTTTACTATATAAAACAGCTACTGGACTCACTCCAATTGAAGCGTATAGAGGACGGCCTGTAAACCTCTCTAAAATAAGAGTATTTGGCTCTATAGCGTACCCTTTGTATTCACCAGGGCTATATCAGGGCAAAATAAAGCAAAGGACGATTCCGGGGTGTTTCGTATTAGTAGGTATAGCTAACACCTTAACCTATAGGCTCCTAAATATAGAAACCTTCAAGGAACTAGAAATAGCTAACTATAGCTTCAACGAGTATATAATATACTCTATATATATTAATAGTAAGGAAACTACACTAAAAGGTAGTAACAAGGCAGTAGAAAGACCTCTGCCACCGGCTACCGGTCTAGCACTTGCTAAGAGGCTAGCTAGGGGTACTAAAGGCTTAGAAAGACCTCTAAGAGAGAGGCTAGCTATAGAAGCTAAAAGACCTCTAGGAGAGAGGCTAGCTATAGAAGCTGAAAATCCTTTAAGGGGAAAGTCAGCTGTAGAAAACATAGTAGAAGACACTAAGGGAGCGTCTAATTAACGCCTCCCTAAATAGACTTAACTAGTAAACGCGTCTAATAACACTTCACTATTAAGATATAATAGGAAACAGTGTAGAAAACAACACTTCGAGTAAGCCGCTTAAGTAACAACTACGAAGCTATACTCTTAGTAAATCCTTAATAAGGCACTAACCTGTTAAATAGCGCTAATTACGCTAGAAGGTAAACCTATATAACCTCTTAAGGTTATAACTATCGCAGAGGCTCTAAAGGAGAATCCAGTGGAATAGAAGGCTACTATTCTTAAGGAATTACAGGCTATATAAAGCGCTAGAACTTATAGAGTATGCTTTAGTAAGCCTCCTTCCGGCTTAAAACTAATATCTTTAAGACTAGTTCTACGTAATAAAATTAACTCCGATAGCTCTATAGCACGGCGAAAGGCTAAGCTCGTAGTAAGAGGCTTTAAGCAAAAACACGGCCTTAACTACTTCGATACTTTCGCGAGTGTTATACGCTATTCTACCTTATAAGTATTACTCGCTGTTACAGCTAAAAGAGACTTAGAGATCGAGTATATTAATATTAATACTACCTTCCTAAACGTGTACTTGAAAGAAGATATATACATAACGATTCCGAACGATAAGACACTAGAGATATAGAATAAGCTTCACCTAGAGCTAAATAGAAGGAAAGACGTATATCTGAAGCTCCTACGCTCTCTCTATAGCCTGAAATAAGCACCTAGGGAATAGTAGCTCCTTATTAAAGATAAGATAGAAAAGCTAAGTCTAGAAGCGTTAGAGGCTAACCCTAATCTCTTTATCTTTAAGAATAGAGCGTACGTATTAGTCTTTATCAACGATATACTAATTATAGGTAACCCTGCCGACTACGAATATCTCAAGAAACAGCTCTTAAAGACCTAGAAAAGTAAAGACCTCGGAGCTATTAATATATTTATAAGCTTATAAGTTAAGAGGGACAGGAAGAATAAGACTCTACGGATTTATTAAATAGCTTATATATAAAAGCTACTAGAAAGGTTTAGAATAGCCGTAGCTGAAGGTAATACCTTACCTATAGCTACTAGAATAGTACTAAGGGAGTTAGCTAAAGATAAAGGTGTTATACTAGCCTCCCCTGAAGAGATCTTACTGTTTCAGTAGATTATTAGCTCTCTAATATACCTCTCGAACCTTACACGACCTGATATTACTTATATAATAGGCTAGCTAGCGCAGCATATATCAAATCCCCTTAAATCTCACCTCTAAGATATGAAACCTCTCCTCTGATATCTATAATATATAGAAGGTAACGGAATAACGTTTAGAATCGGAATAGAATATAGGGGAAAGCTAGATAATAATATATTCGATATTTGGACTAACGCTACATAAGGGACGGAATATAATAGGAAATCGTTCCAAGGATAGATAGTAAGGTTCTATAGGGGTCTAATCTCTTAGGCTACTAATAGGTAAAGGTCTATAGCTCTCTCCAGCTTAGATTCTAAGATAATAGCTACTAGTGATAGCTCTAGAGAAGTAGCCTAGTTACTTAAGCTATAGAAAGACCTTGATATAAAGCTATCCCGAATTCCTACGCTATATCTTAATAACGCTAGAGCTGAATCTCTTTTAAAAGAACGGAAATTCTATCTAAAGGTAAAGTATATTAATATCCGCTAGTTCTATATTCGAGATAATATAGTTTCATATAATAAGTTAGTAGTAAAACATGTTCTAAGTAATAATAATATAGTAGATACTCTTACGAAAGCTTTACCTTTAGAATTGTTTAAACGATATAAGATGTATATAGGGTTACCTAGTAATAACTGATTCTCTGATAATAACTCTAAGATTAATAATAGTTAGCTAATTAACAGTAGACCTATATAAATCAAGGCTATTTCTAGTAGTGGAACCTATAAAAAAATAGAATATTCTTCGCGGAAAATCAGTCCTTTAATAAATATCTTCCTTAATAATAATATATAACTACGAATTAAGTAAAACATAATATATAACCACTATACCTAATAGTTAAGACGAATCTTGTTCCGCGGTTAAAGGAAGAAGGAAAGGAAATAGAACTAGAAGAGGACGACCTTTATATACCCTAGAGGCTAGAGAGAAAGCTAGTAAGGAATATCTTAGTAGCTATAAAAGGAAGGTGCGAGATAGCTATAAAGAAGGGTGAATAAGAGTAGTAGGAGCAGGAGATTATTAATAAGGGAGCGATTTAGGTGTACTCTTATACCGTTTTATATGCCTTAATACTGCAAAGTTACTAAACTCCTAGGAAAATAGGAGATATAAGCACTATATATATGCTAGTATATTACAGGAGTTAATAAGGCATAATCGAGGCTCCTTATATAATATAAGTTATTAGTAATACTTTGGCGATACTCTAGCGTCGCTTCGGGAATATTCAGCGCTGTACTGCTTTAGAAGGCTTTATTTACTACAGATATAGAGAATAGGGGGGCTATTAGAAATATAGGGATTGTAGGCGTAGACTTAGTACTGTAGGCCGTACTACTAAGTACGCTACCCCTTTATATAGGAGATTCTCTCTCTCTGTAGTAGCTCCTTATGCAACTGTAATTATGACAGAGGCAAGTGCACGGCCATAGTATCCAAAGGTTTCGGCTGTGGGAAGTCAGCAATTTGACATCACAGGACTTGAATTTTGATTTACCAACTCCACCAAGGAAGAAAGGGATGAAAAACCACGCCCGCTTCCAAAAGATATGTATCAAGTGTGCTAGGGTCAAAATGCCGAAGAGAACTACGAAGCTGTACCCCGCCGCCTTGTTGGGACGGTATTCGAAGAAGACGATTTGAGTGCCGTTGACAACAGGTCCAAATGGACCGTTGCCGGTGTTTGGAGCATGTGTATCGTTCATGATTTTTCGACGGGGAAGTAGCCGAAATGCTGTATTAGTCCGTGGTTTGGTTGAGACGGCAGTGAGTTTCGGCCAGACTTGCAGAATTGAATAAGGTATTTGTGTTCCGAGATAGAAAGTAAAATCGAAGATCATGAAAAATGGGAGGATTTTTTGAATTCTATGAACAGCTTCAGCTTGACAGCAGAGGGCAGAGGAATTATATCTTGAAGCGTCGGCATCTTTTCGGTTTTGGCCGTATTTGTATTTCCCGAATAGGAAGTAGTTCTTCGTTTTCGCGTATCGAAGCGTTCCGCTAAGCAAAAGTTTCAGGGCCTTAGTGGCAGATCCAACAGCTGGAGTCGTCACAAAACTGGAACAGCCAGGTCAGTAAAGGTAATGATCTCGGTAGAGCAGTCTATTTGTGGCCATGCTAGCATTTCCTACACGAGAAGCGCGGCCACGTCCGTTTTTCCGCAATCCAGTTTCGAATCATAGAGCCGTAATCCCAGGCAAAGCCAATCGATTTGCATTGGGGAAGCAACTTTGTCATTGTTCAGAAGCTCCCAGTATCCATTCATACGTACAATAGCTCTCCATTGCATTGTTAACCATGTATTAGATTGGTAGATTCGGCTGAGAATAGGCGCGGCCGTTAGTATCTCCAGTTATTTGGACAGCTGGCTACAAATTTACCCAAGTACTTAGTAGAGACAAAAGGATTATTATCTTGTGTGTGTGTCCCTCCCTTCTAATGTCGAAAATTGGCTCTCATCTTTCAGACGAAATCGTGAATGAAGTCACACATTTCCAAAACGCTTCAACTTTAGATGAGCAATTATTGCGACAGGAAAGTCTGCCAACGTTGGAGACTATCACAGGCTGAAGTCATTTATCTTCATGCACCCCTTTCATTTTGGCCGGCTAGTAGTCGTAGGGATCAAATACTCTGGTACGATATCGAAAAGCGCCTTGTGCCGGAGCCTACGAGGTGCAGCACCAAAGGCAAGCGGCTAAGTTGAGGTCTTATTTCGCCTTATTCTAGGCGAACTTCGCATTCTACGACTTATTGTGTCAAATTGTGTAACGCGACGGATAAATGTAGCTGCCCGATTCGACTAGGGAGCGTAACACAATGTCAAAACCAACAGTGGGCTTGCTAGCTTGCATGCGTGGACACCAATTCCCCAAAACCTGCTTTAAAATCTTAAAATCCCCCAGGAATCTTACTTGCCAATTCTTGTGTTCGATTCAACTTAAGAAATGACAGCCGAATTTCCTGGCAGATCTGGGTGCAACACTGGCCACCGCAACGCCCGTCCTTACCCAGACTACGTGGATTCGATTGACCAGGAAAAGCACAAATGGCTTGCCAATTTTTTGCGACTGCCCGATGATGACACCGAAGCACAAAAAATTCGCGATGCTGGACTACCACACACCGTTGATGTTTTCGATGTGCTGAACGACGGTAGCTTCACTCATAAATCCATAACTATGATCTATTACCTCAAATGGGAATATTACCCTGCGAGCCCCGAGCTCTTCGAGACCCTGGATAATGTTCCTGATGGGAGTGTGATAAGGATTTTGATTGCTCAGGAGTGGTCAGAGCTTTGCTCTAGCCATGTTGGCTCGCATAACGCTATCGGCCACAAATACAACCTCCACCCTAGCTTTCTTGAAATGCACTTCTCTTTGTTCGAGGTTCATACTATTCCTGAAGGTAGCGACACTTTCGACGATCATTTGCCAGGCCGGAAATATGCACCTGCAATCACGGCGTCCGAGCAACGCTATCTCCAGATCAAAGGCAACCGATGGGGTCACTTGACTGCAACTGAAGTACACTCGCCTGATTTGAAGATATGTAGGCTTTCTCAAAAACCTTAGCTCAATTATGTATTCCTTGTTAACAAATGGCAACAGTCATCATTCTTGAAGCTGATCCCAAAGGCCCTAGTGCGGTTAAATCTGTCCTTGAAGTTCTCAACAGCTTCTCTGGTCCAGAGAGCATACGTACCCTGAGCCTGCTAGACCTATGTAGTCAATATACTCGCGAATGTCTCCAAGGCATCTCTAGAGAGGTTTTCAAGGATGTGTGGGACTGCTTAGGGCCCCCGACGGATTTGAGCAAGGATCCCCAGAAAATATTGCGGCGGCATGACACCTATCGTTTGTACCATCAGTGTTTATTACTTTCTTCAGAGAGCATTCGCCGCTATTTGTCGACACGAGCCCAGGAAATTATATCCGTGTCCGAGACGTGGAAACTTATCTTGAGCGACTGCAAAGCACTCATGAATGATTGCGAAAGAGTCGCCGTCGATCTCAGAAATCGCTTGCAAGTTGTGCAAACCAGCAACGCCATTGAAGAAGCCAAGCTGGGTGTGCGTCAGGCTGAGTCTGTTCGCAGGTATTCATTCAATCTCCGGACCGTGTTTGATAAAATTGCTAATTGCATATTTCAGGCTGACGGTCGTAGCTTTCGTCTTCATCCCCCTCAGTTTCGCCACCTCCTTCTTTGGAATGAACATCACTCAATTGAAAGGTGATGTCGACGTAAAGTGGTTCGTTTTGACTGCCATTATTTCTGGTCTTATCGCCGCTGTCGTGGCAGGATTCGTCAAATTTGCTACCACAAAGCTCTCTGATGCACTACGTGGTGTGAGGGCCAAGTACGTGTCCAGGACTGATGACCCATCAGCCGCCAATGCATCTATCATAAAGATACTTTATGACGATTTAATCGGTCGTTACTTGTACAGGAAATATTCCGTTGCTCGCCGCAGCCTGGCCAATATTGAACCGGAAGATACCTGGATTGTGATCAAGCCTAAGTTGAAAGCTGTCCCCATTATACGGATATATCCACGGGTTTTATGGTCTGTGGCGGCAGATGCGTTACAGAACTTGTCCCAATGCTTGGTTCCCAAGTTCTCCCGCCTGAAAAGACATCCAACTGAATCTGCGGCGGTTTAGAAGTGTATATCTGGATTGGCGCCATAGCTCAAGGATAGCGGTGGAGGGGATTTTCCTTTGGGTGGCAGGACATGCCTCAACTGCGTGACGCCTTGCCACAGAATGCTCTGAACTATTGCTTGCTGTAAAAGTGATATCAGAATTGATTAATGCCATCTTTATACCATCAAGCAGAATTTACCGAACCTCACAAGGCGTTGGGCACTTCTCTTCTCTACTGCTGTCAAGTCACGTACGCTTGGCATTTGGTAGCCGTTAGTGTATCAAGAGCAAATAGTATGGTAGTATGTAAATATGTTGTGAAGGAAAAGCACGGTATTCGGGCCAATTTTCGTTCGTTTTGTTTCATAAACTCAGACAACGCATTTTTATTGACAATGCTTTGAGCGTCATGGAAAAATGCACCGTTTGGTACTTTCCGAAAAATGAATGGGTGACTTCCTCAGAGCCCTATTTTTCTTATCTTACAAGAAAAGAGTAGAAAGTCTCGCAAAAGAATGCACGTACCAAAGGAGGTTTCTCACAAAACTCTATGGTTTTGTTCTCGCGAAACTTCTTCCCCAAAAAAGTTGGAAATTATGAAAAAAACAACAACATCGCTTATATTTAACTGAATCTCATCTATTACTGAACGCTACAACGGTCATATGAATCCTCAGCTGAGTTATCCACCTCAGCTTCAGCTCGAACCTCCCTTTCCTTCCCTTTTCCACTCCCGTTCCCAATATCCCCACTCCCACCACCAAGAACCTCCTCCCTCACACCCTCAAACACATCACCTCCCCCTTCACCATCCTCCTCTCCGCTCCCAACACCCCTCATAACCCAACTCCCCCACAAAACAAAACTCGCCCAATGATACGGCTCTCCCTGCTCCTCCCCAACATGACACCCCAGCCTCTCCTCCAGACTCCTCTTCTTCTTACACATATTCTTCTGACACGCACGCATCTCCACCACAGACGTTCTGAACGCTCCAGCAACGTCAATCAATCTTTTCCCTGCATCTCCACCTCCGGCTTCCTCAGCAAACATCTCCTTGTAAAAGAAGCTCGAGAACTTCGACGCATCAGCCGTTTCGAATTGCCACAACGTGGCCACAATACTGCTCGCACCAGCGGCGAAGAACGCTGATATCAAGCCTAAAGCGTCCTCGGATGAGGAAATATGTTGTTGTCCTGACCGACAGCCCATCATCACGACCAATTTGGCGCGGATCTGTGTCGCGAAGGCGTCTTGTAGATTATATGTATTGTTCTGATGGGTTTGGTGAAGATGCACAAATGGATTTAGACTCCTCGGAATCGAAGGGGATGAGGGAGTGGAAGATGAGGCTTCAGGCTCGAGCTGCAAGTGTTGCTTGAGGCCTGTTTCGTTGACGTGAGTGTGGAAGTGGAGGATGTCGGACTGAGACATGTTGGATGAGAAAGCTTTGTGGGTTAGTGACGAGCCGGAAATTATTGTCGATTTTATGTTGGCTGTTGAGAGCTGTGTTGAGATGTTTTCGAGGGAAGTGGAGATGTTACGCTCTTCTTCCTCGGCGTTGGTGCTTTCGGATCCCCAGCGTCCGAACAGGGACGCCGTTGAAGGTGGAGAGGTGCTTGACTCTAGGACGCGCACAATGCATTGTTTCAGAATGAGATTGCTTGGTGTGTAGACAATGGGGTGGAAGTCGATGATTGGTCTGTCGTCCTCGTTTGCATATGGCAGAGCGTGTAAAGGAATTGAATGAAGTTCTTGGGAAGGGGAGAAAACGAGGAGATCTTCCTTGGTACAAGATCCAGCGATGGCACGAACGAGAGGATAGAGTGGCTTGAAGATATCTGAAGAATCTAGCGTCTTTGGAAGGAGTTTGCCATCGACTTTCAAATGGATGGTGACCCACTCCTCGACTTCGATGACTTCGCAGTCTGGTATCAATTCCAAGATACAGATCTTCTGTTTCGTGACATTGTATCCCGTAATCAGAAAGTAGTCGTGATATTTCATCCAGTCAATGAGAATCAGATCCGAGTCCGGTCCCTGGGTAAGTTTCGATACCGAAGCCAGAGAATGAAAATCGGAAGGCACAACTTTGAGTGTGTTATGTCGATGATCTAACAATGGCTTTAGAGTAGGATGCTCCAACATCTCTCCTTCCAGGTCCTGTAGTCTGTTATCTCCCATAGCTTGTGGACCCTCTTTGATGAGTCTCTGTTCTTCTTGATACAGCTTCAAAGCAGTCGGATCTGCTTCGATGGCTTCTAGATATCGGGATGGTACGAGGTTTGAGAATGATTGGCGATACAGAATATTCGCTTTGTATCTCTGGATGAAGGTGCATAGTGCCGATCCTGTTGGCTTTCCCTGGAATGGTTCCAAATCGCTGAGAATATAACATAATTCAATGACCAGTTCTCGATTTTTCCGGGGGATAGGGCTGGAAGCCAGATATGCTAGGTTCTGGCTGGCTTCGTACGGTGAAGCCATGACCAGTCGTTGCGCGGTCTTCAAACTGTTGACGGTCAGTATTAGAGCAAGCAGATCAATGGTCGGTAGTCCGTCTGTAAGTGACGAAAGAACTCGATGGGGGCCAGAATCAGTAGGGAAAATTCGCACACTCACATCAAGATATCAGTCATTGTCATAGGCATCAGCGCCTCCTCTTGAAGATTAATCACAGTCACGATCTGCCCATAAACATAACGATCGAGATCATCTACCCCCCCACCAAGACTCTCCCACCTCTCAGTCAACAACAATTTCCTCGCTCTCCCCTCCGCGACAACACTTCTTAACAAATCGACATTCGCCTCACAAATCCTCATTTGTGCTCCAGCTAGTTGGCGAATGCTAAGGAACTTCTCAGCTGCACTCTTGAGCAGAGCTCGGCCAGCCGGAACAACGTGCATCCAATGTTCTGGATCCTCCTCGCCGAGGAGTGTCATGAGCTTTCCAGCTCTGAGTCGGAATGTCGCGAGGCTGAGGAAGTCTTGAGAATGGATTGCTGTCTGTCCAATGGCATACGTACGAATGGCGAGCTCTTTGTTGCAGACATATGTAGCGACTGCTGCGAGTCCAAGAGCGATTTTTGGAATGACGGTATGTGCGAGGTATTTTGGAAGGGCTTCATACAGAGCGAAAGCAAGGCGAAGATGAGTGATCATGTAGTCGATAAAATTAGAATTGTACGGTTTCGGGATCATCTTGCTTGCTCCTTGGTTCTCTCGACCTACACGGCCTGCAAGATTCGGGATGAACAGAGCGGCATCAATAAATCGATCAATTTCGTCGCAGCGAGCTTGACCAGCTTCCCATCTATCGTACGACTTTGGTGTCAACCACCCCGGCCAGAGAACTGAAAGTATTTGGAGAGTCTCCTCTGGATTCGTCGTGTTGTTCGCTGCGGCTTCTGAATAGATATGCAGCACATTCAACATCGCGCGCTGATGACTTTCAACATCTCCTCGTTGTGCTGTTAGGGAAAGGTGAAGGAGAGAATTGAGTGCGGCTTCGAAGAAATTCCCGACAGACAGATATGCTCGACTCAGGTTGAACGATGCGAAGACCACCAGAAAACTGCTGTGGACAGCTACTGAATCGTCATTTGCAATTACTCGTTCCGCATCGTTAATTGATGCTACCGAAAGAGTGTCACCGGCATACTTGCGAAGATTCCATCTCTGATACATGATGTTATCGCCTGCTTCTTTGGCCAGTTCTCGAAGCGAAGATCTTTGGAATAGTTCCCAATTGTGCGCTGGAGAGTCTTTGCTGAGATACGTGACGTTACACCGCCGCAGCTGACGCAGCCGTGTGAGATCGTTCCGCTGCCTCAAATCATCATACAGGCTCTGAATTCTACCGAAAGCGATCGATCTTCCTGCAAGTTTGATGTCCAGAAGTTGGACATCGAAAAGTCCAGCGTGTGGTGGCAGTCCTGATGACTCGCTCAGATTGTGGTATTCTGCCTCCACGAAACGCAGCATCAATAATGCTACCTGAGGCGCACCGTTTTCGCTGAAAATATCTGCATTGAGCAAGGTCATAGCGGCCCAAATATCTGTAATATGAGTCCGCGCTTCTGTCATAATATCTGAACGCTCGAAATCTGAGATCATGGGCCGTGCAATTGACTCGGTGTGGACATATTTCGCTACACTGAACGCGTCTTCCATGTCGAAATACTGGTCACGAATAGTTCGCTTCAACATCTCCAGCTCTGTCAACAGAACCTCCCACGCGAGTGGGGCCAAGCCACTGCTATGATGCTTGTTGCAAAGATGGTGACGAATAGCTCTCAGTCTGGCCAGTCCAGCATCTCTTGGCGTAGAGTGTTCCAAATCGCGGCAAGTTGCCAGAATAATCTTGTGGTAGTAGAGTTCCAAGTAAATCTAAAGGTTAGTGAAGTTGATGAAAATGGCTGATAATATACATACTAGCAGTGTTGGATCTTCCGCTCCTGGGTTCCAATCAACCAGGTATTTATCGAACATCTCGGCAGCTTCCGCCACGGCGACCTCCCATTTTCCATGTACGAAGCATCTAAGATAATTCGATATCATGCGAAGCAAAGCGCGAGCAATTGGACTAGACACTCGAACCTCTCTGCTTGTGCGAGTGGCGGAAGTCATGTCTCCAGCTTCCATGTCCTGAGAAGCTTCGTCCATCCGTGACTTCAAGGCGACGAGTTCCGCCTTGGCAACTCCATTACCGCAGGCCATGGCTTTCTGAAAGTAACCTTGTTGAAGATAGACTTGCTGCAGTTCTAGTGCAATATGAACATCCGTTGGGTCAACATCGTGAAATGGACGGAGAATTGCGATTGCTTCTTCGTAATTACCTCTCATTCTGCGCTTCTGTGCTTCAAGTAGAGACTCAGCATTGAGATGAGTCGGTGGCCAAGGATTCATGGTAGCCGATACCAGGACGCTGAGATTCTTAATTGTCATCTCTGGTAACTATTGCACACTTAGCATGTTATGAACATATTCGAATACGATTCTTACGTTCTTGTAATCGGTCTGCCACAGTCGCTCTCGTATCAGATGATCTCTGGAGAGGAATGAATGCCAAGAAGGTTTCTATCTGGATTAGCATCGACATAGAAAGCATGGATATGAGCTTACCATTTTTTCAAAGTGACTAGAGAGGTCACTCATCATGACAGGAGAAATCAATTCATCGTATCCAGGGTGAGCTTTGAAGATGACGGAGAACATTGGCCAGAGTCTTAGCATCTCTCGGTATGGATCTGTTGTTGTGTCGGGCTGTAGTTTGTGAATATCAAGCGAAACCCCATCGTTAATATGATTCTGACTGCCAGCATCATCCCTTTCTCCTGCCTCAATATGAAGATTCTGGATTCTGTCCTCAATACCCGTCCCCGTAGAAATTGATACTTCTCGACCTGAGGAATCGGACCGATTCCTCGTAGTCCCATCAAGTAAGCGGTCCACTTTGGTATGGTCGATTTCAGTATCCAGTACAGTCATAAATTGCAATGGAATCGTATAGGTGATGTAGTCCACCATGTTCGGAGCCAAACTGGCAGCAACAGGTCTCCAACTTCCGGCCTCCCTCAAACAAGGAATATCTCCTGCCCCATACAACGCCACCTTCTCATCATTGAACTTCTTCAGCTGTCCAAGCAAACCGTGCAACTGGATCGAAGCCCTTGCACTCTCCACCCGCGCGTCAAGAAGAGGTTTCATATTCTCCAATAGAAGTTCCCATTCCCCTCTGCCGAATGTTCGTGTATACCAATCGACAGGATAGCTCTGCATCTCCATCAAGCACAACCATTCCTGCGAACCTATATCCGGACTTGTCTGCAATGCAGCAATGGTCTGGTTGCGATTGAACTCCCGTACTTCCTGGAAGCCGACGAAGCAGTGAAAAAACCATGGGAAATATGAGAAGAACTGCTGAGAAGTCTTGGAGTTTCGGAATAGTTGTAGGTGGTCAAGATCACTTCCATCGTAAAGAGGAGCTGAGAGGGGTCGAGTGGTGATTTGGACGAATTTGTGATCTTTATGATCTCCCTTCAGCTTGTCGAACTCCTCCGTAGGGTAACAGTCGATGCAGATATAGAAGTCTTCGCATTGCGTGCAGTGTTGAAAACACCAGTGTACCTGGTCGAGATATGGCTGATTCGCTTTGGTCTTCTCGCATATCTTGCAGACGATTGGCAATTTGAGTTGCTCCCATGGTTTGCTTGATTCGATGACTTTGACCAGATCGATCGCATCGGCATCTAATTGTTCTCGTAGATCAGTCTGATTCCATCCTCCAGTTGCCCAATACTTGTTTTGTTCAAGGGGCTTCAATTCTGGTCCTTGGCCAAGTGGGCCAGTCGACTCAAGACGCTGCATTTCTGATAGCGTAAGGCTGAAGTCTGAAGCTTGTCCCGGTGTCAATAAGAAAGCTAGGTCGCTCGGTAACTTCCCGCGAGACTCGTAGCTGTAATAAATAACCCTCGGCGGCTACAACGTGGTTGTCAAAGCAGCGTGCATGTGGAGGCTGAAACCGTCGAGGCGCTGTGGCTTTCTGGCTGAGGATCGGGATGCGAAGGTGTGAAATGGTTCAAGAACACAACAACCGGTGCACATAAGTTTCAATATGCTGTATGGAAACAGCTAAGTTCTTCATCTGCTGCGATTTCAGGGCTGGTCTCAATGTTGATGTGTGAACCTAGATATCCATTTCTGGTTGATGAGAGAAAAGGTGAAGAAGGGGCACGGCTGATGGCAATAGAATTATGAAGATGTCCTCGAACCTCAGCTCAGTTAGCTTACAAAAGTACCACGCTTCATTTCTCGAGTCCCAGGAAAAGGTTGGAATGTGGGTGCGACAGTCGTAGAACGTGACCTTCAGATTCTGCTGTCGTCTCAATCGGCGAATTGTTTTGTCCGTTCAGAATCGTGATTTCGGAAAGCGTTGAGCAATATTCTATACATCAAGAATATCAGTAAAAAAAGTCTTGAACTTTTCCTCGTCGTCGACATTTCAGAATATTTGGAAAGAGTCAAAACTCAGCTGCGGCTGAACCTGTCACACCTGACAGCCCAGCAAGTCCAGCCGAGCCAATCCAACGCGGCCCGCCCCGAATTTAGCCGCCCACTTGTCTCTCCTTAAACTCAGCTCAACTTCAAACTCAAAAACCACACGAGTCAGTGAAGATATACTCCACTCCTCAGCAGATCTAAGGTTAAATCAACCACCGCCAAGATTCGACCGACGATCATCACCATCTCTATCCACTCTTATCCCACCTCTGAGTGAAAAAGTGGCGCGCAGCAAGTCGTATCTGTACCCCACAGCTCACATCCACATTTCATGTCAAGACTCACATTTGATCGATGAGAAAAACTGGGACGAATAACCCACAAAACTCCACGTCCTACATCCACACTTCAAATCCACAATATGGCCGACTCAGAACTCAAATCCAACGACACCTCAAGCCCCACCTCCAACCCTGGCGACTCAGACATATCACCTCCATCAGCTCTCCCTTTCCTCTCTCAAGACGTCGATCTTGAAATCCTCCCTGAACCCCTGCAACTCAGCCACGGCACCACCGAACACATCTCAACAGTACCCTTTCGGAAATGCAGTATCAGTACGAAGATCACTGATCTGCGACGGTGCTGGTTCAGGGATGAGAGGGTAGGAGGAGATGGCAAGAGAGAGGCTTGTGTAGTTGTTTTTGAGCTAGAGTTTGGTGAGCAGAGTAGGGAGAGTGGACAGAGGATTACAGAGATGGGAGTGTGGGTTTTGGTAGAGGAGGTTGATGAGGATGAGAGACAGGTGAGTTTGACGCTGCCCTGCACATGATTCTGAGAACGTCCGTATACCTAAAACGAGAGGGGATGAGAGAAGAGACCATACGAACATCCTCACTAACCAACCCAACCAGACCACAAAACAGCAACAAGCAATCCTCACCCCCCCAATCACACAAGCCCCCTCCCCCGACCTCGCCATAAAAGCCATCTACCCCTACTCCGCCAGCAGCCCCCTCACCCCCCTCCTCACCACCACCTCCCTCAGCACCTCCCTCTCCCCAACATTCAACAACATCTCCATCCTCTCCCTCAGCGCCAGCCAAGAGAAATCGCACACCTCTCACCACGGCGCAAGACTCACCACCACCTCCGCCGGCACTCAAGGCCGCAAACTACAGCTTTCTGAAAACGCGCTTCTCAAATCTGGAGTTCCCGATCGGGTCAGGTTCGCGGTGTTGTTGCAGACGGATGGGCTGCCGTTTGATGTCGAATTGAGGTTTAAGGGTGTGGCGGGGAGTTCGAAGTGGGGGGTTGGTGTTAAGGTCGGTGCGAAGTGTGTGGTGGGCGTGGGGAGTGAGTATCTTTGGTTTAGGAGGGGGGAGGGGGAGGGTGAGGGGGGGAGTGGGAGTGTAAGGGAGGGGGAGGTGAGGTTTGATGAGGATGCTGATTCGGAGGTGTTTAGGAGGTGGGTTTTTGAGAAGACGGGGAATGCGTGGGCGGAGGGAGTGGTGTGGGAATGATTGGCTGAGTGCTCGTCGTTGCAGAGTATGGGAGTGGTAGTATGATGGACTCATTCACTCACGTAGACACGGACCATGAAGATTCTAGACGAAGAAGTGTCGAGTAGGATGGTAGTGAGACGAGACGAGACGAGACGAGAGGAGACGAGACGAACGGGGGATCGGGATTGCGAAGGTACGGGATCGGACGGTGTTCAAAGCTTGCTCTTCATTTGCGCCTGCGACGTCGATGTGCTGCTGGAAATCGGAGTCAACCCCCCAGTGGAAGACGACTCCTCGAGACTAAATACAAAACAAACGAATTGGTATATGTATATCAAATAATACCACCCCTCCTCCCCTCTCAACCTCTCCCCTCCCTCTCCTTCTTCTCATCCTCAAGGTCAGGAACACTCACTTCTCCTCAACCTTCTCATTCCCCTCCCACCCCCTACACATCCCCACAGCCTTCTCCCACCTGCCAAACCGCCTATCCCTCTCCTTGGCATCGATCTTGGGCTGGAACACGGTCGTTCCGGCGGTGTTCACGTTCTTGAGTTCTTCGAAGGAGGACCATACGCCGATGGCGAAGCCGGCTGCGATGGCGGCGCCGAGGGCGGTGGTTTCGAGCATGCGGGGGCGGGAGACGGGGATGCCGGTTAGGTCGGCTTGGGTCTGGTGGAGGGGTTAGATTGGATTTATGAGAGAGTTGGGAAGGGTGAAGTTAGGGGGGAGGGAAAGGGTGGAAGAGGGAGATGGGGAATGGGGAGGCGTACCTGCATGCAGAGATCTGAGTTTGTCATTCCGCCGTCGACGGCCAGTTCTGCGAGAGCGTGTCCACTGTCTTTCTCCATGGCGTCGAGGATGGCTTTGGTTTGGAAACAGGTAGCTTCGAGTGTAGCGCGTGCGATGTGACCTTTCTTGGTGTAGGCTGTGATGCCGACTGTGGGGTTAGACGTTAGCTGAGGCGTGAGAGACGTGGGAAAAGTTGAGAAAAGACAGGTTGAGATGAAACAGGTATGACTTGAAAAAAAAAAAGTACAGAACGGAGAGAAAAAACTCACAAATCGTCCCTCTAGCATCATCCATCCAATACGGCGCAAACAACCCACTAAACGCCGTAACAAACACACACCCCCCATTATCCTCCACCGTCTCCGCCAACGTACTAATCTCTCTCGATTCCTTAATAAACCCGAAATTATTCTGCAGGAACTTGATACTCGATCCCGCTACCGCAATACTACCTTCCAGTGCATACTGCGGCTTCCCATCGAAATCATACGCTACCGTACTAAGCAATCCATGACTCGAAATCACAGGCTTGTCGCCTACATGGTAGAGCAGGAAACAGCCCGTCCCATACGTATTCTTTGCTCTTCCAGGCGAGAAGCCTTTCTGACCTACCAAAGCAGCGGATTGATCGCCTAGACATCCAGTAATAGGCACACCGGACAAGACGCCCGTAGTCAAAGTCCCGTATGCTTCTGGGTCAGAAGAGCGGACGATTTTCGGGAGATTGAGTTTCTTCATGTCAAAGCGGAAGAAGTCCAGGAGCTGCTCGTCGTATTTCAGAGTGTGGATGTTCATGAACATACTCCTCGACGCATTCGTCGGGTCCGTCACGAATACATTCTTCTTCACGCCGCCGTTAAGTCTGTACACAACCCAAGCGTCAATCGTACCAAATGCCAGCGTCCCTTTAGCATACGCATCAGCAATCTTTGGCTCGTTCTCAATCAGCCAGAGGAGTTTGCCGACCGAGGGATAAGTTGACAAAGGGAGACCGCAGAGGTCTTGAAGTTTGTCGGAGCCGAGACGTTGTTTGAGTTTGCGGACGAGGGCTTGAGTCCGCGTGTCGGTCCAGACGATGGCGTTGTAGAGGGGCTCGCCAGTCTTGGTGTCCCAGACTACGGTTGTTTCGCGCTGGTTGGTGATGCCGACTGCTTTGATGGAGCGAGCGGAGTGGCCGTTGTCTTCGAAGGATTTGACGGCTCCTTCGATGCAGGTCTCGATTGAGGTTATGATTTCAAGAGGGTCGTGTTCGTGCCATCTGGGGGGTGTTAGTGAGTCTTGCTCAAAATTGTGTATGTATATTCTCAGAGATATGAGAAATACGGGGGTCCCACCCTGGCTGAGGATAATACTGCTTGAACTCAACTTGATGTGAAGCAACCGGCTCCCCATCTCGATTGAAGATCAGAAATCGAGTACTAGTCGTGCCCTGATCAATTGATCCAACATACGCCTCATGTGGAGCAACGAGTACGGGAGAGTCACCAGTCATGATGAATGGTTATGAGAGGAGGAATTGATGGTGAGGAACAAAGAACAAAGCTCTGTTGTGGGAAAATGTGATTTTATGACAGCTTGAGAACTGGAGAGCTGGGGTAGCTGGGGTAGCTACCTCGAGCTTCTTTATCTAGACCCCGCATTCCCCTCTGGACCCTGGAATAGCGCTCCATGTGATCGACTTGTCAGGATAAAGAGGGCGTAGATAGCCCGAAGGTATTTCTGAAAAGAGAAATACACCGAGGAATTTCAGTGCTGGGGGAATTTGGCACTACGCCTGTCAGCTAGGAGGATCTGGTACAGTATCAGGTGCAGATGAGGGGTTCGAGGGGGATGGTGAGGGTAGGTGGTGGCGGATCGATGTCTGTCCGTATGTTAGACGAATTGAAGGTGGTTTGGAAAGGCGTATGCTTGGTTGCGCTATGCTTGGTTGCGCTAGTCTCGGCCATACTAGACGCCTCCTCGTCAGGTTCAAGGATCCAACATGACGGAACGCCGTCCGCTGTTAGTTCGGGGTTTGAGGCTTGGGGAGATAGTAAATTTACTCCGAGTTTTATGATATCTTGTTTTTTGACTAGTCGGTTCTCAAGTTGATATCTTGGCATTTATTACATGCAAAGCGTAGATGTACTCTCTCCGTTCTCTTGATCTCAAAGCTTTATCAATGTCCGACTTCAAGACACTCGTTGTCATGACATGCAGCTTGCCTCAGAGTCTGGATGCCCTATGTGATACCAGAGCACAGTGCAGCTTTGACAACTACCTGCATGTGTCACATGTATCTCAATGTACCTGGGCAGTGCAGGCCGCTGCAAGATAATACCTTTCTGGGACTCCAGTCGGAGAGAAGGAGGAGAAAAGGAGGGAATCAGTTGATACCTTACATACAATTCGTATAATTGCATGACAAGACACAAACTTAACATGCAGTGCATCCGCATAGCATCGGAAAATGCTCGATAGGGATAAGCCAAGACTAACGACAAAAACTACTTTTCTTGTCGGGACTGCCAACATCTTGGGGCCTAGATGTGTGAAGAGTGGATAAGTGGTTGTCTCCACCATATTTTTGATTTCTGGAGCGTCCGGGTCAGACGGTGAGAATTACTGGATTCATGTTGAAGTGCTGCGCCGCCGGACCGAGGGCTCGGGATGGTCTAGATGAGCTGAGGGGTGAGGAGAGCAGAAGGGAGGCTGGAAACTGCGTATAGCTACGAGGAAGGCCGGGTGTAGAGGATGTAAGGAATTCTAACGAATAGCATACGAGGACAGTGTCCAAAATCTTGGATAGGTGTAAGTGAAAGTGGAAGGATTAGTAGCAGTAAGCAGCTCGTGATGGCATTTTTGCACAGACCTTGTGCTTGTCATTCCTGTGGACTGGACAGGACAAAAGTTGAGACCAGATGAAAAATCATGAGGTAAGACGACAGGGAACGGACGTTGGCATCTACATTTGCATTGGCACCGGCATCCCGTGGTTGACGTTACTTCGTCACTTTCCCTTTCCTCTCCCCTCCCCTCTCCCTTCCGCGCAGTGGTAGTCGGCATCAAGCCAGTCCCCTGTATGGTTTCCCATCATCCCCTGTTCCCCGAACCCTACAGTGATTAAGTACACTAACCCCGGATCAACGCAGCGGGGAAAACTCTCCTACCTACTGCCCACGTTAGGCCTAGATGCCCCAAGATGCCCTGAAGGCTGTTCCCCACTCGGCGTCGGCTTCTCGAATTGAGGGGTTTTTCACTTCTCGCTAAGCAGCCACATCGCGCCACTCTGCAAGCCTCTTTGCGCATTCTTTTGACCTCACGAAACTACGGCCACGAGGCTGAGAGGTCTAGTCGAGGGGGACACCAGACACCACTTTGCAGTGCATTCATAGTACCACCATGGCCAGCGCCAGCAGATATGGTATACAGAAGAGAAGGGGCTGGAGTCTGGATGCCCTCATGCACTCCTATTTGACTACTGCACACTCAATTGCATGCATCCATCAATTGCCTATCTCCTCCCCGCTCCCTGTTCTTCTTCTGCTTTTGCGTCTCCTCCTCCTGATCCTTCGGGAACCCCGGCCTGCCTTCACTGGTAGCTCACTTCTCTAGCTGCAGCCTCCCTTGAACAGCTGCCTCATTGGACAGTATCAGGATCGTTCGTTCGGGACAAGGCAGTAGCTTTGTCTCCAAGTTCAACGGCTCCCAGGTTCTAGGGAGGAGGCAAGACTCGGACGGCAAGCCAAAGCGGGGAAGCCCAGCATGCTCAGCTCTCATCGCGCAATTCGTTGGTTGGCTGCCAGTGTTTTCTTTCTACGTAAGCAGGGTACGGCTACGGGCAAGACTTCATCATTAACTAGGTACACTGCAGTATCAATTCGATTACTACGTTGGTTACCAGTCTGGTACACACGCACGACTATCGGCGCCATCTACTAGGACAGGTGTTGAAAGTGCTGCTGTCTAGTATCTGCTGAAAGCTCTATGCCCTGCTGTTCTTTCCAATTTCATCACATCGGTCAGTTGCCAGTTTGTACTGTTCAATTCTGCATCATAGCCGTCTTCGTACAACCCCGCTTGCCGGCTGTAAGCACCGCCTCAAAATCGCAATCCAACATCTGAGACTGAAAAGCTCGGTCGAGTAACCGACTGTAGTGCTGACTGTGCCTCTCGGATTCAAGGGAGAGGCGAAAGCCCCAAAGCTGGCCGCCAGATCGCGGGGTTGGTATTGACGTACTAAGGTAGCAGCTTTCCCTGGTGACGGCGTGATGCTGCCAAGCACAATCCAATGACACATTGGAGCCGATAGCTAAGAGGGACAAGATCAATGGCTTCCTTCTATTTGCCAATCGAAGAGGCGTAGTTGTTACGAAGAACCACTACCGTTTCCATGTGCCACCCCGGGCACAAGAGGCTTTAACTAGGCGTGAGCATCTTGTGATCTTTTCAGGGGGTACTACTATTCTTGACGAAACTCGGACTTCATACCGCTCCAAAGACAACTTCCTTTTCGGGTTGGGCTTGGATGCAGAAAAGTTGCCTATCTTCTTTGTTACAGTCGTCTAGCATGGTTCGTTTCGGCTTTGGGCTTTGTCGTACGAGACTTACCTCGGTCCCAGATCTGTCATGTCAAGGAGAGAAAGATTACTCGGGGCAAACAAATGTCATCTTATCTCTGTCCAGTCACTAGCTGGCTATTTTCAAGGTTCTCGACAGTCTCGTACCGCCACGGTAAACTAAATGTTGGTATATCGTGTGGTTGGGCGGAATGCCGCCGACGATGCCTAGATGAAGGCCCATTTTGAGTCAAGATTAGCCCCATGTCACGTTGCTCACCTGTCAGTTCAATGCTTTGAACAGGATATCCTTGTATCCTGCAGACTGCCCCCGATCAGTAGCAGACCAGCAGACTTCTTGTCCTGTTGTGCTAAGTTGGGTGGCCAGATCCGTCTGGCTCAAGATTTGCTCTTCGGAGCGCTTTTTCTCGCTATCATCGCGCATCTTCTTACCCCATCTCACGCTATGATTAAACTCTTCCTTCTCCACTCCAGCTATCTCCTTGAAAGAAAAACTGGAGTCGGTGTATTTCCAATTAAGGGAACGCCTTTCTTTGACCTGTGAATGCCTGGCATTCCACGGCAGCTACCACCGTCTTACACAATTGGACCCTTTCTATATCTAGTTCCGGAGCAGCCATCTTCTTTTACCTGTCAAGCTGTCGATCACCGTTAGAAGCAATCCAGATCATCAACCCTTATATGACCTTCTCAAGTCTTTGTTCAACTTCAACATTCCTCTGATATCGACATTCTCCAACGTTCCAACCTTCAAACCAACATGGCAGACACAAAGCCAACTTCGATGCCTAGTCCGGCAGTTTCTCACGACGAGTATGCAGCTCATCTCAACGACCACGCCGAATCTTCACACTCAGCACAAAAGGAGCCTCTAAACGAGAAGGAGATTCAAGAGGCGTACGGAGAACATGGTCCTGGGATTGATCATGACATTCCACAGAAGGATGCCATTCAAGCTCGACCAGATCTTTGGTGGAGTCGTATGCGCCATCGATTCCGCGAGCCTCTCTCTGAGTTCTTTGGTGTTTTCATCCTGATCTTATTCGGCGATGGGTAAGTCTTCTTTCCATGTCAAAAAATCGAAACCTCGGCTAACTTCTAAACAGAGTCGTCGCTCAAGTTGTTCTCAGTCGAGGCACGAAAGGAGACTATCAATCGATCTCTTGGGGATGGGGGTACGTTCTTGCCATCTTCAACATCATCAATAACACATGCTGATATCTGTATAGTATCGGCGTCATGTTAGGAGTCTACGCATCAGGGGTTCGTACCGCCTCTCTAGCCCACCGGCTTCCCCGCAATCCACCAAAACTCGGCATTACACCTACTAACAGCCATATAGGTCAGTGGCGCACACATCAACCCGGCCGTCACGTTTGCAAACTGGTTAGTCTAGCTCCATCCTCTTTTACCTCCCCAAAATACCTTCTCGAGAATACGGCCACGAGAGCCCCCCTATCAAAGCAAGATGGGCTCCTCCCCCATAGCCAAGAGTAAGCAGACCGAGCTAACACCGAGATACCACCAGCGTCTACCGCAAATTTCCATGGCGCAAGTTCCCCATTTACATGCTTGCGCAAATCCTAGGAGCCTTTTGCGCCTCGGGCGTTGTGTATGGTGAGCTGAGTCTATTTTCAATTACTTACCCCTCTTTCTTATTGTCGATCATTCACTTTATTGGGGCTCGCTTATGCTCACCCATGAAAACATCCTGGGGAACTTTACTTCCCCCCACACCGATTTCACTCCCTGCCAAACTCACCCCACACTCTAATTCAGTTCATCTTAAGTTTGGGATGAAACATTGTCCCAGCATATTCTCAAACACAAACACTCACCCACACACCACTACACACAATGGCTAACGCCCTACAGCAAACTACAAATCCGCCATCAACCAATACGAAGGCGGGCCCAACATCCGCACCGTCCCGGGCTTCAGCGAGAACGCCACCGCCGGCATCTTCTGCACCTACCCAGCCGAGTTCATGACCCGCACGGGCATGTTCTTCTCGGAGTTCATCGCCTCGACCATCCTCATGTTCTGCATCTACTCTCTACAAGATAACGGGAACCTGGGAGCGGGGAACCTTACGCCGCTGGGATTGTTCTTTGTCATTTTTGGGATTGGGGCTTGTTTTGGGTGGGAGACGGGGTATGCGATTAATCTGGCGAGGGATTTCGGTGAGTTGGCTTTTTGCTCTTTGTGTTGCTTTTATTTCTGTATGTGGAAATGTGGTGGTGAGGACGTGGCTGACATAGGAAATTTATAGGTCCTCGTCTGATGTCCTATGCCCTTGGCTACGGTCACGAAGTCTGGTCCGCAGGAAAGTACTACTTCTGGATCCCTATGGTAGCGCCATTCCTTGGATGCTTGTTTGGTGGATGGTTGTACGATGTATTCATCTTCACTGGTATGTGGTCTCTTTCTTCATCCTGACTGTGAAAAGTGTATCGTGGCAGTGTTTTGGAAGACAAAGGCTAATTTCTGTTGCAGGAGACTCACCAATCAACACTCCATGGTGGGGATTCAAGCGTATGTTCGGCATGAGCTCGAAGAAGGTCAAATCGTCGCATGTTTGAGTCTGAGTGGAAGCGATGAAAAGCCACCGCACCGCTGAACGTATACTACGCTTCCTGTGGACGAACGAACTTGATGGATACCATGACTTGAATGATATGACGAGTTGAACTCATTGTTGAAAGATTGACCTTGAATGAGAGATGGATGGCCGGGATGATTGTCATAAGCTTTTGGTGCGCTATAGTAGCTGGTTGAGAGCGAGGAGGTTGGGTGGCGTCTTAGGCGAATTTTCATCGTACGTGATGGTGGAGTGGAGTTTCGCAAATTTCTCGGATGGTTTGGATGAGTGCAAATGCTATCATTGTTATCCACTGTGGGCGGGCGTCTGGAAATGATTTAGGGACAGTGGTGTCTTGGGGAAATACCTAAGTAGTGACGGTAGATAAAATGAAAAGTAAAAATTGACCTAAAATATCACGAAGAAAGTGAGATCAGTCTCATATGGCTTGGAATGCAAATCTGGGAGAACTACGGTTCGTATTCTCAGCGGTGTAGCTTGCTTGGAGAGCTCAATCATCCTCATCACTTGACATCAGTCTTCGGATCTAGGGTTTTGCGAAAATAACGGCATTGTTTCTACAAGGTGATTCATGCCCTCCCAATAGTCGAGAGTTGGCTGCCAACCTTTTTTCTCGATCGTTGTTCCCTGGGACCTGCGCTCGCCTCTTCAGTCTTCATCCCCTCACTCCTCCCTGGAGGCAAGCGTCAAAAGCTCTGGGGACTAGCAGTCAACAACAAGAAGCAACACACTCAATTTATAGCTAATTTCCATCTAAATCGCTATGCATACTCTCAACCCATCCATGAAATCCTCCCAGCCCTCTTCTCCCCAGAACTAACATCCTCTCCACCCATGTCATCCAGCATTCCTATTCGCTGCTAGAGCCATGTGCTGCTGATTCATGATATTCATATCAATGACCTGGCCGTGGAGATAGCTGCTATCCAGTCTCTTCAGAGCGTCTGTGAAGCGTTTCAGATATAATTGAGCGCTACGCACAATTTCCATTTGTGCTGGGTCATCACTTGGTTGGAAATCGAGGAGTGAGGCTGCGATTTGCCGGATTTTAAGGATCTGAATGTTATCAGTATAAAATTTCTCATCATGAAAATTCGACGAGATGGAATACATACCAAAGCATGACCATTCGGCTCCACAAACTCCTCCTTCGCCCTATCCAACACCCCCAACAACCTCCTACAAACCTCCTCCCTCAACTCCCAAATGTCTTTCGGGCCCATCGCGCCGTCACTCTCCGTCTTAGACGCCATACTCAGCCTCTCAATCAACACATTCTGCATCCACAGATGCTCAACATGCATATTCGTCCTCACTGTCTCAATTTGCCTCGCTTTTAATCGCCCATCACCACCAGCACCACCTCTACCACTCCCTCGCTCATCCTCATCTCCACCCCCACCCCCACCAAACTCATACCCCGCCGCCAAATACCCCGGCAACCCCCTCAAGCACCCCGCCACCTTCCCCAACCTATTCCTAAAAACCAGCATCCTCGGCGCCATCCGAATCACCCTCCCACACCCCCCACAAGCACCCAACTTCTCAGCCACAAAACACTCAGAGGAAGAAGAAGAAGAAGAAGAAGAAGACATGTGGCGGAGACCTAGACCGCCACCCGCCGTGACGGCTTTCGGCTGCGTGGGATCCTTAGTGATAGCTGCCATGGTCTTGATCAGTTTGGTGGTCTCGCAGAATGCGGCTGTGAGTTGGGGTTCGCCGGGTGGTGGCGCGAGGATGGAGTCCGCGGTGATGTATTCGTCGTCGAGGGGGAGGATCTGGAGGTTTTCGGCGTCGACTTGTTCGAAGACGGAGCGGTCGGTTAGGGTTTCGAGGGATTCGCCGGTTATGCGGAGACAGCTGTTTTGAGAAAAGAGGGACATCAAATCAGCAAATCACGGGTTATGTAGGTACTCCAAGCAAGCACTGCAAAACAGTTCGGGAACAGGATTACGAAAGGACAAGCAAAGAGGTGAAGAGGAAATTGAGGAGCTTACATATGTGCCGCAACGGTGATCCAAAACGCCTTCTTCCTCAACTGCACCTCAATCGGATTCGCATACTTCCCTAACCGATGCCCGCCTACCAACTCAATGATAATAGCCGTCGCCTCGGCTTTATACATCCTCGCACTGCTGCTCTGCCCTATACACGCATGAGACATAAACAGCGTACACGCCAGCGCCCAGTCCGTCATGGTCAGGTCCTCATACGCGTCTGGATCCCGCTGCCTCTGGATCACGAGGTGCACTCGCTTGACGAAGTCCCGGATCGTAGGGTACGCGGTCTTGAACGCGGCGCAGAGGGACTGGTAGTGGGCGAAGCGGCGGGGCTGCACGGCGCAGAAGGTCGCGCAGAGGGAGATGGTGAAGCTGAAGAGTTTGGGGTCCGTTTGGTGGAGGTTTTGGGAGATTTGCTGCTTGAAGGTCGGGATGTGGATTAGTGGGTGGATGGGGTATTGCCGCTCGAGGTAATCTTGGATTATTAGGGTGAATATCTCGGGGGGACAGATGGTGTCTATGGATGGTATGGTCTCGTGGGATGAGAGTTCGGTGCTCATTGAGTTGGTTCTCTCGCTTGGGATGGCTGGAGCTTTGCCGGGAGTGCTGTGTCCGCTCATATGGTGATTTCTGTATCCACATCAGTCATCTGTTCGATAGTGTAGGGAAGACTACTCACTTCTTTGGACGGGGACCTCGTCGATTGGCAGGTAGATCAAATGTGCATTGCAACCCTGTACTCAGACAGGCTTTACACTGCACCACCGGCCCAGCCTGTCCCTGAACCCTCTCACATCTCATTTTCCTCCTCCGACACGCATCACACGCGTGCGTGACATTCGTCCTCTCCTTCTTCTCCATCTCCAAGATGATTACCTCTTATCAAGGGGAAAAAAGAAGAAAGAAAGAAAAGAAAAGCACGTCTGGCAGCTCCGTCGCCGTCATGGGAATTTTCATGCATTTGACATGTCAACGTCAAAATCTGACTGCCGCAGGTACCGAGATTCCTTGACGTTGAAAGTACCGAACTGGACAAGTGATTCGTTAGTTCTTTGTCGGCATGTTCCCCGTTGATGGTTTGTGTCATTACGGAGTAGAAGGTTTAGTCCAGTCTTTGAACGCTCTAGGTTGCGTTTGAGCCAATTGTAGTTTGTTTCTGAGGAAATGCACTAGGGTAGATCCCGGACTGTCGATGAACGATCGCCCAAACCTTAACTTTAAAAGTTTTTTGGGGGGCGAGGGGGGAGGGGGGAAGCTGAAGATTATCTGTGGGTGACAGTGACAAGCGAGATTAGTTTCGTGCGGATAATAAATGTTTCGTCTGGGATACAAGCTTTCCAGTCCTTTGGGATGCGATCTTTACATCTTTACATTTGTTTAGCGAGATAGAGGGGGGGGGGAGTGGGGGAAGAATAAGGGATCCCTCAAATCAAGAAATCATACTCTGGAAGCCATGATGTTGTTCCCGGTGCGTGGAACAGGCCCAAACTCCAAACTGCATTTGACACGTAAAGTCAAACTGTTATTGAGGGAACTAGTCTGAGAGTAGGAGTGCATCTCCTTATTGTTGCGACGAGTACACGAGCAAACCCCTTGCGCACAGAATACATGGCTTTTAGCACGAATGATAGTGATCAAAGAGTATTCCCGTTCGCTCTCATCTTCCTATATAATTTTCAGGAGTGCGTTCCGTCGTGGCACTTTTGTCCGTCACGATATCATCACTTGACTCCCCTCGCCCGACGACACCAACTCTCTTCCCATCGAATATCTCGGCGATCTCCTCGAGCGTGTGGCCTTTTGTTTCGGGGTAGCAGAAATATACCATTGCTAAGAGCATGGCAAGCAGGCAGCAGAAAACAATGTAATACTTCCACCCGATATTGACCATGGCAATTGGGTTCACGAATTGTCCTAGTATCAATCCACAATATGCCGACGATAGAGTGATGGTCAAACCTCGTGCTCGCAGTGTATATGGAAATATCTCTGCAGGGTATGCCCAAAGTAGAGGAGTCCAAGCGATGTCGTAGAAGAAGTAGTAGATAAATATAAATGCGAGGACAGCATACCCAGCCATTTGATTGTTATCGCGAGCAAAGACACTGTTCAGTGCAGTCCAGCAAATATACGAGAGAAGCATTCCCACAGTCGAGATTAGGAAGAGAGTCCGTCTGCCAAGCCGATCGACCATGAGGGCGCCGGCAACCACTGAAATGGTCCAATTGAAAATCTGGAGCATGCCGTTGATAAGAGTCTGGGAAGATGTCGCTTTGATGCCGATAGTGTCGAGAACGAGAGTGAGATAGTAGGCCACTACTCCGTTACCACTCCATTGTGCGAAGAATCCGAGAGTAACTGCGATGAACGTTCTCCTTCGATTTGGAGCGGTGCGCATGCAGTCCATGTACGAGCTCTGGGACATTGCGGTGCTTTCTGCTCGGATAGCTGTTTCGATCTCAGCTAGCTCGAATTCGACTAATAGTGAGTCCGCGTCGTCGGCTGAGTGATACTTTGTGAGGATCTTGCGTGCTTGGTCGTATTTCCCGTGGGCGATGAGCCACCTGGAAGTGTTAGTGATGTGTTGAAGACCACGATGAGGTTGCTTACCGAGGTGACTCTGGAACCCAGTAGAAGCAGCATAGTTGAATCAGGGGAAATGCACCCTGGAGCGTTGAAGGAATTCTCCAAGCCCAAGTAGACTGGATTCTGAATGTCCCGTATGTTGACCAAGCCGCAAAGACACTTCCGAGATACTGCTGAAGTTAGCATGGACCATTCAAGCGTCTTCAAGAATCTTACAAAGAACGTGTTATAAAGCGCAGTCAGCTTTCCTCGCTGTGTGGGATATGCAAGCTCGCAGATCAAAAGCGGAGAAGGTAACAAGATGAATGCTGTTGCCAAGCCTAAAATAAGCCGCGAAACGATGAACATCGACAGTGTCTGAGCACCGCCTTGAATACCGGCTCCTAGAATCAAGAAGAAGAATCCAACATGCATCGATTTTCTCCTTCCGTAACGATCTGAGATCCAGGCTGCGGGGGAGAGACCAAGTAATTTCCCGATCGGGTAAATGGCGTTGATGATGCCGAGTAATGAAGCATCTGGGTAGTCAAAGTATGATTTCCACTGATGGAGACTTTGCAACCCATTCATCATGGCACCTAACATCCGTCAGGTCTCTCGAATGAAATGGGAGCATGTGTATTAACTTACTGTCAAATCCAACAGTCGATGCTGAAAGGAGAGGTACCAGAAGGATTAGGTTCAACCGAACCAGATGTCCCGTCTTGTACCATGGCTTCAAGTCTTTTGGTAAAACCTGGAGGAGTCAATCTCCGTACTATGTTGGCATCTCATGATACTCACAGCAAGGAGCTCAGGTCCAACAGCCGAACATTGGCTTTTTTGTGTTTGTCGCTTGAAGATGCCCATCTTGTCTGAGAAGGTTGAAGAGAATATCGTAAGCTAAGAAGTCTTGAGTGTGAAGTTGTCCTGGTGATTGAGAGAAGAGAAGATATAGTGTGTCGAGCAAAACTCAATCTTGTCGAAATCTTCCTCAGATATATACTTCTTTGACAAACTCTGTCCAAGAACATTCTTCTTACCCCTCCCATCCTCAAAGCTGCGCCCTGATGACAGACATGTTCTCCCGCTGACTAGAACGTCAGCGTCGCGTTCTTCACACTCTTGATCATCGTCGTTGCAGAATCCATTCAGACAATTGTGCGTCGTGGGGGTTCGATTTGGAAAAAAAGGGTAGAGAATTCGGCATTTTTGGTTTGCAAGGGTCTTACTCGGATGTCTCCGAATGGAGACTAGGAGGCCTGTCGCGACATCCAATTCTCGTGAGGGGCAGAGCCAATAGTGATGCAAGGGGCTGTCACTAGGAGGAAACTCCAGCGGCTCGGCACACATGCGTGAGAGTCAAGCCCGTGGCTTTGGATGTGAGATCGAGATTCTAGAATCTTGGCCCTTCTTTCGAATTAGGCTAGGATGACTCGTGAAAAATATATATTTTTGGATTTGACCTATGACACGGAGACTTCTCCGCTTATTTTCGGACGATTCTAAGTATTGTGAGCGCTTGCTTTTGGAGAGAAGAAGAAAGAGGTGGTGGTAGTTTTGTAACTGAAGTAGGGAGAATATTTGAGCGGTGAACACGATAGAAAATTCAGAGGATGAAAAGAAATAACACCATCCTCGGCATGTAGTCGAAACCATAATTGAACAGCACCTATGAGAAGGAAATCAAGCAGAAAAGTTACCATCGAAAAAACAATGCAAAGATCGAAGCGAGAATACAATGAGGCTCTTCAAAAGACGTTGTCGTCCGACGTCAGATCAACTGGCCAATGTCGTTCGTATCCAGGCTGTACAGGCATGAGTAATCTCCGCTCAGCATTAAGAATATACGGTCATTGGAGACGGCATTCCCAGCGGTACTTGCTTGTAATTATTCAGCAGGTATTCCTCGCACTCAAAACATGACATAATGGGACCCGAAGCCCCCAATCTCGTATCGCGTTGTGTGGGAGTCTTGCCAGCATGCCAGACTGCGCATGGCAACACAGAATTAGCGAATGACCGCTGAAGAATAACAGTGGAGCGCCATGGCTTTAGCGATTGGCCCCTGACGACAGGATTCCGGTGTCTTCACATCAAGAGAAGTAAACTTATATTCTCTATTCATAATTTGACAACATCAACGATTTCTTTGATCTGTTGTCTATCCAAGCACTATGTGCTTCTAGCTCTTTGTAAATCGCAATCCCCAAAAGTATAGTTCACTGGGCCAGCGTCCTCGATGAACGGCAACACAGACTCCTCGCTAGCCATATTTACATGCCCCCAGCATCCCATCTCAAACATCTGGCTCACTAAGCCATCTCACTGAGAACCACACGCCTGGCTCATGGTACATCCATCGAGACTCTGGTCTATGACCCCAACGCCACAAGTAGGACCAAATACTGGGCTGTGTGGAACATGCCACGCGAGCTGTTGTCTACCTGGTTGCTCTCACGGTTTTATCGACTGAGACCTGAGAGAAAGCTTGGGTCGATTCGTCGGCGAAGCCGATGGTGTATTTGCAGGTATTCTTGACTCTTGATGGAATGGGGTCGGGAAGTGATAGGAACCCCGGAGAGATATTCATTTGGCCTCATCAATGAAAGCAGAGGAGACCTTCGGAGCGGGGATGGCATCTTCGGAGTAAGTCTGAAGCCACTCCTACCAATGAACCGTCTCTTCAAACACATCCTTCAAGATCAACCCATTGTCATCCTTCTCCCCACCCTTCGCAGCCCTCATATACCGAATGAAAGCCCCGCCTCCCTCTTCTGCAAACTTCGGCTCAATCACACAAATCCTCCTCCAACTCGGAATATCCGTCGAGCAACTCACAACGCCAAGATCCCTCTCCTCAAGCATCATGATAATCCGACCAGTTCGAGCACAGATACTGCTATCCCAGAATCCATCCCTGCATGCTGCCCGCTCAAGGATGTCAATAGCTTTGCGTCTCAGGTGAGGGTTCCGACACCAAATGACCACACAGAATAGCGGATTGACGAATCCCGTGTCTGGCATGAATCGTGGGGCAATGGTGCCATTGATTGGGGAGGAGATCAGAGCCGCATCAACAATTGATTTAGAGATAGAGATAGCAGACTCGAAGTCGGCTTCATATCGATCCCATACCATCTCGCCTTGCTCTCTAGCTTCGGCAGGATCCACGTCCAAGATGATGACGATGACAATCGGGACTACTTTCAGAACTCGTATGCGCTCCAGAAAGCGGGGGTCTGGTTTCGACATTTCGCGATTTTGGAAATGTTGAAACGCGAGAGCCAAATTTCTTAAGTCTGATCGCAGTATCTACAGCTCTTGGAGATGTCTTTGACGGAGCTTTTCGTAGAGAGCGCCAGCTGGACACATCCAAGCGTATCGGACGAGCTTGAATCCTGCGGTGAGGATGTCGCCGAGAGTATTGTTGATTTCATCAAGAGAGGAACTGGGCAAGTCAAGACGAGCCGGAAAATCAGCACCCTCCAGTAAAAGCGGTCGGGTTATCACGATTTGGCTAGCAGCCACGTCGAGACGAGTGAACATTTTGATAAGTAGTGACATTGGAACGTATGAATCCGCACCCTTTAGCGACTGTCCTCGATTTTCTGACTTCTGCTTAGATAGCATTTGTGAGAGAATACGGATTCCCCCATCTACATGACGAAGTGCAGCGCCATAATATCCTCGAAGATTCTATCCAAATCAGCTTGATTCTAGGGCGAGTAGGAAAATGAACCTCGAAGTTGACAAACAATATACAGACAATCAGAGCAACCTTGGAAGTATGCTCACTTGCGCGATCTTTCAAAATGAGAGAGATCGCAGCAAGGTAATGCTTCAATGCAGGATTATCTTCAGCAAGAGCAAATTTCATACTGTAGGCGCCGCGAAATCGAAATTGCTCATATAGTCAGCCGACAGCTATCGCTGCATGCCTGATTTGCAGGTTCATAATGGCACCCTTGAAGAACATATCTATTCCAATACGTCGAATCGAAAGCTGATGACAAGTCTTGGAGAGCATAGGAACGGAAGAAGTCGAAGTACCGGCTGTCCATTCCTCGGATATCGTGATTTGGTGCAACTAAGATCGAAGTAAAAGAGTTTGGAGGCAGTCGTTTCCTGCTGGGTCTTGGTTTCGGCAGGGCGTATCCGTCGCATTGTCGACCTGTGCTCGTACATTTTCGACAATTTGGCTTGGTCTCATCGCATTTGATATGCCGTATCCTGGAAATTCGTCGACATGGGGTGCCAAATAGATTTGATTCAACACAAGTCTAAAGAGGGACTGAAACTTACTTGCATGTTATGCAGCCTGTTGTAGTGTTACCGAGGGACCGTCTTTGACGTACAGGTGTAGACATGGGGGCATCGACGCCTGCCTCCTGGCTGCCGAACCAACCATGCGGCTTCGGCATGACTGAGCTTGATAGAAATATGGAATAACGAGGCACAGTCGGGCAAAGTCAAACGATGTGACACTCGAGCGACGTCAATTTATCGAGGTTCAAGAACCTCATAGTTCCCGGTAAGATCGTCAGACACTAGGAAAAGTTAAGCTAGAAGAGGTCAAGAGTTGTGAACTAAATTTTTAGCATGTCGAAGTATGATGTCTCAGGCATCTTAACTTGAGAAAAAGTACGAAATATGCTAGTAATCGGAATGGACTCTTCAAAAACTTAAAATAAACATTGTTAAACTTCTAAAAGAGAAAAAGCGTTGCGCTCCAACGCGAACAAAAGAGGGGTCTATAAAGGCGTCAAGAATCTCTCGCCAAAATGATAATACAGATATGCTAGGAGGGCAGAGAAATGACTTTAAACTGGAAGCAAATGTGAATGCCCATTTCCCCAAGCTTTACTGATCGATTGAGATCCCGAGTAAGCTCAAGCTGTCCAGACTACTGGGCTTCGCCGACATGGGCAAAATGATTTCAAGAGTTGAGAATAAGATACCGATAGATGCAGTATCTATCAAGCAGCTCTCCAAGAGATTGTGCTGCCATATTCAAACAAGTTGATAGACTCTGGTGATGTTCATATTTGACGGAAAGGAAGAGAAGTCAACATCTGGGAGGTTATGCTGAGTCAGCAATACGGAGCTCTCCATGTTGCTCTTCCCCTTCTCCCAAGATCACGTCTCTCTATTCAGCACAGCGACATCGTAAGCCATCTTCCCCAATGTCCCAGCTGCATGTCCAACTAACATGCCTCAGATACCATTCTATGTGTCTATATCATCTACAGCTCTGCAAGCTCGATGCAGCACTCATTGCTATGCTTCCGACGCGGGTTCTAGCAATTTACGTGTCTGCCAGAAGGCCAAAAGCACAACAACTGCTCAGAGTCGGGTAACAGAAAGCAGACATGGGAGGTACAAGCGGTAGGTGCTGTTTTGCAATCGGAAAACATGTCTGAGTGTGGGAAGCAAACAGCCATCTCTGGCTGGCTGGCGTTGGGTCCCGGCACTCCACGATGAACAATCTGCGCCGAAAGTCTGCATTGCTATCTTCACTAAGAGACAGGCCGATGCAATTAATTGCACACCGCCGCAGATCCCTTGCAAACACCGTAGCCTACGAGTTCGACACAATGTCGAATTGCAGACCCCACGAGAATGAGCTGCTTGAAGAGAAAGGGGAGGAAATGCAATTCCAGGACCGGGACATATTGCTTTTGGGATATAGGAATGCACAACGGACGATCAGCACAAAGATTAGCATTCTTCCAGCGTACGAGAAACTTGAGAAGTCTCGGGATGGCACACGGACTTCGATCTGGGAGGATTGCTCTGCAACATGGGAACATTTCGCGCTCCTGAATATCACATATACCCTCCCAGGCGTCCTGGTCTTACGTCCGTCACCAACGGGACAGTCCTTCTGTCACTCAGTTTCGTCCAGACGAGTGCTCCGTATATGAATAACACCGATCTCGTTTGGCATGGCGGAATAATCAAGGACACAAGAGTCGGAGGCGACAGTCTTTCAGCCCTGGGGGCTGGATCTCGCCAGCTACGACAATATTTGGCCTCCTGCAACATGCCACGCAAGCTTTTTCATGTATGTGATTCGGAAATTACCGTGGTATATGTGGATTCGATGGGAAACGGTGAGAGATCCATTGGCCCTAGAAGCTCGTGAGGAGCGAAAGTTCCAGGCGCAGTGATAGAACCCCCAATCATTTGGTCTCTCGACGTATCATCAAGCGAAGGATCAGGCTTGTGGTTTTAGGCTTCAGTTGCTGAGCTTCCACCTTTATTTGATGGAGAGGACCAGTGTCGAAATTCATTGGACATAAAGATCCTGGCACAAGCGAAGTCTTTGATGCATCCAACATTCCAGCATCTTGGTTGGTGGTCCGTTGGCGAAAGGAAACTTTTCCTGAACAACCCCACCTTTGGACGCGGGGTTATTTACGGTGAAGGAGGGGTCCACAGAAGCTTTTCTAGCGGCATTGTACCTGTCGACGACGCCATTGGCGATGAGCTGGCAGTCCAGAGATGGTCTCAAAGTCGATTGCCCAATAGAGATAGAATCCAAGCGACTGTGCATGATGCAGCATATGCCTGACGGTGGAGTGTTCTACCTACTCAGAGGTCAGGGTCTCGTGCCAGAACTTATTCAGCAGAAAACTTCAAGTGACCGGAGGATTGCGCTCACCGTCTAGTCAGTCGCAAACGCAAGACTCGCTTGAGCTGCCCTATGAAGATAAATAAAAGCAAATCGAAATGCATCATGGCGGGGTCATGATACATTGGGGAAACCCCGGCAGTCTTTAACCTTTTCATGTCGAAGCCAACAGAGCATGATTGGGTTCAGCTCCTGGTACATTAGCGGAAGGATTGCTTATTGAGAAGTGACTGACCCAATAAGGATGAGAGCGAAGCGATTCCGGGATCGACATCCTCAAAATAACCCTACGCCTGACATGATGCCTTGGACAATCTCTAGCCTGCATAGCATAAGGCTAGTTGCAATGCACAGTCTCACCAATAGCCATCATCCAGTCTCGCCTATCTAGCGGTCAAAAGGTACGGTAACATCACGATCTGTACTGCATCGGAAATATATCCTTAATCATGATGCCCCGGACTCAAAAGGTACCTTCGTTCGATCCGATGAATTTGCCGCCACAGCCTGATCATGAGCCTCAGGCTTGGGTCAGGGTGTGATCTTGGCCTCGATGTCAGCAGCCTTCTTGAAACGTTCTCGAAGCTGACTGGGTGCCGCGGGACTGGGATGTTACTCACACCCTAGGCTAGCCTAATGTCAGTTGTCGCACTCGCTACAGATCTCCCGTTTTTGATGACAGCCCGCGAATAGCATTATGCGAATGGAGATTTGATGGCTCGGCTAGTTCCCAAATTCGGCCGTAGCCCGTCTCGGGTCCACCCGCCATGCAGTTCCAGGTCATGGGGAGCTTGCGAATCTGATGCCCCTCGTCGTGCTTTGGGCTGGTGGGCCCGACAGGTGAGATTACTGAGGTACAAGTATCAGCGTCTGGCCCGTGAATTTTGATGTCTGAAGATTGACGACGTCGACGACGGTCTCAGTACCCAGGATATGAACTGAACGATGGGTCATTGATTACTACATCGGAAGCTGGTTGGGAAGGATTTAAAGCTTCTTGGTCCGGATATTGACGCCAGTCGAGCGAGAGCAGGTACTCATAATGGAGCTCGTTAAGGAACATAATTCTTCAGTCCGCAATGTGGTGACTTCAGAGAAGTCAGCGAACGATGAAGCATTACAGAATGAAGAAGCTGGAGTCCTTCCGTCGGAGCCTCCCATCAACCAACAGGAAGCGAATCTTCCGAAATGGCGATTAGTATCTCTTTTAATATGGTAACTACCCCCTCACTTGTGCAAAGCTTTTTGATTGACCAAAGATCATAGTATCTGCTTTGGCCTATTCCTCTCCCTCCTCGATACCACCATAGTCGCAACAGCTATTTACACCATAGGAGTCGACCTTTCATCACTCACAACCGTCAATTGGGTCGCCCTAGCCTACACACTCAGCTACCTCGGGTGCGCAGTGATTTTCGCCCGAGTAGCAGATATCGTGGGAAGAAGAAATGCATACGTTGCAGCCTTCGTCATCTTCCTTGCATTTTCTATCGGATGTGGTTTCGCGAAAACACTGGATCAATTGATTGCTCTGAGAATTCTACAGGGAATAGGAGGTTCGGGATTGTATTCTTTGACTTTTGTCATCATGCCAGAGATCAGTCCTACCAAGATGCAAGCTCTGACCGGAGCCTTGGCTGGTGCTGTCGTTGCAATGGCTGGGGTTTTAGGACCAGTCTTAGGAGGTATCATCACAAATTACACGACTTGGAGATGGGTCTTTTGGATCAAGTAAGATCTTTGCGGTCTCCCAGAATAATCACTCCTAGGTTACCTTTTGTGCTGACTTCACAGTGCACCCATCGGAATGATTCCCCTCCTCGTCTTCATCATCGCCTGGCCTTCCATAGACATGCTCCCACCAGTCCGACTCCGTCCTCTGAAAGAACTCGACTTCTTCGGCGCAATCCTCGTCATCGCGGCCTCAGTCCTTCTAGTCTTCTCCTTCCAACAAGCAGGGATACACTCCAATTCCTGGTCACGCGGCATCTTCATCGCTCCACTCCTCGTCGGTATCCTTCTCTGGTTCGTTCTCTTCGGATGGGAAATCCTCGTAGCAAAGAAATGGAAGGCTAGCATTGCGACAATGTTTCCTTTGAGACTCCTCAAGAGGAGAATCTTCATGGGCCATTTCTTAACCACGCTGCTAGCCGGCTTTCCATACTTCATGGTTATCTTTGCTCTGCCACTTAGACTCCAAGTCGTGAATGGAAAGAGTCAGTTGGTCTCAGGCGTAGCATTGCTCCCTATGCTCGCAGCGGTGGCAATCACGAGCTCGATTGGGGGAATGGTAAACAGCAAACGTGACCTCATATGGATCACTCTCCTTGCCGGGTCTTTATTCATGGTCATTGGCTGTGCGTGTCTTTCTACACTCAGCGATGTCCCGCAGGTCCAGGCAAAGATGTATGGATTCCAGGTCTTCGTTGGCCTCGGGTTCGGGCTCATGGTGTCCACTGTCTCCTTGGGCGCTAGTCTCGAAAGCGAGCTCAGAGATCGAAGTACGTACACATCCTGTCGTTACCCATCTCATTTTCTCTACAGCTGAGTGAAAGCTAACACCCGCCCAGCCGTCGCCCAAGGCATCATAGCCCAAGCCCGCGTCCTCGGCGGCTCAATCGGTATCGCTGCCTCCACCGCCATTCTCAGCAAAATGCAACACCGCTACCTCTCCACGCTGCTCACCCCATCCCAACTCTCCACCCTCGAATCCTCTTCTCACACACTAACACCCACCCAACTCCTCGCAGTCCGCAAGGCATACTCCACTGCTTTCAGCGAGAGTATGAAAGTCTGTGCAGCAGTCTCGGCCGCTTGTGTCTTTGCGACGCTTATCACGTTCAGGAGGAGGCCGATTGTGATTCTGGAGAGGAGAGCGGAGCAGTTTAGGGAGTATGCGGAGTTGATGGCCCGGGAGGGAAGGGAGGGGGAGAAGAAGAGGGAGGAGAAAGAACAGAGACTGGGAAATGAACAGAAGCAGGCAGGGAGTTCGGGGTCGTCGGGGGAGGGGTAGATGGATCTTTTGTGTTGGGAATCATTTTGGTGCATATTAATCATCAGCGTGGCGTTTGGTGTATCTTGGGCTTGGTTCATAGCTCGGATCTGATGTTTTTTGGAGTTTGTTTCATAGCGTGGATATCATTTGATTTGGAAAGCATACCCAGGTTAGGGTACAGATGATGAATATGAAATGGGTATTTATTTGGTACGGCATATATGCCAATCGAAATCAAATGATGAAATAAGGAAATCAATATGCTTAGGATTTGGAACTAGAAGCTTTCCGAAAACGCATTCTATGAAATTCCGAGGCGATGGTTGAAAATTTATGCCAGTCTTCAGACGCGAGCCAGTTCCATGTCAGGATCATCCAAAGAAATTCGTTATATAAAAGGTGGAAAACAAACAGAGAAAACAAACAGAGGGGGTATCAGCTCGTCGAATTGGAATGATTGGAATGACGCTGCTCTGTTCCAGCAGAGATAGAGCCCAATGAAAGGAGGTTCATGATGCCATTCAACACCAACTTGGGTATGATCATTAGAGGCAACACATTATCTCCTCAATGCTGTCAGTAACCTAAAAGAGAAAGTCCATGAAGCGTAGACGTTTTCGCTATCATCATCGCAGACGCACTCTCTGCACTTACTGTAAAGAGGTACGAGCACCTTTCCAACTTTGGATATGTGTATCTACCTGCCTTCTTCTCAATCCCCAGGCCAATTATCTGTTGCCTTTTATGTCTTTCACATACAGGTATCTGTGTCCAGCACTTGCTACTATTTCTCCGCTGTGATGTCCGTCTTGTATCCTGGGGTAGAGACAGGTGCGCCAGGGCGTTCAGGGTCGAGGGTTGGGTCGTGGTCGAAGACGGAGGGCGTTTCGAGCAGCATTGATGCCCTAGCTATGTTTGTGGTGCATCCTTGCAGTCATACAATGGTTTACCCTCTCTGATATACATCTCCAACCGCCAAGTTCGTGTCGAGTCCCAGGTCCTTCATGGTGCGGAGAGAGTCGCAAGTGTATCTCGGGGGCGCTGCGACGCCGGAATCGCATCTGAAGTTCTGCGTGTCTTTCCACGGCAGACAAGGTCCGCAAAGTAGGCCGTCGCATATCTGGATATCTCGCTGTCGAAACGAGACTGTTAAGGTCGCCGTGGAACTGAATGTAGGTGGATAGTCGAGCTTTGGGGTTCAAGGATAGAGGCATGAAGGACAAGGTAGCGGGGAGTTCGTCCGCCCGCCAATTTTAGGTGTTCGGCTACTGTAACAAGCTTCAGTGGCTGAGTGGATCCAAGCCCTGTGAACCCCAGATTCCCACGACAACGTCGTTCATCCTCCTCCTCTCCTCCACTCAAGCAAAACAGTTATCCTCTCGTGTAATTATGTATAAACATACATTGAGCAAGTGCTCTTACATTGATTCACAGCTCTCTCTTTTCAGTTCCCGCGTATATTTCTCAGTATCAAATCTCCTCCCCCCGCCCTACACCCACAGCTTGATAGCTCGGGCAGGCCGTCACAAAGGTTACACTGCTTTAGGGATCGTCACTCTTTTTAACCAATGATGGCCTCAACCCCAAAGATACCATCCGCACTTCAATGACGCTATCTGTGATCATCGATGCACTGTGCAAGCATATTTCAATAACGCTGTATTCGATGCACTTTTGTAGCTTCTCATTCGTTCATATCCCTTGCCTCCAAGCTTTCTTAAGATCATCACTTCCCCAGACTCCTCTCAGGTTCCAGAACCACACTTCCTCCACATGACAAGCTTTTTTGTGCATTCAAAATGGCATTGTCGGCGATAGATTCCAGTCTTCCGGCCACCAAGGCTGAAGGCTTCAACATTAATCCCAAAGGACCAGATACAATTGAGAAGACTGCAGCTTCAGGCAGTGGTGATTTCAAAGAAGACGGTCAAGCTCTCAGCGATATTGATGACACCGCTGTACTTGAGAAGGGCTCCCTAGATCCAGTCTACGAGGCAAAAGCTCGAGTCTTGAACCATGCTGTTTGTATTCTCACCCACACGTGATATTCGTACTGATGGTGTACAGATCCAAGAGATTGGTATGGGATGGTATCAATGGCAGCTTTTCATAGTCGTAGGTTTTGGTTGGGCGAATGACAATTTGTGGCCTATTGTCACGTCACTCATTCGTATGCTTTCCTTCCTGGGACTTGAGCACTGCTAATTCCAACAGTGCCCGCGATTGTCAATGAGTTCCACCCAACCCGTAAACCATACCTCGCTCTAGCCCAGAATATCGGTCTCCTCATCGGAGCCATGTTCTGGGGCTTTGGTTGCGACGTCTTCGGTCGAAGGTGGGCATTCAATGCAACTCTAGGTATCACAGCCATCTTCGGAATGATCGCAGCAGGATCTCCCAATTTCGCAGGTATCGGTTGTTTCGTTGCGCTCTGGAGTTTCGGAGTAGGAGGAAACCTCCCTGTCGACTCTGCCGTATTCCTCGAGTTCCTCCCAGGCAGTCATCAATATCTCTTGACAGTTCTATCCGTAGACTGGGCACTTGCTCAGGTCGTAGCTACGCTCATCGCATGGCCACTTCTGGGCAATCTCACTTGTCAGGAGGATGAAGTTTGTACGAAATCTAAGAACATGGGCTGGAGATATTTCGTTATCACGATGGGCGGAATCTCTCTGATTGAGTTCCTCATTCGTTTCCTATGCTTCACCGTTTTTGAGTCTCCAAAATATCTCATGGGCAAGGGTCAAGACGAAGATGCTGTAAGGATCGTTCACGAAGTCGCTCGTCGTAACGGGAAGACCTCGAATCGTATGTTCGCACCCCTCTCTCTTTCCCTGTCACGATATTAACCGAAAATAAAAGTCACCCTCTCCGATCTCAAATCCTGCGAAGAATTCAGCACCGCCACCCAACAAACTGACGCCGCCGCCGCCCTCAAACGCAAACTCGAAAAGCTCAACTTCACACACATCCGCGCCCTCTTCGCCACCAAGAAGCTCGGATTCTCAACCACCCTCATCATGCTCGTCTGGGGCTTCATCGGCCTCGCTTACCCTCTCTACAACGCCTTCCTGCCCTACCTCCAAGCCATCAAGGGCGCTGAGTTCGGCGACGGTTCAACCTACATCACCTACCGCAACTCACTCATCATTGCCTCTGTCGGCGTTCCCGCCGCGCTGCTTGGTGGTGTCCTGGTGCAGATCCCGAGGTTTGGGAGGAAGGGTGCGTTGGCGGTGTTTACCATTTTGACGGGTGTGTTTTTGTATGGGACGACCACGGCGTTAACGAGTAATTCGCTGCTGGGCTGGAATTGTGGGTTTAATTTTGCGAGTAATATTATGTTTGCAGTGCTGTATGGTTTTACGCCCGAGATTTTCCCAACGAAGGATAGGGGGACGGGAAATGCGTTGACGGCGACTGCCAATCGCATTTTTGGGATTATGGCTGTAAGTATTTTTGTTTGAAGGTTTGGAGATTTGACTGACGAGAATAGCCTATCATCGCTATGTTCGCGAACTTGGAGACCTCAGCGCCGGTCTATACCAGCGGAGCGCTATTCCTCGTTGCGGGTATTCTCGTCCTGGCCCTTCCTTTCGAGTCACAAGGCAAGGCGAGTCTATGAGGAGAGTGGAGGGTACAGTATTTGGAATCCCTCAAAGCTATCCATTTATTGATTAAACCTCTGTCATTCAGATAAGCCAAAATCTTATTGTCATTTGAATTCACGAATACACGTTCCCGCCATCCCTTCTTCTCATACATCTGCCCACCCGAAGCTAGGTATCTTCTCCCTTTAATCCTCGCACACCCTCCACACTCACACAGCAAACCCCTCCCTATTCAGAACTCATCCCACCCAGACATCCTTTCCTCCTCATCGCCACTGAGTCATTCTCCCCCCTCTAATTCACACCATTCAGCGTCCACCGTGACGGTGCACTATACCGACTCTCTTGTGCTCGTTTTTGCGCTTGATTTTGCGCTTGATTTTCGTTGTGGGTCTAACTCCGATCCTGCTCCTGGGACTCGTTCTGGCTCTGGCTCTGGCGCCAGCACTGGTATTGAGATCTCGATTTGCGGAACCCTCTCGTTGGGCATGTCATCCACATTGTTCGTACGACTTGAACTCGAGCTTGTTAGTTCCCAGTCTTCTTCTTGATTTTCGTTCTTGGGATTATGGGTATCGACATTGGGCTTGGCTTCTTGACTCGTTTGTGATACCTCTCTATTTCCAGGGCTTTGAGGGACGGGTTTTCTTGTCATTGCTTGAGCGTTAGTTCCGTTTGACGTGGGAGTTAGTTGAGTCGTGGGGGTTAAAAGAGGGCTGAGAGTGACGTCGGTAGCTGAGAAAGCTGGGAATGGAGATAGTGATGATGATGGTGATGCTGAAGGGGGAATCAGCCTTTGCTTCTCCTTTTCTTTTTGCGCGTTCTTTGTCTTGAGCTTGAGCTTCAGATTCGCGAGTTGGCGTTTCCACCATGGAGTTTTGGGTGTTGGGGTGATGGGTGTTGGAGTAGGTTCGGCCATTATGCGTTTTAATGTTTATGAGGGTTGATGAGGGGGGACTAGGATTTGAGTATTGAATTAATGGAGGGGAATTTGAATGTTTCATGCCCGCAGCCTTTGATGAAGACTGGATAAAGTATTACGGTGCTTTGGGAAGATATTTATAGAACTTTTCTTACCACTCCTTTGTCGGTACCCTAAATAGACGTGATTATTTATAAGCCAGCCAAGTCATCCAAATTTTTGTAACAAACTCATTTGATTCCCACGGTACATTGAATAAGCTCAGAATAGTTCCAGCAACAACTATTCAAACGTGATTCGAATATTATCTCTTTTCCCCCAGGAAAGCTTTTCTATTCAAGGAGAATGATCCTGTAGCAACCGATCAGGCACGGAGCACTTCCCCTGATCTCATCGCAGACTTCGTGAATGCTTTATGTCTAAGTTTCGGGGGAACATAAATACTACCTCCAACGCCAGGCAAATGGACTCTTCCAGCGCAGTCTGAACGTGCGTTTTCTGCTCCCAGATGAATGATCAACTTTGACATCTCTCGTGTGCAGAGAACCACACAACCCTCAAATCGCCAAACCGTCGTTCAATCCCATCCCATACCATCCCTCTCCAAACCCCAACCCAAACCCCAGCTCCCTATACCTCCCTAAACAGCCCCGCAACAGGATGACTGTTCAGCGCCGTATTCTTCGTGATTTCACCCTCGATCGTGCGTCCTCCTCCTGCGCTTCCATAAACAACTGCACCAAAATCTCCATCTGTACTACCAGCAACAGCGTCTGAATCTTCCTCGGCACCCTTACCGCCAGTAAAGGGCACCATGGTTTGCCGTGGATGAGCGAAATCGATTGTACGTGTTCCGGCTCCCAGACTTGAGCCTAGAATGGAGGTTGACTTCGATGCTGAGATAGCACAACAGCCAGCGGTCTTTCCACCAGAGCTTGAAAGAGGGGCGTTGGTTGGATTACCATTCTTCTGAGCTGTCTCCTTGTGAAAGTCTTGGAGTTGCAAATTCTCATCGTCAGATGCAGAAGCAGAAGCTGGAGCAAGGTCAGGAGGATGAGGCTGAAGTCTGGCGAGGTCAGGGGGATGCATGTTCTCTTTTCCTTTTACTTCGGCCTCTTCAACAACTTGTGCAATTCCTTCAGCCTTGTGTTCGCTTTCCTTGTCATGGCCATGTTCAAGCACATTGATCCCAACCTCTCTACTTCCACCAATTGAGGAAGTGCGAGCAGTATCGCGGGTGGGACCCTCAGCCTCGCAGTTGTTAGTGCGGTTGTACTTTGGGTGTAGCCTGTGCAGTTTTGTATTGAGCTTGTTGAGTTGGCGGGAGAACCAGAGACGCTTGGTGGATGTGGTCGAAGTTGTAGGAGTATTGGTACTTAGAGTTGGAGCAGACTTGGTTGTTGGTAACATTCTGAACAAGGTTGAAGGTAAGGTGCAATTTTGAAAATCGATCTGGGAATTCAAAATCGAGATCGAGAGATTGTGGACAAGTCTTGGGTTGAGCCTACAAAGTATCAGATCTTAGTTTTCAGAGAAATTCAAGATATCATACCTTGTTTGGCACGAGTTTGTCTTGTTTGGTGTGTTTCCTGGCCGCGAAGTTTGTTCCTTGAAACAAGCTCGATCTCCGATGCTGGAAATGATTGTTGCAAGATTGCATCGAAAGGCGATGAATGAATCGGCCATTTTCGTAACACTATATTGGTATGCTAGCGATCTAAGGAGATGATACCGCGTGGTAAATGATTCACTACTTGGGAGAGCAAAGATGAAATCATGCTTTTGGTCTGTTTGTTGACATTCGGGTCGAGCCCGGGCTGTGCCAACTCGCTTGTAATAGCAAAGATAATCATGACGAAGATACAAACACAAGTCTCGCGGTAAGTCTTTATAGCGCAGCGTGGAATTAGGTCATCGAGGTAGAAAAAAGGCAGATGAAGTGCCAAAATTTGACAGATCTTGCTAAAGACAGAAATGTACGGCAAGAGAACAAACCACCGTCTATTGGAACGAAACAAAGCTCTATAACGATAAAGGACTCTCGGAGAACCAACCGATCTATTCCGTATCCTTCATCGCCCTCCGCTATTTCTAGGAGTCCTTTAATGCGCCATATCTTTCTGGTGAACGATCTAAGGGTATATGTGCCGCGCATACTCAAGGTGCTGTTATCTGTCAAATAATCACACGTTCTCAACATTGACAAAATGCATCGTCCTCTAATGCTCCGCTTTCTCAGCCTCCTTTGTCTTCCTCTCGATCGTCGCATCAATCCTCTGAAAACACGCAAACCCCTCAATCAAACAACTCCCAATCCACTTCCACCAAACCGCCGTCCCCCTCACAACCCCATGCTTCCTCAACCTCAACCGATCCAAAAAGAATGTCTCCAAGATATGCAATCCAATAAATGGCAGAGTCATCTTCCGCACAATCCACAAAAACATCTCCGCGCCCCCAGGATAGAACCCGGCGATCTTATACAACTCAGTCCCCGGCACGACAAACGACTGGAATAGACATGCCAGCCATGTCAGAGTCAAGATAGCGAAGAGGATGACCTGGACGGCTTTTCGAGGTGGTTCGTATTCTGTGATGCGGATTGAGGAGATGTCGAGAGCGGAGCGGGCTTCGCGGTCCATTTCTACACTTCTTGTTCGTGCTTCGGACCACGATTTCATGGGAGGGTTCAAGGGGATGGTGTGTGTTTTCCCGTCGGTCGTTTCCAGTGTCATGGAGGAGAGGGCGATTGAGGAGAGGGTGGCTCCGTGGGAGACTCGAGAGGATAGCTTGCAGAAGTGTTGCAGGTAGTAGGAGAGGGAGTCGGCGTGGTCTGCGTTCATGTGTTTGATGATGCGCGCTTTGGCGGCTTCATCTTGAGGTGTTTCTGCCATTTTGTATGTGGCCAAGAGAATCGAGGACCTCGCAGATCTGTGTGGATTTATATCTCGAAGTGAGTGCGAGAGGACCTTGAGATAGTTCTGAATAGTTGAATTGGCTTTCGACCTCGGCATGGAGCATCAATGACCCGACCCCTGCATCCCATCTCGGCTTACAATACGTAGCCAAAAGTGGGTTCATGTTGACTTCGCAACTGGAACAATTCAAAGTCCTAGAGGTATATCTCCATCGTTGGTCTTAATTCGAGCAAAACATTGGTTCCCCTTCAAGACAATATTGTGATTATATTTCCTATTCAATTCACTACTATAAATTCTGAACCAATGTCTTCAAGCGACATGATGAATGTGGACTACCCCACTCCTTCAAATTCCAAATCAACCAGTCCAATGTCCATAGACACACTCCAAGCCGCCCTCAGCGTCGCTCAGCAAGAATACTCTCTTTCCAATCCAAAAAGCTTCAAAGCTCATAATGAAGCATGCTCAAACTTTCCAGGAGGGAATACGAGGACTGTGCTACACGCCAGTCCTTTTCCTATCACTTTTGGCGAGTCATACCTCAGAACCCGTTGCTTTACATGTCTGACTGTACATAGGAAGTGGGGAAGGTGCGGAACTAGCCAGTCTTGATGGTAAAGTGTACGTGGATTTTTTGGGTGAGTATACGGCGGGTATTTTTGGCCATTCGAATGATAAGATTGCTTCGGCTGTTGCAGAGGCTATGAGCAAAGGATGGAACTATGGAGGACCAAATATGTATGAAAGAGAACTTGCTAGAAAGGTATGTTTTGTTAAATGGTATTTCTTACCTTGTAACACGATAGTCATCTCTCAAGATCTGAAGCAGAAGAGAAACACTGGCGTCATCTAGTCATTTCACTTTGAAGTCAAGTTGAATATTGCATCCTGTTAATTTTATCCTTCCAGTTTCATTGCTAAGCGGTCTCAGGTCACCCAAAGATTCTCCCCGTCCGGCGTCGAGCTCGTCCGCTTCACAAACTCAGGCACAGAATCAAACACTATGGCTCTGGCAGCCGCACTAGCTTTCACCAAACGCAAGAAGATTCTCGTCTTCAAAAACGGCTATCACGGAGGAACTCTCTCCTTCCCAGACCCTCTGAACCCTGTCAACACTAACCTTCCTCACGACTTCGTTCTCGCACCTTACAACGATATCGAAGGCACGAAAGCAGCCTTGTCGTTCCTTCCTCAAAATACGCTAGCTGCCATCCTCGTTGAGGGCATCCAAGGAAGTGGAGGATGTATAGTTGGAGATCCCAAGTTTTTAAAATTCCTCGAAACTACCGCCCGCCAACTTGGGGCTGTGTTCATCATGGACGAAGTGATGACTTCTCGCTTAGCGTACAATGGCCTCTCTGCATCCTTAGGACTCAAGCCAGATCTGGTCACACTAGGAAAGTGGGTAGGCGGAGGAATGACTTTCGGTGCTTTCGGCGGCAGGAAAGATATCATGAGCATGTTTGATCCTAGATACGGGATCCTTGGACATTCAGGCACATTCAACAACAATGTCATCACGATGGCAGCTGGGTGTTGCGGGATGGACGTTTATGACGAGCATGAAGTGGAAAGGTTGAATGCCCTTGGTGATGATTTACGCCAGCGTATCGAGAATCTCCTCGTCGAGTTCGGAATCAGGAAGCTGAAACCAAAAACTTCATTCTCCATCACACAGAAAAGTGAACTCGAATGCCCATTTACCGGTCTGGTCCCGGACGGCAAACGAATTCCTTCTTCTCAGCTTCAGACGAATTCAATGGGTGTCACAGGGCAAGGAAGTATGATGAACATACATTTCTACGGACCGAGTGAGAACACTCTCAAGACTCTGTTTTGGCATCATATGCTTGACTACGGCATTTATGTGGCGCAGAGAGGATTTGTAGCGCCGAATCTGCAATTGACGGATGAGCATGTGAGGCGATTTGAGGAAGCGACGAGAGACTTCATCGTCAAATATGAGGATGCCTTGAGATAAAAAAAAAAGTATTTTTGCCATGTGAAGCGATCTCATCTTTCATTTTCAGGATTGGTCATACTTTTTCAAACACCTCTTTCTCCGCATTCTCAGATTCCCTCGTGATTGTCTTCTTCCTCAATTTCTTTCCAAAGAGCATCTCATATCCATACGGATGGGCACACACAGCCCTCCCTCTAGCCCGTCAGCGAATCACAACTTACATTCTCGCTCTTCATTCTCACGCCAATTTTTACCTCTCTGGCAAGATCTCAAACGCAGAAAGTAACCTCGCAAAACCTAGAAACAGATTTCGCTTTGCGAGATGAGTGTTACATCTGACTTGTATTGGTTCCCAAGATAAGTTCTATTCCGACCCTTCTGAAATGTGAAGAGACGAGTCCACCCACCCACTCGCTCCATCAGGACCAATACCGTGCAAGGATGACTCATGCAATGTCTCCCAATGATGAAAGTACTTCAGAAAGACTCGAGACATAAGAATATCCAGAATCGAGGTACGGATGTCCCATCTCCATGCCCGAGGCTCTGTGTGCTCCCCCAATCGCTAGCGAACTGCTGGAGACTTGGTCTCCCGAACGAAACCGAAACTATTCGAGTCTTGAGACCTTTATCCAAGTTTTGCCAACAAGATCTTCGTCATAACTGATAAATTTCGCAAAGTTTCCGGCAAGTTCGCTGAGTCGAAATGATTTTGAATATATCGGGCCTTGATGATTCCGCCATAATCACTCCGGCTACGAAGAGTCGACTATACTTCATTTCGAGGATGCGGAAAACAGACATAATTCTGAACCGCAATTATTTTATCGTTTCCAAAAGCCTTACTCAGTTTAGATCAATTTCGGCCAAGTTCGGATCCACGATAAATAATGTGTCTTCGCTTCGAATGTCCCATCCATCACAAACCATGAAAAGCGTGCTTTCCAGACATTTTGACAAAACATGCAATATACAAACTGAATTAATATTCAATTCTCGGCATACTGACCATTTCGACGAGTTTCGATACAGGTTCCGCCCTCTGGGAGCACCAGGACCTATTTAGGTCGGGCTTTTCGCTTAACCACTTTTTCTAATGTTCGTTTCAAAATACACGACTACTCACCATAATTAATACGGATTGCCATCGAAATCCTCGAAATGGAAGTTCTCGTGGTTCTCGCCATCCTTTGGAAATTTCGAATTTTTCGACATGATGGTTGAGATTTCGTAAACCTGGACAATTCCAGCTGGCTTCATTCCACCTGCCAGACGCGAGATGAAATTTCGGAATAGAAGATACTGAAGACTTTCGCGGATGCCAAAGACTGAGTATGTTAAGTATCTGACGAGTATTTCAAGTTTCGGAGATTTCGATGCTATTTCGAGGGTTTGGTAAAGTCTGGATGCTAGCGTGGTTCGAACATAGTACAGTTATCAAGACGACGACGCGTGGTTCAGACTACATTTACGATAAACAGACTCCGCAATCTTCTAAGGGATTGTAAGAAGCTTCCTATTATATTTCGCAGATTTCGGCAATTTCGAGGCAATTTTAAAGGTTTCTCAAGCCTGGCTAGCTGTGTGGTTCGGGACACTATCAACAAACACATTAAGCGAAGAGGTCTTATTTGGAACACATTTATAAGATCTAGATTCCGCATTATTTCGAGGAATCCTAGGAAGGGTCGCATTATTTTTTGCAGATTTCGGTATTTTCGACGCAATTTCGATGATTTCGCGAGGTAGGCTACTTACGTGGTTGGGAGCATGATCAGTAGCTTTGACGGAGCCCCCTTCCTTATTTGGTTCATAATGAGAATAGCCAGATTTCGCCTAATTTTAAGGGATTCTACAAAGCGTTAAGTTCTGTTTCGCAGGTTTCGACATTTTCGATGCCATTTCGATGGTTTTGCGAGGTTGGCTGTTTGAGTGGTTCAGAGCAAAGTCAGCTGTCAAGGTGAATGCGTGGTTTGGAACATATTGCCAACGGCCAGTTTCCGATTCCTTTCGAGCGATTTCTACAAGCTTCACGTTATATTCTGCAGATTTCGACATTTTCGAGGCTATTTTGAGGGTTTGCGACGCTGGACTTTCAAAGTGGTTTGAAGTACGATCAGTAGCTTACAGGGAGATGCCTTATTTGGTAAACATTAACAACAGTCGGATTTCGACTTGTTACAAGGCATTGTACGAAGCTTCAGATTATATTTCGCAGATTTCGACATTTTCGAGGCTATTTCGAGGGTTTAGTAAAGCTTGCTATCCACGTTGGTTGGAATACGTAGTCAACAGGATAGCCGGAGACACTTCATCGTAATCTCTTAATAACGATCGACTTGTAAGATATTTCGACAGTTTCACATTTAAATCTTATCTTATTTCGCAAATTCCAAAGGTTTCCGGGCTAATTCGACGATTTCGCAAGCCTGTGCCTCAGGGTAGTCACATCATCTGTAGGCAGATACGCAAAGACAGAACACGTTAAAAGTACCAACGACTTCCGCTTTCAAGGACAAGGATGTACAAGTCTCTCCTGGGTTATTTCGCATTTTTCGAGAGATTTCGACGCAACTTTGCGCGATTTGCAAGGATGAAGATCTGGGGCGCTGGTGGCACCACCTAGGGGCCGAAGTGCGCGAAGGTCATACGTTATTTCGACAAATGCAAACTCTTTTCGATTGTGTCAGGGGCTTAGACATGTACGCATTGAAGCATGATGAAGTCTCGAAGGGTTTCGATTGATTTTCGACGGTGTTGTCCAGGGGGGTAGGACTTTTGGTTGGATATCTGGCTTAGGCTCACGAACGAGACGAGATGGTTTGGACAATACTGCAACGACTGATAACAACATGAGCAACACATAAACACAATGATTGGACCTGTGGATCTGACTCGTGAAAAGGTTTAATGACGAGATTGGGGTACTTATTCGTGAGCTCGAGAATCGTGATTCGCGGGGTGCAAGTGGCCTGGATCCCATGCAGGGGGTGTTGGCTCTGAGTAAGCTGACGAAAATCGATAAATTTTGTCGAAGATCTTGCCGCGATTTGCATCTTACTTGCATGAAAACTGCCGGTGAGAACTTGGTACCTTTTTTTCTGGGTGGGACAATCTGACGGGAGAAAAGAGATTGCTTAAGCGAGGAAGAAAGGGGTAGATCGACAGGTTGCTTCGCATATCAAAATTGGTAGGAGTACAGAGCGGGTGGATTCATGAATAGTTTTTATTATCTCATTAGTTCATGATATCATCAAAATGCTGTGTGTATACCACCCAATAGCTACAGTAAGATCATAAAAGATAACGCCACCAATGCTCCAAAGGCCCTGAAAGGCGTATTCCTAATGACTCCCGAAGCTTGCACATATGTCGGTGATGCAGAAGATCCATTTCCAGGAGCTCCAGTCACAGACACAGTAGGCGTGGAAGTCTCCCCACCAAAAACACTCCAGATAATCCCCCCAATACCTGTCATCTGAACAAATGTCTTTGTGCCTTCAACAATCTGCGTTCCTTCCGCAGCAAGGCTGATCGGGGTCCCACTGACAGTAATCGGTGATCCTCCTGGAGACAATGTCTGTCCACCAACGATAAAGTTCGATGAAGAATCGGCTGTGACTACTGATCCTCCCACTGTAACAACTGCTGGAGTTGTGGCCGCCGGCGCGAGAGTAGAACTCGAATCTCCAATAACTACCACCGTGTTTGAATTACTCGTCTGAAGAGCTATAACTGTAGTCGAAGATCCAGATCCGATGGTAATAGATGATCCCGGTACAAGTGTCTGTCCTGAGATGATGAATTGAGAAGCTGTGTTGGCGGGTATGGCGGTTGAACCGATGGTGATGATGGGGGCGGGATTTGGGGTCGGAGCTGGAGGAGATGAGATAACGTTAGAAGAGGTAACAGAACCAGGTGTGGGTATTTGCTGAGCAGGGACTGAGGCTGGACTTGAGTTTTCTGGCTGGGGAACTGGGCTCGGAGACTGCGGAGACACAGGAGTCTGTGTACTTCCAGCAGGAGGTTGCGGAGTCCCAGGTGTTTGTGTATTCCCAGCTGGAGGCTGCTGAGACACGGGCGTCTGTGAAGTCCCAGCTGGAGGCTGTGGAGATACAGGCGTTCGAGTAGTCCCAGGTGCAGGTGGCTGGACTTCAGACGCCTGTGAAGTCTCAGGTGGAGGTGGCTGAGACTCAGAGGATTTTGAAGTCTCAGGCGCAGGAGGAGCTTGACTTGAACTAGTTTGAGGAGACCCACCTGATACTCGAGTACTCGTCGGCTGCGTGGTCGGGGGTGAAGGAGAAGGTGCTGGAGCTGGTGTGGATGTCGTTGAGTCTTGATCTGGTATAGCAGTAAAGGACGATGTTGACGAAGGACTAGGCGTGGGCTCTGCTGGAGTTTCGGACGGAATCGATATCGTCGTCGTACTTGTTGCCAGTATTGCACCTGGCTGGGCTTTCACACCACTTGCTGGAGCGACCGAGGTGACAGAAAGGTGGCAGAACGTATAAGGGCATCCATCGTACTCAATGGCGAGTGTCTGACCAGACCAGAGCGAGGAAACTTCGGTAGAGTCGAGGACTGTATATGGATCCCCGACATTCACACCAACCAAGGTATAATACCAACCCCGAGTATCCTCTGAGTCCAGTTCTCCCACCTGCACGAATGGAGTATGAGTCGGCGTTGCTGACAAAGTCGGAGTTGGAAAACAACATGTGGTTTCATTGACCGCAGTGGGCAAAACAGCGTTCCATGTCAAAGAGTCTGCCACTTCAAAGTAATTTGATGGGTACGTCCTAATACTGATCAGTCTCGTCCCTGAGAAGGGAAATGGGCACATACACTGTCACTGTATTATTATTTACTATGTCAGTGACAACCTGCGTAACGGTTCCTGCACCATCTGTGTCCGTTCGAGATAACAATGTTGATGAGCCATTTTTCAGATAATCTGTATGATAGATGGTTGTTGATGTTGTCTCGTTTGTAGCTGCATTTACCACTACCAAGACGGTCCCCACTGTAGTTGGTATTATGACTTGAGACCATGTTGATGATACTGCGGCGATGAATGGACCATAGATTTCTGAATAAAACGATGTGACTGAGCCAGAACTCGAGGAAGTCTTCGTGGGAACCGTCCCGTTGACCCCTGTCTGTCTGGGAACTTGTGAAATGAGCGGTGGCCTCGTTCGGTCGGTATTTATTACTTACAATGTTGAGCAGTAACTTCATCACTCAGTAGCCATAAACTGGCGATTGTAGCGACAGTGGAAAGAGTGAGACGAGCCATTATTCTCCCCAAGGAAACGAATGGTACAGTATGAGGAAGCGAATACCTTAACTTAAATGTTAAAATGTCTAAAGTAAAACAAAAACGGCGGCGGGAGCAAGCTCATGAAGAACGGGAGGATAATCCCGCGGGGCTCTTTCGATCTGCAAGGCTGGGTTCTATTATCAGTAAGCTGAAAAACTCTAATATATGTCTTTGCCCTACAGCCTGGAATCCTTCGGAGCTACATAATGAATACAGGGATATAATTGGCTCATCCGTAACCCAAACCATGGAAATTGCTCGCCCTGCATCTTACATACATCCTCTAAGCGCCGTCTAACGTGGCACAGGCACAGGCCAAAACACCGGAGACTAAGGTTTGGGGCTGAGTAGTGAGCTCTAGACTCTCCGTGCATTTCACCGGGTAAGTTACTCACTCAGAAATCCTCACCGTCAACCCCCCATCAATCTTTTCCGTCAGATGGTACACATCGCGGCGATGAAGGGGTCGCTTTTCCTGGCATTTCTTTGTGCCCATCTCGTGCATGCTGCCGGGAATGCATCACTGACGCCACTGAGCATTCCCCCAAGTCTTTACTGGTAAGTTGGCTTGTGTTCCCGTGCGGCTATGGCGCTCATGTATGCTTGGACAGGGACGGCGACGATGGTTGGTGGTCGACTTTTCAGATACAAGTCGGAACGCCAGGGCAAACTGTAAGGCTATTGCCAGGAACATCGGCCAGTGCTGGCTCAACTACCTGGGTCGTCAGTATTGTTACCTTCAAACATACCATTCTGCTAACGATAAGTCGAGGTCATTTCTGAAGGCTGCGTGGATGTTAATCCGACTCTTGCGAACTGCCCGGATGAACGAGGATATATTTTTCAGAGCAACCTCTCAACAACATGGTCCACGCAAGGCCTTCAAAATGGTATTGATGGCGCCATCTATTCCCTGAATACTTATGAAGAAAGCTTTCTCGGTCGCATTGGTAATGGATCATACGGCTATGATACCATCAATCTAGGAATCCCGGGCGCTGGCCTGCCGACTCTCCAGAAACAAGTCGTCGCGGGAATTTGGACTAATGATTTCTACCTCGGAAACCTAGGCCTCAGTCCAGTCCCTTTCAATTTCACAAACCTGAACGATCCCCAGCCGAGTATGCTCAGCACTCTGTACAATGAGTCTTTGATTCCAAGTCGCAGCTGGGCATATACCGCCGGAGCACATTACAAGGACCCGCCAGTATTTGGAAGCTTGACATTAGGAGGATACGACACCACGCGCTTCCAATCTAACAATCTCCACTTTGCGTTCGGTGCCGATTTCTCAAGAGATCTGTTGGTTAGCTTACGTTCTGTGACATACGACACCGCCGGTAGCTCGCCACTACTTGCGAGCAGTATCGATATTTTCATCAATTCCTTGGTATCCGAGATCTGGCTTCCTGTCAATGTATGCGAAGCATTCGCGCAGCAATTTAATCTTACATGGATCGAGTCAGGCCAGCTTTACATCGTAGGAGCGGACGCGCATGCTGCTCTCGTGAAGCAGAACCCATCTTTTACATTCAAGATTGGCCAAGCTGGCGGCGCCGGGGAGAGTGTGGAAATCGTCCTGCCCTACGCAGCTTTTGATCTTGTTCTCACAGCTCCGATCGTTGGGAACGACACGCGGTATTTCCCTCTGAAGCAGGCCCAAAACGCCACACAGTATACGCTTGGAAGGACTTTTCTTCAAGAGGCATATGTGATAGCGGATTATGAGAGGAAGAACTTTTCGGTCTCACAAGCTCTCTTCCCGCCCACTTCCTTAGCAGCAAGTCTAACCGCTATTGTCCCTCCTGGCACTCCTGGCAGCGGAAACGATACAAACTCCACCTCCACGGACACATCATCCAGCTCCAAGAAGAGTGGATTAGGAGCCGGCGCCATTGCCGGCATCGCCATCGGGGCAGTAGCAGCGTTGGCATTAATAGGACTAGCAGTTTTCCTCTGGAACAGGAAACGGAAGCAGCGCGCTGAGCTGGCCGATACCAGTATCGCACCACCCCCTCCATTCGACGAAACACACCACAACGTTGTGGACATGACACCCGACGCAGCAAAAACAGAGCTAGACGCGAGTAACAAACCGGACGTTCACGAGATGACAGAGCAGCGCTATGTTCCCCCGGAACTTGCTGCTTATGAAGGGCATTATGGAAGGCACGAACTTGTACAGGAAGATCGGATACATGAGATTGATGGTAATGAGGTGCGCTCCCCGACTAGTGGGACTGAGCCGCCGAAAAGTAAGAGGTTTAGTTGGGAAGATCAGACTTTGTAGATATTTTCAATGGAATTTCCCCGCCATTCTATACTCCCTCGCTGCGATGAACTCGACATGACTGTGGAGAACAGTCAGCGGACATCTTGATAATGTTCCTTCTTTTCGCAATTATGGTGGACTCTTGAATATTGCTCAAGTCACAAAGAAATTATGAGACACGGGTGGGTCTGGGACTTCAAGTAAACATTGACTCCCAAGCGAGGCGAAGGAGGAGCAGCGCCGGCTCCTTCAAGTATTCACGCTTTTACATGACATTTATTATGAATTCCAAATTTGCAGCGCAGTCGAAATGCAGAGTTGGTACACTTCTGGAATGTGGCGCAGGGCTCAAGAAACCAGATGATCACATCTTGGACGAAAATCGTTTTCCGATACACAACATTAACTTCTGTTAACTTTCCTCGCTCCCAGAACTTTAAAATAAGAACGGATGCATCCTTCCTTAATCAAGGAACCACTGAGATGCTTATACAGTACCTGTACCTTAACCTTCAAGCTCGGCTAATCATAGAAACTTTTCCAACTCGGAACTCTACCATCATACTTCCCACTCGCCGCCGCTTTAATCTCCTCATCAATCGCCTGAATCGGATCAAACTTCCTCGACTCCTCCTGCATCTCCAGCACTCTCTTCTTATACTTCGGATCCGTCAGTACAGTATCAATACCTTCCTGAATCTGCACTGGCGTCGGCCGACTCGTCCAAAGATCGAGTCCACATCCAGCCCATTCAATCCTATTCCCCGTCGCCATCTTGTCTCCATCATTCCCAGCCTTGAGAATCGGAACACCTGCAGCGATGGCCTGTTGCACGCCATTGAATCCGCCGTTTGTTATGAAGAGCTTGGAGATTCGCAGGAGTTCTGTGTACGGGACGTAGTCCATCACGTGGATGTGAGGAGGAATGGTGATTTCCTTTGGGAGCGTCGCCCCTCTAACTCCAAGGACAATGACCACGGGATAATCGGTTCTGTCCTTCAAAGCCTCGATAGTAGGAATTATCAATTCCGTGTAATCAAGATCCAAGGTCCCTTGGGTGACAGAAATGATTTCCCCTCCCAGATCATCCCACCAAGCTGGCTTGGCTGTCCATTCATCAACATCACTCGCCCACACGCCTCCGATGAATTTGAGATTCGGCGGTGCATCACTTCTGGGGAACTCCAAACTAGGAATACACATCTGTAGATACGCTTCAGGGAGCTGGAAATGATCCATCAGATTAGGAAATTTCGTCCCTTCTCCCATTCCAAGATCCTCCAGCACCCAGCGGAATTCCCGTTGAGCTCTTTCAAGGTGCGGCAGAAGGGCTTGCGTCTGGGCTTTTGCCTTTGCTCGGCCCTCTTCCGAGGTGTCTGGGAATGCGCGCACGCCGAGAGGAGGGAAGTCCATGCTGGGCATCATGTAAGGAGTCACGCCGAGAGAGATAACCGGCACGTGGATGAGGCCCGGGATGCGGAGGAGCATAGGGACGTTTCCTCGAAAGTACGACTCCTGCACCATGACAATAGGCCTATCCGGATCTCGGGCCTTGAGATCTCGAAAGATGGCTTGCAAGCCTTTGGACTGGCGGAATATGGCGCGGGTCGGGGCGATAGCTCGATAGGCCATCTGATGGATACCTGGGGGCCAGAATTTCCGTTCGGGTTGCAGGGTGTCGAAATCTTTTTCTGTGTAGTCGGCTATCCCGGTAAGGGGCACAAATGTGAGGTTTTGCTTTTCGAATGATTCTTTGTAGGCGCTGGGGAGGAGGACTGTGACTTCGTACCCGCGCTTGATTAGTTCGCTGGCGACGAGGCGGATGGGTTGAACATGGCCGTTGACTGCGTGGGCAGCCATTACGATGAATGGCTGCTTTGATTGTTCGGCCATAATGACGAAAGGAATATATCTTTTGCCGTGTAATTTTTTTTTGAAGATGGAATGAATGAAAGAAGAAAACGTGGTCGATAGCACTTATTTGAGGATTCGTTGACGTACAATCAGCACTAGCTTTTTATGGATGGATAAATGCTTGCGGAACTCACGTGCCGCAGTTTCAGGGAGTAAATCCTTTGCGGCACAGCTTCAGATACAACGCAAGATGATAAATGGCCTATGGAAGTAATCGGTAATCTTTGACCGCAGGAAGAGAGAGGTGGAACAGGGGTGTGGCTCATGGCCCCAATACCTTGTAGGCGATAACCCCCCGCGTGGATGTAAAGTTCATTGAGAAAGTCTCGCAATTATCTAGACATCAGCGCTTGTGTAAAGGGAAAATATTCCTATCTTTGATCTATCCTTTCTCAAACGGTCTACATGATGAAAAGCAAATTGGTGTCTACAAGAAGTCAGCAAGATTTCCTGCCAATCGGATTTTACTTACCCAAAGGATGACTGCAGCTAAGTTGAGGCTTTTGGGTGTACTTCGTAGCGAGAACATCACGGATACTATTCAATAGCTCAACGTAACTCTGCTGAGGATTGGCCTTCATGGCACTGATGAAAGCCCATGACATTGCACCAGTGGCTTGAGAAGCAATTGTTGCATCGGCCCTGCCAGTGTCAATACATTTCTAAGGAGGAAGACAGGCGGACTGACGATGTCTGATCATCCTTACTGCCAGACCACATCACGACATCTGCGGGCGATGTCTTCGTAGCAACAGTCTTCTCGTAAGCCTCATCACCGTCCGTCGCCTTCTTGAAGAATCCAATCAGATGACCGGCAACACTTCCATAGTCACCTTGACTAGCAGATGAGAGAACCCCGAGGAGACCCATACCAGCTTCTTTAGCAAGGTTGGGCTCTTTCAGGACTCCTTGGGTCGAGTAAATGTATGGCAAATCCAGGGCCGAACCAGAGTGGCATGAATCAAAGATTGCAGTCAATCGGACACCAGGCTGGAGGGGAGAGACCAGGATTGAATGCATCTGATCGTCAACAATGTGACCAGCCTGCTTGTAGTCGACTGGATAGATAACCTCGTCATTGCCATCTTCTTCATCTCCATCCACATCGTCAGTCTGACCTCCATGGCCCGAGTAATGAAAGAACAAGGAGTCATTGGGCTGGACGTCTCTGACTAGCCAGTGCATAGCACGAATGATGTTCTCTTTGGTAGGTTGGCCCATTGGATTTTGCTGGTCGTCGGTGAGGATCACCATGTCCTCTCGGGCATATCCGAAATTCTCGGTCAAATATCTGGAGACGTTTCCGACATCGTTGATGCAACCTCGAAGTTCCCCATTTTGGCCAAAGTAATTGATGCCGACCAAGAGCGCCTTTCGACGACCAGTGCAATTAGAGTACTGGAAGGCATATGCATCTGGAGCTCCATGTCCAAAACTGACCATTCCTTGTGGTGGTGGGGGAGCTGATTATTAGCGGGGTACGTCCGGAGGGAGACAGCACATACCATGTCCACCATATTGACCTCGATTTTGCTGATGCTATAAGAAACTGTTCCCATTTGGTAGTTTTGAGCTTACCTGAGAGTAGCCATCATTGTATTGATTTCGCTGGTCATATCCACCTTGCTGCTCATAGCCACCTTGTTCGTAGCCACCATAGCCTTGCCTGGAGACGTGAGTGCGTGCTAGCTTCTATCGGTACGGGATACTTGCTGTTGATATCCACCGCCATATCCTTGACCTGGATATCCCGACATTTTTACCGTTTCTTGATGAAAACGGGTGAGTTGATGGATCTTCGCAGCTGAAGTGAAAGCCGATGAGGCTCTGTCACGTTTCAGAAGCGTGGAGACTTGATACTTGACGGTGAATTGGTCCTCAGCAACAATGCTTCCGGAACCTGATATGTGTCTTGAGAGTCGTATTATTGCCTTGCTGCAATTCTAGCCTCTTGTTTTGGTCTCACAAAGAATGAACGGGCAAAGAAAGATCGAGGGAGGGAGAGCTGAACCTCGACCATTGAGGAAGTGACCCGCCAAGGCGCTAGGCTTCCGTTCCGTCTTGGACCTTGAGGACAGCGGCTGAGTAGGGCTGAGTCTCCAACATCAACAATGCTCTCTCCATTCCATAATGGCCGTGGAAAGCATCTCGGAGTCGCTGCAAGCTACCGGCAGAGACGAATTTCTTCTATCCTTTTTGACCTCTGGTTGTTGGCAAACAACTTCGTCTGGCCTTTTCACGTCTGCCCCCGACTGAGCTTGACACAACATGAACGGCTTTCATGACCTCCTCTGCAAGCAAAAGATCTACAGTGATTCTACACCATCGATGGCGCCCTTCCTTTCCACATAGTCCACGAAATCTGCGAGAGTCACACAAGTTCAAGGCATGAACATTGGATCTGACAGCTCGGTTTTGGATATCTTGGAATGCGACGGAATCAAGCAAATTTCTGCCAGATGGTCTAAGCTTCTGGACGATGTAGAGATAAAGTGATTGTGGAATATGGATTTCATGCGGAGAGGACCAGACAAGTGTCGTGGGATGTGTCTGAAACAATCACTCTATCATCGTGGGCAAGCCATTCCCAAGGTATTTCGGCAACAGGTGTGGAGCGTGTTGTCGATGCCCCAGGTCCCAGGATGCACAGCGACCTGTCAAGTACCCCTCGGAATTTTCAATTGAAGAATAGATTGGTGTCTTGGATTTGGACCCAGGGCATTCTTTGGCTATGGCTATGTCTTTGGTTATGGCAATCACCAAATTCCCAGACATGGACGTATCATTTACTGGTGATGTTCATCGCGGTTTGCAAATCGTAGACCTTGCCTAAATGTTCGATGCGACGACATCCCTATCTAACAGGCTATGCTTTGGGAACAGAATAATGATTCAGTATTCATTACCATCCAAGCTCTTCTTCTTTCTCCTTTCTTCCGTCCTTCGCTCTTGCCTGTGCAAGCCTTCCTTCCCAGTAAAGACATCTATCATCTTCATCCACTTCTTCATTTGTCAACATTGGGGCAAGCAGCAAATGTCTGATTATTACTGAACGAGCTCTTCACTGGCCCAGATGATACATCAATAAGTCGTGTGTTGAGGTTTCATTTCACTGCATAGTGATGAATCCGCCAACAGACTTCCAACTCTTTCCAAGGCTGCCACCCGAACTGCGACTTCGAATATGGAGATTTGCTATCGGTACCGATCCAGATACACGCGGACGGACTATTAGAATTATCTTTTACCAACACGTGGATCATGACCCCGCAAGGCTCGTCCTAAGATCGCCGAATGGCATTGCTGGTCAACCTCAATGGGGCTTAGAAGCTCAATATCGATTTCTGTATTCTCTCTCTGGCGCTCCGTCTGTACGTTTCCCGTGACCATTGAATCACGTTCCAATCTCATGAGATTATAGGATGCGCCTTTTCACGGTCAGTTTGTTAATCGAGAGGTACGACGAGAATTCTTCCCGAATTTTCTACATCTGCATTTTCCAGACCGAAGGCCAACTGCCCCCATACGCTTCAACGCTGTAGTTGATACCATTTTTATGGACCTGCACTCGTTACGCGCACTTTACGACTTCGCAAGACCCGAGATACCAGACCTTCGTCACATTCCAACGAGAGCATCTGATTTCTCAAATGCAGACAGACGTCCAAGACTTATTGGGTTCAATCGGATACAAATACTTGCTACTCCAATGGAAGGGCCAGAAGTATTTGGTCTGGTGTTCCTTCGTCGAAGAATATTTACGGGGCTCACACAACCTGTCGGCACCATCACTACCTTCCCTGATACCGATGTAGCAAGATGGATACCTCACGTTCGTGCTACAAAGGTAGAAGATCCGCTCCTCATCAACGATCCGGCTGAATTGGTAGCCGTGTGTCGTGTTGCGCACGCTGAACGTCAATTTCTGCGCAAGGTGAGAAAAGCACAGGAGGCTGAGAGAGATTTTATACCGTTAATCGGCCCCATGATCCGGGACACGACTGCAGAGTTGATCAGAAGGCACACTTTTGACGGATGGGTTTTCTTTCAAGTTACACCTCCTCCTCCACCACCACCACCACCACCACCCGCAGCAGGCACAGATGACTCTGCTGCAAGAAGACCATGATTGACATTCTAGTCCATCTGCATTGTGCCCCCCAGCTCGGATGAAATAAGCGAAGCTGGTCTGTCTATGGGGTCGGGATCCAGATCAAGCCTTTCTGTTGCGGATCAGGAGTTTGTTGCACTGTTAGTGGACCAGATTCAGAGATAGTCTAACTTGGCAATGAAATACGAGCATCACTCAAGTTGCTGCTCCGGTATTCATCCGATTGGTGATGGAATCAATCCATCTCTAATTCTTTCCTCGTTTGTGTGATTTTAGCTCAGTTGAAACGGTAAGTCCTTGGAGTCCAGGCCGTAGGTTTGGTTTGTTTACATCTATCTTCAAATCGTCCACCCCGCAGTCATATTTACCCTGCGATTCACAGACAGTTCAGAACACGATGTCGTAGGCGCTTCATCACTTACAGAGATAACCTTATCACGCTCTCCAATCAAAGTACTTTTGGAAGGATGTTGTCGCGAAACAGGCCAAAATGGTCGTCAAGGTGGGGAAGTCCGCAAGCTGCATAACAATTCGGCTGTTGCAACCCGGACTCCGAATCCAGCCATATTCACCAGTCCGCGCTCGCTCATGAGATAAAACGAGAAACTATGAGAAATGATTCTGCAAATTTAATGCAATTATTATTTCGCAAATTTCAATTCAAGCCATTTCACAATGATGGGTCTATGGAATGGTTTGGGGCTTGGGAAGAGCTTCTTCGGCAAGGTTGAAGAGCCGATTGAGAAGCCTACAAGATTATGCAGAATGGGCGATGCGTATGAGAAAACGATGCCACATCATCAAGGAATAAAACAATTATGGGAAACGAAATGGAAGTTTCCTGTAAGTCAGATTCCCAGAGGACGGCCAGGACTCACAAATGCAGTGCTCTAAGAGCGTATATCCATTCCACGACGGCAAAATCGAAGATTTCGAGCCAGTGTTCCTCGAACTCATCCAAGTAAGCTTCAGATCTTTTATCACGGTACCAACTAAATCCCTCTTTCAGAAAAACATCAACGACGGAACCAGCCCCGAGTACACACGAGCCTTCTTCCCCACCGCTGCATCTCTCACACGACAAGCTGATCAAGAAGCCGATCCCAAACTCGCCAGTGAGCTGTATCTCCGCGCCGCCTGTCTCTATCGCATCTCTCGCTTTCCTTACATCTCCTCATTCCCATTCGTGAACGACTCGACAAAATGGCATGCCTGGACTTTGCAGAAAGAAGTCTACCTGAAAGGTGCATCGAAATGGGAAGTCCCTATGACAGAAGTCCTTATTCCACATATCCACCGATCTGGCGACGATAAGCAGGATATCCCCGCCTACGTGCGAATCCCCAAGGGAAAATATAAATCCCCAGCTGTCCTCCTCATGACTGGTCTCGATGGGTATAGACCCGATAACACTACTCGCAGCGACGAGTTCCTCGCCCGAGGCTGGGCTTCAGTCATTATTGAGATTCCTGGGACTGCAGACTGTCCCGCCGATCCGAAAGATCCTGTTGCGAGCGAGAGGTTGTGGAGTAGTGTTCTGGACTGGATGGAGCAGGATGGCCGGTTTGATATGGGCAGGGTTATGGTTTGGGGGTTGAGTGCAGGAGGGTATCATGCGGTGAGGGTGGCGCATACGCATAGAGAGAGGCTGAGAGGCGTGGTTGCTCAGGGGGCGGGGGTCCATGAGTTCTTTGGGAGGGAGTGGATTGAGAAGGCGGATGGACATGAGTATCCTTTCAAGTGAGTGACACGGGATCGTGAGAACTGAAGTCGGTGCTGACTTTTCCCCCCGTAGATTGAGTCCGGCGATGGCGTGGAAACATGGATATATGAATGTGGAGGATTACAAGAACGGTGTCCAGAAGAAGTTCTCACTTCTTGAAACTGGACTTTTTGATCAGCCGTCAACGAGACTGCTTCTGATAAACGTGTTTCCCCCTGATTGAAAAGAATGGTTGGAGTCTTAGACTGACGGGAATAGGGGACTCATGATGGGTTGATGCCGATTGAAGATTCGATGTTGTTGTTTGAGCATGGAAGTCCGAAGGAAGCGAGGTAAGGGGATAGGTTTTTTCCGATTGGTATGACTAGATGTCTGATTATCATAGATTCTTTGACAAGGCATTGCATATGGGATATCCTCTGGCGAACTCGGCGGTATACCCTTGGATGGAGGGTGTGATGGCGTAGTTGGGGATACTGGCAAGTAAGGAAGTGTTTTGTGAGAATGAGGCCGATCTCACACGATTGTTGGTGTTCTGGTTTGGTTGTACCGCAAAGGGGTATCGATTTAAAGCATCCGTGCTGCACATTGCTTCTCAAGTGTAATGATATATGATTTATTTTTGATGGTCGTTTTAACCTACTCACCTTCGATTTCCTGCTGACAATGTCCATGCTCAGCCCAGAGAACGCCAAAGCCTGAAGCCGCTGACCTGGTCTGCCAAAACTTTCTTTAAAGAAACACGATGTCAAGACACAGCCCAGGTAATGGCCTGGTGCCAAGACCCAGCTCCGATCTGGCGAAGAATACATGGAAACTCTCCCAATCATCCCACCAGAAGCCCATTTATTCTGTCAATCTTCATCGCCACATTTTCTTGAAACTCCTTCTGATAGTTCAAATAATCCACCCATAAATCCACCACACGTCCCCAAATCACACCAAAACTCTCCCGATCACCATTCTCCCTTGCCACTCTCGCTCTATGCAAATACTCGTCCATCGAATCCAATCTGTTGTCCTGGCGGTAATGCTGTTTCAGCAGACGGACCATATCCTCAAGTTGCCAGTAGGCTTCGAAAATCGGGGACTGGAAAAACGGCGTTGAGCTTTTCAGATCGCTGGACCATTCGTGGAGGTATTTTGGGAGGTGGTGGAGGAGCTCTGTGACCGGCCTGTCTATTGGCTGGATTGTGATGGAGAGGACTCCTGCGTGGTCAATGTTTCGCAGGCGTCGAAATGGTTGGAGCAGGATTCGTGCCGTGCGTAAGGCTTCCTGCAATTGGGTATCACTCTCACCGAATCGAATTGCGACCTGAAGTTTGGTGAGTGGTTGCAGTTGAAGCCTACCTACCAATTTTTGCAGGTGGTCGCAGAGATCGAAGGACGTCTTCTCCATCTTGGCTGAGTAAATTGCCATATTGGGCTTCGCAGTTTCGTCTCCGTCGTCGATGATGATATTGATGATGATGGATCGGATCATGCTGAATTGGTGGGGAGTGAGTGGTGGAGGGCTGGACATCAAGCCATTAACAGATGTTGTAGGTTGTCGTGGCACCTGTCCAGGTCTCTCGCGCTGCTCTCTTGAAAAGATGAGCATTTCCTTATCGTATTGCCCTAAACGCAAGATTTGCCTTCGATATTTTTGTGACGCATACCTGTCTGGATTATAGAGCAGAGGTGCTACAGGTGCATAGCACATGCTCAGTCTGTCCGTGGAGATCTCAATCACGAATGGTCCAGTACCGTAAAAGAGCTGAGTCCCTTCCTTGTGGAACTGGCGATTGGTACGTAAGATCTCGAGCCATGCTGGAGAAGTCTTGACGAATGATTCGTGAGCTGATATAGGTTTGGCCGGCAAAAGATATCGTAAGATACGCTGGCGGAGCTCAATGGGTATCTTAGTGGTGAGGTAGCAGGGCGTCGAGACTTGTCGATGTAGAGGGCAAAGGTGAAATGCATGGATCTTGAATACACAAATCCTCCCACATTGAAATCCACAGGGAAGCTTGAAAGCGCATGTAGATGATTTCTCACCAAGGCGGTGATGGACTTCGCATGTAGGGACTGCCTGAAGTCGGAGTCAGTGTATTGACTTCCTGCCCAAAAGATAGGGTTTGCCTCACACCCACGAAGCCTGGGGTTGAAGCGTTGTTTGTGCATGGTTCGCCTTCCTTGGATTTCACCCAACATACTCTGATCCCCTCGTCACGATGCAGAGAGCATGTTTGGTGATGGTCCATACGACCAAGTGGCACGACTGATGGTAGCTGTTCCCTTGCAGTGCTTTCAGAAACCGAGGCCATATCCCCGACTCTGGCTGAACTTCTGGCGTGATCTGAGGCCGTTCAACCAGGCTGCGAGAGGAGAGTGCTTGAAAGGTTGCGGCGAGCCTGTAGCGACGGAACTGAATATAGGAACTTTCGGGAGGTACATTACTCAAGGAAAACGGCAAGTCGTGGAATTTCAATATGCTTCGATGAGAAGAAGTTATTTCAACGAACATGATGTTGAAGTTCATCTCGCTCGGTTAGCTGCATGCATGCAAACAGGCAGTCAAGTCACCTGTTTTATGACCCCTCCTTTCTTTCAGCGATCCGCAGAACGAGGATGAAGATAACGGATACGGTGAAACTGGTCAGTAACAAGTTAGCAACTGGTACAGATCAGAGCATAAGTTAGACAAAAGCAACATGGAGAGCCAAGCTTTTCCTATTCATCGACTTCTAGTCGTACTGGAGGTACTTCTACCATGATCATTGGGCTTGTTTACAATGGCGACGGGTAAAGATGGCAGAAAACGACTTCAGTGAACCCAAGAAAAGCGGCAAATGGGTGACAAGTTGATGTGGAATTAGAGCCAGTGGAAGAAGGACAACAAGCTAGAAATTGTGTCTCGGTTCTGAAGACCGCTTTCTGCAAACTTTTGCTTTATACCCACTGGTAAACTTTGACAATAGAAAACCGTACTTGCATGCCGGAACTTCGCTGGGAATCGCAAGACAGAAGCATTACTCAAGACATGCCCCAGGGCGATTATGTTTCCATCACCAGGTACAGCACGTAGTCCAAGAGTTCTGCTGTCTCACCATAATCTGTCCAACGCTTATCCAAGCCATGTACCAGAAGCCACATGGACATTAGGACTCGCCAAGTATCGTAGATCGTAGAAAGAATAACCGTGGAATTGAAACCGACCCTCTGGTATAAATCGTACTACGCGGGGCAATCGCAGTCCCCATCGACAAAAAATGAATGCATCTATTGCAATCACTGGTATATACAATGCAACCCATTATCCAACGAGTGTGTGCAAGGTCCCCAAAAAGTTCACCGTACTCCGAAAAAGAATAATGCAGCAAAAACACGGTCACTTCTGTTGCGGGACATCTCCATCTTCCATCTTGTCAGCACTAGTCCTCCTTTCAACAAGGACATATTCGGATTCGGATTCACCTTCGCTAGGTCCTGGAGTCGGGGGAAGCTCTCCTGGTGTGTATCTGCTACCGTCTTTGTTTCTAAACTCTGCGGATAGAGGGCTGGTAGGGTGTTCTTTGAAGGTATCGCCTAGCGGCACTCGTGGTCGCGGACTGGATCTGCCAGATGCTTTCCCTGGACTCCCGTTTGCTGCAAGCTTCAATCTCTCTTCGGTTGCTTTTAATCTGGCTTCGAGGGCTTCGAGCTCTGAGGTTTGGGTGGAGACTGCTTTCTTTCTGCGGGGGAATGTCAGAGCATGGTCGCAGAGGACAATGAGGGGTCGCACTTCTCTGACACAGCTGCATCCAGGTCTGCGATGCTGTTATCTATCTTGAAAAGATCGTTGAGCGCGAGGGAGAATGATCTGGCCATAGTTCTATAGCTGTCAGCGTTGTCAAAGTACCAGCCGGGCCAAGGCTACCCACGATTGCGGTCTGTTACTGGGCTTCCACTCCCGGTCCAAGTCTTCGTCCGACATTTTAAATAGAATAGTGAGGGATAAACAAGAGGGGGAGGAATGAGGGATCGTAGGAATGTCGAAACAACAGAGGAGAGACACAGTCGAGACAGTCCAGTCTGTAAATAAAGTATGCCGATCTTCAAGGCTAAATTGGCTGCTGGCGATAAATAAGGGGTATCCTGCTAGTGCCCGCTCTAGGTTGTCTTGTCTCGACCTCCCTGTTTCCTTCTCCCTTCCCTTCCTTTTCCTTTCCTCTGCTTCTTCTACGAATAGCTGAACAGGCTGAAGTTACAGCTCCAGATCGGAAAGGAATCGTGAAAGGGAGGTGCCTGTTGTTTGCAAGCTGGTCGTCAGAAGATATTAGGGGATGTCATGCGGAGTCTCCAGCACAAAGGGGGCATGACCGCAATTTGACCACCCTCATGCCTGCAATCTGATACGCGAAATGGCTTGGGTTGGAGCAGCATGATCCGCACCCAGCCTGACGATTGAGGCATGGGATGGCGACATTAAAGGTTCATGCTGAGGTGGTATTTTCGAGGAGATCTTGAGACATGGAGTTCATGGAAAAGAAGATAGATTCCAGAAGTTGAGACTAGCTTGACTGACTTGCTTAGTTTTGTTATCTGGAATGTATGGGGAATAGCCTCGGCATAAATACACGTGATGGTTCTGGAGTGCTGGGTTAAGGCGCTGCAGTAAGTGCGAGATATCCAATGGCCACAGCAAAGAGACAGGTAGGGATTGATATCCTACTGGATGAGCGCCTATTTTGATCAAATGCTAGTGGCGAACTTTGGTTATCTGTTGGAGGTGCAGTCTACACTGAGAAAAGTAGATGGGAAGCCTGTTTACCAGTCAATCAGTATGTATGAGGAACTGGCGATAGTAAGTGTATATTGAGCCCAAGGCAATAAACATTCTTCAGTTGATTGTTATCACGACAAAACAATGATGTACTACCTCGGCCGCCAGATTTCTCTTGACCACACACAATCACCGACCACCTAAATCCCCTCAACTACTAGACTCCCTTGACTACACAAGATTCCCCCAGTTATAAAAAGTTTCCTCTACCTCCCAAATGGATTGACCACTAACTTCCTCGATCGCTACTACATCACCCTGAACTGGCATGTCCGTCCTCAACCACTTTCAACTTTAGAGCATTTCGTCCATGATCGCAATAATCTCGAACACTTCTATCCAGTCATCCTGACCTACATCTAACGTAAATTCGTAATGCAAAAGGTCTTGATGAACAGAAAGGTATATTCAGATGGGTTGTATTGCACACTGCAGCTTTCCATGAAACAGAACAATATTTCCCAGACCGGGCCAATCTTCACAGCGAATATCTCGGTATTCTTGAACAAACTTTGTGCAATGAAAGTCTATAGATCATATCGATTCCATAATATGGTTCCGTATGGTGAGCGTATCATTGACTGTTGGATATAGGCTCGGAACTACCAACGGCCCACGTGTTGCCATGTAAACACAGCCCCTAAAAAACAAATGCAAAAGAGCTCAATGACGCAAATTTGGCGTACTAGGAAAGTATCAATTTTTGCTTGAGAAAGCTCCAAAAAAAATTGTCCTGGGATGCCTAAGTTGTGAAATACAAGGGCCGAAATACAATAAAGGAAAATGTAGACAGGAAGCTTGCGCCAAAGTAAACATCTGTGAAAGACAGCAAATCGTAGGCTTTTGTTGAAAGCAGATGGGCACTCCTAACAACGAAAAGAGATAGACAGTATTCAAGTACGGTTCATGCTTGAACGGGGAAAAGAAATAGCAATACTGCTCTCATCCTGTACCAGTATCAACTATATTGATAATTCAAGCTGCACGGAATTTGGTTGTTTCTCAACCTCGATCAAGTACCACGACCAGAAAACGTTGAAAGAGACCCAGGAACTGTTCATGCCAACGTGCTCAGGTATCTGTACCTCTTTCGCCTTGGACAATCTAGAATTGGTGCATGCTGACCGGAAGAGAATCGTCGTGTCAGATCCCCTCGCCTCAACTGGTAAAAAGTAGTGACACGTGACACTGTCGATTCTTCGAAAATCGTTCTGAATAGCATCATCAATTGCGACAACGTCCCAACAACATCACGCACCCCCATGACAGCTATCAAATCGCGATCGAAGCTCATCAGTAACCCTGTTTGTCCCCCTAGGTAAGCTCTCTGCGCCAGCGAACGTGCTCAGTCCCTCACAGCGACAGGCCCTCGTCGTCGTGGCTCCCATCCATCTCGTGTCTTCCAGCGGCGACATTCTCCTCGGACGCTGGCGAGGTCACTGGGGCATGAATTCCACGGCAGCAACCTACACGCCACTCGAATGTCTATTGTTATTTCAAACTTTGGTCGCATACGGCACGGAAGAGCAAGATTTCGATCGAATTTCTGGCCTTCTAACGAATAATGATCTGGTCAAGAGCTCGGAGGTGTACGATGCACAGAGATTGAGTGCCGACGCTCTGCGTCAATTATATCTCCAATTATTGCGCGATGAATTAAGGGCGGAGGATGAGGTTGTGGATGACCCGATGTCAAGGAAACGAAAGCTACCAACACCTCCTCCCCCATCGATCAAGGATGCCCAGGAATACAAGGAGAAGTTGCCTTTGGTAGTGGACCGACTCTACGCGCGATATCGAGATGTTATGGTAAAGGCGATTGAGGAAGATGAGAGAAGGTATGCCGCGATTCAGGAAGAGATTCGCGAAATCGAGAGTGGAGAATGGGACGACAAGATACTGGAAGAAGACAGGCTTGTGAATGCAAATGCTACGGAGACACCACAAACGAATGGAGCACAAGAGACACTACCCCAGGAAGCCCGGGAAGAGTCCTCCAAGATGTCCTCCAAGGTGTCCTCCAAGCCAAATACTCCACTGGCGTCCCCAAGACCAGAAGGCTTACCTATCAGCGATGTCCTGAATAGCAAAGATGCTACACCTGTTCCTACCAGAGGCCCAGATCCTCCTAGAGCTCATGGATTCCCTCCCCCGATGAGAACGGGCAGTACCGGGCCACATGGACCTTCTCCTTTACAAGGCTTTCCAGACCAGAGACCACAAGCCCAAGCTGGATATGGGCAAGGGCAGCCTCCATATCAGCCTCAGCATGCTATTCCATCCGGCCAACCGCCAGGAAACTACACACAATGGCAAACACTCTCTCCGTCTCACTTTCAACCTCCAAATGGCCCTAATGCACAATACAATCAACATCAACCACCTCAGATCCATCATCCAAGACCATTCTCCAGTCCCCATGGCATTCCACCTCCTCAACCACATGTACCATCATCGCCAGTCAATCAACATCCTAACCAGATTGTCTTACCTCCTCCAAATGGAATTCACAGACCACCAGGCTCTCCGGCTATGCCTCTTGATGCACTTGCTGATGCAGCGGGCCAGCACCGTGGTTCTGGTTCTCCTCGACCATCACAAGGTCCTCACGGATCGCCAATGATGCAGCAGGAGCCTCATGGATCTCAGATCATACAGCCTCCCCACGGAGCTCCTATGATGCAGTATCCTCCTCACGGGTCTCAAATGATGCAACACAATCAGCAGATATACCCAGGAACCCCTATCATGCAAGGTCCCCCACCTGGTGGCCAATACACACCTCATCAGCGATCACCTTCTGGTAATGGACCGATTCCATTCAATCAACAATACGTACCGTTCCCAGGCAATCAACAATACCCGCCACAACCTCCTCATCGTACGTCGTTTCAGCAACCAAACATCATTCAGCAGCAGCCCAAGACGTACAATTCTCCTTACAATGCGGGCCAAGAGCGCAAAACTTCTATTCTACCACAGACGCCCTTCTCACGGGGGCCACCTCGCCACAGTACTGGAAGCGGAACGGTATGGACGCCAAATCCCACTGGTTCTACACCCAAGAACTTCGTGGCCTTCGATCCCCCAGAGATAGAGCCCCTCAGTCCTGTCCTGGCCCCAGCCAAATCGCCAGAGAAGAAGACCCCGAAAACGCAGACACCAAAGAAGCCTGAACCTACCAAGCCATTGCCATCAGTCGAGCAACCCAAAAAGCAGACCAAACCTAAATTACCTCGTGGCAGTTATCGTGGTCGGGCAGAAAGCACGGCATCATCAGCAATTGCTGACTCTCATCGGAGCCAGTCTGTCATGTCACATGCTGACGAACTTTCGTTGGACAATGAAAACATAACCCGGAACGTCAAGCAAGAAGTCGCAACTCCGGTTGGACTTGATGACGCTGGCGACACTACGGCCGATGAGTTACCTCGACATCCTCGAACCGGACCTTCGCCTGGCAAATCAATGAAGAGGAAGCGGCAGTCTAGTGTTCCATCTGCACCTATCGAACCCAGACCGTCAAATCCACCTACTCAGGTTCTGTGGACGAGAGCCTTTCCAAAGATCTCATCCTCGGCGTTGGAATCGATTGCAGGACATAAGAATGCAAGCACATTCTCGTATCCAGTCAAGGAACGAGATGCACCTGGCTACAAGAATCTCATTCTCCGACCTCAAGATCTGAAATCTATTCGATCAGCAATCATAGCCGGGTCTCGTGCTGCAGCTGCCGTCGTGGCAGAAGATCCAAGTCTCAATGTCAACCCCGCGGCATCAAGTCTTTTGCTACCTATCTCCGAAGATCTCATCCCGCCCAAAGGCATCATCAACTATGCTCAACTGGAGAAGGAGTTGATGCGGATGTTCGCAAACGCCATCATGTTCAACGCGGATCCAGATCGAGGACTCGGTCGACGCTTCCACGAGAATGGGAAGGACAAAGGAGATGTAATCGGTTACGAGTTCGACGTGGATGGGATTGTCAAGGATACCAAGGCTATGTTTGCCGATGTCGAGAAGGTTGTTGGGAGTCTCAGGAGTGCGGAGCGGAGGAGTGAGGAGATGAGGGAGGGTTCAACTGTTAGACAAGCACCTGAGGATGATGATGCGGATGAATTGGCGGGTGATGGAGAGTCACATGTTGGGAATACTGGGACTGTGAAGAGGCGAAGGAAGGCATGAGCGTACTTGGCATTCATAGATGTAGTTTTATAGAACTGTAATCAATACCTGGCGATGAGCCTTATTCTCTTCGAATTTACATGTTTGGTTTCATTGGCATCCAGGAATCAAGTCCTCTCTCAAAGTCGAGTGTTTTCTTTCGGATACTGCCTGAAGAATCTCGGCAGCCGGCTCATCGGGGTTGCAACCTTCAACGCCACTTTGAGATATGTTTCGGCGTTCGGGATAGCTGGTACCTGAAAATATGTTCTTCGTACCAAATCCTTGGAAGGCTTGGAACAGCAAAAAACATCAAAAACTTCTTCCACATCCGCGTATTTACTTACCAACCCTATGACGACTCATGCCCTCGCCCTGCTTCCCCTTCCTCCACGTGCCCTTCAAAACCATGGAACCCCTTCTTGGCACCAAAGATCCAAACATAGAACGCCGCATTACGTAACTCATCCCTTGTCCATGAAAAAAGTCTCAATACTATGGGGTAATACCGCAGCACCACATCCATGATCTATCAAACCAATTTCATCCACTTTCATCACGACATCCGATACCCGTACAAAACCACAAAACCCTTTCCTTACATTCCTTAACCCGCCCCGCTCTGCCCTTGCCAACCCCGCCAAGTCCCCCTCCCCAGCCAAGCAACCCAATCACCCCCCGCACTTTTATAAATCGTGCGTAGCACTGACTAAACTTCGCACCTCGTGCTGCTTGAACCTAGCGCTGTATTACCCCATAGTTTGTTGTCGAGCAGAACACTCTGACCCTACCTAGGTAGGCTCGCTAGGTAGAGGTAGGGATGCGGATGATGAGATGGGAGTTGAGACTGGTACCTGTACGACAGGAAGATGGGAGAGCGTTTTTGGTGCACGATTTATAATAGCTGGGGAAGGGACTGGGCTGATTGGATGTCTGGGGAGGGGGGAGGGGCCTTGGAACGGTTATGGGTCAGGGAAAGGCAAATTTGTTTCGATTGTGTCGTGATGACGAGGATGGGGATGCTTGGACGGGAGAGTCAGTCAGTCAGTCAGTCACTCAGGCATTTGAGGCGAATGGAACAGCTGTAAGTCTAGATCTCTGATGCACCTGCATCGTGAGGGGATTTTTCCTGTCATTCATATATAAGCGGTCATCCGGATTGTGGTTGGATTTGAGAAAAGTCAACAAACACACATCTGAGCACAGTGAGTTAGTTACCTTATGGAATCCAATCAGCCAATCGTCATCACTATTGTTCTTTGTCCTTAAGCAATTTATTGCTCGGTATTACACAATTACATTTTCTTCATTCTACTTTCAGTACCAGTTTTCACAATGGCTTCATTATCCTTCATGGATTGGGTATCCAGCGTCAGAGGAGCACCAGCTCACGCTGCCGGCTCATCCCCCCTCGAACGTCTCCCTGCCGAGATTCTAACCAGAATCCTACTCTACGTCGCCGCACCCACAATGAGAAAAGGCTGGGATATCCCTCACGCCTTACCAGGTACGATTCAATTCCCATCAAAAACAAAACCCCAAATCTAACAAAAAAAATCCCAGGTGAACATTCCAGCCGTCCAAACAGCCTCCTCCCAACCTTACAAATCTCCCACCGCATCCACGACATCGCCATCTTCATCATGTACCGCGACCCCAACATCCGCACCCCCAAAGTCTCATCCATAACCCGCTTCTTCGAGACGCTGGACCAAAACCCCTCACTAAGCACCTTAATCCGCACCTTCGACATCACGCGCTCTGCACTCTGTGGGTATACCCTCACTCTCGAGAAGATCTCGCGTCTCCCTCGCCTGCGCGATCTCCGCTTATCGCTAAGCCACGTGAAGGATGTGAGGATGCTGCAGAGATTGATGTTTGGGTTCCCGAGTTTGCAGGCACTGACGCTGGATGTGAGTTGTTTGAGTGAGAAGACGAGGATGTTAAGGGGTGCGTTTGAGGGTTTACCGGGGGAGTTGGAGAGTGGTATTGAGAGTTTGAGGTTTGTGGATGGGTCTGGTGCTGGGGGGTTGCATATACCTGGGGTGTTGGAATCTCTCCTCCCGAGAATGAGGAAATTGCGAGTCCTGGATGTGAGTAGGACGTGTGTGACTGTCGACGCTCTGGTATCGATCCCATCGACTGCGAGACTCACTCATCTTAATGTCTGGGGATGTCGAGATCTTGAATTAGACGAGCTGGTAAATTTCTTGATTTCGCACCCAGCAGTGAAAGATTCACTTGTCGTCCTCAAAGCAGGATATATCGCCGACGGCGCACCACTCAACGAGCGCCAAATCAACACTTTCCTCTCCCAGGCTCCACCCACTCTCCGCTCTCTAGACCTTAGCATGTCGAGTATGGGGCCAAGCAATATCCCATATCTGCAGAAACTATGCAGCCAGCTGGAAGAGTTGAGCGTAGGGCAGAATTTCGACATGTACAATATCGAGAGCATGATATTGAAACCCCGCTACGATTTCGACGACGAGTACCGCTCGTGTCCGGCGCGAGAATTGACTAAAGAGGAGGCTAAGCATGAGGCGATTCTAGAGCCAATGAGGAACGCTGTTGCGATGTGTAGACTACGGCGACGATTGTCTTCCGTGACTGTTTCGGAGTCTAGAGAAGGAAGGAGAGCGAGGGGGTCAACGTTGAGGTATTTGAATCTGAGCTCGATTCCAGCGGAAGAGCAGGGCATGATTAAACAATCTGTGTTGTTTGGCAGGGAGACGGGACCGTTGGAGGTTGTGGAGCTGGCTAATATTCCGTGGGAGGATTTCGAGGTACTGGGGAGGGTGTGTGGTGCTGTTGGGTGGAGGGAGGAGTGGGAGGATAAGAGGGTTTGGGTGGAGAGGTTGTGAGGTGCATGGCGGCTCGCTTATGCTGGTAAACATGGCGTGGTTAGGTGTTACTTGGGGTGCTGGAGTTCAAAAGGAGAGATAGCCAAAAGTTGGAATTGTAGATGTATAGTTAATATTAATAGATAAAGCACAGGGCAGACTTATCTTACCACTGACACCTATGGTGGCTCGCAGGATCAAAATCCAAATTTCAAAGTCTTCGCTTAAGTCGAGGGCGACAAAACAAAGCACACGAGTCTCAAAAAGGGAATTCCGGACACTTGACACCTAAGTTCTAAGACTTTTATTTGTCACCAAACGTCCTCTTCACAACTCAGACCACCTTGGCGACCCCATCCACCACCCTCCTCCACCTCACTTTTCAAAAACAATCTTATTCCTCAACGCCCCCACCCCCTCCATCTCAACCTCCACCACATCCCCATCCTCCAAAAACCCCTTCGGCTCCATAAACAGCCCCACCCCACTCGGCGTCCCCGTCATAATCAGCGTCCCCCTCCTCAACGTCGTCCCCCTACTTAAATGCGCAATAATCTTCCTCACACTCCAAATCATATCATCCGTCCTCGTCCTCTGCCTCACCACCCCATTAACCCTCGTCTCATAATACAAATCCTGCGGATCGATTCCTCCATCAGCCAGCAAGACACATGGACCGATCGGCGCGAATTTGTCGAAGGATTTGGCATACCCGAATTGGTTGCCTGACACTGAGGCGGGGGCTTGGAAGTTCCGCGCGGAGATGTCGTTCCCGACTGTGTAGCCGAGGACGTGGTCGAGGGCGGAGGATTCGGGGATGTTTTTCCCGGTGCGGGAGATGAGGATGGTGAGTTCGCCTTCGTAGTCGAGTTGGGATTGGGCGGAGGGGTGGATAGGGATGGGTTCGTAGGGGGCGGCGAGGGCGTCGGGGGGTTTGGTGAAGACCATGGGGTATGTGGGGACGGTGAGCTAGATGGAGTGGTTAACTTGACTTGTTCTAGGTAAATCAAGTGGAAGAAGGGATGATGGGATGTGATGGAGTGAAGAGAGTGGAGAGGATTACATTACATTCTTTGGCGTGTTGACCGTAATTCAGACCGATGCATTCGAATATTGGTGTTGATTCTACTGGAGCGAGGAGCTTATCCTGTCAGCCTGTCTACATATCTCTAAAAATGAGAGTATGACCTACCTGCTTGATCGTAGCCTGCTTTCCAGTCTTGCTCAATCCACGATATGGATCTCCCGATAAAACTTCAACAGACTTCCCTTCTAAATTTCCTTTGATATCTGACGCTGTTGGCTCGCCATATTGAATCGTCCCGCTCTGATCAACAAAACGGAGGAATCTCTTGACGCTCATAGTTATTGACTTTCAGAATATTTTCAGTTCTCAGCGAAGTCGAAATCTTGGGTATATCTTGATCAAAAATTTCGGAACGTGATCAACGGAAGAATAAATACTGCCCGCATGTCAACAACTGCAGGGACTATCCGAAACTTTAATCTAGTAAACTCTGACATGTCCGCAATACCCGCATTTCTGTCTTTGGTGAGATATTGGTAAGTGATTGGGTAAGTGATGAGTTGAGGGAGGGGATTGCGGGGTATCCTGGATTACCCCACATCGAATTCGTCCGCTTGAGACAGTTCGCCCGCTTTTTGAATATTTTGACCGCAACTGAGAAATTTGGTTGTGCAGTGTTTGAATGAAATCATAGAACGGGTTCGAGATGCATGAGGTAATTCGGCAAGCAAGATGATTCATTCGATACCACCATAATTCATTAGCTCATCCATTCCCCATCCCCACAGGTTCAGATTCATATCAGGCATCATCGATGGATTCAGGATGTCAAATCGTGGTTCCGCCCACATATTGTTGACGTATCCCTCATTCCCACCGATCCAGCCCGTACTTTGCATACTCACCATCTGGCTCTGAGAACCTTGTACAACCATATCATCCGCCCGAGCTGCAGACAGTAATTGAGAAGGACCGCCAGGCTCACTCTCAGCCCCCCTACTCTCAGCAAACACCTTCAGCTTATTCTCCAACGTCCGGAGTTTAACCCTCAATGCATCCGAAACTCCCCAGAACTCCACGAAAGCATTCAGATTCATCTGCAGGACATCGAGATTGGAGTCTGCCACCCGTGGATCCACCAGCTTGTCGCCAAAGCTCTTGGATACGACCTGTGCTGCGGCGGCGAGCCAGATGGTGCTTGCGAGGAAAGGGTTGGCGTACTGGACGTGGGAGAGTGGGCAATTCCTGAGGAGAGTAACAATGGAGGCTGCGGCAGTGAGGTAGTGGTTCCACGCAGTTTGGTCGAGGGGTGTGAGGGTTGATGAGTCAGTGGTGTTGGTGGATGAGGAGGCCTTCTCGCCGAGGTGGCGGGATGTACTGTCGAAAACTTGGTAGTGGTTCAACATGAAGCGGGAGAGTTGGGTCATGATGTGTACACAGTGCTTGGCGGTATCCGTCTGAAGAGAGCTGCATGAAAAGCTGAGGAATTCTCCTTTGTAGATCAGGTCGGGTGGCAGGGCGGTCGTGAGGCAGTAGAGAGAGTTGGCGAGGATGTCGAGTCCTCGGGGAACTTCACCGGCTTCAACTGCTGAGGCGGCCGAGTATGTTTGTGGGTACGAGAGAAGATGCGCACATCGCACGAGGGCATTCGCGACGATGAACCAAGCTTTTGCACTCGTGTTGCCGCTCTTTTGTAGGCACTTCCACGCCAGAGCTGGATCAGGCTCAAGTCTACAGCTGCTGACGGATTCGTTCGCAAACCAAGCTTCATCATCCACAGGAAGCCAGGTTTCGTTTTCTTTCCAATCGATCGCAGTAGGAAGTCGGCGAATCGTGCTTGCAAAGACATCGAATTCCCAAATCACCCACCACGCACGTCGTTTCTCTTCGTCGAGTGCCGCATTACTGCTGGTTCGGTTGTTTTGAAGTTTGTCGATGAGGTGGAGTTGGAGCTCATAGGCAGTGCGGACGCACGTTCCGAGTGAACGCCATGCGCGACCTCGGACACCTTCGGTGAGTTGTTGGAAAGTGATGTGTAGGAGGGTTTGGAGGAGATGGAGCGGGAAGACTTCGTCGGCACAGTCTTGGATAGCGGTCTCTGTAACTTTGGAGGCGAGATCGTAGAAATGACGAGGAGTGGGGATCTTTAAAGTTGATGCTTTGATAAAGCGTGACGAGAAGCTGAACATTGATGCGACGAGTGCCTGGAGTTGGGTTGATGAGGATATAGCAGAGAGTTTGGCATCGAATGAGGGTTTGTGGAAAAGCGAGAAAGAAGTCATGTTCTGGAAATAGGCGTCCATTCTTCTGTCATCAGCCATGTCTTCGGATTGGAACATAATTGCTTACAGCAATTTATACGCCTCACTTGAGATTTCAAAAGCATTGCAAATGTTCTCAATGACAAGGTGATAGTTCTGACTTCGGTCTCCCTGTCCACTGGCACTAGTCGTGTTCTGAGGAAAGGGTTCATGAGAAAGTTGCAGCAATTGAGACAATGCAAGACCTCTTGACGGCGACCTTTCGATTCTCGGTTCTGTGGAGGGAAGAGACGCCGGCGTAGTAGGCTCTATCGATACAGATCCAGGAGCATGGTTGTTGTTCTGATAGGAGCTCGCTCCACCCTCACTTGAATTGTCCGTCCTAGCTCTTCGACGTTGAAGGACGCCTAGGCAAATCAGAACTCGAGTAATGTTTTACAAGTTGTGCGGGATTTTAACCTGGCTTTGGTCCCGGCTTGTTCGAAACAAGTGGATACGAGCACTCTCGTGAGGTCTTCACACAAGTCCAGCATTTGGGCAGGGAGCGATCACTTGAATGGTTTAGCAACTATTTCCCTGACACAATGCCGATTTACAGACCATTTAATTTTCCGCCTGTCCAATGATTATGGTTAGCGTGATTACTACCTACGGACGGAATTTAAGAGCTGACCTTTTACATCTCTCACATGAGAGGGTTGGCCGTGGAAGTGTGGGTGGAGTGGTAGGTACATCCATTTTTCTGCCGAGCGAAGTAAACAAGAAAGAGCGGTCGAATTACTGGGAGGTCCGTTGATATAGCTGAGAAACGGTGCGTTCGGCCGCGTGTAAGACCGCGAAACGGTCCAATGATGGTGGCTGGCCAAGGAAGATGTTCCGGCCCATGCTTATTATACTGTACCCCGCGATTTGTTCCTGCAGTCAAACTTTCACAGCAAGCCAGTTCTTATTGGAGTCTTTGCAGGTTCGTGAACAGAAGAAAATATTTCTCAAATCAGAAAATACCATCAGTCAAGAGAATTTCCCTGCTTCGGGATTCGGGTAACAGCAATATCCGCGTATCATTCTTGAGTTCCCAAATCAAGTGATCAAATACCAAAACAAAGCACAACAGTCAAAGAACTCCCACCAACTCAATCATTTTCATTATCCATCACACATCCCAAGTCACGTCAAGAAAGTAGCTGGGACCTCCGGGCCTGAAAGAAGTCAGCATAACTCAAAGCTCAGAAACCAATCAACTCACCCCAAACATGCAAATTACCCGGCCCAGCCTGGGTCCTATTGATCGGCGTCATATCATTGACCAAATCCCCATCAACATAATGCTCCATAACAAAACGACTCGGATCAAACCAATAGTCAAAGATCTGACTCCCCATCACATGTCTACCCACTCCCCAGCAATTTTCGTAATTCTTCTCAACCAACCAGTTGTGCCCCAGCATCTGGATATCGAAATCAAAGATCTCGAAACTGGAGTGATGCACGTGGAATTCGGGGCCCTCGAAGAAGAAGAATGTGTGGTGGTCAACCCACTCGGAACCACGGTCCAGATGTAAGAACGTCGTGATGTCCTCTTTCGTATCTGGTGCGTAGATCAGTTCCGTGGGCTTGAGATTGAAGTTCGTGGTGTAGAACTCGTATGCTTTCTTGTAGTTCGTAACGCACAGCCCAAAGTGTCCCAGCTTGTGAACTGGTGCAGGCCCCTTCTTGAATCTCTGGTACTGGTTCACGGGGCGGTTCTTGTTTGTGGGGAAATTGTAGGCAAGCTCTGGGAAGGTCTCTGTGATCTCCACGGGGGTCTGGCCGTACACTAGGTGCCATGGACAGTTGTCCACGGGCTCGTAGAACGTGACTCTCTTCCCGCCTCCTGGAGCATCTGAATCGTGGATTGGTGTCGCGCCTGGAAGAGAAGTTGCCAATTCGAGGTCTTCCATTGATTCAACTACGAAAGCGGCTCCTCCAAACTTGTCTTCCGTTCCTTTGGATGCGCATACTACGAATGGTTCGGTTCCATAGCCGCGGTAGTATATCTTGTTTTCCGTCTTTTGGCAGGGACTTAAACCAAAGTCGAGGAGGAATTGATTGGCTGCTTCAAGATTCTTATGAGTGTAGTAGACATGAGCGATCCGAACAAGGTTGATCTTTTGTTTTGAAGCTGATGGAGACATGGTGTTGATGATTGTTGTAAGTGTTTGAGAGTGTGATGACGCTTGATCAGTTGTTCGTAATTGAGAAAAGAAGGATCATCAGCCAGCGATATATACTCAGCTCTTATTTGCCGTCATTAGATCTCTCCGCCTTTCCGACAGTTTGCCTAATGCATTGAATGACGGTCTTGTAAGACGACAATTGGAGATGTATGTGGGACGGGCATGTGGGGTTGGAAGCGGGTATCGCGGAGAAGAGGGGGAATGCCGGATCTCCTGCTGCACAATGATGCGGGTGAACTCCAGGGGGGAAAGAGATGCCCCGCGAGCGAGTTACGGACAGATGAAAGGCCCGAAATGCGGGGGAGGAGGAGAGGAGTGACAGTGTCATAATTGCAGTTGCATAAGGAGCTACTACAGAGAGAGAGAATCTCCTATATAAAGGGGTAGCGTACTCAGTAGTACGGCCTACAGTACTGAGTCTACGCCTACAATCCCTATATTTCTAACAGCCCCCCTATTCTCTATATCTGTAGTAAATAGAGCCTTCTAAAGCAGTATAGCGCTGAATATTCCCGAAGCGACGCCAGAGTATCGCCGAAGCATTACTGATAACTTGTATTATATAAGGAGCCTCGATTATGCCTCATTAACTCCTGTAATATACTAGTATATATATAGTGCCTATGTCTCCTGTTTTCCTAGGAGTTTAGCAACTTTGCAGTATTAAGGTATATAAAACAGTATAAGAGTGCACCTAAATCGCTCCCTTATTGATAATCTCCTGCTCCTACTACTCTTATTCACCCTTCTTTATAGCTATCTCGCACCTTCCTTTTATAGCTACTAAGATATTCCTTACTAGCCTTCTCTCTAGCCTCTAGGGTATATAAAGGTCGTCCTCTTCTAGTTCTATTTCCTTTCCTTCTTCCTTTAACCGCGGAACAAGATTCGTCTTAACTATTAGGTATAGTGGTTATATATTATGTTTTACTTAATTCGTAGTTATATATTATTATTAAGGAAGATATTTATTAAAGGACTGATTTTCCGCGAAGAATATTCTATTTTTTTATAGGTTCCACTACTAGAAATAGCCTTGATTTATACAGGTCTACTGTTAATTAGCTAACTATTATTAATCTTAGAGTTATTATCAGAGAATCAGTTATTACTAGGTAACCCTATATACATCTTATATCGTTTAAACAATTCTAAAGGTAAAGCTTTCATAAGAGTATCTACTATATTATTATTACTTAGAACATGTTTTACTACTAACTTATTATATAAAACTATATTATCTCGAATATAGAACTAGCGGGTATTAATATACTTTACCTTTAGATAGAATTTCCGTTCTTTTAAAAGAGATTCAGCTCTAGCGTTATTAAGATATAGCGTAGGAATTCGGGATAGCTTTATATCAAGGTCTTTCTATAGCTTAAGTAACTAAGCTACTTCTCTAGAGCTATCACTAGTAGCTATTATCTTAGAATCTAAGCTGGAGAGAGCTATAGACCTTTACCTATTAGTAGCCTAAGAGATTAGACCCCTATAGAACCTTACTATCTATCCTTGGAACAATTTCCTATTATATTCCGTCCCTTATGTAGCGTTAGTCCAAATATCGAATATATCATTATCTAGCTTTCCCCTATATTCTATTCCGATTCTAAACATTATTCCGTTACCTTCTATATATTATAGATATCAGAGGAGAGGTTTCGTGTCTTAGAGGTGAGATTTAAGGGGATTTAATATATACCGCGCCAGCTGGCCTGTTATATAGGCAATATCAGGTCGTATGAGGTTCGAGAGGTATATTAGAGAGCCGATAATCTGCTGAAACAGTGAGATCTCTTCAGGGGAGGCTAGTACAACACCTTCATCTTTAGCTGACTCCCTTAGTACCGTTCCAGCAGCTACAGGTAAGGCATTGCCTCCAGCTGCGGCTATTCCAAACCTTTCTAGTAGCTTTTATATGTAGGCTGTTTGATGAATCCGCAGAGTCTTATTCTTCCTATCCCTCTCAACTTATAGGCCTATAAACGTATCAATAGCTCCGAGGTCTTTACCTTTCCAGGTCTTTAAGAGCTGTTTCTTAAGATATTCGCAGTCGGCAGGGTTACCTATAATCAGTATATCATCGACGAAGACTAATACATACGCTCTATTCTTAAAGATAAAGAGATTAGGGTCAGCCTCTAACGCTTCTAGACCTAGCTTTTCTATCTTATCTTTAATAAAGAGCTACTATTCCCTAGGTACTTATTTCAGGCCGTAGAGAGAGCGTAGGAGCTTCAGATATACGTCTTTCCTTCTATTCAGCTCTAGGTAAAGCTTATTCCATATCTCTAGCGTCTCGTCGTTCGGAATCGTCATATATATATCTTCTTTCAGGTACACGTTCAAGAAGGTAGTGTCGATATTGATATGCTCGATCTCCAGGTCTCTTTTAGCCGTAACAGCGAGTAGTGCTCGTAAGGTAGAATAGCGTATAACGCTCGCGAAGGTATCGAAGTAGTTAAGGCCGTGTTTTTACTCAAAGCCTCTCACTATAAGCCTAGCCTTTCGCCGTACTATAGAGCTATCGGAGTTGATTTTATTGCGTAGAACTAGTCTTAAAGATATTAGTTTCGAGCCGGAGGGAGGCTTACTAAAGCATACTCTATAGGTTCTAGCGCTTTATATAGCCTATAATTCCTTGAGAATAGCGGCCTTCTATTCTACTAGATTCTCCCTTAGAGCCTCTGCGATAGTTATAACCTCAAGAGGTCGTATAAGTTCACCCTCTAGCGTAATTAGCGCTATTTAACAGGTTAGTGCCTTGTTAAGGATTTACTAAGAGTATGGCTTCGTAGTTATCACCTGAGCAGCTTACTCGAAGTGTTGTTTTCTACGCTGTTTCCTACTATATCTTAACAGTAGAGTATTGTTAGACGCGTTTACTAGTTAAGTCTATTCAGGGAGGCGTTAATCAGACGCTCTCTTAGTATCTCCTACTGTGTTTTCTACAGCTAACCTTCCCCTTGAAGGATTTTTAGCTTCTATAGCTAGCCTCTCTCCTAGAGGTCTTTCAGCTTCTATAGCTAGCCTCTCTCTTAAAGGTCTTTCTAAGCCTTCAGTACCCCTAGCTAGCCTCTTAGCAAGTGCTAGACTGGTAGCCGATAGCAGAGGTCTTTCTACTGCCTTGTCACTGCCTTTTAGTGTAGTTTCCTTACTACTAGTGTGTATAAAGTATATTATATACTTGTTAAAGCCGCAGTCGGCTATTTCTAGTTCCTTGAAGGTTTCTACGTTTAGGAGCCTATAGGTTAAGGTATTAGCTATACCTACTAATACGAAACACCCCGGAATCGTCCTTTGCTTCATTTTGCCCTGATATAGCCCTAGTAGATACAAAGGGTACGCTATAGAGCTAAATACTCTTATTTTAGAGAGGTTTGCAGGCCGTCCTCTGTACGCTTCGATTAGAGTGAGTCTAGTGGCTGTTTTATATAGCAAAGCAGTAGTTGGGCGTCTGTTCTTTAGCTTTACCGCCCACTTAATAGCGTAGTACTATATATTCTCGGGCATCTTCGTGTCATAGAGGATTAAGCGTGTAATCTTAGCTAGTTCATATATCTATCGCTCTACGACTCTATTTAGAGAGTATTTATATGAAGGAGAGGTTCAGGAACGATTCCACTCTCTTACAGCTAGTTAATAAACTTAGGACCGAACTCTCCCTTACTATTATCAGTCCTCTAGTAGATAATTATGCGGAATTTACTTTACCCTTAAGTTTCAAGCTATAGCTTTAATTTCCGAATAACTAGTTAAATAGTTAACGCAGACTTATTAACTAAAAGATCTACCTAACACGTCCTTATAGTATTATCTACTACTAAAAGGAAGTATTTATAGCCGCGAATTAAGCGTAGTAAGATACTAGAGATATCAGCGTGTAGTCGACGAATAGGTACGTTAGTTCTACTATCTGACTTCTTATTGAAGTGCTCTTTTATACGGCCTATAAGGTAAGCCTCGTAACACCTCTCTCCCTTTAGCTCCGGAATAGAAATCGGTCTTATTCTGTAACCGCTATAAGTAACTAGTTTCTTTAAATAGGCGTAATTTATATAGCCTAAACGCCTATGGAGTAGATCTGCCTTTATTTCCTCTGTACTAGGCTGACTCTCTATTTGTTCCTTCAGTAGCTTTAAGTCTAACGGAATTACGTTATACGTAACTTGATATCGAGGATTCGTATCCAGAATGTATAAACCTCCGTTTCTTGTGCCTATAAAGGCTAGTTCACTATTCCGGTATCTATTTACTGATGTCTTAGTCAGTTCCGTATTAATTCCTTTATCTGAGAATTAATATATTAATACTAGCTTTATAGCTCCGAAGTCAGGTACGTACTACACGTCTTTAAGGGTTAACCTATTAACAGTAATATCTCTATAACCTTCAGCTGTTAAGTATGAATTAGTCGCTGTTTTAACGTATTTAGCGTTACGCTAGCGCTTAAGTTACTTGAACTCAGCTAGAACTCCACTAAAGTAGCGAGTAACACTAGAGTCGATTTTCCAGATAGATTCTATAATAGAGATTATTAATAAAGCATATTCTATATCTTCAGCGTAGTAAATCTCTTCCGAAGGGAACACAGGATAAGTATCATCGTCTTCAATTTCCTCTATTTTATTAGCGCTATCTCTCGCGTAGGCATTCTCAGCTTCCGTGTAGTCTATATACCAGTAGCCGTAGCCTTTACACTAGGCATACTAATTTCGGCCCAATTTAAGGCGATTTCCTCTCTTTTCCACGCGCCCTCTATATCTCTATTAGCTACCACCCTTACTGTTATTATTCCGTCTTTCCTATCCTCTCCTGTTCTCACGTATATTACCTCTCCCACGTGAGTGGCCTCTACCTCTCTAGCCTCTACTATCTCTACTACCTCTCCCTCTATTATAGCCTCTATTCGCGTAGTTCGCGGCGTTGCTAGTAGCTACAGGTCGAAGCTGTTCTCTCTATTGAATTTAATATTCGTTGAGCTTTCATATAGTATCTCTAAGATCTAGGTCTTACGATTCTAGGGTAAGCGCTATAGTAATCTAAGCTCCGGACGCTAGTAACAACTGCAATAGCTTAAGACGTATATCCTTATTAGTAAGAGGTTTACTATCGCCGCTGAGCTTTACTTTAAAGAGTAAGAGCCTCATAACGTAGTTCTGAAGTATTTCCTCCCCCGGGATATTTCCTCCCCCGGGATAAACTTCATCTTAAAGAAATCGTCTCTTATATTAGTAAAGGCAAGACTCCCTTGAACTACTTTACCTTCGTCTGCGTGAATAGCTTCCTAGAGAGGCTTGGCGTCGTTCAGTTTAATAATATCTCTATACTTAGGAAAGAGAAGCTTAGAGATTGAGTTAACGACTATTTTAAAAGCTTCCTTCTTTTCCTTAGCGTGAGTATTCTACTGATTAATATTATTCGGCACACTAACTTCAGTAAGAACATGATGAAGAACACTAGCCCTAGCTAGCTCTTATTCAGTCTTAAGCTCTTATTCAAAGAAGTTATCGAACTCTAGTAGAGTTTTACCTTTTAAGGCTCCGGCGACGTGGGGAATTAGTGCTTTTAATTGGGATAATATCGTGGCGTAGTAGCAGATACACTAAGAGTTGATAAAGTAGAGATCTTGATAAAAAATAAAGTTTTGAGGTCTTTTTCGATCGATTGGAATTGCTACTATGTCATAATTGCAGTTGTATAAGGAGCTACTACAGAGAGAGAGAATCTCCTATATAAAGGGGTAGCGTACTCAGTAGTACGGCCTATAGTACTGAGTCTACGCCTATAATCCCCATATTTCTAACAGACAGAAATATACTTTGCCCAGAAACTCTAGGTAACCTGCTATCGGGGTGTAGCGAGATTTCGCCTTCGTCCCTTTTTCAGAGCATTTATAATACAAGAAACAACGAACTACTTATCCAAAGGGCACAAAGTAACCTTCTTATACGCGCAAAGCTTCTTAGGAAATGTAGGGACTTTCTCTGAAGCCGTTGTTTTGGAAATCTCGTTTGCAAGTGTATTCTGCAACGCTGCCTACGCTATTCATGAATGCGCTAGCCTAGGATACTAGCTGTCAGGTCCTGTACCTTGCTGGTCTAGCATTTTAGCATGACCAAGGCTGAAGTAAACCTGACATAATCGTTCAAGATGTCTTCGAAATGTCAATATATCTTCTTGTTCGGAGTCTTTGGGTCTCTGATCTTGAGGAAAACCAAACGTAATCATGGCGACGGTCGACAGAAACACTACTGAAGGTCCTGTACCCACGAAGCAGTCGACAGAAATTGTCGAAACTGATCTACTGATCGTTGGAGCTGGTCCAGCTGGAGCAGGACTGGCTTGCTTCCTGGCCCAACATGGTAAATAGAGCTCTCGAGCTTGGGAAACATCTCTAATTTGCATAGGACTGAAAGGAATCATGGTAGCGTCTACCCCCAGCACGGCCGACACACCACGAGCACACATCACAAATATGGCAGCAATGGAATGTCTGCGAGATATCGGACTCGAAGACGAATGTCTGAAAGTCGCCGTACATGGCGATTCCATGCAACATACACGATGGTGTCGAAGTATGGCCGGTGAGGAGTTTGCGAGGATATACTCGTGGGGGAATGACCCCGCGCGGGCAGTGAGTAGCCCGGCATTTTTCCAAGCGAGACATTCTGACTTTCTCCAGGGATTATACGATGCTGCAAGTCCGTGTAATCACACCGATATCCCTCAGACGCTTCTTGAACCTATTCTTGTTGGCCATGCAACTCACAATGGCTTCTCCTGTCGATTCGATACCACATTCCTCTCATTTGAGCGTGAATCGAACGGAACCATTCTCAGTACATTGCAAGACAACCTCACGAAAGCGGTGTACCGGATCAGGTCAAAATACCTGTTTGGATGTGATGGAGCTAGGAGCCAGGTTCTTCGGCAATTGAAAATACCTTCGATTAAGAAGCCAGGTCAGGGTTTAGCGATAAATGTCCTTGTGAAAGTGGATCTATCGCATGTGGTTGAGAATAGGATGGGGAACTTGCATTGGGTTATGAGACCAGATGAAGAGAGTCCGGCTTATAATTGGAGCTGTATTGCTCGTATGGTGAAGCCTTGGAAGGAGTAAGTCAGTAAACGGACACTTTGAAACCTGCTGACGTTTTAGATGGATGTTTATCCTGTTTCCTCATCCTGAAGCTGGTATTGACTTCAATCCTTCTCACGAGGATTACTTGAAATGTGTCAAGTCAATCGTAGGAGATGACTTGATCCCCGTTGAAATCCTCGGAATTTCAAAATGGTTCATCAATGAAATTGTAGCTGAATATTACTCAGACGGCAACATGTAGGGTTGAGATCCTTGTCTCTAAACGTCAACTAATAATCCCAGCTTCTGTCTCGGCGATGCTGTCCACAGACATCCTCCCATCAACGGTCTCGGCTCAAATACCTGTATCCAAGACGCCTACAATCTCGCCTGGAAAATCGCATATGTCATGAAAAGCAAATCCGGACCAGGCCTCCTCAACTCATTCAGTCTCGAACGCCAACCCGTCGGCGCAACAATCGTGACCCGCGCCAACGATGGCCTCCGCGACCACATCCCCGTTTGGGAAGCTCTAGGAATGCTCGATCCCTCCTTATCAACCCGACAAAAGCACTTTGCCGAACTGTCCGAAGCTACACCCGAGGGCATCGCTCGACGGCAGCGCCTCCAGAAGGCAGTGGCTCATACCGCTCATGAGTTTCACGGCGTAGGCGTAGAGATGAATCAGCGCTACACCTCTCCAGCGATCTACCTAGCAGACGAAGGACCTCGTCCTCCTCTGCCAGACGATCCTGTCCTTGATCACCAAGTCACCACTTACCCTGGCAGTCGACTCCCGCATGCTTGGCTCAACACTAAGATGCCTGGCAAGAAATTATCGACTATCGATCTCGCTGGCCATAGTGCATTCTGTCTGCTCACTGACATAGGTGGCTCTGCATGGAAAGAGAGTGCTGCGAAAGTTGCAGGGAAGCTGGGGGTGGAAATCAATGCCTATTCGATTGGATGGGGACAGGATTATGAGGATGTGTATTTTGATTGGGCGAGGAGGAGGGAAGTTGCTGAAGATGGATGTGTTCTTGTAAGGCCGGATCGGTTTGTGGCTTGGCGGTCGATGGGAATGATTGAGGATCCTGAGGAGAAGTTATTGCGTGTTTTGAAGTCGATTTTGGATTTGTGATGGGCAAACAATGAATTCAATGAACTTCTTCATAAGATATCGGAGTCAGGATCTGGGTTTTCGGTGCCGGATAGCCGTACACCACTCCCGTATCCATATAGTGGGAGAATCCGTCTTCCAATCTTGTCTCCATCAGTAAAAGTAAAGCTCTAGGGGATTCATTCTTGCTTATGGATGTAAAGTCCTCACCTCGCTTAAAAACAGCAATGTCAACTCAATAACAATGTTTGACATTTCGAACATTCGGAATATGGCGAAATGCCGATATTTGACTCCATTCACTTTTGGCTGTCGCTTGGATAATCTTTCATTTAATTGCGATGTTTTCCGATGTTTTTCGCTCACATTATCATTGAAGGTCCTGAGTCCGAACCAGTTACACTTTCTCAGCCAGCCCTGCGAGAATGCGACTCTCAACAATTTTCAATTCTAGATCAAGTAAGTGATTATTCCCCTATACTCTGGCGCGTACTTGTGCACAGCTGCAAGGCCCTTCAAGCGCGTTGCTATCAAATCCCTCCTGCATGTATCCTCGCCACGCCTCCTCCACTTTCCAAACTCTTGAACTCTTGAACTCTCAAGACCGGCCCCAAATCTTGCGAAATTTAATTACAGAGTCTCCAGGAAGCCAATATCAGTCATAATAATCGAAAGGAGTTTCGACTTGTTTCGCTAGCATCGTCATGATATCCTCCAGGAAAGCAGCAAAATCTCACCTGACTCAACCCGAACTTTTCGACAACGCTACAACGCCGCAATTCGTGCGAAATTAAACAAGATGATTTGTATAAGCTGGAAGTAATATTTCGCGCAATCTAAATGAAATTCCGATGTATTTCGTTTCCGAGGTGCTTCGATCGCTTCGCCGTTTAGCACTGCATCCCTTCCGTAAGGATCTATTGACTTGAGAGTTTCGACGCTGCGGAAGAAATTCGAAATGTGCGAAATTCAGACATCTAACTATAGAGATATAGAATATATGTTCTGGGTAGTATCAAAAAGTTCCGATGTATTTCGGCCCCGAGATGCTTTCGCTGCTCTACCGATTCTCACTCCTACAATATCCACTTATCGACTGGAGATTTTCGACGCTGCAGAGGAAAATCGAAATCTGCGAAATTCAGAGATCCAATTCTAGGGATATAGGACAGATGGTCTGGGTAGTATAAAAGAGTTCCGATGCATTTCGGCTCCAAAACGCTTTGGTTGCTTCATCACTTAGTAACCCCTCCTCATCGATCCATTGACTGGAGCTTTTCGACGCTGCAAAGTAAACTCGAAATCTGCGGAATCTAGAGGTCTCAGTCTAGAGACATAAGACAGGTATTTGGGATAATAGAACAAGGTTCCGATGAAATTCGACTCTAGGATGATCGAGTCAAAAGACTTAGTTGGAAGACCTCCGCTTTGCTCTGCGAAGTCCTCCCGATGCTGCCATCTCGCCGCAAACTCTACGAAATTATGTTGCTTGAACCTCATGATCTGGGATTATTCCCTTGAGATATCAAAATTAGTTTCGATTCTTTCCGTCTGCAGAATGATTTGGCGGGCGAACTCACTCAAACACTACTTCCTCGCTGACCAGATCATTTCGCTGCTGCCATCTTACCGCAAAATAAACGAAAGTGAGATTTCTCAGTTTGAAGACATGTCTCCTTAACCAGGTTTAAGAAGGAGAAGTTCCCGGAACGTTTCTGTTCTACAGTTTCTAGTGGCAGATTCAAATTCCTGAAGGACAACCTTCCCAGCCAACCAAGCCCTTTCGACAATGCGAAATCGCCCGAAATAGCCCGAAAACATGCGAAACTTTTTTCTTGAAGGCCTAGATAATAGCTTACCTCAACGAGTAGTGTTCTAGTGCTGGGCTTTTATTTTGAAGTCCGGACTTCTAACCATGTATTCCCTCAAGTAATCAGCTACAGTCTTTCGACAATGGAAAGTAGCCGCAATTGATGCGAAAGCTTGTGCTCTGATTCTGAGAGCATTTATAATGCTTTTCGGGAAATATCATATTTGTGATGGTGATTTCGAGGAAGTTAATCTCGTTCTGGGCTCTGGCACGATCTTATGGCAGATGGGAAACAATTTCGAAAGTGCGAGATCTATGGATAAAATCCTATTATGTTCTTTTTCAAGAGATACATGTGTCTTCTCGTCTTTAGCAATTTCGATGCAATGAGAACGACTTGGTGTTCTGGTAACTGTTTGATGGGAATTTATCTTGAGTGATAAGCAGCTCGGAATTTGCGATCATCCCTTTACCGTAACTGTCAGTTGCCACTACGATCTTAGTTCGTAAGCGCCTGAGCGCCCCCTTCAACGCTGTGCCCTGTAAAAGCGTGTTTCTGGCAGTTACGGCAACCCCTTAATCTAGTTATTGACATCTTTGACCAAAAATGTTTCTCCATGTTTAAGTCGGTTTTGGTACGATGAAGAAGATTGAATTGTTGATATTTTGGCATGCATCTTGAACGTTATGAAATAGGCTAAACATAAACAGAAAAGAAAAAAAGAAAACCGAGTGCTTAAGGACCAATCAAGTTGAATGCAGTGACTTCGTAAATATACCATCACATTTTCATAGTAGCTGGCAGACGATCTCACCAGATACAAAACAATGAACTGCATCAAACTAATTTAAGGACTAGGAGGGGATCGAACTCTGCTCACCATACCCCAAGGGATAAGTAATATCAGACTCGAGGGGGTTATGTGAGCACAACCCATCATACGCGAATTCATTCTCTCGCCAAGGACAGTTTAAATTCGCATGCTTGACACGAAGCGGAAAAGGAAGCCCGCCCAGCCACACCGTGAACACCGCTTCGGCTAGTGTAATTAGATGCCTAAGCTCTATGATCTCCTTTGGATCATTGGACATAGGTTTCATGGAAAGCAGGGTAATGAAATGACCTTTTCTCTCTAGTTGTTTATCTCGGATTTCCATCGATAATCTAGGAGAGCCGCCATATCTGCCCCATTCATGCTGAGATCTTCGTCCAGAAAGGCCAAAGTCGTACCTCGTGGCTGAGCCGACGCAGAAAAAGCGGCACGAGTAGCATGGATTTGAGCCTCGACGCTTCAGCAATCGACCGTATACACCAAAATCAGTTGTGTCCTCCCAGTCCAAAGCTTCCAGATCAGAGACTGAAGGTGGTGAAGGTGCGGCGAGGATGTGTCTCACTGGTGTGGGAATTAATTCTAAGATTCGATTGGCCCATATTTCCCTAGGTATTTTCGAAATAACATGATCCCATGAGTCCATCTTGTCTGCGCTGAACAGCCCTTCTAGGATCCGATCAAGCCGGGCTTCAAGAATTGCAGTTTCTTCCACACTAAGATCACAAGACAAATCCGAAGGTAACCACGAGGTTTGACGTTCTCCTTTCTCCCAGAGCTTTCTTATTTCCCGGTAAATACTTCCAGTCTTCCTTCCCATCTCCTTTGCGATCTTAGATTTGTCAGGCACGATCTTCTTGTTAAGGTGTTGAAAGAGGAAGGCGACCTCTTCTGTGCTCCACTTCCCGGTCTTGAATGGCTTGAGGAGTTTTGCTATGTCTTCATGTTCCTCAATCGTGCGCCGAACAACCGGTTTATCTCGTCCAATACGCTTTGCAACTTCCCAGACCTGGACTCCATTCCTTAGGAGTTCACAAGTTTGCTCTATTTCGAGTTTTGTTAGAGGGGAAGCAGCGAGAGTCTGTTTTTTGTTCCGTGGGGTGGATGTCGAGAAAGAAACGGTTCGACATATAGCTGCACCATTGACAGACAGTGTGGAAGCACATAGAAAAAGGGAACAGTGTCGTCGTCTTTCCACCACTCGAGTCATCACCAAGCTGTTGGGCAACAACCCCTTTGAGATGTTTCGGAGTGACATAATTGGCGCCGAAAATCGGGTTGAACTATTAATCAGGAGAGAATACATGCAGCCCGTGTATTTTGAAGCCGCTGTTAAGATATCAGGAGGAATGTCGTTGGAACTTAGTGCATTCTGCACGGACAGATATCGGCTGATATGCTTGCCGCTGAGCGGATGATGGCTGCAAAGTTCATGAATGTTCGGCTTCTGAACTATAAGCAAACTCTATCCAAAGCTAATGCCCCGCCACATGAGCATGTAAGTTTACTGTACCTGGAAAACCGAGAAACCAAAAAAGAAAATGAAAACAGACAAATGTCCTTGAACCACCGAATGAGCCGTGCTAGAGATATTAAGCCGGAATAAGAAATTGTGTCAGGTTGGTCGAGCTGTAGCTGGAATCCCGGACCCGCGCCAGATTGGTGCTGCGGGGTACCTGAACGGGTTCAATTCTCGCTTAGTTTGTTTACTTCCAAGATCTGCACTTAACTTCGTCGAAAATCCTCGAAATCAATCAAAAATCTGCTCTGTCTTAATAATCAGTCTAGTTGGGGTAATCTCTATTTATATTGAATATTTCGCGCCACATTAGACCAAGAAGAGTTACAAATCTCAGGCCAGATCGTCTCACTTCAGCTTACACCCCCCTATTTTTCAATGCTTCGAAAACTATTCATATTACTTGGAATTATTAACGAAACATTTAGTATTCTCTACTTCCATATGAAGCATAGGCTTCTTCGTATGCTGCGACTGTACGGCAAAGCTGGGAGCTCGTGCCTGCCTGGGATTACTTTTGCCTCTCCCCTTTCCGCCCTTTCCTTGTCTCATAATTTCTTCTACTTATTAACATTCATTCTCAAGAATTATCAGTGTATCAGACACTATTAATGTTTATGAAGCATGGAATAGAGAGCTCCAACTTACCAACTGCGGGATGGTCTAGTATAAACTTGGCAGGAACATATTTTTGGCTGATTCTCATTTCTCATCAATCTCCAGAAACTTCAGATCTTCTTATACCAATGAGAAAACTCTTTAAGAGTGTCTTTAGATACAGATAAGAAGGCGAAATAAATTTCGCACGTCGAAAAATAGAGCTTGACTTCCAGTTCTCTTGACACCCAAAGGGTGTACCTCTGTTATGCTCTGCAACCCGTCGTCGCTGGCTTGATCGAAAATTGTTTCGACAATGCGAAACTCTGCGAAATACTAATTTATAATTAAAACTTATTTCTTACTTCTGTTCGCTTGATCGGACGTTGAACTGGAACCGAAATCTGGATGCGACTTGAGTTCTGTGCTAACCTATTCCGATATCATCAGGCGCCTATTCCATGACCACTCATATTCTCTCATTTCTACACCCCAGGTCGCTCGTGTATAAATGGAAATGATATATCGAATCGGGTAGATTCTTCTGTTCGCCCGTGTGCTTCGTTACGGTGTTCGGACTGTTGGGATGGACATCTCAATGGTGGCACAGCGGGAAGCGGTCTTTGGCATTCAGAACCGCGACAAACGATCACCGCCACAATGTGCAACAGAAAATTGAGATGACCACATTAATGCCGGAGAGTCACCCTACAATCACTTTATTATTACGCGTTGGGATCGTTTGGCCCATTTGTGTGGGTGTTGACGAGGACTTGCAGAGAACCTAGAAAAGCGTCCTCGCGTTGAAGTGAGATTAGGATAGTCAAAACTAGAGCATTTCAAACCCAGTCATTCCAAACCATCTACAGTCTTTGATGGCATGAAATATGATTTGCTTTTAAGAATCTATTATTGTGTTTTCTATTAACATTAAGTGGGGGGGAAAAGTTGGAGGCTCTCTTGTGCTCTGTCCTGGACAGATAGTACCCACTCAAGCCCAAGCAGCCAAGATCAAAGAGTCGACCAAACTGCTCTTCGCCTTCCCAAGCTCCAACCCACTTGCCACCTCATCATCAATATTATCGTAGAAGTGAGCTTTATCCCACTTAGGCGTCCACCCCAGTTTGAACGCGTTGTCCACAACAATGTCCGAGCTAAGATATGCACAAACCTGGAGTTGAACAGAATGTCAACAAACATCGCTGGAATGCCCATCGCCTCCCCGGCTGCAGCGTCATTTGTCCACACCCGTGTCTCGGAGCCCGTCACAAGCCCACGAGCGTTCATCGCAACAGCAAGACAGCCCAAGGTCTCCCCCCATGTCATTTCGTGCAGCGATGGCGAAATAACAGCCGTGATCACCCCGGGAATTTAATGACCCCTCTGCGGATCCTTGAAGGATGTTATTGACGATCAATCTGTACAGATCTGTCAAGTAGGAAGATGTGTACGCCTGAGAGTTCTCTGGAAGACGATTAGTCACTTATTTCAAGCCATGAATGGCTTTTACTCACGCCATCTTCGGGGAATTTTGGAGACAAATCTCTCTCTCCTTGATACTGGCTTGTACTGCTAGCGGCAGCATCACAGAGAGTTGGTTCAACTTTCTTGTTTCTTTTCCATCTGCCGAAAATGGTTAGTCTGCGTAGGACATCTGGAATGAAGTTCTTAGAGCTGTACATACAATACAAACTGTGGAAGGTACAACTATGAAACTAGTTATTCCCAGCGATTTGGCAGTTTCAAAAATAGTAACGTCGACCTTCGAGAAGTTAGGTCAGTGAATTTATTGGAGGACGGGATGATCTCACATTCCGAATAGCGAAAGAATCGGCGAATTGTTTCTCGGTGTCAAAGATTGGACCAGAACCTTGCATCACAGCTTCTGGCCATCCAGTCTTTGGACAGAATGCACTCAGTCCTGAGGGCTAGGAGGAGGTTAGTACATCAATGTAGATTCCACAGATCAGATGGGAATAAACTCACATGTATGAAGTAAGCCTGACTTCCGCTTCTCTTTTGCTGCTCAGCTAGTCCAGCAAGAAGGTTCAACCCCAAATTTAGGTCCAGGGAGCTGGCAGTGTGGATCACAACATTGACTATGATTTTGTCAGATACGAAATTTGTCTCTAGTAACACTTCAGCAACTTATTGTGATGTTTTACGAAAGTCTCAACAACGGCTTTCTCGTCTGTGAGATCTAGTTGAAGCACGTTTATGCCCCACTTTCATATAAACTCGGCTTGCTCATCGGATCAGACAGCTGCGATGATACGACTTTCCTTGAGCACTGGATCATTGCTGGATAGAAAGTCGGCGACATTGGAGCCACAACTGCAATTCGTTAGCATTTCGATGTATCGGGACGATTGAGTGAAATGTACACATAAGCAGCGGCGCCGGTGACCAAAATGTTTGAGCTCATTGTAATTACTATGAGTTTCTGAGAAGTGCGTTGAGTAGTACCCAGAAACTGCTGTGAGGAAAAGGCAGAGGATTAAGGTTTTCAATAGTTCTATGGAAGCAAGCTCTTTGACTTCAAGTACTCTACAATCTTAACAACACACTCCTCAATCGACAATTCATCTGTCTTGATATGAATCTCCGGGTCCTCCGGCTTCTCATACGGCGCAGATATACCCGTGAAGTTTGGAATCTCCCCAGCCCGAGCCTTCTTATACAGCCCCTTAGGATCCCTCTTCTCCGCAACCTCGACAGGAATATCAACGAACACTTCAATGAACGGGATCGCGTCGTCTCCGTCCTGGCTGGCAGATGCGGATACGTGGAGGTCTCGGGCTATCTTTCGGTCGGCGATATATGGGGAGATAAAAGACGTAAGAACGATCGTGGATGAATCCGCAAATAGCTTCGCGACCTAAGTTCCGAATGCTTTAGTAAAAGAAAAAAAAATGATATAAGCACTCTCGAGCAGATGTTTCCCTACCTCTGCAATCCTACGGATGTTCTCATTTCTGTCCTTCTCGGAAAACCCCAAGTCTTTGTTTAACCCGAATCGTACGTTATCTCCATCTAGACGGTACGCGGCAAGGTTAAGGTGGAGGAGGTGTTGTTCGAGAGCTGTTGCAACGGTCGACTTTCCAGAGGCAGAGAGACCAGTAAACCAGATTGTGAAGCCGCGTTGTTTTCGAAGCTCGTTGCGCTCGTGTCGTGAGAGCGATGGGTGCCAGGTAATATTCCTATTGATCTTGTGTTGGCGGGGTAGAGGGGTGAGGTGAAGATGCGTACTTACGTTGCCATTGCGAAGTGCTTCAACTTTTATTCTCGGAGATATAAAGAGATTCACCTTGATTTATCGACCGCGATGTTTCTCGGAATTTCCAATCAAGGGTAGGGGCTGTATTGTGTTTCTGGGTATGTAAGTTCTTCCCTGAAACCAAAACTTCCAATTGTTCGCCGGTGTAGGATACCCCACCAAATCACGTGAATCACGCCATTTTCTCCACTTTGTAGTGGTGAGGTAGGTAGAGCCAAGATATCTTGGCCGTCAACTCTAAGAGCTCCTCGCTTAGGTAGCAAACAAATATCCTCAACGATGTCCTTCTGTAAATGCAATTCTGGCCTATTCACAAAACTATGATCGTCTGAATTCTCTGGAGAAATCTCGTACTATAGGACGATGGGTACTGGATTGAATTGGAATTTAATAAGAGATAAAGGCAGGGAAAGGGAGTTGCACTTGTGGTTCGATAGTTTACCTAGCTTCTTCGACCTTAAAACCATGGCACTGAGAAACCCAGAGTCAGAGCCAAATCAAACGATCGGAAGAAAATATCGAAGCACACACACACACACACATTACGGTTTGATTAAAAGTATGGTTTCTATTTCCCATCTCACTTCTCCACTTTAGCAACTTCACTCTACCCTCCCCGCTCTCCGTCAAGTCGCCCTCTTGAATATATATATTCTATCCCACACCACCCCACACCAAAACCTTGGAAACCCCAAGTCAAAACGCCATAACCCTTCCATCCTAGACCACAGGCTGTCTTTTCCTGGTATTTATATAAGTACATAGCAAATCCACAAACAAAGTAAGCATATATACAGGCATCTTAGGCCGGTCCATGGGTACGCCGTACTCCTCTCCATGCCAGCATGCAAGCCCACAGTGTAAACCCGTCTTCTGTTCTGCTAGAAAAAAAGCTTCGTTGCCAAGCCGAGCCGAGCCAAGCCAACAAAATTGTACATGCTCCCGCCAGCGCTGGTCCCAGATACAAGTTCACCCTGTCTCCTCTAGGGTTCGGGCTCGTGTTCCTGGATTCTCTTGCTGCCGTCCTGTAATCCCTCGATCAGCCAGTTACCAGCAAGCCAGCCCAGCCGAAGTCAAATCGCGTCATAAGATGCGTATGTATCTTCCCCACCCATCTCCAACCACCCCGAATCCCAAGCCGAAGCCGAAATCGAAGCCAAAACAAAAGAAATGTCCTGCAAACCACATCTCTCCCCAAGTCATTCAAAGAGAATAAGTGCTGTCCTCTCCTCTCCTCATACCAAATCCCCCACCCACCCCATCTTATCCCTATGATCATCACTAATCCTCGCATACTCCAACAACAACCTCAGTACATAAATCTGCATATCCTCCCTCCTCAGCACCTTATTCGCCCACTCCTGCCCCGCCATCGCAATCCTCTCCGCCTCCTTATCATGCCCCTCAATCTTGACATTCTCGCCTTGATAGCCCAAAAAGTACTCCATGATACCCCAGAAATCCATGAACCGGTTATCCATGGGCACGAAGTGCTTCCAGGGTACGAGGCGCGAATCGTGCCATTCCCGGAAGATGGTCGCCTTGATAGGGAGGGACGTCGACATGAGGAAGCCGCGGTAGCGGCCGGAGAAGGAGTTGCCGTCTATGTCGGGGAGGAATTTCCGGTCGAACTGGTCCGCCATTTTCATGCCTGGGGTAAGGGAGAAGCTGGGGGACGTGTAGTTGCAAGATCCGTTTACTTGGGGCACTACACACATCAGGTCTACGAATCCTGTGTCTGCCCATTCGCCTGTCCAATCTCCTAGTCTGTTTTCTTGCTGTGCGGCGAGGTTATAGCTTGATATTGGCATGGCCCAATTTTTGGGGACTTGGCTCCAGTTTTCGGCGGCGGATACTTGGGTTGCGTTTGTCATGGCGACGAATCTGTGGCGTTGGAAACCTTTCCAGTTCGTGGGTTTGTTACGGCCTCCTGTTGCGACTCCTCTCCATATCACTTTATCCATCTTCTCCAGCCAAGGCTTTCCGTGGTCGTTACCACCCGAGAACCGCTCCTCGTTGTTCCAGTACATCGGCGCGGGAAGGAGAATTTCATTATTCGTAGGAAGTTTGGATCCTCCGAAGAGCGGGAAAAGGGTCTTGGTAGAGGAAACCGAAAGAGGATCAATCATCATTCCATGGAGACCTTGTAGATCTGGCTGATGGCAAAAATCCGTAGAGAGGGTGTAGTTGGAGACGTAACCTTTGAATGTATGGGGGATCGTATGCGCAAGGGAGATTTGAGGAGTGTTCGAGAAATCGGTCTGCTCCTCTGCCTGGCGCGCGAGACTGTCAGGATGGCATCCTGCTGCGGCAATCTTCCAAAATGGCCCTAGCAAATGTCAGCGATCAATCATAACCTGGCAATTACACATACTGGTGTCAGTCCAGTTCTTGTCCCGCACTTCCACATCTGGATCTGGGTTGTCTCCTAATGATCCAAAACTCGAAATAACCTCACTTGGTGGAGGCATAGTCTTGGTAGTGCGCTCAATCTCCATGAACTTATCAATCTCTTCCCAGGGGACCACAATTCTTGGCTCATCCATTGCATTCAGGGGAATGTCCATATCCGGCAGCAGATGCTCAATCGTCTGTGTCATATTTTGCCATATCCGAGTCCAGAACCATCCACTAGTTGTCGAAGCATTATGATTCCGGACATTGATAGTCATCTCATAGTCGTGTGCCTCCTTTCGCATCGTCGACGGTGGCAGACCCCAGAAAGGCGCAAGATCATGATAGATCTGGTCGAAGAAGTCCTCTACCATCACCGCTCCATTCTCCTCCGCGAACTTATACCATAGGTCGAATCCTGGCGGTGGGTGACGCCCTCTCCTTTTCCTGTACTCTGCCGCTGCCCCCTTAATATCATGGCTCTCCTTCTTCAGCAGAACGTCAAACACGTCCCCTGCATTTCCAATCAGAGTATCGATCGGATGGGCTGGCTGAGGAGCTTTCGCGACTGGTTCTGTGGGCTTCAGAGGGTCTGCTGGTTTGACTGGTTCCAGGGGCTTCTCGGCGCCGCCTGCTGGCCTCTCTGGTCCTGCAGGCTGTACATCTGGATTTGTCGGGTTCTGTGGGCCAGGAATAATCGGCAGATGCTCTGGAGTGACAGCGACAGGTTGGTGGACAGAGCTGAATGTCGGGGACGTTCGTCGCAAGTAGAAGAGAATACCGATTATGCCTACGGATAGCACCAGATAACGGACGATACCTCCGGCGCGTCGAGGGGGACCTGAGAAGGTCATTGCGATGGGCGACGATATCTTCATGAAAGTATTGTTGGAGGAGAGGAAGATTAAAGGAGAAGAAAAAGTCGTGAAAGGGTCGCGCGGGCGGTAATCTGTTGGTGATGACAGCGGGTAGATAGTGCCTTGGTGGCGTAGCCGAAAGGAGTGAAAGGACGGGGATGGGCCCCAGCCCAGAAAAGAAAGTGCTGGACTGGACGGGAATGTATCTAAGGTAATCAAATCAAATCGCAAATTAAGATTCAGGGGTATTGTCCATACTGTAACGTCTTGTCAGGGACTGCGCCGAGAACCAGGTTCGTAAAGTCGTGCGTGAGGATGGAGATGTTGAGAGGGGAGAGAATGTCGTGACAAGAGCATGGGAAAGAGTACGAGAAGGGGGTAACCTTAAGGTAACGAAGTAACCTATGGTATGCAGGAATGAAAATAGATACGAACCTAAATTTATATTTGGAAGTCAACTCCATTGGCAGGCCGATTAGTGCCAGATCATCAGAAAACTTGGCGAAGAACAACATAAGGTAGGGAGTGCGTTGAAAAGCACTTTTTTATGCAGAGATATTTCTGTCTATTCTCTGCTTGCAAATTGCACCTAAAAACAATTTAAGACATGCTGCGATAAAGTTTTGCTGTTCCTGGCCTGTGCCCCGAAGTGGCAGGGTTTAACTCGCATTGTTGTAGAGGGGAGGGGGAGCGGAAATAGGTAGGTGGGAAGTAGAAATAGTTGGATTGGAGAAGCTTTCAGTCGATGTCGAGTTAAAAAACATAAGAATATTCTGATGTTACCTTACCAATTGAATTGAATTGAATTGAATTATCAAGTATCAAGTTTCCCCTGAAGTCGAGTCAGGGCACTTTCTACCTATTTCCCCTGCCCCAGCCAGCCAGCCCCAGCCAGCCAGGCTAGCTGGGCTAGCTAAGCCAGCGATCTCTCGCTTCCCCCCGCCGCCAAACTCTCGTACAGTAGAGATCCTGGTCCAAAGCCTCACTTCATCTCGGAATCCTCGCCTATCCATCTTCTATCATTTCTGTTCGCCATACCGCAGCGTTCCGTCCTACATCATTTGATCATTGGGACACAAGACATCACATTAATTACGTGCAGCGTACAGAGATCTGCTGCGGGGGCAAGCCAGGGCCGTGAAGTAATGTGACCTGTCGTTCCAGCCCGAGCCGAATCACTGATAAGGGACTCCCAGTATTGTACTGTAGCTTTGAGAGGCTCTTGATTCGGATGCAATAATCCAACAAGCTACGGCCCGCTCTTGATCAGACACTTCCGAGAGGTAGCCTCTCGAGGTCTTCCACGCCTACCTACAGCCTTAGAATTAATTTCCAACAAACAGACAGATCGAACGAGCGAAATCAGGGGGCACGGGACGACACAGGTACCGTACCTTTAAGGTCATCTCCCTTGCATTAAGGGCGTGGTACAGATCACGATGGAGGTACGTCATGAAGTCGAGTCGTTTCTCCTGTCACTGGATTCAAACAGTGTCCCTTCCTGCTTTGCAACTTCTCTACTATTTTTGTGTCAGGTATCAAGAGTTACGATCTGTTTATAGCGTGCGTGCTTTCCCTCTTAGACGAGAGTAAGATCTGTGGAATGCGAGAAGACGCAATGGTACACAACGTCTCTTGGCTTGAGTAGGGCGCAGCTCTTCCTTTGCTGTCCTGGATATTGACTCGATGGGAGATGTGGTACACGCTCATGATTCAAGATGAATCGTTCGGATTGAGCCAACCATCGATGGCAGCTGGCAGACAGCACGACCTAAGTCATATCTGCGCTCAGCCATAGTGGCAATATTATCTCTTCTCCTGCTTTATTTATTTCTGTCTGTCTGTTATATTTGAAAATCTGCTTCTTTCCTGTCCTGCTCTATTGGATACTCGTCTGATAAGTATCTCCAAAATTCTTGGGTGGTGGGCAACGTTCCTGCATGTTGCTATCACATCTCGAGCTGCTGCTTAGTACATGCCGAATTCTCGGGATCGGATCGAGCCGAGACTTTCATAATCGGTAGACTGTCGTGCAAACAGAGTACCTGGAGATTAGCTTTGTATCTTGTGGGCGTTAGAGTTGGAGGTGTAGCATGGTTGTTGTCATCTGGAGGCAGTTCCTCATACTCGTCTTCCCCCTTCACATGTGAAAATATCACATCACATTTGTACTATGCAGGCATCACCACTGTCTCAATTATCTACTTTTGTACTTTACTTCTTTCTATCATGACGCTTCTTCATAATGGGAGGAGGAGAACCAAGATGGATCGCAGTTACAATGGTCCTCCTCGTCAAGGTCCAGTTCGTTATATCAGTCCAGCCCAGCTAAATCTTGAACGTCTTTACGAACAGAACCGCCTCAATGCCACCAAGAAAGATGCTGCTACAGCACCAGGTCCAGCACCTGGTCCTGCTGCAAAAGGAAAGCCAAGATTGCTGTTGATGGGGCAGAGAAGGTTTGTGGTTATCCTTTGGCCTCTTGACCTCGCTGACAGAAAACAGGAGCGGCAAATCGTCTATTTCCAGTGTGGTATTCCATAAGATGCCACCAAACGAAACGTTATTCCTCGAATCTACAGCCAGGATACAAAAAGACTCTATGCAGTAAGGAATCTACTTGCCCTCTCAACATCCGCTAACGATCCAGCTCCTTTATGGATTTTCAAGTCTGGGATTTCCCAGGCCAAGTAGATTTCATGGACCCGTCCTTCGACCTTGACGCCATCTTCGGCGAAATCGGCGCTCTAATCTGGGTAATCGACGCCCAAGACGACTACCTCGAAGCCATCAACCGCCTCAACAGCACAATCCTCAACCTCCAACCCTCCTACCCCAACGTCAACATCGAAGTATTCATCCACAAAGTGGACGGCCTCTCAGACGACTACAAGCTCGACATCCAGCGCGACATCACGCAGCGCATCCAAGACGAGCTCTCGGACCACGGCGTCGAAAACGCCCCCATCAACTTCCACCTCACCAGCATCTACAACCACAGCATCTTCGAGGCCTTCTCAAAGGTAATCCAGAAACTCATTCCGCACCTGCCCACCCTCGAGGCCCTCCTCAACAACCTCTGCCGCGCCTCGGGCTTCGAAAAGGCTTACCTCTTCGACGTCCTCTCCAAGATCTACATCGCCACCGACAGCTCCCCCGTCGACATGCCCTCCTACGAGATCTGTTCCGACTACATCGACGTCATCGTCGACATATCCGAGATCTACGGCTGGAATCGCCCCGCGAAGTATACGGAGTATCTGGAGGGCCCGCCGTGGAATAAGAAGCTCGAGGATCAGATTGCGTGTAAGGAGGCGGAGAGCACCATTGTGCTGACGGATGGGAAGAGACCGATTATGCTAAGGGAGGTTAATAAGTATCTTGCGCTGGTGGCGGTCATGCGTGAGGGCAGTTATGGGAAGATGCCGGTTATTGTTGAGAATGTGGGGACGACGGTTGAGGGGTTGTTGAGGGCTTTTGAGATTACGAGGCAGAGGAAGTAGGGTGATAGATTTAGGGACATGTTTGTGCATAGGTTTGCATTGTATCGAGATGTTCGGCGAGGAAGGGGGTGGGTAGTGTATCGTTAGCCGAAGTAGTATTTATGGCTCAACACTGAGCTGAGCCAAGATTACTGCAAGCTTGGAAAGTACAATGCTACAAATTATACAGTCATGTAACCAAAACAAGTTTTCACTTCTCAATTCTCCTGTTCTGTCCTTTGCTTCGAACAATCCTATATTTTCGTCGTTTCACTTGGGCTTGGGCTCATCTCAGCCTACCCGATGCTTCACCCACCACCGCCTGGTCATTGTTGCGGGACACTTGCCGTGAGAAAATGCGATGAGTCATGAAGCAAGAGAAGCAAATGACAATACTAGTGTTGCTGCTTCCTAGCTGGGCGGTTGTAGCAGAGCGAGCACACGGCCACCTGGAAATTCCGGAAAATGTAGCAGTTCTTCACAAAACTATAGGTCGCAAGTATATATATATAAAACACGACATAAAATTTAAAAGTCTTCGCTTTTTTGTTGGGTATACCAGATCATCAAACCATTTCCCCACCTCACCAAGCCGTAATATCCTCAACCTCCGCCTCCCCAAACGTACTATTCTTCGTAACAGCCCCAACACCACTCTCAGCATCGACAGCCTCCCTCCCAGGCGCACTCATAATATCCGGCAGCACATCATTCAAAAACTCCAAAATATGCCGATTGACCTGCTCAAACTGCAATAGGAAAGCATCGTGGCCCTCAGGAGAATCAATCTTACGCAGTCTCGCGTTCGGAATCGTCGCGGCGAGTTCCTTCTGCTCGTCGAATGTGAAGAGTCCGTCGCTCTCGATGCCGAGAACAAGAGTCGGCTGCTGGATCTGGGCGAGTGCGTCGGCGATGGGTGTGGTTGACTCGGCGGAAACGCGGTACCGCGAGACGTCGTGGGTGTCGAGCTTGCGGGTGATGGCGATGTAGCAGTTGCTGTCGAAGCGTTTGACGAATTTCTCGCCCTGGTAGCGGAGGTAGGATTGTGCTGAGAAATAGGTTGATGTTCCCCGCTTCTGGTCCGATAGAGGACTGCTCGTGCTAGGTGAAGTCGACACGGTGGCGCCATGGAATTGGGGATCAGTGAAATTTGACGACTCGCTGGTGCCGTTTGTTTGTGGAGCAGGAGATGTAACGTCTGCCGAGCTGCCAGGTCTTGAGAGAGGCGATCGTTTAGAACGGTGGCCGTCGTTGTGTATTGCTAGATGTATTTCGGAAGGAGTCGACGGGTGCTGATCTTGGCTGATTGTTTGCTTCTTTGATGCATCTGGTGTATTCCGCCCGAATCTTGCCTCGAAAGAGTTGCGACTTCGGTATGTGAGTAGGGCAGACATACGCGCTGCACCGAGACCAGCCGTAGGAGGGTCAGAGAAGGGGTAGTATCCGTCGTCATATTTCGGGTCCGTATAAATGCTTTGTCTTTGTGCCTCTCCCCAACTTATACCCCAAGCACTGTGTCGACTCGAGGTTGCAATCGGTACGATTGATCTGACGTAGTCTTTGCCAAAATATGCCCATTCCAAAACTAGCATGCCTCCCATAGATCCGCCAATGATTGCAGCAATTTGTTTGACCCCTAGATCGTCCAGCAATAATTTGTGTATACTTAGAGATAGTCAGTCGATTATCCGAACATAACAAGAGGTATACTTACTTGACATCGTCCCTTATTGTTGTGAGGGGAAACTCTGGGCCATATCTCTCGTTCTTCTGATTCCCATCTTTGCAAGTGACGGGACTCGCACTCCCATAAGGACTTCCCAGACTATTCATACACACCACGAAGAATCTCGAGATATCAAAAGCTCTCCCTGGTCCCCCTAGCAAAGGACCCCACCAGTCTCCCACATCTGCGCTGCCAGTCAAGGCGTGGCAGATTACCATAGCATTGTTTCCGTCTGGCGAGAGTTTGCCCCGAGTACTGTATGCCAAAGGGACATTCTGCAGAGTCACACCCGATTCGAGGGTAAAAGATGGAATGATTGCAATGGTCTGGTCGGGTATCAAAGCTGCGAATGGGTTCTCGGGTTGCTGTTGCGTTCTTTCTTGGACGTATTCAGTCACTGGTCTTCATGGAGGGGTAATTGTGGGGGGAAGACTGACCGTATTTTAGAGGCATTGGCATTTCTCTGCCATTGGATTGCGAATTGCTAGCCATTGTGAGATGTTGAGAAGAATTGCCGTGCAATGGAGTATTCGGGGAAATGCTGGAGGTTAAATAATTGAGTGGCTCTGAGTGTTCAGTCATTGAGAAGAGTCAGAGATCGTCATCAGCATCCAGTCGGGAGCCAGTTTTTTGGACGCCGTTGCCATCGCCCGTGCTTCTGCAGTGCGTGGGGGTTCAGGGGCCACTGAGATTCAGCGCGAACCTCCGTTCGCGGATGCGACAGATTCGGCCTCCCGTTCCACTTAGTAGTGGGCCCTGTGGAACGGTAGGCTGCATGTGCCAGATGTGGTTCCGCACCTATTACATGTGAACAAGTACCTCCTTAAGGTACCTCTTCCACCAACTTGACCATGTTATTTCCTAGCACCAATATACGAAGGCCCGCCATTAACGTTTGATGTTATCCTACGTACTCTGCTACGAATGGTAACGATGATTAAGCACGTGACTCACCATCAGTCCATCAGTTTTCAATGTTAATGGGCATGTCTCTACCTATGTAATCTTCATCACTTAGCTGTTACAGCTCAAAATTGCTACAAGACGAGAAGTTGAAGAGTCAATACTGTATGTGTGTCCAGGCTTTGAAGATTAGTTGTCGTTATAAGAACACAAGAACTCGACCGATTGGGAATCAAGCGCTGTGCTCGGAGATACAGATACATGACTTGGGTCGTGGAGACTGAACTTCGGGCACATAACCGCTACATATTTTTCAACCCTATCTAGCTGATGGGGATGAGTTTACGTTTTCACAATCTTGGCCATCCAGATTTGAATTCTCTTAGGCTTTTAGACAGGGGCATGATACTGTATAGCTACTTTAGTATTATCATCAACAGTTAAGTTCGTTACTGTATATATTAAACATCCTCCCTTCCTCATAATCATAATTTGACTATCCGAACACACCAACCCAACTTGGATTTCTAGTTCCCTCTCCAAGATATAGGCCAGAATAGTATCCCAAACTGAGACCAAATGTAGTTATGAAAACAACAACTGCTTGAGCACCTTCCAAGGTGTCTATCTTGAACACTCTCAGAAGAAATTTATTGTCGAGAATTGATACAGGCATCATAAAAGTTAATAAAAGGCTCAAAGCTACAACCGTGACATGCACAAACCCCCCGAAAATATACTTTCCCAGTGTAAACAAAGACTCATAAACAGGCAGAGCAACTTGAGGCCTATCAAGAACAATGAGTTTTGAATGGAGATAACCAGCATATCCAGCGAATGGAAAATTATACGTGATAAGCGCATTCCAGTTTGCAAACCGCTGCAGAAAAGTGAAGAGCGCAGTAGTACATATAATTTGAGATGTCCCTATAAGGAAGAAAACTTTCAAAGTCCAGACTTTGTACGGCTTCGAAGCAAGGTAAAGTAAGAGGCAATACGTTAAAGCAATCGGAATAGTTATAAATAGAAATCCCAAAACAGCAGCTACCACAGGACCTCTCCAAATAGCTACAGACTCTGTGATATGGTCGCAGTAATGCCACATGATGCTAAAGATTGTTGTCACCGCCACGCCGTAGTAGATCGCTACCGGAATGGCAAGCGTATTTCCCTCTGTAAAGCTCGAGAGCGTGCTTATTGCTCCGTGACCTCGCCAATTCGGAGGTGCCAGGATAACAGGACTGTTCAATCTATTTGAACGCGCAAGGATGATGAGAGATTCTCCGAAGCAGATGGAGATAAAGTACATTAGTGCCCAGGTCTTAGTCCACGGAATTCCCGTCATAGCAACCAGTTTGATAGTCTGGCAGGGAATCCCGGCAACCACAAGAAGAACGATTCGCATCAGCCTTGTGTTTTCGGCATTTTGGATGTCGTGTTCCGTGCTATCGCCATTGAACCGCACATTGAGTTCGTATTTGATATTTTTGATGAATCTCTGACGATTGAGGCTTGAACCCAGCAGAATGATGATGGTAAAGTGGACGACGTCCGCAATGCATATTAGTGGCGATGCGCGAATGTAGAATCGGAAGTTCTTGTCTTTGTAGCCAAGGATATTGCCACAAGGCTGGATCATAGTTCCGATAGCAAGAGGTACTAAAGACCACCAGGCGGTTTGCCAGGACACTTCTTTAAAAGAGTCCTTCATTTCGGAACCATACTGGGTGGAATCCATTGTTGCGCATCGATGGCGGAGACCTCATGAATGGGTTCCTAGTTTGGGCACTGCGGTGTGAGCTTCAGTTGGCCGATAGACAGTGCCAGTCTATTTGTGGCCGTGCTGCTAGAACGTTGCAGTTAGAAGTCGTAGACCGAACGATTTGGGTTTTCCAGGCACAAAGAGGTATTCTGCTTGAGGAATCTGGTACAGTAGTAGTAAACAGAAAGTACCAGCAGGACCGCAGAGTCTCGCTCAGTAAACAAGCATCAGATGGCCTGGCGCGCGGTGTTGCCGGTGCCGGAACGGTGAACGCTCGGGATATGAAGACGCCTCGGCCGGGCAAAAGCTCCTAGACCCACATCCGAAGCAGGCCCGCCTTAGCGCCATCTTGACAGCACAGCCACAGCCAGACTCGACTGAAAAAGCTATTCCTCGTATGTATTCAAATAAGCACAAATGTCGTCATCAAAGAACTCCAGTCGAAGTGCCAGAGTGGTTAATGGGTATGACTCGAACGGTCTTCTTCAGGACCCGATAGATATCATATGGTTTCGGCCGCGTAGGTTCAAATCCTGCCTTCGACGTTCTTTTGCTTTTTGGATGGAGTAAAGTGAGATTCTCTTTTTGCTCTTGGTGATTGATATGTTTGAGTTTTTTCGCTTCCGCTAAGCCTTGCACTCCTTCAAGCGGGGCAACCATCCAAGACCCGCACTTTATTTTCTCTTCGTTTAATTGTGCACAGCATGTTTACTTACGTCCTTCTTCATGTCCAAATCTGAGTAGGCCCATGTTGATGGAAGTGAGAGATCAACTTTACGTCCTCCTTCATGTCCAAATCTGAGTAGGCCTATCTTGATGGAAGTGAGAGATCAACTAGCTTTCCAAAATGTTCTTGAAGCATCGCCCCACAGCGCATCCTGTCCCTCGTTGCACGCCTGCGCTCTGTGTGTCCCGCGTTACATTTTTTCATGTCCTACTCAGTTTTCCGTATAGCTACTGTGTGTACTACAGTTCTTTCTCTTATAGTTCCGTAATGAATAACTATTACAAAGTTGACTGATTCTCGTTCGCAATTTGCTTCTATACGTCATTTCCAGGGTTCACAGGATTTGTCTAAGCTTACTGTGTACGATTATCATTCGGTTTAGACCTCTTCAACAAAACAATCGTTCTTCCCTTATTCAATCCAGCTTCCAAGGATTCCCAAACTGAATTCAAAGGGAATGAATGTATGACTAGGCTGAAAAGGTTCCATCAGGAACCATTTGAGCGTTCCACATGTTCGAAAGAAAGGACTTATGGTTACGCCACTGGAATCCACGTTACGGCCCTGGCATAGTAAGTAATACCATCAAACCTCAACTATGGCCGGCAGACTTTGATAAGCCTGTTGAAATTTTCTCATCTATCCGTAGGAGGAGTCACCGCACATTTGTATGAAACATTCAGGACCATTAAATGATCCATGAAGTCAAAGACACATAAAATGACAATGCAAAAACTCCTATTTTGTACTCCCGAAGCTATGCAACCCCCCCTCCAACCCAGCTATCTACAATACAACAGCAAAGAAAAAGACCATGGTATCGTAAAGCAAAGACCTGCTCTTCCCTTCCCAGCTCACTCCCATCTACGCATCCCCTTTATGCTTCCTCTTCTTCTTAGTCCCCTCCTCAGGCTCCTCCCCATCAGCACCATCGTCCGCCTTCCTCTTCTTCTCTTTACTTCTCTTCTCCTTTTTAACCTTCTTCGCTTCCTCCACAGCACCACCATCCGCATCAGTATCCTCCTCTCCCTTGCCCTTTTTCTCCTTCTCCTTCTCCTTATCCAGCCTAATCTTCTTCTCCACAACCTCCTCATCCACACCACTGCTCCGCCTACGCTTCTTCTTCGACTTCCTCGACAACTCTCTAGCTGCATCTTCCTCTTGTATCTTTGTCGCCGCCGCAATCTCAGCCTGTAAACTTGCTTCGAGAGCTGCGAAATCGACTTCTGGCTCTGGTTGTGGGGTGGGCTTTTTGGGGCCTGCGAGTTTAGATGCTTCGTATGCGGATTTCTTGGCTTCTCGCGCGGCTTTTCGTGCGAGAGCTGCTTCTTCCTTGAGCTGCTTGCGACTCTTCTTCGGCTCGGCGGGTTGGAGATTGACGGGTGTGGGTTCGATATCGACGACGAAGTAGGGATTGGGCTCGACTGCAGTAGCATTCTCCTCCGCTGTCGCAGGTTTGGCGCCGTTTGATGGGAAGCGCGACATCTTGGAGCCGATGCTGAGTTGGATGAAATCTGTGTTGTCTGCTACTACGTCGTGATCAATTTCTTCTGCATCGGAGTCGTCTGAAGCATCTGATGTGTCTGTCATCTCACTGTCGCCGTCTTCATCCACATCCTCGGGGTTTCTGCCCAGCTTGCCCTTTCCGGCAGGGTTGTATCCAATATCTGCAGCTTTCTTGTCGAGTTCTGGTTCGAGGCGTTCGAAAGACGTTCCAACCACACCGAGGCCCTTCTTATCTTGCAGATGCTTCGCATGAATCTGTAGATAATCAATATATATTCAAACAGTATCTCATGTAAACTCACAATACCCTGCGCAGCACTCCGCGCAGTCGTAAAAGCTTCGCGCGCCCTGTCCATCATACCGCAGATAATCCTCCAATTGCCCTTCTCACCCAACTCAAAATCCAACCTCTCCTTCTCAGGTAAGTCTGCCATCTCACTCTTCACATTCTGCATCACTCTATCGAGCGCCTTGATATGCGACTCCAGAACCCCCAGGTGCTTCTTAAACAACGCCGGCCATTTCGCATGCACAGGACTCTTCACGAGCGGCTTCGGATGACCAATTGGCAGCGAGAGAGTTGTAGATCCAAGAAGATTAGACTGTATTGCGCTCTTCGCCTCTTTCGACAGGACTTTCTTCGCCTTCTTTTCTGGCCTCGGTGGTTTTGGCATTCCTGGAATTTTTGGTTCCTGGTTTAATTTTTTGGCGTCTAGTTTCGTTTCCTTGCGACCAGCTTTTCCTTTGCCTTTGCCCATAGTAAGAAGTGGTTTCCTTTGTTATATGGAGAGTACGACGTTGTGATGGTAGGATAAAGAATCGCGCATCGAGCTGCTTCGAGAAATTTTGGCGCAGCTCTGTTTTAGGGCAAGGCTGGAAACTTTTTGGCGGGGAAGGCTGGGCTCGGTGGGGCTGAAACGCAAAGGTTGGTAGGTAAGTTGGTGGCTGGGAGCCTCGCTTAGTCACTGTGCTCCTTTGTAGATCATCACTCCCTAGCATCACTTCAGGACTGCTATCACTACACTGCCTTGAAATTATGCGATAAATCAAACTCATATCGTAGATTAGCTGACGAGGCATTCAGTCATTGATATTGAACCAATTGATGCGATGTGGTAAACTGTGAAGAGTAATAAATCAATTTTAAGATATTCATCTAGTCTTTTAAACCCATATAAATACATCTCCCGTCATACTCACCCCCACCACCAATAACCCATTGAACCGGCTCTCAGGACACCCAGCTATTCATCTTCTTCCCTCAACGAACCAACCAACCAACCAACCAACCTGTCAGTGCTGAGAAAATCTCAATCTAAGCAACCTCCTCAATCAACTTCCCTCCCCCCATCCCATGCCCTCCACCCATCTTCACACTCCCATCAAATACCCTCCCCACAGGCGCATCCAACCACTCCTCCGGAACACCAATCCTATTCCCCTCCTTCGTACTCACCCAGCGAACAAACATCGCGTTAGGTTTTACCGGCTCGCCGTCCCCGGCGGAGTTGTTAGTAGAGTTTGCTGCGTTATTGGCGTCCGAGGCGGTCATGCCGGCGCGGCGGGCGTTGGTTTTAGGGGCTTGTTTTTTGAGGAGTTTGTTGATTGTTTCAAGCTGGGGTGGGGTGGGGATATTAGTGGGCGCTGTTTTTGGGGTGTGTGGATAGGTAGGTTAGGGAGATTGAAACGGGATGTGGAGCGGAGCGGTGGAGATGTGTGAGTGTAAGGGATTTCAAGAAAAGCGTGGGCTATTTGGGGATGTGATAAATTAAATGATAAAGACAAGCTGAGCACATACCTTCTCCTCCTCGTTGCGCTTCTCGCTGAGGTTTTTACGACGACGAGCCATTTCTGCGCGGCGCATGGCGTGTTCTTCTGCTGTGAGGTGTTTCTTGACTTGAACCTCTGAATGCAGTGTTAGTATTGGTCACGATACAAATGATGCGGACCGGGACATACCATCAGGCAAAGCCAACAAATGGCCACCATCACTCTCCTCGAATCGCGCACGTTGTCTCTTAGTCAACTTATTCAGATCCGGAGTCGAGGCTCTACTTCCACCACCCGGCGTCTCGTCATCACTATCCAGACTATCATCGTCCTCTTCATCACCATCCTCCTCAACTTCAATTTCCTCATCTTCGCCTTCGGCATCTTCCTCATTACCCGTTTGCATGCCTTCCTCCTCTTCGACTTCCTCAGCGAGATCGCTGTCTAACTCGCTCAATTCCTCATCGTCACTAGCATCCTCCATCTCTTTCTGCTCAACTGGAAGGACTTTGCCTTTGACGACAGGTGGTTTGACGGTGATGACTTCTTTGGCTTTGCCATTTGCTCGGGAGACTTTGATTACGGGCGGTGGAGGCGGGACATCGACTTCCATGTCAATATCGCCTTCAGCGTCTTCATCGCCAAGGCCATCGTCCTCGGCATCTAGATCTTCATCGTCATCCTCCTCCATCTCAGCATCTTCATCACCAGCCTCTTCCATCTCCTCATCCTCGTCCTCTTCCTCACTATCACTCTCCAACACATAACTCTTCCTCACATTCCTCGCCCTCTTGCCCTCGATAATCTGACCGCCGATAAATGGATCACGCGCATTAGTCGTAGTGCTGGATCCTGAATTTCCGGATGAACTGGAGCGTGTTGCCTCGCGCAGTTTGCTTGATGAAGTCTTCACTGTGAGCCGCATCGATGTCGGGCTCCTGGATGAGCCGGATGGAGGACCACGTGAAACTGTGGCCATGGATACATTTTCTGCAGTGTTGCGACGCGAGCGTGATGTTCTGTCGTGAGGTGGAGAGTCAGCCACTTTGATTGCTTCGTTGGCCTTCACGGCTGCTGAGCGTTGACTGCGCCGCGATGACATTGTGTCGGGTTATTGTCTTATCTCAACTCGATGCACTTGCTTGAGTAGGATTTCAAGGGAAAGATATGTGCCCTGCAGGTCCGAGTTGAAGCTGACGATTTATGTGGGGTGTCGCTTGGATGACGAGTAGAGGTGGATGTGAGTATGATTTAGATGAGGTTGGCAGCAAGGGCCATCGGGATATTGCCCCGATAAAGTAAGAAAGATGCAGCGTGGGATTGAAGACAAGACGGGTGGGATAGGCGCGTCGTATGCATGTAGGAGATGAGATGTCATCCAACCCATGCGAATAAGCGCGTTCTTTCAGCCAACAGCATCGCCGTACGAATAATTAATTAAGTAGTTCATGAGATTCGTCTGGCAAACGCCGTCCCGTGCTCTGCTTGGAGGTTGATACGAGACTTCTCGGTCGCTCACTCTTGCCCCCTTTCTCTTTTAATAAATGAGGATGAAAGGTGCCGCATCCCTCCTCCACAATATCCCGTCTCGTACAACTCCAGAAAAAAACCCAAACCGGCAACACACAGCAAATGAGAACCGCAAGCGGGATTACACTGCCCAGTCGACATGCGCCACCAACAATCTGATCAATCAGAAGGCTGGAATTGAAGGCAGCGATGAATTGACCGGGTAAGTAAAGTACTGATACAGAACAAACAAGAAACGCGATAACAAAATGAACGACTATCTCAACTCACTCATTCTTCCCGCTCGTGGCTTTCTCAGCCCTGCCTCCCCGTGAGCCTGCAGCTGATCCCGTTGCACCTGTACCTGTACTAGCCCAGTCGATGGGGTCCGCTGTGCCCTCCGAGTCTGTACTCAGCGTACGGAGCTTCTTACTGGGTCGTTCTGGTCGTCCGGACATGATGCGTTGGATTGGATGGCGGCTGAGTGCGTGGTGTCTGGACGATGATGGGAGTGGTTGGCTTGATCACGCAGATCTTTTGATATATGCTTGAAAAGTGTCAAACTTCGAGACAGAAGCGAGAGGAGTGGTGGGCGTGTGAAGGGGTAGAAGCTAGCGTAAGCTGAAGTATGACATGAAGCGTTGTTAATACGGATGAATATTCTAATGAATCTCGTTCAGTTCTAAGTCGTGACTTTGAGTATTCCATCCTCTCCCTTCCCCTCCCTTCCCCAAACTCAAACGTCAGACCTGGACCAATGCTGTGATTGGTGGAATCATGATGACTTAAGCAGGTAGCTCGAAATCGGAATCGCAGCTAGCCAATGGTGGAGCGCTATATCCATTACATAAGTCAGCATCTCCATTTTACAGCCTCGCCATTACGAGTACCCCTCCATCTCTCCACTTTATACCGAACCTCAGACTTCAAGCTCAACAAGCAATGGCATCTCAATTCGGCAACCCCGCCGACCTCCTCCCCGTCCACTGGAAGTCCCAAATAACCGCCTGGTTCGCCGAAGACACGCCCTCCTTCGACTACGGCGGCTTCGTCGTCGGCGACAGCGAACGAACAGCCACCCTCTACGGGAAATCAAAAGGCGTCCTCGCAGGCGTACCCTTCTTCGACGAAGTATTCGCACAGGCTGGCTGTACAGTGAAATGGCACCTCCCCGAAGGATCACTCGTCGATCCCGGCTCAGCAGGTAAAATCGCTGTAGCTACCGTCACGGGCCCCGTCCGGAAACTGTTGCTGGGGGAGCGCGTGGCGCTGAATACGTTGAGTCGGTGTTCTGGCGTGGCGACCAAGTCGAGGGCTGTGGATGAGCTGGTTAGAGAGGCGGGGTATAAGGGGATATTGGCTGGGACGAGGAAGACGACGCCGGGGTTTAGGCTGGTGGAGAAGTATGGGATGTTGGTTGGGGGTGTGGATGGGCATCGGCATGATTTGTCGAGTATGATTATGCTGAAGGATAACCATATCTGGGCGAAAGGCAGTATTACTGAGGCTGTGAAGGCGGCGAAGTCTGTGGGAGGGTTTGCGCTGAAGATTGAGGTTGAGGTGGATAGTGAGAAGGATGCGGATGAGGCGATTGCGGCGGGTGCGGATATCATTATGCTGGATAATTTTGATGGAGAGGGATTGAAGGTTGCGGCGCAGAGTATAAAGCAGAGGTGGGCTGGCAAAAAGGAGTTTCTACTTGAGTGCAGTGGAGGTTTGACAGCGCAGAATGTTGGGACTTATATCAATAATGGTAAGTGTGGAAGTGTCATTGACAAATCTTCGCTGATTGCGGCCTTAGACATCGACATCATCTCGACGAGTTCAATACACCAAGGCGTACCTCATGTAGACTTTTCCCTCAAGATAGATCATGCACCTTGATTTTAGAAATATCACAATCAATTCACATTCACGTAAATGATTCCTTGCAGTGGCCCGTACAGTCTACAATGCTTTTGCAATCGATTTGTCTGCCTATCAAGTCTATGTTATTCTGAAGTATTTCCCGTCAAGAAAGCACCACAAAAGAAACTTTTATATCGTCAGCCACCGGCTCCCAACATTCATCATCGTCATGGTATCATAGCAAGCATCCATCCAATGATTTCTTCATCCCCATCTACCTCCCCTGTCTCTCAAAGAAACATTCCAACCTATCTCAAAGCAACACGAGCGAAGGTTGGAAGAACGAAGCTGGCCTTGTGGATATCAGAGCTGTAGTATCTGCAAAGCTTCTCCTCCTCCTCAACAGTCCACTTGCGAACTGGGGTCTTGAGGTCACGCTCGGCGTCCTTGCAGCAGACCATGAAGCCGATTTGGCCGGATGGGTATGTTGGGATGGTAGTGTAGGCGTACTCGACGTTGGGGAAAACCTCCTTGCAGTCTTTCTTGAGCTTGGTGATCATAGCAAGGTGGAGCCATTGGTTCTCGGCTATTCATACACGTTAGTACGTTATCTTCAAAAGTACACTAATCAAAAGAACGAAAAGCAGTATTGCTGTGTATATCTGATGAATGGTAATCTGTACCAGGAGCGAGCAAAAGCTTGGATATCATAAAGACAAAACTAGCATATGGATCGCAGATTCCCTAACCCGAATGAAGGACAAAAATAAATTCGAAATCGAAAGAACCACTTGGCTCCGCAGACGAAGGAGAACGTACAACCTTGAGTGGTAATTACACCGCCCGCCTTGAGAGCACCGAAGAGCAGCTCGAAGTATGGCTTCTGGAACAAGCTCTCAGCTGGTCCCTCTGGGTCGGAGGAGTCGGTGATGATAACATCGAACTCGTTCTTGTAGTCATCCAAAAACTTGAATCCATCTCCAACGTGGACCTTGACCTTTGGGTGTTGGTAGCTGATAGCCATGCCTGGGAGGTACTTCTTGGACAGACGGATGACAGCCTGTGGATGTTTAGCAGATATTCTTTCTCTTTCCCAATACTGTTTTGTAGCCCTAACCCACCTCATCGATGTCGCACAGGATAGCCTCCTCAACACAGTCATGCTTGATGACTTCACGGAGAACACCTCCATCACCACCACCAATGACCAGGACCTTCTTGGGGTTTGGGTGGGAGTTCATGGCCAAGTGGGTGATCATCTCCTGGTATGCGAACTCATCACGCTCGGTGCATTGGATGACATTGTCGAGGACAAGGACGGTTCCGTAGTCGGTGGATTCGAAGATGAGGACGTCTTGGTACTTGCTCTTCTCGTGGTGGATGACATTCTTGACCTTCAAAGTCATGGCTTGACCTGGCCACATGTCGGAGATCTCGCGGAACCAGCCATCTGTAGGGGTTGAAAAGTTAGCAATGGCGGTCAAACGCATGGATTGTATTCATCTCTAGATATTTGCTTGAGGGAGTGTCTCTCAACCGTAAAGCCGTGGGAGTGAATTGATATATCCGAATCCTTTGCTCGTAGCCTCTTATTTACAATAACACAAACCCTCCGGCAGAGGAGATAGATATCTCGCAGACTATGGCAGAGTGACGTAGGTGAAAACTTACCCTTGATGGTGGGGTGGGTGATTTCAGACATCTTAACTGAACGTGTTGAAAGAGGGTGGTTTTGAAGAGTAAATGTTGTTCTAGAAGAGAAACTGGAATATCCAAAGATGTGCTGAGGAAATCCACCAAGATTTGTACGGTATGAAGAAGATGTGGAGTGGGAGAGACGACAGGAAGAGATGGAGGGGTAAACGAGAACGAGGCGATTCACGGGCTGCATAAAAAGTGAATTTTTCTGGCTGGATGATTGCACTGCAGCAAGCCAGCAAGGATGCGGGCGGTTGCAGCGAGAAATCTCAGCCTGGCAAATCAAAACACGTCCCTGCAGCGGAAAGCTCCGCTTATTTGGACATCCGATCCAGGGCATGGATCTGTGCTCAATTCAGGTTGCTCGGACATAGACGTGTTAGTGCCCGCGTCCTGCGAAATCCGGGGGCCGAGGCTCGTAGCCCAGCCACAGGCTCACAGCATCCAAAACATCAAGCCTTCTCCAACCTTGAGTCCTCATCCCGCGCATCTTCATCAACACCCCACAATGAGCCATTCCGACACAGAGAAGAAAGCGAAAGCGGGAATACCTGCATGGCAGATCAAAGCATCTGAAGAGGCAAGACCAGAGGAACCTCCGGCGCAGAAAGAGGAGAGTCGCGAGGTGGTGATTGCACAGGCGCAGAAGTTCCTAGAGGAGGACGAAGTCCGAGATGCCTCTACCGATAAGAAGATTGCTTTCTTGGAGAGTAAGGGGCTAGGAAACGAAGAAATACAGGAGCTGCTAGGTATTGCGAGGAATACAGAGGCTAGCAATACTTCAGAAGTACGTTCCCCGCGACATTCGAAGAGCTCCTACTGACCCGCTCCTAGACTTCAGCAGCATCACCACCTCCGCCATCGACACAGACACAGACATCTCCCCCGCTTCCACAACCAGGATACTCTCCTCCACAATACCAAGCACCTTCTCAACCGCCCATAATAACATATCCTGAATTCCTCACCACGCCACCTCACCCAACACCTCTAATAACCAAACCCCGCCTCCTCACAACCCTCTACGCATTCTCTGGCCTCACAGCCCTCTTATACGGGACACACAACTATCTGATCACCCCAATGCTCGCCTCTCTAACCGAAGCCCGCCTCTCCTTCGCCTCAACATCCAAAACAAACCTCGATAAACTGATATCACAACTCGAAGGCGTAGTGTCCGAAGTCCCAACCAATACACGAAACAAGGGAACTGGCGAGGCAGACGACGAGAGTGAAAGCGACGAAGACCCTACCGAGCTCTTCCACCGTGACATCGGTATCCAAACCTCACCATTCATATCTCGGCCCTCTTCGCCAGTCGACACTTCACCAGTTAACGGCCACACCTTACGTCTCGAAAGCCTCAAAGCAACACTCGACGGGCTGGTAGAAGATAGTTCTAGCGAAGGGGCGGAGACTGCTGAGTTAGAGGGCACGATGGGCATCCTACGGGAGTATCTGGATGAGCTGGCGTTTGTGCAGCCGAGTTACAGTTATGGTGTTAATGGGTATGGAGGGGGTGGGAGGACGGGGAAGGATGATGATGATGAAATTGGGAAGGTGAAGAAGGAGATTAGGGGGGTCAAGGGTGTGTTGCTTAGTGCAAGGAGTTTTCCGGGGGTGGTGAGGGTTGGAGGGGCGAGGTAAAGTACTATATGTTCGTCAGACAATGTAATGATATTTAACAAAACACGTTTCCTGCACATTAGCCTTCCAGCTTGCGAACTATCTCTCAGATGTCTTATCTTACGGATGGGATGCCATGGATACCATGCTCTATGCCTCGATTGCCTGCTGCAAGCGGCTACCAATATTCAGCATCTTCTCGTTTTTTTCTAGCTAACGACGTTTTCCAGCACGTCAACTTTCCCCCTACAAATATGTTGAGACTTCCAGTATCGTTGTCCTCACCTACGGTACACTTATGTAGTTTGGACCATTTACCCTCGTGGCAAGTCATCCAAGTATATCAGTCTATCAAGTCAAAAGTTTCTGCTGCAAATTATAAAAATGATTTCCATTCCATCATCCCACACAACCAAGTCCAAGCTTCAAAGCAAACTTACTCCGTATGATACGAGTAATATCATATCTCCGTGCCCACCGATCTATTCTCTATTACCCAGTCAAGTGAGTACAGGGAACGAAGAAGCATCAACACCAAGAAAATCAAAATGCCCAGCTTCACCTGCCTGGACTCCTCATCTTTCCAGAACCACACCACTCCACATTCGCACATCCAACAGATGGATACTCACGAAATAGCCACCCAAATCACTCACCTGATATCATATCTGGGAGGAACACCGATCCTGAGCATCAATCAACCAATTACCTGGTTGCTTAAATACATTCTTCCGCGCCAATAATCAATATTACCTCGTCTCGTTCAACACTCTCATAGCCCAAGCTGCAAGAATAGTGCACAGGTCAGAGCACCACTTTACTCACCACCTTTAGAATGCATTCCAGCTCAACTGATGCGGTCTTTAGACCATAGGAAGACAGCCATAAGCCATACAATTAGATCAAAGGAAGCTTGCTTCCAAATGGGATGGCGGGCACAAGTTGAAGGTAGGTACAGTCTGTGTGAAACAGTAATGATGTTTCTGCTATGAATATGATACATAGAAAAGGCTAAAAGTCTTCCATGTGTCGAGGGAAGGTCAAAGAGATTCTTGAATCATTCGACTTCTAACAGCAGGGTATGCTGACTTGTCTGATATTCAGAACTTGGAAGACATGTACGTGTGGATCCTTGATGGGAAGTGATTTGTCTCAAGATTATGGTTATCATTTGAACGTCATGTTGCAATGCATTTAATGTCACTGAGTCCAGTACCTTATGAGATTGGACCCCCGTAACTTGGAACGTGCAGTTGATTACAGCAAAGATACACGGGACTTTTTTTCATCAACCATCTTCTGGATTTGTAAAATGACTTCTGTCTGTCTCTCAAAAAGAGCTTTAAACCACCACCGATACCTACTTAGCGTGTTTGACTACCTGTAGATGTTAGTCCACATATTATGTGATGCTTTGTTTACTTGTCTCGCTTATGTGGTCGGATGCCTTAGGATCATTTGCAGAAGGTCCTGAATTTCAGACCTGTGTCGTTAATTTTGCCATGAGGTAGTGCGATTCTTGGTAGTTACGCATCTTGACTCCTCTTGAGGGAAGGATTTATTCTGTCTTCCTTTTCACTGCTTCTTTTGAAGGCGAATCTTGCATGCAGCTGGTGATTCAAATAGCTGGCATGGTGATGCCTAAACACTGGCACCTTGTCCTTGTCCTAGATGAATCTGTTACTTCAAACAATGTCCACGAGGTAACGAAATTCTTCCTTGCACTTTGAAAAGAGCAAGTGTCTTTCAAGCCTTTCCTAAAGATATACACACCCAGAGCCACCCTACCCAACCCAACCCAATCTACTAAATAAACATCAACCAGAACCAAACACCCATTCCCTCACCCAAGATTCACACAAACCACCACTACCACCCAACCAGCCATCATCATCACTCCGAAAAATCCCCACACTCACCTCCACTCCCCAGCACAAGCAAGCCACTTACCCCAAAACACCCACCACCATCCTCATCCTCATCCTCATCCTCCCCTGCCCTCCCTTCTTCCAGCCCTTCCACCTCACCAGCAACGCTCACGCTCACGCTCGCCCACCGCAACCCGGCCTTCAATTCCCCCCCACCCCAGCCCCACCATCAGGTCGATACCTATACAGCAGCTAATAGAGAGAGAGAGATAGCTAGCGGAATCTGACACTCAAGAATTTATCTCTCCTAATTCAAAGTTGAGCTGGTATCAATCATAGCTACATATATATGAGATTTATGTTCGCTTCTTGAGCAGAATCCGTATAGTATGATTAAACAGCGTGAAATCTAAATTGTAACACATTGGCCAAGAATGGTACCTAGTATGTGTTGAAGCATGCCCGGTGGATACGGAAATGAGCTAGCTGTGTTGGTTTGTTTTGAGTTGGGTTCAATTATCTTTGGTGGGCATAGTTGTTTTTTTGGGTGGGGAGTCACAAGCGAGCTTCACACGGACTTGGGCGAGACGATAGAAACGTAGCTTAGAAGCATGTGGTTCAGCATACGGTGATGCTGCATATCATCTATACGTTTTGGTCTACTCTACAATTCTTTCAGTAGCTCGGTAACATGATATCAATCAAGCCAAACCATTCCCCTCCTCCCTTTACTTTGTCACTTACACCCTCTCACTTCAACGTAACCAACTCCTCCGCACTCGTCGGATGAATAGCCACACAACTATCAAAATCCGCCTTCGTCGCCCCCATCTTAACCGCCACCCCAAACCCCTGCAACATCTCCCCACTACCCAGCCCCAAAATATGCAACCCCACCACCTTCTCCTCCGGCCCCTGACAGATCAACTTATACCTCGTAGGGCCCTTCTGCTCCTGCTCCATCATGGCATAGTACATGGCCGTAAAACTCGTATTGTAGATCTTGAGGTTCTCGCGCCCGTACTTCTCGACTGCTTCCGGCTCCGTGAGCCCGATGCTGCCGATCTCAGGGTGCGCGAACACGACGGACGGGATGAGGTTGTAGTCTAGCTTTGAGGACTTGAACTTCTCGGGCCCGAAGAGGCGGTCGGAGAGCTTGCGGCCGGCGGCGATGGCCACGGGTGTGAGCTCTACTTTGCCGACTACGTCGCCTAGGGAGTAGATGTTCTCCACGTTGGTTTGCTGGTACTCGTCTGCGATGATCTGCCCTTTTTCATTCTGCTTGACGCCTGCCTTTTCCAGGCCGAGACCTTCGACTTCGGGAGAGCGACCGATGGCCCAGATCAGGGCGTCGAGGTCGGAGAGGGTCCCCTCGCCGTTGGAGTCCTTGTAGTGCAGGGTGAGCTTGCCGGTCTTGGGGTCCTTCTCTACCTTACTCTGGCTGGATTGCTTGTGGAGGTGGACACCAAGGCGCTCGTACTCTGCTGTGACGGTGTCTTGGACCATGGGGTCGAAGGAGCGGAGGAACTTGTCGTGACGGATGAACAGGTGGGTTTCTGTGCCAAGAGCGTTGAACATGCCTGCGAACTCGACGGCGATGTATCCTGCTCCTACTAAAGCAACCTTCTTAGGCTGTGTCTCGATGTCAAAGAAGCCATCGCTGTTAACGCCATATTCGGACCCTGGGATTCCTTGCGGGATTGTAGGATGTCCTCCAACGGCTAACAGAATCTTCTTTGCGCGAATGGTCTGCTTCGTGCCATCATCTAATGTAACCTCTGCCTCGTTCTTGCCGGTAAGAGAGGCTCGGCCGTGGATGTATTCTACCTTGTCGTTGCCCAGGTTCTTCTCGTAGATGCCGTTTAGGCGTAGGATATATGCGTCTCTCTTCTTCTTGAAGCTTGGCCAGTCGAATGGTGCGGTTTGGTTGACGGAGAATCCATATGCTTTCGAGTCGTGGATTGCCTCTGCAAGCATAGCAGCATTGAAGGTAACTTTCTTTGGTACACATCTATGAACGAGTGTGTTAGCTCTTGTTTGTTTGTCCTTTCGTTTTGTCTTTTCTTGCTTCGTATTGCACAGAGGGGTAGCTTTTCTTACCCAACATTGACACAAGTTCCTCCCAGACGCTTTGCCTCTATCGCAATGGTCTTTGCGCCATAGTAGCCACTCGCTCTTCTCGCCGAAGCCAGACCTCCACTACCGCCTCCAATGACGAGGTAGTCGCACTCTTTTGTTATAGGCGCCATGTTCGCTGCAGACGAAGAGAATTGGCGGGCGAGGGACGAGATTCGGGAATTGGCCGTGGCTGCGACTTTGCTTGTGCTGGTGCGGTAGGTGAGGAGAGTGAATTTTTGCATGGACAGAGGAGAGGAGGGGTGAAGATGTGTTTAAGTAAGGTTCGATCGGAGGAAGAGGACATGCAAAAAAAGAGTGGCAGATACGGTAGTAGTAGTACGGTAGACCAGGCTGAAAGTGACGTGCTTGAGGTGCGTGCGGGTGAGGTAATGCGTGTTGATGTTGCAGTCTACGGGTGTTCTTAGTGGTCCCGGGGATCCAGCGGCTTACTAAAACATGAAAACCTTAGGAACCTGGAAAGCTTCTCGGGGTCTAGATTATGACGGGGAAACACAGACGCCGAGATCCTTTGAAATCGAAGTGAAAGTCAAATTCAGAATAGACCAAGATACATAAAAAACTTTGCAAAAGTAATAAATTATAGCCCTATCTGGAGCCCAGCATCCGTCGAATCTACCTTGCACGAAAGGATCATCCATGCCATATCTTCATCCAACTCTCAAATGATTTCTTTGTTGACTTTCTGCTAATAACTCGGTCTCGGATCTCGGCTGCAGGCTGGCTGTCTTATCTTCCCTAGCTTATCTGAGAGCTGGCGACCATAGGTAGGTACAAGCTGCAGTAGCTGTCAGCCTCGCCGTTTCGTCTCGTCTGCCACCTCAGCTTTAATAGTTCTAGTCCAAGATGGGAAACAGAAATTGGCTTCGGTCTTTGTAAATTGTAACGAGGTCGTTTGTCTGTATGGTGAGAGGGAGAAGAAGTAGAGGGATTTAAAAACGATGTTGATTCCTCAGTGACAGTTGCAGAAGTCTTTACTTCGTTAGGCAATTGGAGGAAGTCGTACCGCCCTAGATATATCATGGCTATATAGAATAATGTGCACCAAAGCCGAGAGTTGTGGAGGTATAGGACGTATGTTTGACTACATTTGACAAATGTTGTGAGAAGGATTTAGAGAAAGTTTGGTGTTGATCTGTTTGTACAACGGATTCGCTTGTTGCGCAGTTTGTACAACCCTTCTGTAACGTCTGATGCCTCTTGAGACCCGCCAACGAGCACTTCAACAATCTAATTCTTCATTGTCAACTCTTTTCTTCAGCTGCTCAATCGTCCGTGTCATATAAGCTTTTCGACCGTCGATCGGTTGTCTAAGACTTTACTTTAAGCGGTTTCTGATAATCTAAAGAAGTCCTTACGCTCTAACTGCTGACTCTCTACAGCGACCCTTCAATTGCCGCAATCTCAGCCATAACTTTCCTAATCTGAGCTTTTGTATCCTCAGAAGCAGGTAAATACGGTGTCCTTGGCTTCAACTTCTCCTCGGCGCCCTCAATACCAGCAGCTTTAGCAGAGTTGATAGCAGCCGCATACTTCGTGCTCGCAATTCCCGCTTTGCAAGGACTCTCCGCCAAAGCAGCAATGCGATGCAACTTCAGCGCCTCCTCGACCTTCCCCTCCTTATACAGCTTGTATATGCGCGATAGGGTCTTGGGGAAGACATTCGCAAACGCAGCAATACACCCCGCCGACCCAACCGCCAACCCCCCAATCAAGAAATCCGCCTGTCCCCCAAAAGTAGCAAACTCCTCCGCCGGCAGCTCAGCAGACAACCTCGTGATCTTGCCCACCGAAGCGCACGTCAACTTGACGCCCACAATCTTCTCGTGCTTCTTCGCCAACTTGGTGATGAACTCCGAGTCGAGATCAACACCGTTACACACCACGGGGAAATTGTAAATCACAATCGGTAACGCTGACTTCTCTGCGATATCGTCGTAGAACCTCTCTATCACCGCGGACGTGGTCGCTTTTCCGAAATAGGCAGGTGGCAAGACGAGCACGTAGTTTGCGCCAGCTTTCGCGGCGTCAGAGATGAGCTCGAGGACTTGCTTTGTCGAATGGGCACCGCAGCCGGCCATGATGGGATAGCTTGGGCCGACTGCTTCGCGGGCCGTGGAGATGAGGAGGGAGCGCTCTTCGCGGGTCAGGAGGAAGGCTTCGGCGTTGGTGCCGAGGATTACTAGACCTGCCAGGCCGGACTGGCTGAGGTAGGTATCGTACTTTTTTTGGGCGACGAGGTCCAGTGTGTCCTCTGCATGGTTGAAGAATGTGATTGCTGGTGCCCAGACACCGGATACGGGGACGTGAGGGGTGGACATGATTGTGTTATTGGGAGTGTTGTGGATTTCGAATTGGACTGGTGAGGCACATTTCTTTGGAAGTTGAAGGAAAGAAGAAACCTCAAATATGATATAATAGGTACTGCATGTTATGAATACCGGCTCCGAGACCCGATTCCGTAACCTATAAGGTCCACTTCTAACGGATAAAGCTCTCCACGCTTTGAGAGCTTCGCTTTTCCGATATCGGGTAAAAACCCCATTCTTGCGAGAACAAATGAAGGGATGTAGTGATTTCGAAATCAGACTGGCGTTGCGAAGCTCCACTGCTGCAAATCTATTGTACCCTGGGCTTCTACCCCGCCAAAACTTTACCCCGCATTAAGCCACCTGGATATGAACATGAATATGGCCACCACTCAACCAAGCAAAGTCCAGCATCTATAGGTATGATATATCCTTCTCGGAATACGTCCTTATATTCAAATGTAAGACAATAAACTAAAATACGTCAAGGGTTTCGGCGCCAGATGTTCCGGTTCCAAAGTCCATCTACCCCTCGAATCATTTACGGCTTGCTCGAAAGAGGAACCCGGCTACGGGTACTGCCGTGCTACTCTGATATAAGTACTCTAGGTAAATAGCTCTAGTACTTTAATAAGAGCTCATTACTTTCCGTCATCTTGTTGTCGCTCGTCTCGCTCCTTCCCAGGTTCAAAGGTTCTGGACAAATAACTCAATTACATCTACTCTTGAATTCATCCTCTCACTACAACTACCATCATGAATTCCCTCCGCGTCCTCCCCCGCGCAGCATCTCGATGTCTCAAAGCTAGACCCCTCCTCGCCAAATCCCCATTCTCCACCTCCCCCCGTCTCCTCAATTCCTCCCCAAAACGCAACCCACCCGAAGCACCAGACGCATCGGCAGCCACCCCCCGCAAAGGAGACGCACCATCACACCTAGGAACCACAAACCGTCTCCCGGAATTCAATCTAGTTGACAAAGTCGTTCTCGTCTCTGGAGCTGGTAGAGGTCTAGGCTTGGTACAAGCAGAGGCTTTGTTAGAAGCTGGAGCTACAGGTCTGTCTACCAAGCTACCATAAGTTTAACCTATTTTGTGGGCTGCCGGGATGAGTAGGTAGGTACTGATTGAGTATTATACAAACCAGTCTACGCACTCGACCGACTCGAAACACCCTCCAAAGATTTCTCCCGGATCCAACAGCGCGCCACCAACGAACTCGGCACCTCCCTCTCATACCGACGCATCGACGTGCGGGACGTCGAAAAACTAAACGTCATCGTCGAGGAGATAGCCAGGAAACACAAGCGACTAGACGGACTGATTGCCGCGGCGGGGATCCAGCAGGAGACGCCCGCGCTGGAGTACAAGGCGAAAGATGCGGATCTGATGATGAGCGTTAATGTGACGGGGTGTTTTATGACGGCGCAGGCGGCGGCGAGGCAGATGATTAAGTATGGGAATGGGGGGAGTATTGTTATGATTGCTAGTATGAGTGGGACGGTTGCGAATCGGGTATGTACTTACCCCTGTTTCTTTCTTCTCTTCTTCTTTAAGTATAAGTATCGAGTTGGTATTATATCTAAATCTAACAATTTCCTCCCCAGGGTCTCATCTGCCCCGCCTACAATGCCTCCAAAGCAGCCGTCATCCAACTAGCTCGCAACCTAGCCTCTGAATGGGGCGAGCACGGCATCAGAGTGAACACCATTTCACCCGGCTACATCGTGACGGCTATGGTTGAGGCGCTGTTCGAGAGGTATCCTGAGAGGAAGGAGGAGTGGCCGACGCAGAATATGTTGGGGAGGTTGAGTTATCCGGAGGAGTATAGAGGTGCGGCGGCGTTCTTGATTAGTGATGCGAGTAGTTTTATGACGGGGAGTGATTTGAGGATGGATGGGGGGCATTCTGCTTGGTAGGTTTGGGGGACATTGGAAGGGGAGATGGAGTGGAGAGGTTGTTCGTGCTTTGGGGATGGAGTTGTGAAGCTGGGCTAGTAATTAATGGATACGTTGGGAATATATCCTGAATCCCCGGAGCGTCTGTATAAACATATATCAAAGGTTTGATCATGTGGGGTTGTAAGTCCGAGTGCCCATCTATTGTAAATCGCCTGGATATTTGACCTGATCTACGTCCCCATCAAAGGATCAACACCTTGCTCTAAAACGTCCCAATCTAGCAAAGGGGCAACCGAAATAGTACCAGTATTTCCCACACCGACATACCAGAAACCCTTCCCACGTCTTCCTTCAATTCCTCGTGGCACAGCAAGCCATAGAAAAGTCCGAAGCGGAGATAATTCTCACCGGCTATACTCATAATATAATCTCGGGCATTACACAAACACCGCAAGCACAAAAGAAATTACCTATAAGAACGCGTCGTCACCTCTCGTCCAATTCAATTGATTGCTTATATATTTTGTCTGTATGTATGTCCTCCCTTATCTAAAGGTATTCATCCATCCATCCATCCTAGTACGATTGCTCGCTCGCTTATTCATTTGTTTGTTTTTCCTGCAACTGCCACCGTACCATGCCCTACCCATATCATCCCGTCTCAACTCCATTCTCCTGGAAAAAATAAAAAAAATGAAGAAGTCCACCCAAACCTAATAATCCAAAAAACCCCCCCCCCCAGAACGCCATGCCTGTCGCCTATCGCCTATGATAAAACAGCAGGTAAACAGGCCCCATAATTACAAGCGCTGTTGCTTTCGTCGCTTATGTACAATTAAAAGTGAAACGACTGCAGTATATACATCTACCACGTCTCGGCAATATACTGACCAGCCTCACCCTTCAGCTTCCAAAACTTGACGGCCTCCTCCCTGCTCAGATTACCCTTAGCCATGACCGCGTCGATCAAAGCGGCCTCAACACCCTCTCCCATGCCCTTGCTACTTCCACAGACGAACACACGGCCGTCAAGAGCATTGATGATGAACCAGACCAGGTCGGCTTGCGCGCGGACCTCATCTTGCACGTATTTCCCCTTTCCGGTGTGTTTCCTTGACTGGACAACCTTCTTGACTTCCGACTCGTGAACGCCCCATTCACCAGAATACAGCTCGTCGAGGAGGGAATCGCGAACACCCTGCAGAACCCAGACTTTGTTCGCACAGTTCGCGTTCTTGAGTCTGCGCTGCACGAATCCTCTGAAGGGAGCAACGCCCACCCCAGCGCCGATGAGTAGCATAGGACCATCGGAGACGAATTCCTTGGCGAGAGGGTTGGCCATGAGGCCCTTGAATATGGGGACTCGGAGGTCGATCTTCTTCTCGCCTCGCTTCTCGGCCTCGAGGAACTTCTGGGCTTGACGCTCGAAGAAGCCTGATCCGACGCCGGTGCGGGGACCGCCTTTCCAGTTGGGCGTCTCGTGGACGGTGACGGCGATCTCGATGAGGCGCCGGCAGCCGGCTGTGTAGACGCAGTTCTCGTGTGGGTCGTTGGACATGCTGTAGAAGCGGGGCATGAGTTGTCGGAGCTGGGAGAGGAGGTGGTCGAGGGGGGGTTTGGAGGAGGGGAAGGCGTGGAGGAGCTGGTTCATGGTGATGTATGGGCCGGTGCGGAAGTCGCAGAACACGCCTTGGCCTTCGGCGGAGCAGAGAAAGAGGAGGATCTTCTTCTCGTTTGGGTCGGAGGCGTATTCGGCGAGGAGGCGGAGGAGGGGTTTAGTTGGTGGGTAGGATTGGATGTCGCTGCACCAGGTTAGGAGGTCTCGTCGGGTTGTTGTCAATTCTCTAGGCTGCTCGTCGCCCCAGACTGTTGGCCATCTTCCACCGTCTGTCTTGAGGAGGATGTTTCGGTCACGGAGGTAGCGAGGGACGAGGAGAAGATCCAGGAGCTCATCGACGATAGCAGCATCGTTTGGAGCAACCATGCCAATAGCGCCTCCAACCTTGAAGTCTACACCTGACTCCTCTGGATAGTCCGTAACATCTAAGTCGAAATGATATGTTCTCTTCTCCGCTCCAGGCTTGGTAAGTTCACGGGTATTGTAAATGCGAGCCGAGTAAACATCATAAGGAGGATGCGGTTGAACGAACCGAGGTGGGTGGATAGTGGTATCGAGTTCAGTGGTCTCCGTTGTAAGGTGGGGGGTGAAATCGATAGCAGCATCTTTGGCCTCCTCTCCAGCCGAGATCTTCAATTCCGCCACGGGTGGCAAAGCAGTGCCCTGCTTGATTGAAGAGATATGAACAGTCTGCGCTGGTACATCTGGAAGACTAGACAGTGTTGTAGGGATCGGTCCAATCTTCAATTGCAGAGCACGGAACGCGTCGTTGTCGGGGAGGGGAACGCGCTCGAAAGTCAGACCGTCACTCTTCAATATTGCCATACAACATCCCCCTCCACAGCATTTCTCGACAAGTTTGGTGCCCGACTCGCCAATGAGCCTCCTTACGTCTGCGGCATTCTGCGAAATGAGTATTGTGGAGGCCCGACGTGGGCGAGGAAGCTCTTCCGTCTCATCGGAAGACGACGAGGAAGAGTAGGATAGGGACGGAACCGAGGTTGATGAGGTTTGTGGTTCTTCGGGGATGCAGTGGGCGGTTGTCATTGTGCGGATTGGTGAAGGTCGAGACATGATGTTTGAAGGTGGGATATATCCTCACACCACGTACGAAGGTCGGGTTTTGAGGTCTGGGTTGGAGGAGGAAGAGTCCGCGGGCGAGAGGAGATCAGTCCTAGTTATCGCATTGAATTGAATCAGTTTGACTGTGACGACAGACTTTTTTTCGCTTCGGTTTTGATAATCGCGAGTCGGCTCCTGAAAGCTGTCACAAAGCAGAGTCGTAGCAGACCGATTCTGGTGGATTGAATTCCTAGTCGGAGTTGTGGTGGAGAACAATGAATAAACTGGAAAAGTCAGCGATTACAATTCGATTATATCATTCCATGCAGCCCCATGTCGTTACGGCCAAATCCGCCGGCACTTTCCAATGAAGACGGTCTTTGGTTGGGCGAGTTGGGGGGCGATACGATACCGGGCCGAGGGGTTTATCCGAGCTGCTGGGTCGATGTCGATTATCAGATCGAATTGCCGCGTGCGTCTACAGAAAATTGCCTCTTTGGGCAGAACAGTCAAGGGACAGATAGGGAGATATACTGGTTACGAGGGCCTGGAAATGATGGGGTTTGTTTCTCAGATCTATATTGCGCGTCAAAAGCTAATGTCAGGTCTTAAGGGCCGCAATTCAGGAGTAACTGCGTGCCTAGCTAGTTATGATCATTACACGTCTATCGAACTGCCTCGGCCCTTTGAAAGACTAGGGATATCAAACGAAAGCCACAAAATTCTTCCCGTTTCTTTGAAGCTGACAGGAAAAGGAAGCCTCAACTATGATACATTGTGTTATGAATACCAGCTCCGAGACCCGATTCTGTGAATTATGAAGTCCACAAATCTTGAGAGCTTCGCCTTCCCGATACCGGGTTGAAACCTCCTTCTTGCTAGAACAAAAGAAGCCTATTTCCACTTGGTGCAGGGAGTTGCTTGTTGTGTGAAATATAACAAAGCTTCACTCGTGAATTTTCCCAGACTTCCGCATGGGTGTCAATGAGATATCTGCCCCTCATCATATCGCCAGGCTATTGTACTCCCTGCTCAGCCATGCAACATGGGGTTAGCAATCGTTATCGGACAATGCTGTAGGTATGGATGCAAAGTCAATGTACCTACCACTAACGCCGACAAACTTCTCAAGATACATCTATGAAAACACCAAAAAGTAATAAATAGATTGACGTCTCTACCGACCGATTCGCCGTTGCACAAAGCTTGATGTGACTTGATGTGTTGCTGGACAAATGTGTTGTTCTGCTGCGCTGTTGCTGTTCCCCAACCCCCTCTTTTAGCCCGCAAGTGGCGGTGACGCCTGGGACTCATACTAAAATATAGGCTTCCCGCTCTGGACCGGGAGGGCGTTTTGCTCCCGTAGCTCTAATTTCTATTGTCACCGGTAAATCAAAAGTCAGGTTTTTATTTTCGCTCGACGCCGCCGTGTTATCTATTATATCTACATTGATTCATTCTGTCGAGTTCAATTCTTGCACATACCGTTCTCGCTGTCGTTTGGTTGTATGGCAGGTATCCATTTCATTGGAGTACAGTCGCTAAAGTCAGGACTCGTTCTACAACATCAATCTGCGAATCAGCATCGCCCAACACATCAGCACGACCTCGACCCACCACTTGCCTTAACAACATCACCTTGCTTCCCTTTGCTAGAAACTCCTCATACTCCTGATGCCACCACAAACATTTCCCATAGCTTTCGCTCAGGTCTAAACTCACCACCGTTTAGGTTGCTTGCTACAGATGCGGGGTGCAACAACAAGTGTGGCACGTCAACTCCCCAGCTTGACCCTCTAAGCGCCCGATCTAAAGTCTCACCATAAACCAACAATGGCCCAAGATGACCACGAGAATGAGGTGGAAGAGCGTCCAAGTGAGAGGAGACATAGATCGAAGTCAGAGAAGGATCCCAATCGACCGCACAAGACGAGAAGCTCCAGACCGAAGGTGATCGACCCCGAGACAGGCGAAGTCATCAAGTCATCACACCGACGCAGGAAGGAGAAGACGGCAGAGAAGAATAGCGAAAGAGGCTCCGAACCATCAACATCCATGGCCGACTTAGTTCCCGAGTTGGCTCGAACAGCTTCTGCCCCCGGCGCAACCTCGAGAAGTAGTCTGCCATACCCAAGTTTCAACAAAGCGTTCAGCAAAGAAGCAGTCAACAGCAGGGACGATGTCCGGCTACCAGCTGCGGATAAGACGAATCCATATACGCCAGAGTCAACAGATATAGGCTCCAATGCGAAGGACAGATCAAAATCGGCTGAGCACATTGCTCCTACTAAGTCAAGAACTGCTCAGAAAGATGGCAGACCTCCGAGTCCTCCCGATACCGACATCTCGCCGCAAAGGAAACACAGTACAAGCCGCATGTCAAAGGTTCAGGAGGATGTGGAGGCAGAGGGTAGATCGGTGTCAAGCAACTCGTGGTTTGGAAGGATGGCTGGCAAGGATCAGATCAAGGAGACTCGGTCGAAAGTTTCTGTGAAGTCCAAGAGCTCGAAGGCTAGCACTATCAAGTCTCCAAGAATGAAGGATGAAAGACCTTCTGCGGAGGACCTGCGTGTACGAGATTCAGGTATAGGTTCTGGGGTGGATTCGAATGTCACATCAGTTGCGCCGAAGCGGGACCAGGAGACTAGAGAACAGGAGGTAACTTCGAAACGACCACCAGTCCTGGATACAGATTCATCCCAAGAGTCGGCACAAGACTCATCACCTCGAACTCCGACACAGACTCCACAGTTTCCACCGTCAGCTGTACCTAGTGTCAAGCCTACGCCGTCGCCTTTCATCCACTTTGAAGATCACAGTGTGGTGTCAAGCTCATTTGACTCGCCTCAGCCTCCTCCACCTCCGCCCCCTCCGAATGTACCGATCAACATTCCTCGAGTCGACTACTTGATGGAAAATGGTGGACTACTTCGTCCAGTTATGAAGACTCTGCTCACTGCTGGACCAGCTTTCTCATCCCAAAATAGTGGATCGAGAGGAGGTACACCAATGCCTTCCGAGATCGAGAAGATATTTGGACCCTTCTACAATGTTCTAGACCAGTACGAGGCAGTTATCAACAAGAATGGCTCGATGGCTGTGGCGACAGGATATCGGTCGGTTGCGAGGAGACTACTTGATCGTTTGGAGAATGTGTTCAACAGAGATCTATCGTCTGAAGGCTGTTCTTGCGTCATGTGCCAAAACCTTGATCTTGCAATACACGAAGGAAGTCGAGGCCTCGGATGGGGTGAGGTTTTGGAATGGGTCAGCGGTCGACGAGAGCTTCCAGTTTGGCCAGCTTTTGATTTCGCAACATTGGGAGTCAGAGCTAGCGAAGCACTGCACAGCGGCGTTGGAATATCTCCGGAAGGTGGTCCTGAGAGACCTAGATCACCCGTCAAGATGGATCCTGACATTGCAGAGGAGTTCCGGGAGCACTATCTTGCCCAAACCAAGAAGACCAAGCATGCGGTTGATAGGTGGCTGTCTAGCTGCCCTCAAACAGCAGCAACTCCACCACAAGAGGTCGACGACGAAACTTTGTCATTTGCCATCCTGACACATCTAGACCAGCATGACAGGCCAGTCTTTAATGCATTAATTTCTGGCTTGACGGTGTTGCAACCAGTATCAAGAGCACCACAACCCAAGCCTAGATCTGAATTTATGATCAAGACCGGTCACTCAATTCAAAGACTCTATCGACTTCCCAACCCTCCACGGGATCCAGAAGCTGCAATCTATCTTTTGAAGCACCCGAATCTCCACAACCTCCTGGCTACGATGTCGAGCATCAACGCATCCGAGTGGGAGATTCTGACTTCTGGTCGTTTCGATGGCTTCCTATGGTCTGGAGCTGATGATTCTACAAACTCACCGGCTCTATCTCGAGGACCAACGCCGGCAGGTGGGTTCCGTGGCCCTATGTCTCCTCCTCTGCGTCAAGGCATCCCATCTCGAAACAACACACCTTTCTCGCCAATGCGAAACCAAACTTTCTCGCCATCAATGGGTGGATTCCAGTCCCGTGGCCCAACGCCATTTTCTCAGGTTCGGCAGCCTGTGTCTAACGATGAGGAGACCGAGATCGCTGTACTTGCAGAAGTTGAACGGGAGATTTACCTGAGCATGGAAGCGCTGGAAGATGCATTTGAAGGTCTACACCGCAAGGCCGAGTTAGTTCGCAGGGCTCTCCGAGAACGTGGAGCCGGTCTCTCGATGTCACTACAATCCAGACAGCCAAGCCAGCCAGACATCATCAGTGCAGGTACACCTGGCTTCCCTCCATCCGGGCTGGGACCCGGCTACGAGAGACAGAACTGGGGAGAAGGAAGCGAAATGCTGAGCGAGAGTGACTGGGAGCCGGAATCTGAACTGATGAGCGAGCTGGCGCCTGATGACTCGGCGAGCAATATCAGTAGCTCGAGACACAGACGACCGAAGAGGAGAAATGAAAGGAGGACGCCTGCTCTGGTTGAGGAGGAAGATGAGGATTGATGAGTAGGGTTTGAGTTGACGACGGTGTTTTGCATGTGTCAGCGAATAAACAAATACTAAATCAGGAGCTCCCCGTTTATTTAGGGTAACTAAATGAGGCTCGAACAGAACAGGGGAATTTGGCGAGGAGGCGTTGTAACTTGACCGTGTCTAGGCCTAGTAAGGAGCGACCAGAACCAGTTGTTAGAATACTAGTAATACATGGCTATATTCTCATCTGCAACTTTGATCTACTTGTCTATATCCAATTTAATTTGGACTCCTCTCTGTTACTTTAAGTGATTAAAGCACATCTCTGAGTAGATCTCCATTGATGACAATTCTATCCGTGTCTGAAGAGACAATCTATTTACTAAGTTCTTGAATATTGTACTGTGCGTATTGAGATATCTGACCCTCACAACCCAAGCATTCGTTTAGAGCAAGTGTCAGAGCATATCTAGGAGACCGTGATGTACAGCAGCAGAAAACGAAATTTGGAACGATGAAAATAAAGAGAAGCTGATGAAGTTGAGGAAGAAGTGAGATCCGAAAGGAGTTATGAGTGGATATCTAGATGATAAGAATCTTAGAGTTGTGAATAGTTAAGATAACTAGGAATGAGTGATCAATTGGTTGTTTTAGATAGAATGTACGTCTATATGTTGACTTACAAGGCTTTTTGTCGAAGCAAGTGAGGGATGTTCTCTGCAAGATTTAAGCGAGTGGTGAATGTGAAATACTACCACATGAAGCTAATTCATACTTAATGTGCATATTCTTCATAACATAATACGCTTGCAATAGAATACTTGACATGATTCCAACAATTCCACCACATCCAAAACTACCGAGCAGTAACCAACCCCGACCCAGACCACTTCCCAAGCGTATACTGACTATTACACATATTCCTCAACTCCCAATCCTCGGCACCCAACTCAGCAGGCGTGCCAATATCCTCCACCGAGCCACAAAGCCCAGCCACAAACATGGCCGCCATGAAATGGTCATCCGTCCCATGAGCATCACGGTACTTGGGCACTTTCATCAACATGGTCATCGCGCGGCGAAGATCCGGTCCCGTGTTCTTCATTATCGCATCCTCGAACTCTTGGCGGAAATCAAGCATCGTGCTGTCAGGAGGAGATTCCATGGCGAAATTATCTGTGTGAGAGAGAGAGAGTCAATCTTAGCTCAGCGACAAAGTAGGTGACAAGTAAGTGCGTAAAAAAAAAGTCATAAACTTACCACGATACCGAAGCATCTGGAACCAGTTATTGCGATACAAATTATGCACTGCACCCCCCGTGCCGATGAAAAGCACATCCTCATTCCTCAGCGGTCGGAGAGCCGCTCCGACTTTAACGTGGTAGTGAGGATCATACCTGGCGTTCATGCTGATGATTGTCGTAGGCGGGCAGCCATCGGGAAACATCCGGATGAGAATCAAATACGTGTCGTGGATCCAGTCGAACTTCTCGTTGAGTTTTGCCTTCAGGCCGCCCTTCTTGAGCATCTCGACACAGCGTGATGCCATGGGGAGGTCGGGGTTGAGCTTGTAGGGCTCGAACTTGGAAGGGTGCACGTAGGCGACGGGGGACTTCTCGGGTGTTGGGTTGGCGGCTACTTCGATCTCGTCGCCGAGTGTGGCCCAGTGTGCGCCCTGTTGGTCGGTGTGAGTATTGTTGCCATTGTTATTTTCATTGCTGTCTTTGAAAAGTCTGAAGGAGATGGGAGGTTACTCACCATAATAACCACGTGCTTGATACCATTTGCTAGAGCAGCATCTCCACACTTCTTCCAATAGTTGGCTGAGTGAGATTCCTCACCCAGCATCATCGTCGAGCCATGGGAGAAGAAGTGAACAGGCGTTAAGGACTTGTCTTGCGTCATGTTGAAACTTTCCAAACAAAGGGTATATACACTGTACAAAATCGAGCACCAACAACTGGAGAAGATTGTCGAAGTCACAGAAAAGAAAAAATGAAGGTTTCAGTAAGACAGAGCTGTTTCCTAGTAGCTGTATATTATAAAATAATGATCAGGTGGTAAAGTAGGTGCAGAGTGGACGGAATGTATCACGACGGCAGCGGGGTGGGGAGTAGGTTCGGATATCGGGAGGGGAAGTGGGCGCGGGCGGAGTGGAGGTGGGGGAACCGAAATGGGAGTCTTGTTTCCCAGCCCGAAGGCGAGACCGAAACCTTCGAAAGGCCCGAGAGCACCGAGCTCAAGAGAGTAGACCCTCGTGGGAAGTGAAATGAGAGGCCTGGAGTAATCAAGTAATTGAAGATAATGGTTCTGTTCTGATACAGGCAACGGCCCTGAGCCGAATTATTAGCGAGATCAACATGGTTTAAAACGGATCGTTGTCAATAATTGATACTCGATAGAGAACAACAAACGAGGGCATCTTAATTAATGTAGGATATCTCCCAAGAAATTCCATCTGCTGAATAAGATCAAACCTTTTGATATAGCACGCTTGAGCAAGCAAAATCAAAGCAGAGTTCGTCAGCTATGCACTGTACTGGGTGTTTCCCTCTAGCGAGTGGATCTCCTCCCTGGTACCTGAGGACCTCTTATCCAGTCTTCTTAAGGGTTGCTTTTGCGACTCGAATTATGATGGCTTGATGGTTCAAAAAATAGATAGGATACTACCGCTGCATAAACATTGAATTGGAGATTTCTGACATGTCTCGATTTGGTTGCGCCGGCTCAGCGTCCAGGAGCATGATTCCAGCTCAGCGACAGCAAAATCTGCCTCATGCTCTCGGACTCTCCGAGCATTTGCTCTCACTTTGCCTGCGCCCAGCTCGATTCAGTGGTTGTGAGCCTGGTAGCACTGCCACGTAGCAAGTTTAAAATTACGCTTCGTCGCTTGCTAATCCAGTCGGACAGCAGGGCAAATTTGCCGGCGACTCAGCCCTTTCCGTTCAGCCTCAGCTGTCGATCGCACAGCAAATTGATGACAGACGAGAGTATCGCGACAACAACACGATGGCGGATTCGACTCTGGACGTGATGGACCCGCGCCTCCGGTCATCCACACCTGGCGGCACGTCGCTCACGTTGCGAAATCTAGAAGAGCCTGACCCGGGATATGGCTCGAGCGATGATGCTGAGAGAGAAGGGGGCGACGGCAGCACTGAACCTGGGAAGAAGCGTCGCAAGCTGAATCTTTGGAAGTGTAAACAATGTCGTGAGGCTCGGAAAAAGGTGTGTATATCCACGGATTTGCGCAGCAGTAGCGGCAGTGCCAGGCAATGGAAACGAGGCTGACAAGACTTTGGACTTATAAAGTGTTTGCCCGAGGGTCGCGTATGGCCTCAGAAATGTAACCGGTGTCTCCAGCACCGCCCGGGAGAGCTGGAATGCTCTGAACCTGAGATGAACACGCGCACGAGAGGCAAGAACGTACCAAAGGATAAGCCTGATCCCCGGCGGTCGAAGACTGCATCTACTCCTGATAGATCAGAACCAAGACGTGTTGTAAGCGACAACGAGGATTTAGGTGAGTTCCAAAACACGGAGGACTTTTCCTTTGTGTATCACGTCTCAGGTTGTCGGACTTCTGTCCTTCGGATTTGTTTATTTTCCCCTAGGTTTTCTTTAATGGTCCGAAACATATATGGGCGTTTTCCAAAATTTAGATTCTAATTAGTTATTCGGACATATGGATTGTGGTAGTGCCACCGTGAACACTCTCTTAGCTTCAGTATCTTACGAACGAACGCACATTGAAACTCCTTCATAAGCTTCCACAATTTTAAGCTGAGAAACGCTCGAGTCGATTCGTACAGTTTCTCGTGGCGGCGACTGTAACTCTCCGCCCTTTTTGCCTCATCTCATGCCGATGTTTCTACGACTTTATGTATGATGTTGCCCGGATAGATTGCTGACATCAAAAGCAGAGACCGAAGTCACTCACGACAGACCTATCCCAATAACAATCAAGAGAGTCAAGAGGGAAAGGCAAGGGACGTCGATAGAATCTATCGCGGAGAAGAAGGAGCCAATCACAGAGAAAGAACAACCCCCGGCCGTTTTATAGTAAGTTACTCTGAGATTTAACCAGCTACCTCAATCGTTCTCACTCATACAGGACATCGTACTTTTGCTGACTTGCCCTTAGCCTGAAACTAGCCGACGATCAATTCAGGATCTTGCAGCTAGAACCAGGCAAGAAGGATGAAATTCTGAGATGCTCGTTCATTGTACAATCCATAGATAATCCTCCAGGCAAGTCTAGTTCTTTCACTCTTACCTCGAGCCTCTTATTATTTTCCACCTCCATGCGAGTAGGGTTGGGATATAATCCGCTGTTACTCCAAGTTCAGTTACTTGAGTACCTTGATCACTTCAACGCCGATTGTGTTAGGTGAACCGGTGACTGACCTAGAACAGATTACGAAGCGATTTCTTATGCTTGGGGTGGCAATGATACCCAACAGCTCACGTTTCGAGAGATTGAGCTGCTAGACAATCAGCAGCCACCTAAATCCTACCGGATATTCATCAGAACCATGGTCCATTCAGCACTCCACAGTTTGCGCCATCCTAATAAAATACGGCGTTTTTGGGTCGATGCCCTTTGTATCCACCGAAGTAACGAGGACGAGACGAACCATCAAGTCGCCATGAAAAGCCTGATTTTCTTTAAGGCAGAAAATCTTTGCTTCTGGCTCGGAGACGACCCTATATACAGGGCTGCTATTGCTTTCATTCCAAAAATTGTTGATCTCAAGGAAGTTGATAAGCTCGTTGAAGACCAAAGTATGGTTGAAAGGTGGCTTGCTTTCGTTACTTTGTTGAAGAATAACGTCTTCAGTCGTCTCTGGCTAGTCCAAGAGGTAGCTATCGCCTGGAACGTCACCCTCCATTGCGGTGCCTCAACCATCCACTACACAGACTTCGTCGATGCTGTCACAATATTCTTGTCATGTCGTAAACATATCTCGGCACTCTTTCGGGCTGATGAAAAAGACCCGAGGACTCTAACGGACCGAAAAATTACAATGGTCGAACGCTTTATCGAGATAACGACAAATGCTCTACGCCGCGATCCGAACAATCGGCAGGCTCGAGGTAAATCACTTCAACGGTTACTGAATTTGGAGGCCTTGGTATCCAACCTCAGCGATCTAAGTTCAGGCGATCACAAAGACAGGATATACTCCGTCCTAGCCCTCGCCAAAGATGGACCACTATTGTTCGACGCCCGAAAACCAACTCCAGGGGACACCTTTTGGATCGATTACGGCAAAAGCATTCTCGAAGTGTATCAGAATTTCTTCATGCATGTCGTCAGAACTTCCAAGACCTTGGACATCATGTGTCGGCGGTGGGCGAGCTGCGTTCCAGAGAAGGAAGAGAATCTGCCGACCTGGATCCGCCCTCTACAATCAAGTTCCCAGCCTCAAATCGACAGCAAAGTCTCCGAACGCACCGACTATGAAAGGACCGACGCCGACAGCCTCGTGGGTATCCCCGATCATCGGTGGTACAATGCAGCCAAGAACACCGAGGCCAAATTCGAGTTCAAATCCCCATCAGATTCGAACGATAAGAGAAAGCTTTTCTTCGTTCACGGCTTCCGGCTTGACACCATTTCGAGGCTCGGGCCACGGGCTGCTGAGGGTATCATATTATACGAATGGCTTCAACTAGGAGGCTGTGTCTTATCCGACGAAGGCGATTACGTTCCAGAACTATTCTGGCGAACTCTCGTCGCTAATCGTGGACCCAACGGCTCAAACGTGCCGTCCTGGTACCGCCGTGCCTTCCTTCACTGTCTGGCCGAAAGCACACCCAATGGTGACATCAACACCAAAGCCCTGATCAAAGCCTGCGAAGCCGACTCCGCTCTCGTAGTGGATTTCTTGCAGCGCGTCCAGAGCGTGATATGGAATCGCAAATTTCTGGTCTCGAGGGACAATAAGTGGATTGGATTGGCGCCGATGGCGGCCCAGGAGAACGATATAATTTGTATCCTTCATGGGTGTAGTGTGCCGGTCGTGCTGAGAGAAGTGCAAGGGCAGACGTCTTGGGAATTGGTGGGTGAGTGTTATGTTCATGGGATGATGGACGGAGAGGCTATGGCTATGGAGGGTAGGGATACGACTGTGACGGAAGTGTTTGAGATTCGTTGATTGGGCTGCCATTGATATCGCTGCTGAGCTACCTTAGACGATATCTATTAGCCCGAAATACATTTCAAACCCTTGAAGAACCCTCACCACTACAGCAGACTCGCTTCAAGGAGGTAGTGAAGTCGTGTTGTCTCAGAAGGTTTACTTCAATGTCGTTCATCTCGATATTTCGCACTTTCAAAGACTAATCATTCGTGTTCTCTGGAACTCTCACCAGTACCAACACCCAGAAGCAGTCAATGCGCATGGCAGAACCTATAAATATACAGACGTAGTGCTAGCAGATTAAAAGTCTTGCAGGACACGGGTTGAAGACATAACACCGGCTAATCTGTATCATCGTTTTTGAGTAAATAAGCGGTTCGTCATTTAAAACTAGCGAAAGCTGTATATTATTCATTTTGCTTTAGGCGGAAAAATCTAAAAGATAAAGCACATACAAATATAGATGATGAATTTGACCTTGTCCCTGGGACATCGTTCTTGTAAGGTCTGGTTGATATCACCAGTAGCATGGACGAATTTCTCACTGCCTGACTCAGTTTAGAGGCAAATGCGAGAAGATAGTCATGAGAATAAATCAACAAATGTGACTTGTTTTCAAGTCCTTGATTGCTTTCTTGTCGCTCTTCATAATGATAGTGGTATCTTGCCATTCCGAACCCCATTCTCAAAAGACAGTGTGTAGACATCCCAAATCCGAATCTTTCCCGATTTATCAAGTCGTGAGACCCCGTCTACCGACGTACCAGACCTCTTCCCAAACTCCCAAAGCACCAATGACCGATGACCAATGTTACATATTCCGACACTTTATAGACCATTTAAGTATCAACGCCTGAACTCTTTCCCTCAACATTATGCGGTCCGCTCATTTCAGTATCAGCTGAACCGTCTGTTTTCGCTCCCCAGCTCCACGGCATCCAACTGGCACTTCCACTGCTTCGCTTAATTTGTCGTCTGCGCGTATTCTCGGCCTCTTCAGCTCCGGATTCAGCTTCGATTTTCTCGAAATCTCCTTCGCTCTTCCGGGTAGTCAGGCCATCACCACTTGTGGAGCTGACTGGCCGCTCTTCCTCCTCGCTACCACTGCTACCGTCGAAGAACATACTTGGTACTTGGCGGGGTGTAGAGGGCTTGACGGATTGGCCTTGTAGGCTACTGGCTTCTTTATCTAAGGCGGAGAGGAGAATTGCGAGGCGCTCGCGTTGGGCGGAAATAAACGAAAGGCGCTCCTCGCCACTGACGGTGGGAGGGATAAGCGTGCCAGAGTTGGAGAGGTCTCGTGGTTGTGAACTAGCAGAGGCTGGGTCTCGAGATGTAGCTGCGCTGACGGCGGATGCTAGGAGAGAATAGAAATCAGTCGCAGTGCTTGTGGCAGGCATTGATGGTCGTGCGGAGGGGAGGTTGAAGCGGGCAATCAGGCTTTGGGCGTAGCTGAAGGTTGAGGGTGTGGATGGTGGAGTAGGCTCTTTGGGAGGCCAACCAAGCAGATTTTGCTTGATGAGCTCGACGGCCTGTTTGAGGTATGTGTATCCTGCTGCTTTGGCGCGGTCGTGTGCCGAGGATATGAAGTCGTCGATTGACCGTTCATTTGTTTGTAGCCATGGGTGAACGTGTGATTGATAGAGGACTTTAGCGCCTTGTGTTTGTGGTAAGATAAGGTAGAGAAGGAATCCTAATCTGATCCAGGCATAGAAGGGAACCCTGAATAGCACACATCAGCCTTGTTGACAGGGTCTGGAGAGAGGATATACCCACCAGACGAGAATGAACCCTGTCCATGATTCAAAGAAGAGGGCGCATGCGAGTACAACCCAGTACATGAGCCATGGTGCCAGTAGCGCAGGATCAGAGGTCTTGAGAGCTTTATAGGATGCGAATACGGGGAAGAGGAAAGTTGGAATCGAACTGCTTATGTATCAGCTGAAGTCCGGGGAAGGTTGCGGATAGCGGGGCATAGAAATACAACTCACGATAAGAGGTTGGCGAAGGTTGCGAAGAACATTGCGTGGTCTGCGATTATCTTGAGATCACTGCTGTGGAGGGTTTCTGTAGGAAGCAAGACGAACGAGCAATCGTCCGCCGGTCAGTGGAAATATGGTAAAGGGATGAAGGATTTAGAAGTACTGTAGGAGAGGGAGAGGGAGAGGCGTGGAGTGAGGGAGTTACACGGAGGGGCGAGCACGAGCACGAGCACGAACCTTGCCTTATCCTTATCCTTATCGGGATGTATGGCCTGGTCTCGTGGTCAGAGCATGACAGAGCACCGTACACCGTACCAACACCGCTGGGTAGAGGCGGGCTTCCATGGCTCCTTTGTACTTCGAATTTCCGTCTGCCTGCTTCAATCTTCAATCAATAAATGGCCGCGTCATAAGGGCTATTTGGCATCTTGGGATTGCTCCGCAAGGACAGGACAGCACAGCAATGTAAAAGTCGGTGGAATTGTTCTACGCCACATCCAAAAGACAGATTGAAGACCTGGAGCGAGCAGGGAGTGGAACTTCCTCTCCACGAGGCTGCCTGAGGTGCCTGACGAAACCGACACAACCACCCCCACCAAGCCTGTCGTTGTCCAGTCTCTCCCACGGCACTGTGCAGTATCTTATCTCTACAAACATTGATATCGTGCTCGTTATGCTTCTCCGGTAGCAAGGAGAGAGACCCTACACCTACGCCGGACGTACGATGGAGGAGTTCGAGTACTCTCTCGAGAACGAGCAGCAGTTCTGGGACGGTAAATGCGCCGACTCGCCCCTCCCTCTAAAAACCATACTGATCGTCTGGACGGCTTGTAGAACTCGAGGATATCGTATCTGCGAACTGCCCTTCCCACCAATTGATCGATAATGCGCTGCGATCTTTCCTCCACTTTACGACAAAGTTCAAGGACGAGTACCTGAATTCCGATCACGACTTCGCGCAATGTCTCCAGAAACTCTTGCAGAGCGAGCTGTTTCAGGCGAATAAGAATTATGTGAGGATTCAGATTGTCTACAGTCTACTGCAGGAAGATGAGGCAGCGACACTCTACGTAATTTCGAGCTTCTTACTATTTGACGGGAGGCAGAATGAGGCAACGTTTGAGATGATGAATACCGAGGGCTGCTTCCTACGGCTAGTGGATTTGATTAAGATGGGAAAGAGGGACGATGCAAGGTTACATCGAATGCTATTAGAATTGTTATATGAGATGTCTCGTTGCCAACCTCTCAGTGGTCTGGACCTGAGTCAGGTAGACGATGAATTCGTTGTCATGCTCTTGCAGATAATTGAAGAATTATCCGACGACGTAGACGACCCATATCATTACCCAGTCATTCGGGTACTAGTAAGCATATGTCCTCTCGAAGTGTAAACCTTACTGATACTTTTTCTAGCTGGTTTTGAACGAGCAATGGATGGTAGCATCTACGCGATCACCTTTGGAACCTGATTCTCCCTCTACACCTCTCACAAACCGTGTAATCAAGATCCTATCTCTCCATGGCTCCTCTTACATGACATTCGGGGAGAATATTATCCTCCTCCTCAATCGGGAAACAGAAACTTCCCTCCAACTCCTCATCCTCAAGCTACTTTACCTCCTTTTCACTACACGAGCAACGCACGAATATTTCTACACCAACGACTTACGAGTCCTCTTGGATGTCATAATCCGTAACCTTCTCGACCTACCGAACGAGCTGGTCTCCCTGCGCCATACCTATCTGCGAGTCATGTACCCCCTCTTGGCGCACACACAGCTCAACCAACCACCCTACTACAAGCATGACGAGATCCTCAAAGTCCTCAGCATTCTCGGTGGCTCCGGAAACGCACATTGGGAACCCGCCGACGAAACAACAGTCCGCCTCGTACACCGCGTTGCAAAAGTACCCTGGCTCCGAGACGACGACGTCGTAAGCGAAGGAGAAGTAGCGCGGAAGCTCCTTGGGATCTCTCTCTCGCCCACACAAACCGCGAGCATGGTAAGCGTAGTCGATGTAGCAGGAGTAATGGAAAAGCCAGGCGTGCAGACACCAAGCAGGAAGCTGGAATTCGAGGAGGGAGTGCTCGATCATGATAGAGAGAAGGGAGAGAAAGAAAACCTGGAGAGCCAGGAAAGGACGACTCCTACAAAGAGACATCCTCCCCCTCCGGTACGGAGCAGGAGACATGCCCCTCCTCCAGCTCCGCCTCTGATCCAAGTCAACGGCGGCAAGAAATTGCCTCCAAAAGCGCCTCCTAGGAGGCGCACAAAGCTCAAATCGATGTCCTCGTCGGGGAATCTCGAGCACCAAGCTCAAGAGTAATCGGAATACTTTCGTCACAGCGCCTTTTCGTATCTGCTCTTTTCGATGATCAGTAGGTTTGCTGCATTAAACAGAAGCGTAGGCGTTTTAGGACACATGGTCGGTGGTCTGAATTTTGGATTTCCGTACAAAGTTGGTTGTTAGTGCTTCTAGCATTATTTGGCGTTGGGTCAGGTCTGGTCGATCATTATTATTACGTTAGTGCTTGAACAAAATGCATCGCTATTCTAGCCGTCTCCTCTCCTGTAGAACCTGTTTTTTATGCAAAACACTCGTAGTGATACATTCATCGACAAGCCTGCTAACACTGAACATATTATAATGTTTAAATTACCTACCTACAGACGATTCCGACTTCTTCGCTATACAACGATAGTGAGGTACATGTTGCATCACTATTTGGTGCCGCTCATCCCAGGCAAGAGCAGAGAGAGGGACCATGCGGATCCAGTTTTAGTAGCATCTAGATTCTAAGCTCTAACATTGTAAATTCTCAACAATTTGATACATAATTCTACATATACATACAAGGACATATCTCCTAGGTGAGCATTGGAATCTCGACACTCTGATGTCAGCCTTTCACGGCGAGGAGGCAAAATTATGATGTGTACGCGAGAGTTCAGGCTGGGCATTGTTGACTCGCTTGCGATGCTCTTTAGGTCTACTGTAGTTCTTGGCTCTCAACCTTCTTTGTCTGACTTCATCGCCCGAGTCGAAGGCATGCGGCTTATTATGGAACCACTTTGATCCTTACTATGACAGCCTCTACTTTGTGTTACAGCTGTGCCGCATAACCTTCCAAAAAATGGAACGGTCACATCGTGCTGACAACCTGGTTCGAGTTTACTGTAGGCTACCATCATTTTATTGCCCACCCCGCTTCACCACCCTGTTGTCTTTTCACACCTTGAGCATCACACCTTGAGCATTAATCCAATTACTCACCACAGACATCGTCGCATTGCTTTTATATTGACAGCGTGAAATATGGAATCCACATCTTTCACTCCATATTGGAGACAAGTTGGCCTCTCGATGAACCCCTACTCGTTTGTCTTCTTCGTCGTTGCCCAGATAGGCGGACGCCGCCGCCCCATTGCAGTGGTATCCAGCAGAGCAGCAGCAACAGAGCCCGCAGAGGAATTCATGCAAGGCACACCACTAATTACGGCTTGTCAACGACTCATCACAATCTTCTCAGATAATGCAAACCATTCTGCTATCGGAGCTGAATTATCTCTTGCGGAAAGCTATTACTTGACAGATGCGGGCCAGAAAATTCATCGTCCAGAACTGTGCGAGCTACCAGAAAACGTTGATGGCTATTACGAATTAAGCATCGAACTAGGATCCTGGAACCATGACCGCGTGCAACAATTTCTATTCATAAGTGCCTGTCTGCTTCAAGGCGTTGCATTTGACGCCCACGGAGGGAAGTGTTATGAAGCGTCGCCTGAGCCACTCGGTACTGTGTATAGGGACACCAACGTCGAGTGGGCAATGGTAGTTATTGATATCACGTCATTGCAAGAAGTGCGATATGGTATAGTCAGCTTTGCCTCTGCTCCCATGAAATGGGTGCCTTCTCAGGAAGCACTCGACAGGCAGCTTGGACCTCGAGACTTTCTCGGGGCACCGAGCTCTAGCGGAGGCGAGTTTCGAGTCCTGGATCAAGTGCGTGAACGGGTCGCTATGTCTGCAGCAGAGTATATGCAGAAGGTCGTCGAGCCAGATGTGGTTGAAAATGACGATACGGCTCTTATCACACAGCTGTTGGCCAATGTGCCGCTCGTTGACTCCAACGCTTTCGATGTTATCTGGCCAGCGGATTCAGTTGAGTTAGAGGACGAAACTGTTCTTCAGATGGAAAGGCTGTCATTAGGCAAGGAAAGGACATTACATGAACATGCCATCAAAAGTCTGCTAGTATGTACCTTGCCTTTCGCGCCCAACATTCGATGAGCCTCCCACTGCAGCTAATGCTCCCTACTATCTAGCTAAGCACAGTTGACGTGGAAGATTTCAATATTCATATATTCGATGACGTTCGGAAGCTTCCGTACTTCCCAGAACTCTTACGTCGAAACTTGCTAAAGGACTCCACTCGATTTTGGAACACACGTTCATCTGGACTACTTTTACGACTAGCTTTCGAGGATGGGGAACGCTTAAATCTAGAAAGAGTCCAGAATATCTCAGTACAAGCCATTCTGGCAGCTGTGAATGTACCTGGAATGGGAAGCGTATCATCACTCTCTATTTGTACCACCAGTATTCGCGACCTCTCGGGCTCACTCATCGAAGGACTCTCGAAATCAAAAAGTCTCCGCGAAATACACTTCATGCAAAGCCCTTTCCGAGAAGTTGACACCCCAGACACTCTTCTTCTCGAAGCCCTTTCCTCTTACTCACACTTCTTATCACGAGTCAAAGTCCTCTTCGCAAGCTCCTACTCCGCCGCTCTCCTCAAGAAGTTCTGGCTCCCATCTCTTTCAACAAGCAATACAACAAGTCAAGTCGCACTTCTATCCGTGTATCCCATCCAGCAAATCCTCATCCGCTACCAAACCAAAAAAGGCGACCTCCACAACACCAAAGACTTCACACCCACCTCCTCCATCTACCTCGGCGACAGCCTCCTCACCCCTTCCCGCTTCGCCACCGGCTTCCTCACTTACCTCCGCACCGCCTCTCCCTGGCCAGCAGGCGACATAAACCCCTCCGCCCAACTCTTCGCCTTCTCCAGCGCGCCCTCATCCCTCTCCTCGTCCACCCTAACCTCCTCCGCGGAAATCTCTCCCATCCCAGCAGAGTCCTTTGCACTAGGCGATTTCTCCCTCCCTCAAGGTATATGCCCCAAGATCAGGGATCTACACCCAGAAGGATGGACGGTCTTGGTTTCATTTGAGCATCATTGGGATAGAGACGTTGCTCGTGCTGCGAACAAGTGGGCTTTCAATCCGGATCCGGAGCATCCTGAGATGAGACCTGGGAGTCCGAGGTCGGATTATATTCGCTATGCTTTTGTGCGTGCTCGTGGGCAAACGATCAGGGTTGGGCAGGCGGAGTCAAGAGCATTAACTACGGATGAGCTGGATGTTATGGGCTTAAGGGAGTTTCTTGCTGTGAAAGCGCCGGAAGTTGATCCGGGGCTTGTTGAGAAGCGTTTGGGTGAAGCTGGTGAATTTTTAGCGAGGAAGCCAACTCAGGGGGTTTTGCCGTTGAATGTTGAGCCGCTGTCGGTGATGGGTCGTGATGAGGCGGTAAGTATGCTTGGTCGGTGTTTGAAAGATGCTGGGGATTTGAATGGCAAGTTGCGGAATGCTATGAAAGATGATCCTGAAGGTGGGCTTCTCAAGTCTGTTCATAACGAAACTGAAGCTGATTGGTATCGGACTAGGTCGGAAATGGTATCCAGAGCTTCTGTAGAAGAGATGGCATGCTGAGGATTTGGTGCCATTCAGTTGTTGTTACAGTGTTTTGCAAGCGGTCCAACCCACATATATCATTGTCCTTGTTAAGCTGGTGAAGCCACCACAGCTTCTGCCGCACACACCCAAATCGCTGCTGAGCCTGGAAAGTTGCATGACAATTAAGGCAGTTGATTGTACACTTCTTAAATCGTACAGGTATGTACTAAAGGTAGCTACAGAAATCGACCCATGCATATGTCTATTTGTCTATCACATCAACCTTCCTATACTCCTTCCAGGAACTCTTCCTCGCAGCTACATAACTCCTACTCTTGATCGCCATCCAAATCCCGTAAAACCCGCCAAATGGCCACATAGTCCTCATCTTTTCAGCCAAGCTCATCTCTGTACCTGCTGTGACTTCCCCACCAACATCAACCTTGACTTTCTCATACACGCTTGGCAAGCCCTGTGCTTTGTATTTAGCCCTGAGGGCCTCATACCACGGCCGGTCAAACTGCGACCAGAATTCATCTTCGCCGTAGTAGGTGTGTGCGTACAGCCACTTCATGCCGCCGAGTTCCTGGAGTTTGCGTTCCAAAGCCCGATTCTTGCGGATGAATTCTGAATGATCTTCTGGTCCGTGGCCCCAGAGACCGATGTTAAGCATTGGCTCGAGACTCTCGGCCTTGTTTGGTGACTTCGCGGCGTTCGACGACGAGGGGACGAAGTGTGGATGCATGGTCGGATATGGACTCTGCTTCAGAGGACAGAGCCAGAGAGGATAGATGCCAAACTCCTCGTGGGTGTAATCCACAAACGCTTCAGCTGTGGAGTAAGGTAGGGCGAGGTCCTGCACGACGTATTTCTTAGACTGCCCACTGGCATGGAGAGCCGTATACATCATGCGTGTGTGTAAGAAGTCATCGAGCCACCACCGAGTGAATTTGTTGAATGGGAATTTGAAGTAGTCGAATGCCGAAGCTCCGACCCAGAACCCGCCCCGATCGTATCGAAAGAGATATTCTGGGAGGGGAATAGCTTCTGTGGTGGCCTCGAACGACATATTTATGGCTTCTTGGACGTGCAGATAGAACCACGGATCGCTCGCTGCGCTGAAGTTTTGAATGGGTGCATCTGCTCTTGGGGTATCTGTAAGTCGACCAGTAATGATAGCTCCATGGCTTTTGGAGAACATGATCCCATCCACATAATCGTACGTCGAGCCTTCCGCAGTGAACTCTTTCGATTTGGAAATAGCCTCCTTCATGCTGGACACAGGATGATATGTCGTCTCGACGAATTTCTTGGCATCCTGCAGGCGCAGTTCGACCAAAGTTGTCACCCCAAATGTTCCGACTGCCCCCGCAGCTCCGTGGAACAGGTCAGCCTTCTCTTGAGGAGACAACCGGACGACTTCTCCGTCTGCTAGAACCATCTCGACCCAATTAATCGTCTGATCGAAGAAGCCATGCTTGAACGAACTGCTCTCGCCACTTGTTCCCGAATATCCACCTCCGACAGTTATACCCGGAAACTCCATGACAACTGGTGGAACAAGCCCATATTTCAAGGTTGCCTCAACCAGCCGGTCCATTGGTACATTGGGCTCAACCAGACATGTTTTCCTCTCCGTGTCGACGTGCAAGACATTTGAGAGCTTGCTTGTATCGACCAGATTCTTCTTCAGGTTCGGTCGAGTACTATTCGTCGAGCCGTGGAAGATGCGGAATTTCTCGCCGCGGGAATGGTAGTCGCGGACACTGGCAGAGATGGCATCGACAGCCTGCCTATGCTGCTCCATTGCGCCATCTACTGGGGCCTTTGTCGTCGAAAGCCTTTTAGATCGTGTGGGGATCTGCCTCTGGGATGTGTTCTTAAACCCAAAGCGTGCAATCGTGGGGGAGATAGAGCCATCATGGAGGGCTCTTCTCACAGGAGCTCGAGATGGCGAGGCTGAGAATTTGTGCTGGGTGGCAGAGATGCCCCGTTGTTGTATTCTAGCATGACGAGCTGTGCATTGTGGGATTGGTTGAAGCCGTGGCCTGCTGGCTGATATGGCGGTCCACTGAGGCTTCATTGAAGCTGTGAGGCTGTGGTGGAGTTCCGTTGGTTAAAAATATTGTCAGGTTCGGCGTGATCGTTTCCGAAACCCGGCTCGGTTCGGCCCAGTTGACGGGCTTGCTCTCCACATCGGTTCATCTTTCTTCTTTGTTGCTTCCATTCCATATGCTTTCAAACCAAATCAAGTTATATTCGAGACAAAAATAGCGAGCACGAAATCGTTTCTGAGAACTCAGTTGCGTTCATCAATCTAGATTGAGGGTTGGGCATTTTTTAATTGAGAGTTGTCACAGTTTATGAATGGGGAATTTCCAACTTGATGCTCCAGACTCATTGCACAACAGATTGTATTTGTGACTTCAAAAGTAAAAGAAGAGTCTTGAGGATCGAAGTGAGTGCTTGAGTAGAGCATGTATTTCCGACTACATGCCACGACATTTCAAGGAAGGCCCGAGGCTCCCATCAAGCTTTTCCAAAAGCGCTGTAATGAGCTTCGAGCTTTTTCAATCCTGATTCCGTGGTACAGAGGCCAACAGTACTTAAAAGCTGACTTTTGGTATACATCTTGATCTCGTATAGTCAAGTATTGTTCGGCAGCAAGGCTTCCTGTTATGCCAGATCTCCAATCTACATAGGAACACATCAGCGAAAGCATGTCCCCACACCCCACGGAGCATCGCCCAGGCCGTTTGTGTGACCGAATGGTAGACGTTACGGCATAGAATCGGGGTTCCAGAGACTGCGGTACCGGGACCCAAGCGGCGGGCAATCCAGACTAGCAGTGCTAGTCTGCTTCCGCTTTGCTACTGAAGCTGATATCTGATTGATGAGCAGAAATCGAAATCCGTCGGTATCAAGGAGGTCCGAAGACAGTAACGATCCCATCAGTTCCAGCACAGCACCATTGATCACCCCTCCCATTCTCCTTCCATGCAAGACAACTGATCACGTTCCTCTTCTGCTTCTCCTTTCCATCCATGCCAATTTTCTTCTTTGACTCGACTTTCGAACCCTCGACCTTGATCTTCTCAACCACCTCCCCACTCATCGTATCCCAGACCACGACTTCTCCGTCCGGTCCTTGAACGTCTTCGTTGCCGCACAAGATCCATCTGTCCCTATTTCCGAATCCACTCCTGAGTCTGAACTCCTCATTCTTCCATCCTTGCCCTTTATAACTCTTCAACAAGCCTCCACTATCCCGATCCATGAGCCGTATCGAACTATCTAACCCACCTACCAAAATCCCCTTTCCATCTCTCGTCCTCTCCAAACTCGTCACACTCGCTCCAATAACATCCGTCTCCACTCTCCCAACCCTCAAATCATAGCACCTCACCCTCCCATCCACACTCCCTGTCAGAATTTCATACTCGACACCTCCAGCCCCACCACCTCGTCCAGCAAGCACACAGCTTATCGAATCCCTCGCATCCTCAAGAACCATGATCGGCTTATAGCTCTGACTCCTCAGATCCCATATTCTCACACTCGCGTCGAAACTCCCACTGATCAACACACTATCTCCCGAGCCAGCAAAAGAAACAGTATTTATCCTGGCAGTGTGTCCTTGATTACCACCAAGTCGACGGATGGTCTGCGCAGTGCTTACATCCCAGAGGAAGACGGAGCGATCGCCGCCTGCTGAGGCGAAGGTTGCGTTGTCACTGGCGACTGTGATGGAGAGGACTTCATAACCGTGAGCGGAGTATGTTTGGATGAGTTGGGTGGGCTTTGGGGGCGCGAGGGGGTCAATTGGGCCGGAGGAGGGGCGTGAGGGGTTATAAAGACGGACAGAGCGATCAGCTGAGCCAGTGAGGATGTAGGTCGAGGGTGAGGAAGAGTAAGTTAGGGCGTGAACTGGGCCTGTGGAATGTCAGCCTTGTCTGCGGAAGGAGTTTGCACTGAGAAAAGAGAGGAGTAAAGGTACCATTTGAACCCAGAAGCTGAGTTAGGGGTCTGCAAGGAAATGCCATAAGTGATAAGTTTCCCAAGAGACCGTACGTTGACTTTCCTAGCTGGTCTCTAGTTGGGAAGCTTGAAGCTTGACGACACAAGACATCCCGCTGCGACGGTGACAGGCGGCAGAATCGCTGAACATGCTCTAGCACTTCAGGCAATGGGTCACTAAACTTTATCCTAGATCTACTAATTTCAAAGAATCTTCACTTCGATATTACAAGTTCACCTCTTTAGCTACAAAGATAGCGGTCTCCTTAGTACAGATAGAACAGCTGGACTTGACCACACTGTGTTAATTAGTTTAACTTGACAAAGTCCTTCCTCTGTTTGCTCACATGTCATGCTAGAAGAACTCAACAGCCCCTGTCAGTTACGCGAAGTGTGGGGTACATGAGCCACCAAGTGTTCCGACTTTAGTTCTCCTGCTCCTGATCCGATAGATTTCCAAGGCACAGTATGTATCGCAGGTTAGACAAACCCCTAAGCAATATTTCCAGAATCTGATCTTCTATACTATTGTGCACCAACATCTGGCGACGCTGATACCAATGAAGGCGAGTGCAACAAAGTGGAGTTGGCGGATGACATGACGATCGAGACCAATCTTGGCACGGGGCGAGCCGCCAACTACTTCCAGGAACCCCTTGCCCTTGCTTCAACTCCATGTCAACAGAGCAAGAGAGCTCCTCGTAACGTCTGGTAGTTCACCTCCCCCTCTACTTCCCAGGACAAGAAAAACTGCCAATTCCCTCAATTCCTCCATTGTTCCCCAATCTTTAATCATCCCATTGTCTTCTGTTCGAATCGGCGGTTCTCCACTCAGAAACCCCCAATTGCAGCGGGAGCATATCCCCTCCCAGCCCCTCATTCTGGCTACCCACCGACCCTCACGAGCCAGCGCCAGCACACCTCGTGGATCTCTCTCACCACCTCCCGATTACGCGCCGACCTCGCCGCCAAACCGGCACCCCGCCCAGCCAGACCACAAGAACTCCGTGCTGCACCCGCGTGTTGCTGTCCTGCTGGGCGTGGAGAGGCATTGGCACTTCCCCCTCCTCTTCTGCCGGGCGCTGAGCACCGCGCCCGCGGTATGGTGGGGATTAAGATGTGCGCTTACTTTTCTGGGAGAGTTGTTGCTGGTGGAAGGAAAGGAGGAGATTGACGCGGCTTGGAGTGTGGAGAAGAGGTTTAGGGTCACAGAGGTGTTTTTGGCGGTGCTTTGGGTACGAAATATCTTCTTTATTGGGGAGCAGTGGATAGGATATACTGTCGCGAGAAGAATATGATTGATGGTTGAGAGAAAGAAAGCTGATTTGGGGAAGTGCTGTTCATCTGCATGGCTTAGCTTCTACTTCACGGACTGTCTGATGTCCCGCTGGTATGTTCCCGTCATGCTCCTTCTGGAGATTAGAGCTAACGGACGTGTTAGGCTCCTGAACTATACTCCTCAAGGTAAACAAACTCTTGACTTTTGGTAATATTTCCTGACTTCTCCAGCAACTCTTGTCCGACTTCTCACCATAAACTCCATGAATGCATACATAACATCATGGGTTCTCTACCTATCTGGCGGCTCCGAAGACCCCAGACTTCTGCTCCCAGCGTGGATAAGTATTGCCAGTGTACGTCTCTCGTCTCATCTCTGTCGTAACTAACCAAGGACCAGACTCTAACCTTCTTGTACCACCTTACACATCCACGTCTTGCTATATTGAAAGAGACATCTCTTTCCATTTCCGTCTTCTCGATAGCCAGCTTTATCAGCATGGTTAGTTTGCTTTTGCAGTTGCACTTGACGAGGGAGAATGACCCGCCAGTACCGTTGTTCTGGATTGTGAGGCTGTGCTGGGATTATTTCAAGATTGGTGTTGGAATGCTGGGAATGGTAGGTCGGTGATGTCGGTGATAGTCAATGCGTACAGAAATTTCGAAGCTCCTTCGTTGATTGACAGGAACCGAAAATCCCAATTCATTCACTCAAAGGAATTCTATAAAGAATTATGTGGGTTATGGACATTGCCCAGAATTCTTGTTAAATCCAACCTCTTGGTTGTCCTGGTTGTGCTGTTTCTGTGTCTTGTAAGCTTAGCCGAGCAGCCAGTCCTAGCAATAACTTCATAGGATATCTATGCCTCAGCATGAGCTCAGGCCTGACAACAAGTGCATAAGTTTAAGGGCAAGGTTAAACATTTCATGGTTGTGAGAAGAATGGAAGCTCATGCTTTCCAGAGGATTTGCAATATTGTATCATCTAGACACATCCTAGAGCAATCCATCACATCACATCAACTCAGTGAGCCCATACGCCTTAATGGCAGTTCCACTCCAAATCATGATCTGATCCTCCTGACTCAAACTCGCAAGGTCGCAGAATCTCTGCACAACCTGCCTCCATTTCTTCCACGCATCATCCACACCAACAGTACACACCGGCCAATCGGAGCCGAACATGATGCGGAATGATCCAAACGTTGCTAAGATGACCACCAAGTATGGTTGAAGAGCAAGGAGAACTTCATCTACTGGTGCCTTCTTGAGCGATTCTGGCATTTCGGAGAAACAGCCGCTGAGTTTCATGAAGGTCTTGCTGCATTTGCTGAGACGGAACATGGCTGTACGCCATGCTACAAATGCCGGGTCTGTTTGGTTGTAAACTGACAGATCAGGCTTACAGAGATGGTCTGAGGTGGGCATTAGCAACTACTTCTTGGATTGATTTAAAATGTAGATAGAACATACTTATAATAAAAGTCACCTTCTCCTCCTCCGACACACCCTCATGAGCCTTCTCAATCATCTCCACCGCCTCCTCCAACTGCCACTTCCCACCACTATGCTGATCCACACCCAAATCAAACACATACCCCTTCCTCCCCAACCACTTCAAGCCATCCACAAACCCAAGCTTCAGCATAGTCCCCCTCTCCTTATCCTGCACCAAATACCTAAACCCCTTCACCTTCCCAAAGCTCCCCTCCGCACACCTCTCCACCTCCCCCACATACCTCTCCAACACCTCCCCCCCACTCGGCACCGGCGCCCAAGGCACGATCCCCAAACACAACTTCCTCTGCTCCTCTGTGTGGCCCTCTCCCTCGCGCGGCGTACCCTGCGCTATGCGCTTCAGCCACTCGACTTCCATGAGGGGCATCTCCCAGCCCGAGCCGTCTTTCTCGCCAGATGCAAGATCATGCTTGCGGTCTGTTTCGAGGAAGATGAAGCCTTCGAGGGAAGGGGGCGAGCCGGTTGCGCTGGTGTATTCGGAGAGGGAGTGTTGGCTGTGGAGGGGGTTGGTGGGTGTGCACCAGGCGAGGGTGGAGAGTTCGCTGGAGGGGTAGAGGTGGATGTGTGAGTCGATGATGGGGTACTGGGGGGATTCTTCGGCCATCTTGTGGACGTTCTTTGCTATTTTCGTTCGGGATCGTTGTTCTAGAAGTGGGATTAACGTTGTCTGCGTGGGATTAACGTTGTCTGCGTGGGCAATGTTGAAAGTTATAGTTGCGAAAGTAGGTATGCATACTTATAAGTGTTAGATGTTGGCAGCTCCCAACTGTGAGGCAGCATGCTCGGGAAATTGTGCCCCGAACCAGCAGACCGGGCGTAACCTTACGCGCAACGCGGGGAGATTGGTTCTCTACCATAGCTCCAGGCTTCAAGGTTGGGAGTTCTCCATGAAATGTCATTATTATACACGCAAGCTGATGTTCGACGATACACAGCTGTCTCTAATCCTTGCGGTCTTCCGCTCGACAAAATCACCATCAGCAAACCCATCACTCCCACAGGCGGATTTCCTATGAAACGTCCACTTCTCTGCAGGACCTCCATTCATCGAAGACAGAACGGGGGGACACTATGGAGAAGTTATCAAGGTGAAGGGAAGGTTGTGGACCGAAGGCACAATCTTCGAGCACAAACATTCTAGAGCAGGGAAGAAAGCGTAGGCATGGCCAGAGACAAGTAGGAACCTGCTACCTTTCTCCAAAGAGAAGCTCAGGCTCCTCTTGCCCGATATACCTCTATCCCGACCATCGAATCTCCCTTCGAACACGAGCTCTTCTCACCCTCCTCTGATCAACACGCGCCCACTTCGACCTCCTTGAATCAGTTCGAAGATTGTATATATTTTCGGCGAGGACTGATGGCATTAGGACAGAGAGCCAACTTGCAGACAGCTCGAAAGCAAAGGCTTCACTCCTGGGCACCGAAGAAAGGCTCATTGTCGCGGATGGACGTTTTTGAGCGGAGTCATCTGCTGCTCCACAGGAGCTCCACCGCTTGCTACCACAATCCCAGACCCACAAACAGGCATAAGGCGAGTGTAGCTCACAGCGGCTTGTCAAGCTTCAAGCTCTTATCAATATTCCGGGATATTTATTGCAGCTACTGCACTGCACTGTTGAGGCTGTTGCTGACATGGGCTGGAGACTCGGATCCAAGATTTCACATCTCGAAACTTGGCAACCGAACGTCTCCTGGAGATAGCAATCTCACAACACCTATTCCAAGAACTCTGTTACAGCTCAAGCCTTGTTGATTTTCAACGTACTGCACAACGGATCATCTAGCTAATCCCCTCTCTCCCATCGTGTTCACTTTGACCTGGTCAAGCCACAATTTACATCAAAACCGCCACACCCCACCTGACTTTGTCCCAGCCACAAGTACGCGAATACAGTTTTAAGAATTTCACATGAGAAGCTCTTCTGGGACACTCCGTTCAGCATTTCTAACGGTTCTCGGTCGCCAAATCCAGGAGTGGTCATTCAGCTCTGAGCGCCAAGTGGCTGTGCACCCCGCCTGTTGGACCCCACGAGGCTGACAGGCCAATTGGCGAACCATCACCCGTTGCATAGCCAGGACGTTCCCCAGTCATCTCGAGATCATCCTCTTCGGCGAGTGCGAAGATGATTGGATTCAAGTCAGGATAATCCCGCCATGCTGGTTTCCGTAGGGAGGAGCCTCTTCCTAGTTCCCGCGAAACCATGGACAGCTGAGCAGACATAAGCATACTTGCCCTATACAGTCACAACATCTGCGGCACGGGTCGAGAATGCAAGTTCCCTTCTTTTTGTTCAGACAGTATCAGGTTGCGGCACTCTATCACTACTGCGTTGGTGTAGATTCTGGAATGTCCCATGTAGGGCTCTTTTCTATGAACCCTCCATGATAAGCCTTGTGAGAATCTTCTCACCGAGATGGTGTGGGAGATACATCATGTGGGACAAGGCTCTCCTCTCAGATGGTCGCGGAAAAAGGTCGCGAAAAAGAATCAGGCAGCCGCACATATATACCCACATTCTCCTCCCTCATTGATCCATTCTCCTGCTTTCCTATCCAATACTACTTCCTGCACATCATCTCGCAGACACCCAATTATCACGACTATCAACTGGTTACTGGTCTTGCCTTCAAAAGACTAGGATACCTATCAAAATAGGGAACGTACCAAGCAACATGTCAAACAGAAGCCCTTACATTGAGAGGGACAGCCGGGGACGAGAACGTCTCGTTCTAGGCCGAACGTCCTCCCATCGTCGTACTTCATCTCACAGAGAAAGAGCTGCCGAGGACCTCCTTGACGAAGCGGAAGCCAGAGAACAATCTCTCATATCTCAAGTCTCATCACTGCAAACCCAACTCAGCATGGCTCAGAGAGATCAATGGCACCTCCAGAACTTGCGAGCCGAACACCAGCGCGTGGTCAACGAGCACTACCAGTGTAGAAACATGCGTGCACAGCTAGATGCGCAGGTCAGAGAGGTCCGTAGGATGGAAGATCTGCTCGTGGAAGAGGAAGACCGCAATGCAAAACTCGAGCACAAGAACGAGAAGCTGGAGGAGAAGAACAGGCTGTTGAAGAGGGGAAGTGGAGAGAATTACCAGAGGCGGTACGAGGAGAAGTTGCTGGAGGTTGAGATGCTGAGGACCAGAATGGTGGAGAAGGACGATCTGATCAGGTTGGCGGAGACGAGGATTGCGGATAAAAATTCCACGATCGTGTATCTCAAAAACTACTTGAGAACACATGGTTTCAGAGTTGAAGATTGAGCAGAAGCAGAGATGGGATTAAAGGATAGGGGGATTTGAAGCCGACGACAGCAGTCAGGTAGATGCCGGAAAGACATCTCGCGGTCGGATAACACAACCGAAGCCAAACCAACAAAGTCCATCCACAACCAGCGTACTTACCTTTATGGCCAACGAAGAGCTTATCTGGATTCGCACCTGGCGGGTAAAGACCAACAACATAAAGTCAAAATATCGCCATCCGCCTTCGCAAGTAACCATCAACAACTCCAAACAGCGGGCAGCCGACGTAGATTCGCATTCGACACTCATAGTTCGAACATGGAGAACTATTTAGCATCCTCACGCAATCCTTCCTAGATAGGATGTCATCGCAAGCTAATGATTACTCGCATGTATGTGAGTACACCACAGATCAATCAGTCACCAATTTAGGCATCTACTGATATCTCTTGGCTTAGGATAGGATCAACTCTAAATCCTTCAGGACTCGGATAACATGAGAGGGAGGGGTCTAGAAGTCCTGTACGTACGCTGGATAGGCTGCGTAGAAGCGTATGCGTCGTCCTGTTGGCTACTTGCTGAGCCGAGCCGAGTCGAGTCAGACAGACAGACAGACAATCGACTTTGTCAGTTTGCTCGCTAAGTTATGCTTTTGGTGACTTATCTTTTGCGAGATTGTGTATAATTATATATAAATGACCGGGTAATTAATTCATGGTTCTGACTACCTATCTTCTTTTAGTACCTAGGCTTTGAGTGGATGAACTCGGACGACTAGCTAGTCTTCCATAGGTACTGTACTCTTCCATGAGATTATTCATTCCGAGAAACTGACATAGAATCAATCCACCACTTTCGATTGGTTTACGAAGATAAAATAAATGTATCGATGATACCTACTTACCTCAAGTAATGCATCTCGTGATTGCACCTACCTACTGTTCTTCCATTTTCATTCTTTCCATTTCAAAATGGCCTGGCCTGGCACGTGAGAGTCATGCTTCAACTACCTTACCTACCTTAGGTAGGTACTAGGTAGCTTAGGCGACAAGGCAGATCGAGGAAAACACCCGATGAATCTACATCTAAAATCGCCGCACGTACGAATGCCGTAAGCACTTTTCGAATTTTCGGCCATAGAAGAAGAAGAAGAAGAAGAAGAATATAAATAGAGTAAGGCGCGATCGCTTTATTTTGGGGCGGGTGGGCGATCAGACAGACAGACAGGCGGGATGGGATCAATCTTCACAGGATCGATCACATTTGAAACGCGCAGTAAAACCCATCCCCATCCATCCGTCCAAAAATGCTTCGTCTTCATCATCATCATCATCATCCCAGTTTCATTTTCTTTCTTATTCATTGCAACAAAAAAAAATTGAAATGAACGCGCAAAGGCCAGAAAGATTTCCCCCTCCAAGCTCTTCACAAAATCACCCACATTGCGCAAGAGTGTAGTGTGGATGCAAAAATTTCAGTTTCCATTCCTCCCGAGAAAAAGAGAGACTGACTGTCAAGCGTAGTCTCTGAGCCACTCAACTGCTGAAAACATACTCTTCAAAGGGGGCAACGGTGGAACTGGGTTACTGAAGCTGCATATCACGTGTAGGAATATTTTCTGGCGATTCTCGCTTAAGTAGAGGGGGTTCTTTCAGGCTACCTACCTACTGCGAAGTGCGTGTTGAGGGGATACTTAAGGACGACCTCCCCTAGATTCCTTTTGAGATTCTTCCATTATCTCGTCTTAGTCACTATAGCGATAGATTCCTATTTTCGCCGTCACATAAGTTAGTCAAGCGAGCCTTCGAGTCATTGAGCAGTGGTGGGAATCTTAAGTGGAAGTCAACAATGACTCGGGCTTCCGTCAAAACGACAACACTAAGATAGATAACGTGCAAGAATTGGAACAAATCAGTGGATACGCCTCTTGGGACGTTCTCATATCATCTATATTATTAGGAGTCTAGTGTCTAAATGCAGTTCTATCCCCAGCATGATTCCAGTCTACCCTAAACGCCTCCCAAACCTTGAGTCTAGAGTTGAAGGTTAAGGGTACCGTGGTCCAGCTGCAATCACAGCTACGCATCGATTCAAAACATGCTCGTCAATACTCATAGTGCAGGGCCAATCATCAGGTCGAACGAGATAGGGAATGATGAGAGGATCCTGGTTGATAGCCGCCAGCTGCGGAATCATCTATTCAAACACCAAGTCAGCAAAACAAAACATTATTCTTCAACAACCTCTTCAAACACACCAAACTCCACACCATACCACCAAGTATCCAACCTCCTCCCAAAAACACAAAAAAGACAACACAATCCAAAATAAAAAAAAATGGACGTTAGGATAGAAACTCACAGCCGGAAAATACACCTCCCTCCACCTCTCCGCACAATACGCCTCCCCCCCACCTGCACTCACCAACCTCCTCACCAACTCCAAAAACACCACATCCGCACTCAGCACAAACTTCCACATAAAATACCCCTTCATCTTCGCCCGCATCATCGCCCGACTCATCTTCCCACCATCCCCTCCATCCCCCGCACCTCCATTTCCATCTCCACCATACACCCATCTCCGATCCAGGATCGTCTCCAGCACTTCCGTGAACTTCTCCAGGGGCGTGCTGAGGTCGGTGCTCCCGTCGGGGAAGTCGGAAGCGAAGGCGGTGCGCTCGAGGGCTTTGTCGCGCCAGAATGCGAGGCGGTGGGAGCGCGTGTCGGTTGGATAGGAGGGTAGAGGCTGAGACTGAAGCTGAGCTGTGCGGGAGCGGGAGCGGGAGCGGGTTTGCGTGTGCGTGTGCGAGTAAGTGAGGGACTTGGCTAGAGACTGAGACTGCGACATGTGGATGTGGTACTGCGGGCTAGACGTCCATTTGTGGACGAGGGGGAAGAGGACGGTGAGGGTGAGGTGGCGGAGGAGGGAGAGGGATTCGGAGAGGAGGGTTGAGACGATGGAGGTGTGTGCGGTGGTCGCGGTTGCGGTCGGGTCGGAGTGGTGGATGGGGAGGTTGGGTGGGAGTTTGGAGATGTAGAGGGTTGCGAGGTGGGAGGCTGAGGAGGTGGAGATGTGGGCTTCGTGGAAGGTCCAGAGCTGGGATTTGGTCAGTTAATTACTTGGGACTGTCTATGGGTGAGGATATGAAGATCTTGCTGCGTATACGATGGGAATGGACTGGACTTCGGAAATGAAGTCCGAAGTTGGGCGGGCTTTGTGATGGATTATTGACACATCGTAGGAAATGGTTGGAAGACATACCTTGACAACCTCAATCCAATACCACAGCTGCTGGGCCTGCTCATCTACTTCAGCTCTCACGTCGGTAAACACATCACGATCATCGCCTGCACGTAAAGATCCCTGTCCAACTAATACCGACCCTGTACCCTGTGCTTGAGGCTGCTGGTGCAGACTTTTGTATTGACCTTGCTCTGGGTTTAGAGGCGAAAAAGCATTCAGGGGACTGGAAGTATTGGTACGAGACAATGCAAAAGCTGGTGGAGGACCGAGAGCTTGTCGAGCTTGCTGCAAGTACTGTTGTGTACGTGACGGCGATATGCTGCCTATCGACCTTGTGCCCATCCCACTACTATATCCATTGACTGCGAGCGTCTGGCCGGACGCAGTTGGTGATGCTTGTTGGACTTGATGATAAAGCTGCTGCCTATGTTGAGGTGAGATGCTGCTCAACGCCGGACCAGTGCCATAGCCATTTGTATTTCCATTGACAGCAGCTGGTAATACTTGCTGAACCTGCTGATAATACTGCCCTTGATTTTGCGGCGAGGTGGTGCCCATCAACCCACTACCACCGACCGCAAACATCTGACCTGACGCAGCTGGCGAAACTTGCTGTCCTTGGATTCCCTGCTGATAATTCCTTCCATGATGCTGAGGCGAGACGCTACTCATGGAGCCACTGCCAAACCCATTGCTATCAACAGAAAGCTGAGAAGACGCCACTCCAGCCCCAGATTTATAAGGCGATGTATACGGCTTCCTGACTTGCTGCACTTGTACTTGTGCTTCTGGATTGTACTGTCCCTGATGCTGCGGCGAGACACTGCTCGTCGAACTGGGGCCAGTCTCATAGCTGCTGAGCGATACTTGAGAACTCGACGCACTTGGTGAGGGTTGCTGGACCGGAAGTGAGGCTTGGTGAAACGAAGAGTACTGCTGGTGATGTTGAGGGGAGAAGTTGCTTATTGAGCTTGTACCAACCGAATTGGTGCCGTTGGTGGGAGCATTGGTTGCAGGCCTGCTGGGTGATACTAGAGGTGAGAGACTATTGACAGGAACCATACCCTGTACATTCCCTGTAGTTGGTCCGCTTGGTGGGCTGTATGCTCGTTGAAGTGCTTCGTAGTATCGACGCTGAGGCGAAGTCAACACGTTCAATGAGGGACTTGCGTAGACATGAGGGATGACTCGATCTTGAGCTGACTGTTGAGATTGATCTCCAAGTCCAGCCTGTGCTTGAGCTTGTCCTGGGGGAGGTGGTTGTGGAGGGTGCTGATAGTATTGAGAAGTCATCGTCTTTGCTATCTTAGTATTAATTGTTGATCTCGAAATCTCGAGATTTGGAGGTTGATGTGGAATAAAGTGAAAGGACTAGATTGAAATTGAAGTGGCGAGTGAGATTAATACTCGATTTCCTAGAGGAAGGCGGGTTGAGTTGACGGTGAATAACGAGGTTAGACCGCAAAAAATTAATTTGAGTAGCGTGGCGGCGATTTAATGATCGAGAATGAGAATGAATTATGAGGTGAGGTGAAGTGAGCGATGTTGGAGTTCCGGATTGAGAAAATGACGTGGTAAGCTGAGGATGAAGTAAAGATCTAGCATGTGCTCTAAGAATATGTCAGCCATAGGTTTAGCTACTTGACAACGCTTTTAGGTCAATCTGTGTTGTGTAGTTCTATTCACTAGTGCTGTCCATCTTTAAGCCTCGTATTGAAATACTTCGGATGTGGATATTCCAGTGAATCTGTATCATATGATACAAACCATGATCAAACTTCATAATCGGGCATCGATTCATTCCCAACATCAATCGAGGAGATAACTTCATCCAATGTCGACCTCTCTCGATACACAATCCTGCTCTTCCATGTCAAGACTCCATCCAAAGTCTTTCCGCCCTTCCACCAAACCCCATCAAATCACAGCCCTCTCTTTTCACCTTCCACAAACCCAACTCTAACTCCCTGTCCAGGCTGCAAAACAATCTCGGCCTTTAAGCATGGGTCCCCACCATCAACCACCCCCATAAAGTTCTCGACACCCTCGAACCTCTGCAGTAACCTCACAATCGTATACCCCATCTCCGTCAACGCAAATTGCTGACCAATACAGATTCTCGGGCCGCCATTGAAAGGAATATACGTCCACGGTTTTGGCTGCCAGCTTTGCCATCGCTCGGGTACGTAGTCCAGGACCGTGATCGGGGGTGAGGAGGGGGACGTCGGATGGGGCATGGGGGGTGTGAGATCGGGGCGGCGCTGCATGAGGAGCGTGGAGTAGCCAATGGGTGTGTCTTTCAGGATACCGACCGGGGAGAGACCGTCGGGGCCGCCGCCGTGGGGGAGGGTCGTGTCTTTTAGGGCGAGGCGAACGTTGAAGGGAACAACGGGGTAGAGGCGGAGGGTTTCGTTCATGACGTTCTGGGGGACGTTAGCAAGTGCCTCTTAGAAAGTAAGATAAGTTCGGAAGTAAAAATGAACAGTTATTGGACTGTGTAAGGAGATGTCGTACCTGCAAGTATTTCATCCCCTTCAAATCTGCGTAGGTAGGTGGTCTGTCCAGGCCCACTTGGCTCACGATCTCGGCGCGCAATTTCTTCACTATCTCAGGATGCCTCGCCAGTTCATAAAACGTCCATGATAAAGTGGAAGCAGTCGTGTCTCTCCCCGCCAACAGCACAGCAACCAATTGATCGCGGAGCACTTTTCGATCACGTGTGAACGAAGCAAGAGCATGGAGAAATGTATATCCCTCCTCAGATTTCGTCTTCGTAGCCAGTTCTTCGGGCGAGAGACTGAGTGCTTGGTCAATATATGGGGTGACGAACTCGTTGATGACTTTTATGCCTTTGTAAAACGAGGTGCGGGGGACAAGCGGATTAAGTGGCCTATTGCAATTAGTCATGAGCTGTGTCAAAGGGGTAGATAGAGAAGGTATATACCCAGCTCGAGCAATAATATTCTGCACCCTTTGTACCTCTCCGAAAGCCTCCGCAAACTCCTGTTCTGGCAACTCCAAACTGCCAACCGACCGTCCCAACAAAAAATGTGTAGCAACATCTAACGTGTACCTGAAGAACAAATCGCTGACGTCAATCTCACCCCCTCTGGTCCCATCATATCGCGTCCCTCCCTCGACAATCTGTCTCAGCAAGACCTGGACATGCGTCTCAAAAACGTCCAGATCACTCACTCGGTCCTTGACAAACTGCGGCCGGATCAACTGTCTGGAAGAATGCCACTGGTCGAGGTCAGTGGTAAAGATACTGTCACCTAGAAACTCCTTCCATTCTTCATGGAATGGCTCGCCCTTGCCGTAGTCCGTGAATTGCGTAGCTAGGATTGCTTTGATATTCTCAGGGTCGGCTGTGAAGATCAGACGACGACCGACGGGCTTTGCTTCCATTGTGTAGCACTTCTCCCCCGTAGAGGTTGTGAACCACCGGTTCCAGGTTTGAAGGTTCTTGTGGTTCATGGTTGCATTGATAGCCCTTGCTATGAGGTCGAGGTCTGTTTTTGATAGGTCAATTTTATGGTCATTCTAGGACCTTAAGCTACGCACCCAAAGGAAACTTCGTGTTGACCTTCTTTGCATGGCCGCCTAACGCCCGGATCTTGCGCTCTGTATTGATCCATGTTGTGATTTTGATGAAAGAGTAGATGGCGACCACTGCTATGATCAACGTCTTCAGCGAGACGCGCGTGAGTATATCTTCAATCATTATTGGGGATATTGCTGTTGCGGTTCCTGGCGATTGACGTGTAGGTTTTGTGAAGGTTTCGCGTAGGCCCTCTTGGAGCAATGGGATGTCGTTCGAACAAAGCTATGTGCAGACTTTCCTTCCCGTCAACTAGCTCAGAAGGGAAGCCGTCTCTCGTGTGCTTCCTTTCAGAAATGTATTTCTCTTTGTTATGTTACCAGGAAGGGAGATGTTATCCTGATAAGCAAGACCACACACACACGTTGAAATGAGATTCACAAATTGCCGTAACACGAGATCATCGCTAGTACTTGTACCCATCGCGCAAAGCAGAAACGGACAGCTGCAACAGGGTGGGTCGGTGGAAAATCGGGCCATGTCAACTGTCAAGCACCGACATTCGGTCGATCATGGGGCAGCAGCGCAACTTAGAGAGGCGCAGGGCAGGGCAGGGCAGGGCAGGGCAGGGCAGGGCAGGGCAGGGCAGGGCAGGGCAGGGCAGGGCAGGGCAGGGCAGGGTATGGGCAGGCAAGATCGGATATGCCTGCTGCACTCCACATGCATTCTAGCTGCCCCTGCTTTTGACATCTTGACATCTTGACTTCTTGATTTCTTGAGTTATGTATGACATTGACTTTTGGCTTTTGACTGGACGACAAGCTTGCGATAGACTTGGGATTGGGAGGTTTGTTTCATTGCTTGTCGAGCCAATGAAGTAGACATTAGGGGCACTAATGGAATATACAGTATGCTCGGACAGCTCGGAGAGGGAACCGTAGGTAGCCTTAGCCATGTGGCGCCGGGAGGCGACCTTCGCCCTAAAATTCGTGGAGGTAAAGCGTGGTCCACGGTCCTAGGCTCGGGATTTCACATGTTTAGCTGGGTAAGAAGTAAATGTACCTAGGTGATGTAGGCGAGGTAGGTAGTAAAATTACCTATTCCTACCTAGCCTGGTGCTGGTGCTGGTGCTGGTGCTGGTGCTTGCGAAAGACATCATGAGACGAAGCGAGGTTCAAGAAGGCGGGGCTGGCGCACTGGGCAACATGCGGTTAGCCATGCGATTAGCGCCCAGGGGCCAGGAACCAGAGAGCGAGCCAAGATCCTCGTGATGCGGAGAATGAGGGGAACCATGCGTGAGATGCACGTGAATATTATGTGGAATCAAATAAGGTAGGTACTGTACGAAGTAGGTAGTATATATCAATTGATCGAAGCTTCTGTCCTAGATCTCAGCCAAAACTGTTACTAGCGCAGCAAAGAGCAGGCATCGTATCTTTTTCCCAACTCACTTCTTCTTTTCTCCTCTTGATCTTACAATCGTCTCACACGCAGTCTTACCAGCCCTGTCGACTGGAGCTCAAAGACACTATTACAATCGAAGATACCGTCTCTGCTTCAGAAACGAGATGGGATGACTCTAGAGTCGAACTCCTTTAACCAACCTACAAGCTCCAGCGGAAATGCATTTTTTAAAGTTCTCCTTCCCGCGTAATCTCGTCCTCTAAACGGAGCTCCTCCAAGCGCGCAAATCCTTCCTTGATTATTACGCCTCGGAAGACAAGGAGAACGAACCGACTCCAGAACAACACTCTAGTTGCCTCGACAGCTCATTATTACCCATCTGCACTCCGCGGTTCATGTTGATGTGACAAGAAGTCTTTCCACAAGTAGATTTCAATTCTACTGGCAAACTTCTAAGCCCTATCTATATCCAAACAATAGTCAATCTGCCACATACGACCATAGACTGGTGAGAACTGGGCATCCCGTCCGCTCTGCCATACATAAGCACCAGATCGGCAGATTAGTAGTTGGGTGGGTGACCACCAGCGAATACCTGCTGTCGTATGGAGTTCTATTTTTTTTTTTTTTTTAATTTTCTTTTTTATCTTTTTTGTGGATTATTTATGGACATTTGTTGTGGAGAATGATGGCCGTTGCTCAGGTCATTGTTTACTATTGCCGGTGAAACATCCGCTGAGCTGGAAATGATCCGAGCTTATGGAACATCAATGTGGATTTCATACGGGCGCTATTTGGGGAGGGTTCTTCTACCTTAGACACTCTTTGCAACACCGCGTACATCGATTATACCATTATTTACTTGTTTACTGGTGCCACACCTACATTTTTAGAATGAAACTTGATTCTAATCATTGTGTGTTCTAAACGTGTACAGCGCAACAAAGCACAAACTGCCGAGACTACTTTAAGTGATCGGTCTGATCTTGTCACGGCCATTGGAAGTGTTCTATGTTGTTGGATGCAATACGCCACGGTGTCATACATCCGTCGTTTGTCTATCTGACTCCGTGGGACGGGCAGAGACGGGAGGACTGAGAGCTTTGTATCGATGATGATAGAGGGTTGCGTGGTTGCTTGGTTGCTGTGATATTCGGGTATTTACGCGTCTGGGGTTTTGTCGAATCGCTATGTTGACTTGGGGCGAGCAGCACGAGCTGAGGAAATGATGTGCCGGAAAGACGTACAAGTGAGCGTCAGGAGAAATTGATGTCCGATAGACCCCAAACGTGGTGGTTGTACAGATGTGGTACGACGTCGTGGACGAGTTCCTGCTCTCCATCATGTTGATTTAGAATGCCCTCAGTTTCCAATACGACACAACGCAATGCGATCCAAACCCGAAATCGCTCGACTTGACAGTCAGGCGCCTATTCGATTTCACTGCCGCTGACCTCTGGTTCACTCTCCCCATTTCCGTCTTCATGGTCCATCGCTTCCAACGCATCAGTCTCCTGCCCCAAAAGGGGCGCTCTCTCCCCCTTATCCCGCGCGAAATGCCCTATCACACTGATTCCCACCGTACTCAACCCATGTACGAACGTGCTCCCCAATACGACAAAGCAAATGACTGGCCACAGTAACTCTATCGCTTTATCTTTGTCGCTGTACGGGGGAACAAGCTTTCGGGGCTTACCAAGTGGTATGGAAGAGTCGTTCTCCAACTCAGCTCTTGCTTCCATGGCTAAGAATAGCGCTCCGACACCCATGGGACCGAAGTGTCCGCAAAAGAGAGCCTCGCGGTAAGTTCTGATGTCTGGTATGAAGCGTTTCATGGCGAGCACTATTGGGATGCGGCGGAAGAGGAGGACCAGGACGAGGAAGAGGATCAGTTGCCAGATGCCGCAGTTGGGCGTTACGTCGCTAGGGACGAATCGATTCCATGGAATGATAGAGCCAAAGAAGACGAACATGCTGCTGTTGAGCATGAGGTCTATGATAGTCGGAAATGGAAGTTCTCTAGTCTTTTTGGAGAACCATCCGTCGTGTGCAAATCCTACTCCTGCGCCGAATGCTACGAGGAAGTCATCGCTTCCGAGTGTAGAGCCAACTCCAATGCTGAGGATAGCGAGAAGAAGGTAGAACACGACGAATGAGGGCTGAGAAATGTACCCTCTTGTATCGGAGAATCTGAGAAGTCTGTTGGCCACGTTGCCGATGATCAGACCTATCGTAATGCCGAAAACACACTGCCACAGAACGGTGATGAGAAACCATTCTTTGACCGCTTCTCCTGTGCTGGAATAATTAAGTGCAACAAGGCCGATATAGAGGAATGGAAAAGATATCCCATCATTAGAAGCTGATTCTGCAGATAGCAAATGCTTGAGTCGCTTCGGCACCCTCTGGCTGAACCGTGACTTGGAGAGTACACTTGCTGCAAGTACAGGATCTGTTGGCGACAAGCAGGCTCCGATGATCAACGCCGTGGGAATCGAAGTTTTGAATATCAGATAGGCGAACAAGGCAGTGATAGCCCACGAGAATGCCATGACAGGGCCAAGGAAATAGAGAACCGACAGCCCATGCCGCTTAAAGTAGAACTTGGGCAGTTCTATACCGACTGCAAAACACTGTATCCCGACTATCACTCGCGTAATCTCTTGTAATATTTCATCGTTCATGCCCCATTCTCGTGGCGCGATGACTTTGAGGACATTGGGTCCTAAGATGATACCATAGAGAACTGCCAAAGGAGGCTCTGTACGTATTAAGTTAGTACTAAAGCTTATGATTTGCTGTGACTACTGACTGACCTGAGAGATGAAGTTTATTTCGAATAAATAGAGACAGGAGCGCATAGACAATCAGGAATATCGAGATAGTAAGATACGCCACATGAGGTGGTGTAGGTTCGAGTTGATCCCACATTGTTTTGAATTAGCTTGTTACAGTAGCGAGGATGCCGGTTCTGTCGTTTCGCACTTGCCTCTAACCCCAGTTAGATTTATCGAGATCAAAAACGAGGCTTTAGATTCATGTAGTTTGTTGCATAGTAATGTTTTCTTTTTGTCCCGAAAAATTGCTCCCTCCAATTGCTCAGCAATTGTCATGATGTCACTAGGCTAGTCACATGACCGTGGTACCCCTTGTTCACTGCACTGAAAATGTGCAGCCGATCACAGTTGTGCCTACCCCGCGCGTGGAATACAGTAATAGCATAAGGTGAGGCTATCACGACCTCCTAACATCTGGAATCGGAGTTCCATACTACAAGGTATAGTATCAGACACGCCGAGGTCCAAGTTTACTCGCCGAGTTAAGGGCCGCGCGCCCGCTAATTTCTTTCCAGTTCAGCCTTCTGGGTTGTTTACATTAAACGACCAGATAGCAAGCAGGCGTGGACAGCGGGCCGCAGAGCTTATTCCAGTTCTACGGGAGCAATGCGAGACGCTTACAAGAACCTATTGATTTCCCTGTGTCTCTCACTCTTCTTGCAGTCCAATTGTCCAACCAGCAGCCCGCGGAGAACTCCTCGAATAATCTCAATCACTTCCATGCGCTCAAGTTGGCCACTCTTGCTTTCAAACAATATATCTACGAGCCAAATCCCTTGCGGTGCAAAAGCGTAGCCATACCTCGCAGATCTGCCTCGGAACAGGATAGCATCAAACAGGCTTCAGCACACCAAGACGAGTGGTGTACCACTCAGCACCCCGCGACCATCAACAGCATTAGCAGCTGATAATAGCGGGTGTTACAGGCCCAGAATTCGAGGTATGTGATAGATGCGTTAGCTTGTAGCAACAGTGACTAATTTGTGGGAATCTGATCAGGCACCAGCACTGTTTTTGCAAACAATAACGAACACGACGACGACCCAGACTTGCTCATAATCGAAGAATTGCTGTTAACTAAGCTACAAGGGCAGGGCTTCACAACGAAAGATCGAGGTCCAGACAAGACGGGAGGAGATAGGGAGGCAGCTGTGTTATCTGCTACAGATCGAGGCAAGATCCCGACTTTCGACTTATAATCAATTGCCCCCTCAACACTTCACGATTTGGAACTATCTGCAATACAGAAGAAGACTTCGTTTCTCCTCTGAAATTCGCCGATTGGAAGAGCACGAGAGATATCAGATTTAAGGATTCTCGCTTCTTTTATGCATATTCCATCCTTCAGTATAAAACCCAATTCGTTTATCTGGGTCTTCTGGCACCCGGTCCTGGGAACCAGCTCCTCAGACCAGATAGAGATGGAAATGGTTTAGTTCCACCAATATGTGGAAACAGTTTGTGATATACCCATTTTTAGTGACTTCGAAAATTTCTCCAAAATAAGTACCCTTCTCTCAACGTCCACCCACTCGGCAGTGTTTAGCTCCCTATGCACCGTCTTGTACACTTTTTCACTTTCTCGTTCGCGCTAGCTTTTGATTTTTTAAGGCTAGATCTGGCACCTTGAAATTTTCATATTGAGCATATTTTGCTCAACTACATACTTTGTCTGGAAGCCCCGTAGGGCCTCAGTTAGCTCTATTCATACAATCACCAAATTGCCTCACCGGCCGTCCCTTGAACAAGTCTTAGTTGCCTAGTAGCGAACAGATACTATTCCTTTCTGACATTTGACCTAAAAGGCCTGTCGAGATCATAAAGTTAACGGTGTTTTTAACAAGGTCTCTGTCCTTCAGAATTAGTCGGTCGTCTGCCATTTATGAGATTTAAGTTGTTCTAGTCGTTCCTGTCTAAAGAGGTCGCATTCCTCGATGATATAGCGTACTGATTAGTATACTTAATCGCATTCGCGCTATATTGCATCTGATCGTTTGATCTTATAGAGGTACGCGTTGAGTCCGATCCGCTCAGTTCTCATCGCTGTTGTGTAATATGAAAATCACCTGTTTTGGTAAGCGACACTCTTGGAACAATCACAAGCTAGCCTACGTTCTTCAACACTTCATGTCAACCCACCTTCCAACAAGGCGATCAAATCATCATGACGCGAACTGCTGCTCGATTCATCTTCTGTTCAAACCTGAATGAGTGGGTACCTGTTTTCGGAGGCACCCACTGCAGGCAACCTTCCTTCGACGTTTTGACAGCTACTGCCCATCAAGTGCAGGATGAACTCATCGCCAGACGGCTCAGAAGTACGCAGATCTTGGAAGAGTACTATGGAGCCATAAATACCTACAATGAATATCTTAACGCAGTATACACCCTTGCCCCAGGTGCAATGAAGCGCGCTCAAGAGATGGATGTGAAAAGATCCAATGGGGAGTTTCTTGGACCTTTGCATGGAATGCCTATCCTTGTCAAGGTACCTGTCATCAAAAACAATACATATCAGACACTCACCATCAGTTAGGATAACTTACTAACTAGTCATAAATTGGGAATGAACACGACTGCGGGGTCTTTAGCACTTGATGGAACAAGTTCGATTTGGAATGCAAGAGTGATAGATCTGGTGAATACTTTCCGTGTACACTTCCCCCTTAAGAATAGAAGATGTTGACCATATCCTTTATACCTATCGAGACAGGGGCTATTATCCTCGGGAAGACAACATTATCTGTAAGCTTTCTAAGCCGCCTCGGTCACACATGCTAATTTTTACAAAGGAGATGGCCAACCGCAAGTAAGCATGTTTTGCCTTTGAGTCACCTATCCCTGTTGGCCTCAAGATTTACGATGCTCTGACATTAAACTGGACAGGGGAGTTGGTTTGCATGACGGCTGGTCTTCAATTGCTGGTCAATGTGTCAGGCTTATGTTCGAGGAGGGTTCGATCCTACAGATGGAACTCGTGGACACAGTGTAAGTCGAACTTGGACTTCCCCTTGAGTGCCCTAACACGTCCTCAAGAGCTGTGCTGGTTCATCCGCCGGTTCCGCTGTTGCGGTCAGAGCTGGTATGGCTCCTGCTGCATTGGGCACCGACACCAATGGATCACTGAGTGCTCCTGCACTTAGAGCTGCTCTCTACTCTTTGAAACCTACTTTAGGGCTCGTTCCCGGAGACGGAATACTTCCGATAAGTCACCGGTTCGACACAGCCGGTCCGTTAGCAAAAGACACGAGAGACGTTGCCGACTTATTGTCTGCCATGGTCGAATTTAGGAGTGTGCCGAACGGCGGATATGTGTCTGCTGTCGGATATCTCGATAGCTGGAAAGAAATCAACATCGGAGCTCTCGATCCGAGAACATGGAAGTATTCTGACTCTATGGTCAAGCCAATAGCAGATGCTACTGTTGAGATAGTAAGAAAATTTTATTTTTGCTGCGATATAGATTCTGACAGCATCATCATAGGTCTCAAAGACGCAGGAAGCTTACAACTTGATTAAGTCGCTCGCTAAAACATACCATTCTGATGTCTCTCTCCGCTCCGTAGATGGCTTTGACATCGACGGAGAGAACTCGATCAGCGAAGCACTGAGTAAGTTCAAGCAATTGATTGTTCCTACATCCTCTGACATCCTTAGTCACGGACTTCGAAAGTGATCTGAACAGATTTCTTGGAACCGTTCAGAACTGCCGGATCTCAACCCTGAAAGAGCTTGTGCAGTGGAACTTCGCGCATGCCGACAAATCGCTGCCCCCTGGTAGATTTGAACAGCATTATCCAGAGAATGGGGAAACTGGCTGACATTTCTTAGAGAATCCAAACCAAGACCTGTTAGTAAAAAGTTTGGCCGTTGGAGACGACGCCAAGAGACGAAAAATGCTACTTGATCACATGAAAGCAGTTGGCGAAAGTCTTGAAGACACATTCAATAAGTACGGTATAGATCTCATCATTGGACCAGGAGATTGCTATTTGAGCCAATATTCAGCTGCTCTCGGTAATCCTTCCATCATCTGGCCACACGCCGTTGACTAAGATTACTAGGCTGCCCACATGCGACAGTTCCTCTGGACTGTCTGGGATACAATGGTAGACCGATTGGACTGATAGTTATCGCACGGCCTTACCAGGAAGCTTTGTTGTTGAAGTTCATGGACGCATTCGAGGCTTCGTTCCCAGCTAGGAAGGTGCCCACTGCCCACGGCCTTTTTGCACGCCCTCCACGTTTGATGTTATTCCACATAGGCGCATTCAAGGACCAAGACTAGAGATCGGAAAGGGCAATTTAATATTTTTAACATAACAAAGCTCATTGAAGTGTTTCAATGGAAGGCATGAGGATGAACTAGTCAGGGTGACTTACAGCTCTATTATACAGGTCGGATCTGTACTTTTGGGAACACTGCACATGCCGCCCATGTAGTACCGTGTAAAATCCAGACACGTACGAGTACCTTAATCCTTATCGCATAGCAATGATATAAGACTAAAAGGAAAATCTTGTCAGAGATCGAAGTTCTGCAGGTTCGCTTCCCCCGCAATCTTTTCTCCAGCGCATAACTTTTGGACAGCTTCCAAATTCTCCGCCATGTGCGCTAGATTCTTTGAACCATCAAGTATCTGAAACATCTCTCTACTATCTCCTATGGACTGTAAACTGTGGACTATAAGAGAGTGGCCAACAGAAGTCCTGGTTCAACAGCAGAAGCACCTTTCCTATCTTGACTCGAAATTTCCCCCAGCAGACCAAACGCCTGATAAGCAATTTTATGATCTCTGCAACAAGCCCCGACCGGTTTATCATACGCATTCTCTTCGCAACAGTAGTTCTGTACTACAGCTGGGGGGATATCCGCTCGCTGGACGAGAGTCATGAGCGTTTCCAGCCCGACCTGAGAGACACCAAGGCATCTCGCGCCTTTGCGTCTAAAATTCTCCTCCATGACCTCCCAGGCTGCGAATGTTCCGCTCAGAGTTGCAAAAGGGCGATGCAAAAAATAGACATCAATGTATGAAACGTGCAGATTGTGCATCGTTGCTTGGAAGCTCTTTAGATCTATACTCTTTTAATTGTCTCTAACGCTTATTTTGAAACAAAGTTTCTTTTATTACGTTTTATTTAGGAAGGTTGCCTTCTCAGTGCTTAGAAATTAAAGCACGTAATAAAAGAAATCACATGTCTCTGATCTGCGTTATAATACACTCCTTAGTACATAATATAGATATATATCTGAGCCAGATACCCGCTCTTAATTCGCATGTTAAAGTAAAAACACAATTCGCCTCAAGCTAATACATCTCCCCGAACCACTAGCTCTACCCATCCCTTTACAGCCGGGGAACATTTGCCACAAGATCCCAATAAGCGGACGACCAGCCAGTCCACAACACCTATTCTCCTTGCAATTCGAATAGATGCCTTAATAACATAGGATCTGGACCCTATCACATAATCTCACATCCGCCCTCACTCAAGCCTCCTGTGCCTTCCTTCTTCCCACTCATTGCAGCTGTCCTGCAAATATCCTCAAAGACTTCATGAACTAGCTCACCTGTCATAGCACTACACTCCAGGTACCGGTCGCATCTCATCTCCTGGGCAATACGGTACGCTTCCTGTGGGTAGATGATGCCATTCGGGTCATCTTCGCTGCGTAGGTCACGTTTGAGACCGAGGAAAAGGATCGGAAGCTCCTTTTGGAAAGTGAAGATGCGTTTAATTTCTTGTATCCACTGTAATTATTGTCAGTCTAGAACCTTTGGTCTAAATGAAAACGATAGACGAGAAAAGAGGGCGTGGTTACCCAGCCATGTACAGTTTAGACTAGCAAGGCTTGGGGAGTATGAAAGCAGATAAGTGAAGAAGGACTTACAAATCTTTGAGCATGGATAAGAGATAGACGTGAAGATATATCATAACATAGAACTATAACATCTGGATGCAGCAGAGTCCAGTTCTCAGGACTAGATGTATCATAGAACTCAAATCGGTAAGGACGGTTGAAAAAGGTGATGTCGAAGACGAAGGGCTGGTCACCATCTCGGAGGAGAGAAATGGGGCCCTTCTTATCGTGAGCTACGGAGCCTTTACTTATCCGCCTATATGATCACTTGGTAAGCTTTGCAATAGGCATACTGCCAACGATATCGGAATGTACAAGGACATCATAGAGACGATAAGGGAAGAATGCCAATACATACGACAAAAATGTTGATTTCCCAGTCTCAGCATCTCCAAGTAGCAATATCGATACTTCAGGCGTCTCGAGATCCGCCATCATTCATTATTTTATTCTTACCTTCAGTGCTGGAAGAATGCATGCCGTCGTTTTAAAGACCCTAAGCTAGGCTGCTTGTACTAGGTAGGTAAAAAGCAAGTCGTTCACGTGGAGATAAGATAAGCCCCTCCCCTGATATCCCCCACCAAGAACCTAGTGAGCTAATTTCCTGCCCTCTGAAGAGTGTCAAGGAGAGCTTTTAGCCAGAAGAGATTTAATCTTAGACTAGGCTAGACTTTGAGTCTTAAGTGTACCTAAACTAGATATGGAATTTAAATACAGTTTTAGTTAGAAGGTTTGAAAGTAGTGGGGTAGCTTAACGACTGTATTATTTTGCATTCTTAACGACTGAACACTATGTCGTACTTGAGCCAGCTGCATTATGCATGTGAGTTTTCATTGTGTTGTCTCGCTGTCACTTTAAGGAGGCGAAGCATCATTCCACTTGTCATTTTGTTGGCAGGCTAGGTTCGAGTGAGGCCTGCTTAGTCATTAGCTGGCTTGCCTGCCCCATAACGCAATGCCAGCGCTCTAACACAAGAAGAATCAAGCTCTTGAGCACTCCTCAAACACCGTGTCTCCATCTGTTTCACTGAAAGCGCTAAAATGCTAGCTGGCAAGTTGCTTATTGTGCGTGGGTTATTGCCGGTCTTAGGGTGAGAGGAATTGCTCTTGTGAGACGACCTGAGATATAAGTACTAGTGCTAGCACGTGCTTAGCGAATAAAGTCAAAGTAAAGGAAGGTTTCCACAGAACACCAACAGAAAAAGGCCGCGCGTGCTAGAGGGTTGCATACCTAGATGACACCCTTGTGAATAAAGCCAGAAGATAAGCTAACAGACGAAGATGAGGGTATGTTCGTTACCTATGCGTGGTGAGCCCCTATTACCAAAGAAGCCGAGGCCATAATCCTATAAATTGAAGCTGTGGAAAACATCTACCTTGCAGCAACATGATTCGCTTCCTTGCCGCCGGGCTACAAGCACATACTGTAAGGCAATGGAACGCAAGGCAAGCTGCATATTATTTAACCCCGCCAATTATAAGTAGGCAAGGTACAATAATCCGCTGAGCCAGCCAGCCAACTTCCTTCTCTATTAATTCTGTTTCTTTGTCGTTGAGACCCCTCCTCCACCAAGTGTGAGAGAATTGTTTGCGCATGGCGTAAGTTGTTCGACACAGCTATGGCAGCACGACCGGGAGAAGATCTGGCTGCGACACTGTGAGTCCCTTTGTTCTGAAGCAAGTTCTCTGTCTGATCAGGAGCAGATTCGCAGATATCCATTACTACTACGGTCCGCCGGGCGCTAAACCGCCGCATCATCGCTTCGATAAGGGCTCGTACGTCTACCTATTCGAGAATGCGTCGCAGAGGAGGGCGCGCATAGAAATTGCGAATAATGCCGGGACGGCGGAGCAAGATGCTTTTACTGGTCGTACGTACACCCTGTAACATCTACAAATGTGACCTCGGAAGGAATTAGGGACTGATAGAGCACACTAGATCTCGATGCCGCCCATGTGCAATACTCCTACAAGCACTCTACACTCGTCACCTTAACTGTAGATGGAACTCCAAACCAGCGCAACTCACCTATCGATGGCCAAGACTGGCATCTGCCAACTTTCGATCCCCACAATGAGAACAAGTACATGTACAAGCTCCACACGCTGGACATATATTTCTGGACAAAAGAGGATGCCGTGCTATTAATGAATGGGATCAGGAGGGTCTTACCCCAACATCAGATCACTGTTCAGGATGAACCGATCACACCGCCTCCTCACCCAGAGGACATGAGTCCTGTGGTCCAGAAGCTCGAGAATGTAGCTATCACGGATCCTTCGTATCAACAAGGTCGGACGCGAGATTCGAGAACGACTACTTCCAGCGCTGGGGGTGCTCCGTCATTTCCTGGACCTCCAATATCAGCTACGCCTCAGAGTCAAGAAGCTTCGAGTTTCGCGCCGCTGGCTTACAATCCCGCCGCTCCAGCTGCGCCAGAAGCTATCAGACATAGGGAGAAAACACCACCGCCTGAAGACGGAGCTGCGAATCCGCTTGTAGCAGCTGCTGCCTCTGACCGAGAGCAAATATTCGGCGCACCGCCGTATGGACAACAAGGATTCTCCGGGCCACCTCAACAGCGTATCCAGCAGCAACAGCAACAAAGCTATTTCTCCCATCCTCCTCCACCAGCTAGCGCTCCTCCCGCGTCAGTCCAACCACCAGCCCAGTATCCGAACCAGTCGCCACAGAATGTCCAATCGCCATATGCGCAACACTTCCAGAACTCGTTTGCGCCGCCCCCGACTGCACCTACAGGATCAAGTCCTTACGCGCAACAACCACAAGTTGTCTCCCCTCCAGTTTCAGCTCCCCCTCCACCGGCATACCAACAGCAACAGCAACATCAGCAGCCACAACAACACCCCCAACAACAAGCTAACATCCCCGTCACCCAATACGCCGCATACCCTCTCTCCCCAGGCCTCTCACCCTCCCTCTCCACGCCGGGAATCTACTCCCCAGGACCGAACCCTCTCTCCCCCGGCATAAGCGGACCTCCTCCACCGCAGCCACACGTCGCTCCCCCGGGCGGCTTCTCGCAACACCAGTACAGCAACAGCGGTAACACGAAGCCGCTGATGACGGACTACAGTATCCATCAGCAGGTGTACCGACCGACGGAGAATGAGGCCTATAAGCCGAAAAAGGAGGCGAAGCCGCCGAGGGGGAATCTAGAGAAGAGGGCGGGCCAGTTGGAGAAGGGGTTGGGGAGCATGTTTAAAAAGATTGAGAAGAAGATTGGTTAGGAGAGCAGGGGCTTATTTACTCTCTTGACCTTATTCTAGGTCTCTTTTGTGGGGTTCATAGGGCAGACAGGTGATCGGTCGTGAATTGAAATGAAGGAAGAGGGTGTTTTTCAATGAGATGGAGAGCGACAGACGCAGGTAGGGCAGGGCCGGGTGTAAGTGTAATAAGAGCGATCGATTTCCTTAGTTACACTCTTATTATGAAGATCTTTTAGCCTAGCTGCATTTTCGGTATACACTCTAGATACCTCTCTATTATTTCTCTATCTCTTCACAACCCTTAAATCTACATGGAAAGTTTAGAAGTCTCTGATCTATATAAAGGCCTTGAGCTTCAGGTCTATAGCCGACAGGGCAACTCCCTTATTAGCCACCTCACAACTAATCCGGCCTTCCCCCTCCTCGTCCCAGGGCACTGATAAAGCTTCCTGTTGGTCCGCAGACCTATTCAAGGCGACAGGCAATCCTAATCAGGGTGTCGGACCACTTTCGGAGGCGAACCGGGGGCTATTCGGATATATTCTGGCCCTTAGACACTCTTTGCAATACACCCTTTTGAGCACCTTTGAATTGAACACTTGAACTTTGACGTATATTGATATGCACTTGTTATTTGTTTACTTGTACGATGCCAACACTCTCCCTTGGTTCGATTGACTTCTTGCTTGGGCTCGATTATTGAGCGAGCTAGGGGATAGGGGAGTTGAGTAGTTAAGCTTATTTCGGATCACCTCGTTCGTCTTCCTTATTGTACAAATTAGACAAGTCATTATCCCGACTTGTAATCTCTGTTACGCTGTAGGGTTGCTATCCCTGGATTTGGTCACTAGAGAGAAATTTCATTCCATTCATCTATTCACATCAAACAATATCGATGTGTTTAGTCGGCCTCTCAGATCTCCCTATCTTTGTACAAACATGGAATGCTTGAGAGAACTCATAACATATCACAAACAGATCTCACAGCTGCACTTCCCAGACCGGGTAAAACGTAAAGACTATCCCTAGAAAGCTAGACATAGATATTTACATGTTTATGCTAAACTCCACACCTAAACACTCAACTCAGCAGCTTTGCTTGTACCAATGTACTTCTCATATGGTTTAAGAGCAGTCTGTACCTCTCCATCGGTGTCCTGGCAGTAGCGAACACATTGCTCTGCAGAGCGACCAATGAAGTTCTTGGGGTCGAGCATCTCGTCGATTTCATTTTTGATAGAGTCGAAGAAAGGATTAGCTTTGATGCGCTCAATGAGGTCGTTGGGTTTGCCCCTAGAGTTAAATGTTAGATTAAAAAGTAAGTAGGAATAGGTACTGACTCGATCTTGACGACAGCACTAGCTTGATGACTGAGAACTCGGATCTCCTCATGAGCTTCCTGGCGATTGCCACCCTTAGAGACGAGCTTCATGATGATATTCTCGGTGGCCATGAATGGGAGCTCACTGGTTGTTGTTAGTCCTGAAGAATATGAGGCATTGCGAGAGTCACTTACGCCATAACTCGGCTTCGGATGACCGCAGGGTACACGACAAGGCCCTAATATAGTCAGTCCTCCTCTACAAAAGGATCGGTGAAGAATACTCACATTAGCAACGTTATCCAGAGTCATCAGAACTGCGTCAGCAGCTAAGAATGCCTCTGGTAAGGTGATACGACGAATTGCACCTTTCAAGTCAGTCTATAGTAATCTTACAGAAACCTTTAGATATACTTACTATCATCGAGAGACCGCTCGTACCATTGCGACGAATATGTATCCGAGACAGGGGAATTGACGTGTGACAAGTAACGTCCAAGAGAGGCAATTCGCTCTGACCTCATAGGGTTACGCTTGTATGCCATCGCAGAAGAACCCTGTTCGGAGTCAGTTTCATATCATGTGATGTCTAAATAGTGACTAAGAAAGCAGAGGTCCGCCTTTAATTATCTCTTGAACCTACTATTTGATCCTTCTCAAATGGCTCCTCTAACGTCTTCTCAGCAGCAAGATGGCGGATATCAGTAGTGATGCGAATAGCAGTAGCGCCTAGAGCTGACAAAGCATTTATGACTCTTAAGTCGACCTTTCTTGAATATGTTTGGGTGGAAATTGCATAGCAATTAGGGAAGCCAGCCTTCTGGCAGAGAATCTCGTTCAACTTGTCAATCTTGGTACCGTCGCCTTGGAAAATTTCCATGAATGAGGCTATCAAAATGTCATTATTAATAATATTGGTTTATGAGCAGTAACAGGTTTAGGCTTACCTTGTGTTCCAGTTGTTCCTTGTGCACCACGGAAGCGCTGAATTTCTACTGTCAGTTGTGTCCTGGCTATTCGCCACATGTTTAGTAGTTGTACTTACGAGATCCTTACGGACTCGCTCAATGTCTTCAAGATCCATCAATAAATCCTGAATCCTAGATCAAATGTTAGATTCGCTACTTTTTCGTTCAAAATGCGCTAGCCTTAAGACATACCACTGACAAGCTCGACGACCGACTGTAATGAGCTGTGCTGGCTGGCCATGGGCTTGAGAAAAATGGGTTAGTCTGGTAGTCCCGTTTCGAATTGTCCCAAAAGACAAATCTCCCACGATCGCAACTTACTGTAACCTAAAGTAGCTTCATCCTTCCACTCGACAGCAAATTTCGCCAGTCTGTTCACAACAACGGCAAGCTTTGGTAATATGATATCCAATCCTGTGGTCCCAGTTTAATATGCTTGTATATTTCTTGAATTTATGCAACTTACCATTTCTCAAGAAAATTAAATCGGCATTGTCAGTAACTAGGACCACAATTAGCTTATCCCTAACGCAACTCTAGTCATTAACCAACCATAGCAGGACGTAGCCCCCCAGTGAATAATCCCAGCAGCAGCTGGTGCAACCAGACCAAAAGCATGAACATGAGCCATAACATCATGTCGACGCCTGTCCCATGTTAGTATCTTTGGTCTGTCCCAAAGCCACCAAAATCACTCACTTCTTCTCCTCCTCAGCAGCCACAATGAAATCATTATCAGTGAATGTCACATTTGCCTTCATCTGCGCGATAGCTTCCTCGGAAATTGGCAAACCAAGCTCTCTCTCTGCCTCAGCCAGCCAAACCCAGAGCTGTCTCCAAGTCGATGATCTAGTACGGGCTGAGAAAAGAGTTTTCATCTCAGAGCCTATGACATTGTCAAAACTTGGAAGAGAAAATGCAGAATTGTAGAGCCATAGACTTACTTGCATAGCGCGAAGCCAGCGGTGTCTGATATGTGTCATTGCCCGACATTTTGATTGTTTTCTATTCGTAGTGAGCTGATAAGTTTCCAGTTCTTGAGTACATGAGGAGAACAGAAGCTCGATTCCATAAGGTGGTCTTGGCTTGGGCAACTTTTCTGCCACCTGAAGTGGGATGTTAGCGAGCCACGCTAACGAAGTTGGGCTAATCTAGGGCGGTGAGAGGGGTTTCTCAGATTCAGTCCCCGCCGAGAGTCGGGGGCGGAGGCGGAGGTATCATACCTCGCATACCTAAGTAGTACACTGGTACAGCGGTACAGCATCCAATAATGGGGCAGAATTGCGATCTGCTCCCATTCGTTGACCCCTCCATGCTAGGCCTCTTCCGGCATTAGCGCCTTCTGGGAAATATTGCGTGATTACAAGGCTGTGGATGTGATACCTTATTCTTTAAAAGGGACGCTCCTCGATCGTCGTCAGATCGTACCACCTCTCCGTAACATCAACTCGACCTCTTCCTTTCCCCTCAAGTCAATCACAACCTGTAACCTCAAACTTTACAAACAAATACCTTCAAGATGGCTACTGATTCAAGAGCTGCTCCGTAAGTACTTCATGATCTCAGGCTTGTTACCCGACCACTGAATTGTTACCCCACCACCCAATGATTGGAAATCATATTTTGCCCCTCGATTACTCCTTGTTATAGCTACAGTACAGAAGGGAAGCATATACCAGAAGCCTCACGCTGTATAGAAGAGCTGGTGACGCCTCTATTTACAAATGGAGAATTGAGAGCTTTTTAAGTCTGCTCTGTATAATAACTAACTTCACTCCTAGTCTCCGACTTGGTTCTATTGCCCCCAACTTCCAAGCCGAGACCACTCAAGGTCCTATCGACTTCCACGAATTCATCGGCGACAAGTGGGTTGTTCTCTTCTCCCACCCCGAAGACTACACCCCCGTCTGCACTACCGAGCTCGGCGCCTTTGCAAAGCTCGAGCCTGAGTTCACGAAGCGCGGCGTCAAGTTGATTGGTCTGTCTGCCAACACTATCGAGTCGCACGGAGGATGGATCAAGGATATCGACGAGATCTCTGGTAGCAAGTTGAGCTTCCCAATCATCGGTGACAAGCAACGCCAGGTCGCATACCTCTACGATATGTAAGCGCCCCCTACCTGGTACCATATCAAACCCCTGGTGAAAATGCAAATCCCGACAGTTAAAACTGACAAATTTCTTGCAGGCTTGACCACCAAGATACCACCAACGTTGACTCTAAGGGCATTGCGTTCACTATTCGCTCCGTCTTCATCATCGACCCTAAAAAGACCATCCGCCTCATCCTCTCCTACCCTGCCTCCACCGGCCGTAACACGGCTGAGGTCCTCCGCGTTGTCGACTCCCTCCAGACTGGCGATAAGCACCGTATCACCACCCCTATCAATTGGGTCCCAGGAGACGACGTTATCGTCCACCCTAGCGTCAAGAACGAGGAGGCTAAGACTCTCTTCCCTGACTTCCGTATCGTCAAGCCATACCTCAGATTCACTCCTCTTCCTAAGGAGAAGACTTCTGCTGCATGAATGCTTGATATAGCTAGGGATTAAGGATAGTTGAATAGAACGAATTTGCAATTTTCAGCGGCATGAGATATTGGGAGGGAGGAAATTCCTGAATACCCGGAATAAATAAATACAACAAAATGAAACAAAACTTTGCAATACACCTTCTCCTTTACAGAGTCCTAGCGTCTCTAATGATGCATATTGTTTTTATCTGAATCATAGAGTTCCTTGTAGAATGTTTACGATATCACAAGTGCGTGAGTCAAGACCGAGCACAATAAACATGTCTTCGGACTGTAGTACAAGTAGGATAGAGAAACTCGATTGAAATAGATAGATAGAAAATCTGTACCTGATAAGAGTGCGAAGTGTAAACCCTTATTCTTTTTGCAATTCCCTCTTAACGCTTCCTAATAACTATTCGTAACCTTCTTCACTAACTTCCCTTCTTTCCTCTCTACATACTCCACTAGATCCTCAATAGTACAAACCCTCAACCCCCACCTCTTCCCAAACGCCAAACACCCATCTCTCCTCATCATCTCAGGCTCCTTTCTCCACGCCCTCCCCTCCACCTCCTCCCCATCCTCTACCAACTCACAAATCGCACCCACGAGCCTCTTCCCCGCCAACCTACAAAACTCCACCGCCGCTTCCGTATGACCCGTCCTCTCCCTCACACCCCCCTCCTTCGCCCTCAACGGAAACACATGCCCAGGCCTCCTAAAGCTGTCCCTCGTCGCCTCCCCACTCGCCAGCGTCCTACAGGTCAACGCGCGGTCATGCGCGCTGATGCCCGTCGTTGTGAGCGCGCTCTTGGCATCCACGGAGACCGTGTACGCCGTGCGGTTCGGGTCCTCGCTCTCGCTCTGGGATACCATCTGCGGGAGGTCGAGGCGCGTTGTTAGGGAGGGGGCCATGGGTGCGCAGATTAGACCCGAGGTGTAGCGGATCATGAAGGCCATCTTTTCGGGGGTGACGTCTTGAGCGGCGATAATGAGGTCGCCTTCGTTCTCGCGGGAGAGGTCGTCGAGGACGACTATGAATTCGCCGTTTTCTGTTTAGGAAAGAGGGAGAGTTAGTGGGTGTAGTATGGTGTGTTGTGTTGTGTTATGTAGAGTAGACAGCCCAGATACTAAGGATGCGCGAGAAATGAGACAATGGACGTACTGTACGCTTCGATAGTATCCTCTATACTATCGAACTGCTGTGCGATTGCCGAGGAAGGCATATTTGCTGAGTCTTGGTGTCAGCTCTCTGAGAGTGTTGATCGTCTATGCTGTGCCTTTCGAGAAAAGTTGCTGGAGCAGAGGGTAGCTGGTAGGTAAGGTACGGAATACAGTAGTACCCCGCTTAGAACGAGCGATCCCGGGTGCAGGGCGAAAACCAAAGTCAAGCTTGCAGGGAGATATCTCGGCAGGTAGCACAGCTGGAGTGTACGAAAATACCAGGGAACACGAAATATCCACCAGGCTACCTAGCTAGAAGTGCGAAAACTGTGCATTTGAGAGTGAGAGTGAGAGAGAGGAGAGAATAAGAAAATAGGAAAAACGTCGTGCAGCAGCATGGGGAATGGGAATAATGGGAGTCGGATCTAGCAGCAGATGAGTGCGCGGATGCCGGCGGGCTGGCATGCATGCGGCTTACCTTCAGTACCTTACGGAGGTCCTCGGTCTCGGTATTCGTACTTCCAGGGCATGGATGATGATAAATTTACAACGCAGGGTCTTGCGTCTGGCCTGCTTCGGCTCCGGTGGGATGTTGGTGCTCTAGGCCTCTGCGGCCCTCAGGTTCCTAGGTAGGCAGCTAGGTGAGGGGCCGTGGGGCTACTTCGTACAGTAAAGTCCATATCCATACTTCGCACCTGTGAACCTCAACATATTACGAACCATGTCTAATCCCCCATCGGGCACTTCCACCCCCATTCCGCGCTTCACGTCGCAGACGAAGACAGCAGAAGATCTCCTCAGTACACAGACAGTCGGCCTGGTCAACCTTTCTGATTATCGCAAACGACGCGCCGAGGCAATCGAGCAGAAAGAGCGCGATGTTCAAGATGCGATACTAGGCGTCATAAGCGGACAGCCTACTCCTACAAGTGATGGGTAAGCTCTACAGACATATTAGGCTTCAATGGAAGAAACACAGCTAATAACTATAGCACAGTGCATTAACACCTAGCCAACCTCCTTTAAAAAAGAAGAAGCGCAAAGCAGGGACACCGAAGTTGTCGTTTGGAGATGACGGGGAAGATGGCGAGGGGACAGATGCAGATGTGTCGAACACAGCATCGCCGAGGTCAGGGACACCGAGCGAAGGGATAGTGAAGAAGAAGATGGGTGTTAATGCTTCCGTTGGTATTGTGCCAAAGGCTTTGACAAAGGGAACCCTATTAAAAGAGGCGCAAGCTCGAGAGAGTTTGAAGAAGGAATTCATGGTACTCCAAGAAGCTGTAAAGCAGACCGAGATCGCCATCCCATTCGTCTTCTATGACGGCACAAATATTCCTGGAGGGGTGTGCAGGATCAAGAAAGGAGACTTCATCTGGGTCTTCTTGGACCGTAGTAGGAAAGTTGGAGCAGAGCTAGGAGTTGGTGAGAAAGTCAACAGTAGGAGAGAATGGGCGAAGATCGGAGTGGACGACTTAATGTTGGTTCGAGGCAGCCTCATCATCCCACATGTAAGTCCTTTTAACACTGCGTGTAGAGTATTTGCTGACAAAAGTAGCATTACGACTTCTACTACTTCATTATAAATCACACCAAAGGACCAAACGGCATGCTCCTCTTTGACTATTCTTCCGAACCCCGAAAGAACATCTCTACAACACCTGAGACCACTGAAGCAGAGAACTATAATCCCCTCTCAACGCTATCAACGAGGAGCAAATTAGCGCCAGAGGCTATTGATAACTCAGAACTTGAAGGATTCAACGATGACCAAACTATCACCAAAGTGGTAGATCGTCGCTGGTATGAAAGAAACAAGCATATCTTCCCTGCTAGCGTGTGGCAGGAGTTCGATCCCGAAAAGGACTACCAGAAGGAAGTCAAGCGAGATCTTAATGGCAACACGTTCTTCTTCTCTTAGCGCACTTTTCACACTGTAGCTAGATACTGAGCTTCATTATAGAACCTGCTACAAGGACAGCTTCGTTTCTTGAGCTCTACAGACCTCCTTGCATAAGTGCCGGGCCTTTGAAAGCACTATCTTTCGGCTCTAAATTGGTATCAATTCGTTGTCCTTTTGACTCACAAAGACCTCGAATACTTTCTGTTGAAACCGTCAACCGTCTACTCTCATAGGCAGTAGATAGAGAGTCAGGGCTCTGCTCCCCCCAAAAACAGTAACGATTTCAATATACTTTACATCTCAACAAGTGATATCCCTGCTATTCCTTCTTAACGACAAACGAATGTTCGCTGTTCCTCCTACATACATTTGTACAGAAGCATATCAATCTCCCTCAGGACGACATACCTAGATCGTTTGATAGCACTACATATAGACTCTGCCTCTCTTGACCTTGACCTCGTTAGCTTCCTCTAGCACTCTACAAGCGTACTCTACTGGCTCGGTAGGTCCCTCCAAGGTACTCTTGTCCTGAGACAGTAACTAGATGGCCACGGCATCTTCCAGCGCTTCCACAGTGCAATACCTCTACTATCGTCAGGGAAGTATATCTCTCTATCTGGCAGTGCCGATGGAATAGCCGTACGAGCTGCAAGCCTTGTCAACGGCGCTCTCTACCTGCTATGCTCTAACAGTGGGATCGGAAACTACTACCCTGCGGTAAAGCTGTAGTTGATTTAAAGACAACAATAGACCCTTGCGTGATTGTGGATTGTCAACTCAAGTCAGTTTGGACTTTAGACTGACTTAAATAGGACAGATTAGGACAGATTCAAGCAAGAGAAGTTTCAAGAATACCTGGTCATTATTCAGTAATATGTGATTCTAGACTTCAGAGCTTGACTAGCTCCATATATAAAAAAGTAGTGTTCAACTTGTTAGGGCAGCTTTAATATGTACTCAAACATTCTATTATGCTCTTGTGTATTGATTGATACAGATAAAAGGAAAAAAAAGGGCATTGTATTACATGGTACAGTCCGTCGATCCATGCAACTTTTCTCTCTCTCAACAGCATCTCTCTACCTATCATACTCTCGTTCCCCCAATCTCCCTTTCTCTCACCGACAGTTCATCCATAATAGCTCTATTCATCAATCACAGCCCATCTAATGATGCGCAGTCTCACCTCTATACCCAATAAGCTTCATCCTTCCAATCATCTCCCCGACAGTGAAGAAGCCTAAAAGCTCCGCGCCTATAACCGCACTAGCAACAACCTGCTCCCTCTTGATATCACGGAATGACTGTAAGACGCCAGTAGGGTTCGCGGCTGCCTGGATGGCGGTCGATTCAGCAGTGCCAAGGAGCGCACTGGGGTTCCGGACGGATTTGAGGAGGCGCTGGAAGTAGTTTTGGAAGGTTGAGACAGGTCTGTTTTTAAGGGAGGAGATATTTCTTAGCTATGGGGGTTCTGAGACAGGAGAAGGAGGGAGAGATGGAGAAAGCTTACGGAGGAGTCATCTGTTGGCCCTTGAAAACCAACTTTGAGAGCTCAAGTCCAACGCGAGCGTAGTAGATTGTAGGTGGGATTTGACCTGTAGAGAAACATATCATCAGTAAAGCTCTACTTCTATCAATTGGGTCTCGTCCAGTTATCTGAAGCTTCCTTATAGCTTCTACAACCCCTCCAATCGTACGGTGAATCTCCACCCAGGCACAGGATCAAGAATACTCACGCTCAACAAACGCAATCACCCTCCCGGTCCTTCCACCAATCTTCCCCAGCGCATTCCCCAATCCCTTCGCAGCGCCCGAAATCGCAGGTCCAGCCGCAGACGACACTCTGCTCAGGCCCTCACTCGCCTTACTCTTGTACTCCGCGGCAGTCTGGCCGGCCTTGCTAGCTGTATCCTTGGCTGCTTCAGTGGCCTTCTGGGCGGTTGTTGATTCGAAGCGGCGGGTTACTGGGCTGCGGACGGCGGTGCGTGCGACGACGCGTGTGGTGTTTAGGAGCGACATGGTGAATTGAGGAATTAGAGGTGTTTTTCCAGACGCAGGGAGATGGGCGTGGAAGTGGAAGGGAGAGCTGTGAGGTGATAGATGAAGCTTCTGGGAAGAATCGGAAGGGTGGCTTTTTAGTCTAGACTTAATACAGAGGCGGTGAGATCGTCGGTGGAGTCAAGGCGGATTTTGCCGTATCTTTATCTGGGTAGACTTTCAATCGAACTTAACTTTGAGTGAAGTTCTTGAACTCATCTATAGGGTTACTGTCGGTATAGTATCAGTAAGCAGATAACAGAGGTATGTCTATATACATGGTGTTGCACAAGTCTGGTTCAAAAGTCTGTAATGAAAAGAGTGTCATAAGTTCAAAATATATACGCCTGTGCCCGAGCAGCCGCCGGCTCGCCTCCGACAGGGAAGGGGTCAAGGTCGCATAACACTCTTTACTCGTGGATATCAGAAAGCTGGTATTTCAGTTGAAGAGGAGAAGTAAATGAGTCCCAGAGCCTTGCAGTTGAGCACTGTGGAGCAATTTGGAGAAGAGATTCTGCCATCTAGCCCCGACTTCCGCATATATGGTCAACCTATTGAGATTCAGATTCAACGTGTTTCTTATGTTACACGCTCACAAGGAGCCAGATCTGGGAAGAATTCTCCTATCCCCTGAAGCAGTAGTTTTTCCGGGACGAGAGCTATAAGGGGCAACTTTAGAATATATCTGTTCTTCTTGTACTATCATGTTTTGTCAAAATCAAAATGGTATTTATCATGATTGTCTACCGTGGTACTCTCCTCTCAAAGATATCCCCTCTATCGCTGATTACAACGCTATCTATTATCGATGCCATTGCCAAGATCAAGTCGATCATTCATAAGGTGTCAAAACTTACTTCCTTGCTGAAAGACGAGGCCCTTCTCAGCCTGAAAAGAAAACTAGTCTTTACCATCTAGTACTCTAGAATCTTGACTTTCTTGAGCAGGTCATCTGGTAATTCCGCCTTGTCAACAATCCCCAAGGAGATGACATCTCCCCAGAAGAACATCGCCCTATCCTGTGCGTACGCCAGATAATCGAATTCCTCTTCCTCATCTCCTTCCACAGCCTTGTCGCTGCCGTCCTTGATTTCTAGCGTCTCCGAGGCGGTTGTTGATCCGCTAGATGGTTCGTCTCCGGGAGCATCTGATGCATTGCTTTTGTCGTCGAGACCTGGAACGACGGCTTGGACGATTCCCCATGCCACCCACTGGGCGCTGTTGGCCACACGCCAGATTCGCACCTCCTTGAGCAGCTCCTGGACTTGTCTTTCTGTTTCCTGCTCCCTTCTGGCCTCTTCCTCGGCATAGTTGGAGCTTTGAAGGTCGACTGTGCTGCCGCCTGGGGTTCGAGAGTCAAGATAAAAATCAGAGATACTGTTTCTACTAGAGCCTTCGAGCGGGTACATTTTAGGGGTAGCGGAAGCCCTTGGGTTGAACTGCGGACGATGGTTGAGGTATGAGCGGATGAATGTCATTTGCTGCTCTAATGTGGGATAGCGCTGTGTGTTACAAGCCCATGCCCGTGTAGTGTCATGATAATTGTAGCACCATTCTGTGAAATGGTTGGCAAACTCCAGGCCTGGGGTATTCGCCGACGCATACTCAAAGTCGATAACGATCAGTTGCTTATGTCTGTTCTCTGGGAGGAGAAGTGGCGATGGAGCAGATCCTTCGGATAGCTTCTCAGGAACAAGGCGTAGAATGTTTCCATATTGAGTCTGTATTTGATTAGCCTACTTAGAACCGATCTGTGACAGACTGAACCTACATCGTTATGAGCAAAGACCAATCTTCTGTTGACGCCACCCTTTCCATAGTAGCTATCCAGCCATTTGCGATACTTGTCAATGGCAGCTTTGAATTGAGGCCATTCAACTCCGCAGACCAAGCCTCTGGATCTCCATAGTTCGTCCTTTGATTCTTTACCGCTCAAAATCTCCTTATCAAGGTAACTTATGACCTTCTCGCAATTGTTGACCCATTTATCCCAGTTCAACCAGACGAAAGGGCCCTCCTCCCGTTCATTCTCAAGGAGATCAATGCCATCATGGAGCTCGCGCATACGCTTGGCGATTTGCTTACTTGTACTCTCGACTCGCAGGTCATCAAATGTCAGTGTTTCCGCGTTAAAGAACTCTTCAAAGCGTCCATTTGTGAAAGTCCCCAGAAGTCTAGGGCCAATCTTCTTACGAGCAAGGCGGCGTAAGATAGAGAGCTCGTTCTCGCGATCGATGAGATGCTCGACTTGAGGTCCGTAGATACGGAGGAGTAGCTTTGGGGGTGGCTTAGGCATGTGTGGCTCGCCGTTCGAGTTCTGGATCGGAAGATCCTTGGGAGGCGAGACAACGTACACTGCATTTGTGAGAGCGCCACTCAGTCTCTTGACTTCAATGTCACCACCACGTTCGAGTGGTACACGTCTCCAACCCTTCAACCTGAGCGTATGAGCCAGCCGCACAATCTCATTCTTGAATTTTAACCATGACTTCCGCTCCTTCTCGGCCTTCTTACTTGTACTCAGTGTAACCGTCTCGACGGCTGATTCTGATGCCCCTCCACCGTACGACATGGTTTTGGAATTATCCAACACAACGTCGCACGAAGGCACCACAACATCACCATCTTGGTATTCCGTGTCCGAACTTCCAATGTACATCTTCCTTATCGATGAACGTCTTTTCTGACCATAACCTGGACGTCGCACTTCAGTCGTCGGAGAAGCCGCAGGCAAGGTCTCAAGTCCGAAAGAACTCATGTTGTCTTCTAAGATCTGCTGGAGCTTCTCAAGAGATATGGCGCTACTATCGGAGCTCTGGCTGGCAGTACGCGATCGAAATACATGGCTGTCTTCATTATCTTCCACTTCATCTCCTCTCTTGTGTGCCTTCTTTGCAGCTCTCTTGGCTTTCTCTGCTTGCAGCCACTCGGCGACTTGCGACAGGAGTTTGTTGTGGCGATGTTCGTGGTGGCCATGTTGTAAGGGGCTATGGTATTTGTGGTGCTTTCCTTGAGCAGGAGAAGACGCGTCTGAGGTCGGCACAGGCTCATCGACACTGCTTTGACTGAGCATCGAGAGCCTTGAGGAGCTCGTTGGAATGCTGGGACGACCCGTCATTCTTCTTTCACTCACTCCTGCTCTGAATTGTTTTGGTCGGGACGAGTCTTCGGAGCCGGAAAGAGGGGTAATGCTTCCTGGTTCTGCGATTGAGACAACTGAGCATGGTTAGCTTTTGCGTGTTAGCTGTTAAACAAAGAAAACTGAGTAGATTGGGAAGTGTAGGTGAATCGAAAACGCGTCAACAGTCGACCAACCCACGATCACATCATGTCTTACCTTTGGCTGGGCCACTCTTTGGACTCGCTGGTTGGTCTTCCTTGAGAGCTGGTCTCAACGGCAGAGCCGAGCTATTCTCTGAAGGTGTGAAAGACATGTTGGCGGCCTGCTATTCACCTGATTCAGGTTCTGTCCAGCCTTGCTTGTTGTGCCTCGGTAAGAATATCCGACCGATCTCAGAACTTCAAGATGCCTGAGTGGTGATGGAAGCAAGAGCAATATGCCTTTTTCTCTTGCAGTATTAGGCGGCCCTAGGTTTCCCAATTCGAAGTTATCCTGATAACAGACGTGGCTATCAGTCGATTTCAGACCGCTGGTTCCCTGCTTCTAGTCTGCGCCGTAGATGCGACGTCCGTGCGGCGGGGTTGCAAGAAACAGATCCAAACCAGGACAGGCATAGGTAGGTAGGTAGACGCCAGACAAATCTAGAGGAATAAATATCTACTATACTTTTGAACATTAAGAATGATTTATGACTACCTAAGGCTAAGTCTACGAGTTCAGACCTAGAAACCTGGAATATATATGTGACGTATATACGGGTAAATCAAGCATATGAAGTGGGGTGAAGGATGTGGTCGCACCAGGTCAGGGGTTCTAGTGGCTGGACTGCTGTAGGTATGCCCCATGTACTCAAGGTACTCTGACGCAAAGACAACACTGACACTGTTCGGCCTCAAAAGTAGGTTTATGTACCTGCGCTCCCTTCTGCCTTGGCCTGTCCCCTGACGTCGAAAACCGCCTACTCGGGACTTTGCTAATAAACGATAAGATAAGCGAAACGAGTTTTGACGGACAAACAGAAGGACAAGAGCGACATCAAAGTGGGTTATTTACCCCGCGTCCAATACCTATAAACTTATAGATTACATGATGATCGATTTCCAGTGCAGGGTCTTGCGTCTGGCCGGCTCCGGTGGGATCCGAATTGTATCATTGGTTTCGGTGAGATACGAGGCAAGCTCCTCGTCAAACCGCGACCACTTAATCCCGCCGGAAATTAAAGCTCAGATTTAGTATATAATTCATTCAGCTATTTCTATTTCATTGTGGTGAAACAAGATACGTTTTCCTTCTAACCAAAAGTGCCAGAAGACAACAACCTGATCCTCTCCTGAGATCTCGGCAAAATATCCAACTGAGTTGGCATCGGCCTTACAATCACGAAAGGAGAGTAATCCATCCATGGCAATTCAATCTCCTGTCCAGTCTTTGGATCAATCTTCTTTTGGATGTTGCAGCTCCACAGAATCGAAGCAACAATAGTCACGTGTACTATCTCCGTGTAGTCCAATCCAAGACATTGCCGTCTTCCCCATCCAAAGGCTGAGTGGTTTTTAAGGGACGGATAATGAGTCAGTGGTTCTTTGTACGTGGGGAATGCTGGGTCGAGCCAGCGCTCTGGTCGGTAGTTCTCTGGGTCCGGATACAATGCTTCATCCCGTGACATCGCACTGTGGCACATTAGAAAGGAGCACAGCAGCCGAGGCAACACATACCACTCAAGAGCAAATACCACACTTCCCTTGGCAATGTGATATCCCTCATACACATCGTCTTCCGTGAGCATATGCGGCACCCCTGTCCCAAATTAGCCAAATGTTGACGTCTCGGATATTCGACCAACCAAAAGGCACAGGACTTCTCCAACGGAATACCTCACGAATCAGAGCCCTGACAACAGGGAACCTCTGAATATCCTCCGACGAGGGCATCCTCTCCCCACAAACCGCATCCACCTCCTCCTGCGCGCGTTTCTGCCACTCGGGATACATGGCCATAGCCACGACCCAGCCCTGAATCGGCGACGACTCAAGCACGCTGGCAATAAGCGTCATCATGCCCACGCAGTACGCCTTCTCCTCATCCTGCAGCGACGCATCCTTCAGCGACTCCCGCGTCCACGAGTACTCCTGCGCGTCTTTCTCGCTCTCAATGCGGGCTTTCGTCTTTGCTCGCTGACCTAGCCAGAAATCCCGCTCGAATGTCGCGCGGGCGATCTCCTTTGCTCGCCAGGGCTGGAGGAAATTGGGCACCCAGAGAGGAATTTGTTCGAGGAAGGGGAGCTTGTTCTGGATTGCTTCGGGGGAGATGACTTCGAGGAGGCCGAGTGATGTTGCGCATACGCCTTTTGCGATCTCGGGACTTGTCGTCTCCCATGCCATAGCTGAGGAGATTCCTCCGCAACACCTCTCTAGCGATGTACCGAAATTTTCTGGTTCCTGGAGGAGTTTGAGGATCAGGGTTTTGGTCTGCTCGGTGGCTACTTCGCTGAGACGGGCTTTGGGCATGCTGGCAATGATTTTCCTGGCAAATGTCTTGATGCGTTTGTGGTCAGCTGAAATGAGGAATAAATTAGTCGTTGCGTGCTCACTCCTCAGGATTTCAGCACATACGACAACTTGTCATCAGAGGCAAATAATGTCCGTCCGTTGCACAGTCCCCCCAAATAGCAGAAAAGTGCACTCTACCCGAATACTTCGCCGCGCGTTTAACAAGCAGATCCTCTACAATCTTCGGATCTGCAACTAAAACACATGTATCTGCGCCAAGCTTGACCTGACATATTGGACCGTACTGTTTGGTCCACGCATAGAATTGAAGCCATGAGTGTTTTGCTGGTAGGTCAGGCACTGAGCCGAGAAGTGGTATTCCTGGGACACAGTTGATGTTAGCTGAATGTTCTCTGGGGAGAGAGATATGAACCTTTTGGTCCAGGAAGTTTCTTCGTTCCAGGAGGAAGTTTTGGTTTTGAGAAGAAGAGTAGGTAGATCACGAGCCCTGCAACCGCAGCAAGGCCCAAGATCGATGGGCTGAAGAGGAACGCCATCTCAATAAAATCAGAACTTCTCGTGCTCTCTTTAAGGACTTTCAGGAGCGTCGAAAAACGAGCGTGGGAAACAGTATATATATAATCAGGATGAAAGAAAACCCGAGTCTCATTCAAGAGTTTTCCTATTCTCATGCGATGTATGAAGATCATCACTTTAAGTAGACCATGAAATGCCCCAAAAGCAAATATCACTAAACCCCTCTCAGTACGGACATTTGGCTTCGGATCCCCAACATTCGGCACGTGCGTAGCCTCTCGCTTCACACGATACGTAAATATTGCCTATTGGAATAATTTTATGCGAGAACACGAGATCCCGTAGCTGTGGAAATGACACTTGTGAAGATCTTAGCCTGTAAGGTTACTAATACTACTATCCTATCAGCGTATCATGTGTGGTATGGTGCGCTGCATGTCATAATTTACCTCCCTGGCGCTTAAGTGATGGCTGTAGTAACAGTGATTTTGAAGGAGTGGTTCCAGGCTTTTGGGACTGTGCGACTATCCGGTCTGGTTCGCTCATATGATCCTGTTTATATTTGAATCATTTCTGTTAATAAAAGAAGCAATGTCCACTGTCCAAGCACTCTCAGTCTTAGTGTAAGATGGATGGTAGTGTGATAGACCGATCACGTGAACGGGGCTAAACGTCGTGAGCCGGACTCCGGAATACAGAAGCATCTCCTTCAGATCTCCAAATTTTGGGTGTAGCTTAGGAAGCAAGTACAAACAAGATAATGTTGATTGACTCGTTAAAAACAACATCTATAGCTTTATCGCGGACAGTTTAAAAGCACGAGGCATGTTTTGAAGAACATAATGATTAGTCATCCTGTTACCCCAGGATCCGGACAAGCAGACATGATACTGACAGAGGGGTAAACGCCTAGGAGTTTCTTGTTGATAGCATTTTGGCCGAGATCAACCGAAAGCAAATGGTAACAATAAACCAATTAATATCATACACATTGTACTACTTTTCAGGCGCTGAGATATATTTTCTTGGTGTTGTGAGGTTGTTGCCGCCAGAGGTGGGAATGGACCTCGGCCTAGCAGCCCCTGTAGCCGAGAGTGCGGAGAAAAGCCAGGGACAAGCTAGATGTTACGGGATCACCATATTAAATACATCTAGTTCCGCCTTTGTAATAGCTCTCCTTACTCATACTGGAATTTGACTTTCTTCATCTTGATCCTTTTATTACACACCCACATCGTCAGGACATTTCAGAATACAGCAATCATGTCGGATCAGATTCCCATTCTTGTAAGCTGCCCCTCAGCTCTCCCCACCCTCCTGGCCACAAATGCTGAGAGAGCTCTAGGCCGCTGGTAGAGTCAGCGAGAACGCAAAGAAGACCCTCGATATTGTGAAGAAATTTGTTGAGGAGAGATGTATCCCGTAAGCCTTGCCACTCTCTTCTGCTGTTTAATGCCTGAGTTGCCTCTGCTTGCAGACACTGACCCTTCCCAGAGCCGACCCTATCTTTGCAGCACAAGTTGAACAAGGCGGAAACAGATGGAATCACCACCCTGCAGTCATCGATGATCTTAAGAAGGAGGCACAGAAGCTTGGGCTGTGGAACATGTTCCTGCCTAAGGGTCACTACAAGGAGTCTCCAGGCTTTACGAATGTGGAATACGGATTGATGGCAGAGTGGCTCGGCAAGTCGAGATGTGCTTCCGAAGCTGTCAACTGTGCTGCCCCAGATACCGGAAACATGGAGGTACTGGCGAAGTATGGAAATGAAGCCCAGAAGAAGCAGTGGTTGAAGCCACTAATGGACGGCGAGATCCGCTCCGCTTTCCTGATGACTGAGCCTGACATTGCTTCTTCTGATGCTACAAACATCCAGTTGAGCATGAGAAAGGAGGGCAATGACTGGGTTTTGAACGGCGACGTGAGTTTTGCTTCTTTCCCTTCGCCTTAACATCGGGCTAATAGCTTACAGAAATGGTGGTCAAGTGGAGCTGGCGATCCACGATGCAAGATCTACATTGTTATGGGCAAGAGTGACCCAGGAAACAAGGACCCATATAAGCAACAATCAGTTATTCTAGTGCCTGCAGACACTCCAGGTATCACTATCAACAGGATGTTATCTGTGTATGGTTATGACGATGCTCCACACGGACACGGCCATCTCACATTCAAGAACGTCCGCGTCCCTGCTTCTAATATGGTTCTTGGCCCTGGGCGAGGATTCGAGATCATCCAAGGCCGTCTAGGTCCAGGACGTATCCATCACTGCATGAGAACAATCGGCGCTGTAAGTATCAACAGACAATCATTCGTCCGAATCAGGCTAACAGAATTCAGGCCGAGAAAGCTTTGGAATGGATGCTTCTCCGAATTAATGACCCTAGAAAGGCAACCTTTGGCAAGCAGTTGAAGGAACATGGTGTTATCCTGGAATGGGTGGCCAAGTCCCGAATCGAAATCGATGCTGCTCGTCTCGTTGTCCTCAACGCAGCAATGAAGGTCGACGATTTCGGAGCCAAGGGAGCACTCAAGGAGATCGGTGAGGCTAAGGTTCTAGTCCCCCAAATGGGACTCACAGTCATCGATCGTGCCGTCCAGTCCTTTGGTGGTGCTGGTGTTTCTCAAGATACCCCACTCGCCAACATGTGGGCGAACATCCGGACATTAAGATTAGCTGATGGACCTGACGAGGTCCACCTGCAGCAATTAGGAAGGAATGAGAATAAGAGGGGGAAGGCCGTGACTGAACACATTCAAAAGCAACAAGCTATCACGAAGGAGCTATTTGCCAAGTATAACACTAGCCTCTCGCAACCTGGCCCACAATCGAAATTGTAGACAATCCAATGTAATAGACTGATCATGATAACGAGGCTGATATTGTAAGGCTAGGAAGCTAAATGTTATGGACGTTTAGGTAGGGAGTCATACGGCGAACGTAAGACTAGTCTTCCTTGCCAGCAGCTGCATCTCTCTTACTCCTACTCGAGGTTCCTTACGATCCTCTGCTTTGTATTATAGCTACTAATAAACACACGTTGTGCTGTCACACCAACGATGTATCTCTGAGCTTCTTAATCAGGCACAAGTGGCGGTAGTAATACACTATGATAATAAGGGCGTAATCTGTTAAAAGGTACAGAGCGTCACAACAAAGCCTCAGTCGATTGGTGGTACTTTGTATCCTGAAGAAGACGGACGTTGATAAAAGAGGTTCGAAGGGGAGCCTCCCCTAAGTAGGCTCGTCAAGGCTCGGGAATGTTTGTACCCCGAGTCTGAACTTCTATGTAGTCCTATTTGACTCTGGACTTTCGAGGTTCCTTAGAGGTGGTGACTTGATTTGAACCCATAAACGCGATTAGCGCGTGTCGATAAGCTCACTACCGAGAGATTGCGGCTAATTACACGGGGCCAGATGTCATGTCCTTAGCTTCAACAATTGCAAGAAGTACATCGGTTATGATTTTGCGGAAGTCTTATTCTGAGGAATCTAGGCTTTTGCCTACTTAGACGCGAAATGGAGTTACGCCTACTGCGAATGCTCTTCTTTCTCTGTACATTTCTACGCGTCACTGCATATACTCCTCTATCGGACGACACCCTGCGAAACCTCCCATCAGCAGGCGCGGACTTCGATATAAAGACAGGATCGATATTGGCACCGATCTTGGTCCCTCGGGTACCAGGGACACCCGGGTCGACGGCTGTACAGCAGCATTTCGTGAATTGGTTCCGGACGAACCTACCAGACTGGGCTATCGAATTCCAGAACTCTACTTCAACGACTCCTGCGACTGGCACAAAGCAAGTTCCGTTTACGAATATTGTCATAACACGCGATCCGCCATGGGCGAAAGTTGGAGATGTGGGAAGACTGGCATTGGTTGCGCATTTTGATTCCAAGTTGTCACCAGCTGGCTTTATTGGCGCAACGGACAGTGCTGCTCCTTGCGCTATGATTATGCATGCCGCGCGCAGTGTGGATGAGGCCTTGACACGAAAATGGGATGCTATAAAAGCGGAGGGTTCTAATGGCTTAGAGGAAGAGAAGGGTGTGCAAATTATATTGCTTGATGGAGAGGAGGCTTTCGTTAGCTGGACAGACTCGGATTCTCTGTATGGAGCTAGGTAAGTGTTTAGGTTCATTTGATTCTTGTTAAATGCTGACTGACTGGTCAGATCTTTGGCAGAAGAATGGGAAGCGACTCCTCACGCTGCGATGTCTACATACCACTCTAATTTAAGCTCCATCACTTTATTCCTCTTGCTCGACTTACTAGGAGCTCCAAACCCGCATGTCCCTTCGTATTTCAAAACAACACATTGGGCATATCAGAATCTAGCAAAGATTGAGTCGCGGCTTCGTGGTTTAAAAATTCAGCAGTCATCTGCTGGACACCCCTTTCTCCCAGAAACCGACAAAGGACCGGACCAATTCAACGCTGCGTGGGGAGTACAAGACGATCACATCCCATTTATGGCTCGCGGTGTTGAGGTTTTACATATTATACCCACGCCATTCCCAAGCGTATGGCACACTATGGCAGATGATGCAGAGCATCTCGATCTGCCTACTGTAGAAGATTGGGCGAGGATGGTTACTGCGTTTGTAGGCGAATGGATGGATCTAGAGGGTCATTTTCCATCACCGAAAGCGCGGCTTGAAAAGATCAAGGAGAAGCGGAAGACTGAACTGTGAGTGGCTAGCCGGCAAACGACTTTGGGTCTCCAGCTGATTTGGTTTTAGAGATAGCATGTAGTTATAAATAATATTTGCCGCTATCCATTGCAATACTTTGCCAGCCGATGACCAGAGACAGCAGAACTGAGAAATAGTGTCATGAAGATCTTCTTCGACGCAAAAGTACTATTCCTTGGCCCTCTTGAACTCTGACTTGGTTCAAAATGTGTACTTTGGCATAGGCTAATTCTTAGATTCTCCAACTGGGCTATAGCCTTCTCATGCTTGGCGATCATCAATTCGCACAACATCTGGAGAATGCCCCAAGTAGACTGATTGAGGGCCGTGTTTCGTGTCCGATTTCGTCACCTTTACTTGTTCATACCAAGAATGTTAGTGCAAGACTGATGCCACTGTCAAGCATCTAAGCATCTTGGCAGAATCTTCAGCTGTAGCAAGAATTATCGCTCAGATGCATCAGTACAAGGCGAATTTATTATTGAGATTCAAGAGGCTCATTGATTCAGTGAGCTACCACAGCACCTGTTCTTGGAACCAGTGGTTGAACAAACTGAGATCATCTCATTTTCAACCCGCTTCTACTACATCTCTGAAGCTAACATTGGAGATCGAGTGGAGGTTCACATGGATTACAAACTAACTTATGGTTGTTCAAGCGCTGCTCAGTATGGCTAACCTGCTGCAAGGAACGCCGAATCCAGACGTAGGCTTAGTCCTGATATCAATCGCTATCAGGCTTACACAGAGCATGTCACTCTATTAACAAGGTCACAAAAATAGAATCCTTGCTTCTGAGCTAGGACAGAGAAATTGTATGTCCTGGCCCTTGTATAAAGATGTTAGCATATGCACGCATAATCCTCCGGCTTAGGATAACGATAATTTTGATTCTAACATACCAAGCGAGACTATCGAGTTACACCATAAATGTTTGAACACGGTCAATTTCAATAAGAACTTTATTATTCAAGGACAAGTTTACAAGCAACTCTTATTGATTAAGTCTCGCGGTCACGAAGGGGTGATCTGGGCGGCACTGCTGGCTTGGGCTCCCTGTAAGAGAATGATAGTCAGTCTTAGGGCCAATGATAAATTTGTGACAAGTCTTGAATTGCAGAGGGGATCAAGAGTGACTTACGACTCAACACCAGCTTCCTTCAACTGAGCCATCTTCTCTCTGACAACTTCGCCCAGCGACCGACATCGAGGTTGCTCCTTGACTTGGGAATGGCTCCTTCCCTTGGTAAGAGCTACTCCAGTCTTTCGATTATAGGCCTCTGCTTCTTTCTCTTCAGCAGCATACTTAATAGGAGACTTCTCAAGAACAACCCGGACACTTCGAGACCTGGGCCGTCCAACTCGTCCGTCTTCCTCGCTCTCACCTTTAACCTCAGCAACATATTCTCGAAGTCGCTCGGTAGCAGCAGACAGAGTGGTAGATTGAACACGAGCAAGATCCCGACCAGCGCTCTGGCCTCGGCCATGAGACTGATCAAGACTCTGGCGAAGGGACCGGACGCGCTCTTCACTCGCCACTCGGTGGCCATGAATATATTCTGGGTGGTGATGTGGTGGCAGTGATGACTGAGAAGCGTCGTGAAGGATTTGCTTGAGACTAGATAGCGGAGAAAGAACTTCCACTCGAGACTCTGTTCCAGCGCGTGCGTGGTTGTTTGGCTCGGTTTTGAGAGCACTCAAATTGGGAAACGGGTCGGCTGAAGGTTTCAACATGCCAAGGTTGCTTGGATAGGGGTTTGTTGAGTATTGCTGTGGCAGGCCCTGGTAAGAAGCAGGGACAGAAGTTTGGAAAGATGGATACTCTGGATGGATATTGACGTAAGGTTGAGCATTTGGCGAACTTCGAAGTGGCCAGCTAATATCTGAACGAGTAAGTGTTTGCTTGCCTTGCTTTTCGAAAATAATTTGTCCTCCAGAAGCAGCAGCTCTTTGATCCATATAATACCGAGATTGTTCATTAAAGTGCTGTTTCTCTCGCTTTTGTCGACAAGAAGAACTACTGAGCTGTTGATTCTTTAGCTTGGGCTGGTTCTTTTGTGGAGGGGGCTTAGATCGTTGCTCATTGTAGCTGCGGGTAAGATTCGAATCCTTGTGTAATCCGTGAGCACCTCTTCTAACAGGCGTATCTCCAATGGTCTCCCATGAAACTACCTTCTTTAGCTCTTTAGGGCAAGGGTACATGGCCTGCCATTCTGGATCTGTAGTTCGGATAGGACGCAGGCTTTCTGTACTAGGCACTGGGCCTCTTTGTCTGCGTCTAAAGCTCTCTTGACGGCTAGGAGCACTTTCTCTCTCCTCCTCTTCACCGAAAGCTTCTATCCTACCCATTTCAAGATCCCCAACTGCCCTGTTCAACAGACCAACTTCATCACAACCTAGGCGGTTCAAGATGCTTTGATCACTACCGCAGAACCCAGCACCCTTCTTTCGAATCCAGATAAAGCTCGTAATACCGCAACCAAGAACAAGTGCTACGGTACTTAGTGTAAGCCAGAAAATTTTGCTGTTACCTATATTTGCCTTGGTCCCATTCTGCCTGTCCTCAAGAACAACAGCAACTGCGGCAGTTGTAGATACTAGCCCACATTGTGCCCAAATGACTCCAACCCAGAACGGCATTGAAGTTAGCACTACATGTGAATGATAGACGTTCTTTGCATCACGAGCGCGAATCAGCTCGGCTGCGAGACGAATAGCAGACGGTGAAGGACGTAGCTGTGGATCTTTCAGATTGGGATGCGATCCGCTGGCTTTGGCACGTTCGACAGCGAGGAGAATGTCTTGATGGTGAGCTGAATCTAGCGCAACTGCTTGTTTCGCGAAAGAGTTGACGGAATCGTTGCCTTGGGGATGGAGAGTCGACGAGATTCGATCGGTAAAGGCAGAGATGGAGGTCCATCGATTGGCGCCCAGTGGCCCAAGTTTTCGAAGAGGGGATTTCGGGGGTGGTGCCGGACCAATTGAGCTGCTGCCAGATGGCACAGAACCCATGTATTGGGCACGACCGGTAGGTGTGGTGTAATGGCTGCAAAGCGGTGTGCCAATTGATCTTGGAAACGGCGTTGCTGGACCAGTGCCAGTACCAACGTGACCACGATCCTGATTTCGAGGTTGTGCTCTGGGATCAGCAAACGGATTTCTGTTGTTGGCCGCAGATGTCACGCCATCATGAATACTGCAGATTAATGTACTTGTGCCGGTTCTTGACGATGAAGGAGCTGTGCTTGCTGTAGACTTAGAACTACTGGGCTTTGTATCTCTGGTGAGGGGGTCGCCGGTCATTGCAGAGGTGAAGTCTCGAGTCGCAGTTCTATTTTGTGAATGATTTCCTCGAGTGGCACTCCTTGAATCTGATGGAAAAGATGTGACGGATGATGCGAAATTGCTCTTTAGCTCTCTGGACGGATCTGCGAAAGGATTCTCAGCAGATTGATTGGAAGATGGCTGGCGACGGGTGATGGGCTGAGGATCCATTGTTCCGCTTGCTTGAGTGATCAATAGGGAAGATGGAACTGCTGGAAGGGTATTGTCTCTCTCTGGATCAGCAAACGGCGAAGTTGCTGAAGCCATCGTTGTTACGCGTTGCTACGGAAGGTAGCGCGCTGTTGAGGTTGGAGATCGGAAACTTGACTCGAAGTTTTGGAAGTGAAGGTAAGCACGCAAGAAATCAATCATCAGCTGAATCGCGCTAGGTGGACGAGTTCACTCTTGTTGGAGTCGGTGAATGAGATCTTGCATCCTTTCTGTTGTTGGCCTGTCTGCTACTCACCAGCTTCTTGCTACGTGACAAGTAAACAAGGACCACGGCAAGGCACCAAGCAAAGAAAGAAAAAGAGAAGCTACACAATTGACCCAGCAGCAAGACTTGAGAAGTAGATTCAGAGAACAGGAAATCTATCTCACAATGGATCTACTTAGACCTGGTTTTAAGTGAAATATATGACAATGAACGAATCCCTGAGCTTCAATAGCAAGAAGTACGTGGAAACTTCAAATGTGGCCACTTGATTCCAGTGCATATAAACACGTACAAATAAAGCTGAACGCAAGAACCCAACACAGTAAATATGTTAAGAGCAAGGGATACCGTCTATCTCCCATATAAGAGCGGAAGGTATCCAAGCCTATTTCCACAACCAAACGCCGCTTATACTACCTAACAAAGTCCCACTCCTTTTATACATTCGGCGATAATAAGTCATATTTCACGCACCTCTCAACCTGCAAACTCGTTAAGAAGGTCCGAAAGTGAACGGGGAGACACTCACATCTTCAATGCTCGCTTGCAAGAACTTCCTAGCCTCCAGCCCAGCCCAAACTTTTAGCATAGAGAAATCTCCTTGCCTTAACATCCCACCCCCGCTTTGTGCGCCAAGCTGTCTTAAGATAGGCAGAGCGCTAGAGAGTAAGTCAATATCCGGATTCAAGCTTCTGCCAATACCTTCTAGCAGAAGGATGCTGATGACCACATTGACGAAATCACCTTCCATGCGGACATGATGGCTGCGAACCATGCCGAGAACTTCATTCAAGATATCTCCTATCTTCATATTTCCCAGAGCAAGAGTGCGGCTTTTGACTCCTAGAACTAGATGTTGCATCTTCAAAGCGAAGATCTCTTCGTCAATGACAGCATCGGGCTGTCTGCAACGCTCGCACATCAAATGTCCCGCCTTGTAGCCGTCAAACTCAGCCACTGCTTTGAACAGGTCCAAGAAGTTCCTTCGATTCGTGGCATTGAGTTCAGTAACAAGTCCTGTATCAATGAAGATAAGTTGAGGTCTGAACCCCTCATTATCAATCTTCAAGAGCTCTGCCTCCCAGGCTTGGGGGTCTTTCTTGTGCCTGTAGGGTCTGAGCCGAGCAAGAACCTGCTCGGTGACATCAGGCTGGGCCTGAGGATCTTCGTCTTTGTGCTTGCTGAATGGCAAACGTGGCTGTTCCGACTGGTAGAAACGGACCATGATATTACCAGGGTGAAGGTCTGCATGGACAAAGTTATCCAGCAGTAGCATCCTCAAGAAAGCATCAAGCCCCTCATCGGCAATTTCTTGTTGGAACACCCCGCCACCATTCTCCATGAAGTCTGACAGTGGAATCCCTTGAGCAAACTCCTCTACTAGAACCTGTCTGGTTGTGAAGGCAGTGTATGGATATGGAAACCAAGCTGTGGTCCTCTCCTTGAAGTTCTTCCTGAAGATGGTGAGATTGGCAGCTTCAATTCGAAGATCCAGTTGCAATCTCATCATCTCTCCAAATTGCTCAACCTCATCGGGTAGAGAGAGCCATTCGATGGTCGGGACGACGTTCAACATGGAAGCAAAAAAGCCCATGATCCTTAGATCTCTCCGAACCATTCTCTCCACCCCAGGATGCAAGACTTTGATAGCTACATATGTCGAAGGTACTCTCAGCGGTGTGCTCTTGATCAAAACATCCACATTCTTCCTCACATTCTTTCGTAGATTTCGAGGCTCCTCCTCCAAATCCGTGTCTCCAGGTGCAGCCAGATCAGGCTTCAATTTCGCCTTATAAACTTGTGCAATAGCCCCAACTCCTAAAGGTTTCTCGTTGAACTCCTCGAATATGTCCTCGAACCGTCTACCGTCGAAAGCTCTACGTATAATTCGTTTCGTCTCGTGTAATGAGTGTGCGGGTGCATTAGAGTGTAATTGAGACATTATTTCGCACATCTGCTCCGGAAAGATATCTGATCGAGACGCTGCCCATTGCCCCAGCTACATCCTATTAGCAAAGCTCTCCTCGATACTCGGGCATTTCATACCTTAATGAAAGCAGGTCCAGCACGCTCCATAGACTTCACCAGAAACCAGTACCACCACAGCGTACCGGACCTCTCATTATCCCTCTTCTTGTCCCTCGCCCCGATCCAGAGGGCTGGCACGGTTACAATAACTGGCACGAATATCACAACCAAATGCAGGAATCGTAAGCCAGTACAGACCGGCTCCCAGATATACACGTCTAAAAACACGATGATTGTATCCCTCACACGCCAAATACCATGAGAGTCATCCTTGACCTCCTTCTTGATCTCTGCCCGCGACGCCTCCAACATCCGCTGCTCCGCCGTGTGTTCCGTGCCATCATTATCCTTCTCCGAGAGCTCCACGAAAGCCGCTGGACTCAAGCTTACTGCTGCCGCAAGCATTAATCCAGGCCTCTTCGGCGGAGACTGGAAGAACCCTTTTCTGCTACCTCCATGCCGTCCGCCGCTGTATGCTCGATGGGCAGCGATTTGGACGCGACATTGGAACTGCAGCGCAGGCTCCAGTCGAGGGATCGCTTGACGAAGGCATGTGAGGCCTGTGCGAGAGGCTGCCCTCATGATCCCGGGCTAGAATTGAAGCTTTCGTGAAGCGCTGCTATCGGTGCTCCATTTGGGGTTGGTGGGCAAGAGGTGCGGTTTGTTGACTGGGGCTGATTCGAAGCTTGTGATTCCGGCGTGCATTCGATTTGAGTGACGTCAGGGTCCTCGAGCTCTGAGGGAGCTTTGACTGGCCAACAGCATTAATTGTAACAAGATCCTGTGTAATTTCTACACTTTGAAAGGGTGGCATTTGTTTATCATTTACATCCTAGCAAAGTCAAATCCCGGAGGACATGTTTTGAGCATCCATGGAGAGTGAGTTTCTGGATGTGATGACCCAGAACAGAAAAAGGCCCAGTAAATTCCAGGGGTGATACATTTGGGTATCGGCTCCTTTGGTCTAATAACAAGATGGAACGCTTTTATGAAGAGATGAGAAGCATAATGGAATTGCTTAAAAACTCTCTGAGGTCGACCGATTGCGCAAAGCGGAAGAACTTGTCACTATGCTAGGAGTCTGGAAGAAAAGCATTCCTTGTAAGGCTACGAGAAGGCAACTGGTCCAGATCTTATCTCTACGTACGTCTTAGCAGTAGACACTTCCTTCAATCTAGGTCTTCTCTTTGAACATCAAGTTGATATAGCGACAGCTAGGGCCATGTTTTCAAAGGCCTGCGGCCCTGATGATACTAAGTCCCAGAGACCGCCCGAATAGATTATGTGCTTTGGATCTTATGGATAAGCCTCCCTTAAGTTCAAAACGGCACAAGTTGTTCAGAAGCTTTGACCAGTGGCACTATTCTCATATTGTAGAGTTTCATGAACGCCCTACAGCTCAATGAAGCTCGTGGAAGAGCAGCTATTGGTTCGCCAATCTCAATAGCACCACTGCTAAGAAAGAAGATTGTTGCATATACCAATGAGCTCGCGCTGCATCAAACCGAGGGCTTGACTATCTTTATTCATAACTATACTGGAGCAAATGCTGGTTCATGTAAGACGGCACTTTCATGATGATAAGTATGTCGGCAGCAGTGTTTTCCAAGTCAAGTACTCCATCCGAAGATTCCTTGACCAAGTCAGAGCTCAAGGCTGAATAGAGAGATTCACTGGCACTCTCTTAAGTATGGTTGTTGTGATTCAGCCTAGCTATCGTTACAAAGGTCTTGCCAGGTCTTACTAGTGACCATTCAAAGGTTGAAGCTGCTCACGTCGAGATACCCAATCTCACGAATCTTAAACCCATTGAAAAATGATAACCCATATCATTACTAATTTCAAGGACGACCTAAGCGCCCAATTCGGAAAGATCGTTGGTAGTTTCTGTAATATCTAGAAGTTCATAGCTGGTTGTATTAATATCGATAAGAGTACTCCGCTCGGCCAATTGTACCTTCAGAGTATATATGTCAATATCGCCTTGGTTTATATCCCATTGGCATAGTGAATACCTCTGTCCTCCCCCTACGCTTTCGGCGGATTCGTTGGAGACGCCAAGCTCCCTAACACCAAACTACTGGTCAACAAAAACGTCGAAATGTTAATAGCAGCCGCTGCATTCGCCGCAGCATCCCCACCAGGCGTCGTCGAGCTACTTGGCCTTACTAACGCCGCAGCCTGGCCGAACGGCCCCGAAACAGATAACTCTATCGACGACGCTCCTGTCGAACTAGCCGGAGCCGAAGTTGAAGCTGAAGACGGTGGTGACGGACTTGGCGGCGGCTGGACCTGAGGTTGAGCCACAGGTACGGAAGGACTTTCTGCTTGAGGTTGAGGGGGTGCTTGGACACCAGGTGTGACTTTAACAATGGCAGCGCTGGTCAGTGTTGTCATTGTTGTTCCTATTGCTGGAGCGACGGCTGGAGCAGCGGCAGGTGCTTGACCCATTTGTTCCATGTTTGGGAATGAGCCGGGAGCGCAGAGACATGAACAATCACATGCACCTCCTGGAACGAGTGTTCCTACTCCGGAGGCCATTTGACCTGGGGCGCCAACGGGTGGTGGGGATGCTATTGCTGGGGGCGCAGAGGCTCCACCTTGTATTGCTAGTAGTTGTTAGTTGTGTTGTTGTGATAAGTAGCAAGGGGTCACTTACGCATATTGCCAACAGCAGGATCATTGGTCTTAATTATTGCTGGTGTCTTTCCGGTTCCTGCAGGTGCTGTTCCTGCGGCTCCTGCTGGAGGATTAACTCCTGGTACTGCTGATGCTACATCATTGTTAGTTTGATGGTCGAAATCTCATGACCTTGTCTTACCAGCGGGAGGACTGGCTCCATCATTAGTCTTCACTATCCCCGCCGTCTTCAGAGGACCAGAACCAGCTGCTGCTCCTGCTGGAGGCATCACACCGGCTGGCATTACGGCAGCTTCAGATGCTATATGCTGTTAGTCGAGTTCCTACCTCTAATATTGACTGAACTTACCAACACCCGGAGTCGACGCCTCCGAAGGCTTACTAACTCTGGAAGTTCTCGAGGCTACTTCACCGGTTCCAACTGCTCCCGCTGGGGGCATTATACCAGCTGGCATAGTTGGTGCTTCTGCAGCTGATTGTGGCGCTACTTGTGCAGTAATAGTGGTTATTACTGTGACATTGGCAGGAAACCTGTACGCTTTAGCATCCATCTTTTTTCCAAAAACATGATATCCATACCCCGTCTCTAATGCCGCGGGTCCAGATACACTTATTGTCTTCGTCACTGTCTTTTCCGCTGGACAACTTCCATTTCCTGCAGCCGCTGTCCCTTTCGTTACTGTGACTGTCTTCGCTCCTTGTCCCCCTTGCATGCTCCCTCTGTTTCCCCCACTTCCTTTTTGGCTTCCTTGGCTTCCCTGCAGCTGTGCTCCTCCGTTTCCAGATTTTACTCCTCCGAGTTGCGTGCCTTCAAGGATGGCTAATAGATCTGCTATCTCATTCTGCTGTTGGCCTGCGCCATTCCTTTGCGGACTGGCTTGTATCTGAGCTCCTCCATTCCCCTGCCCTTGTCCTCCTGATCGTGATGTATCCAGCGCTGCTAAGAGATCCGATAGTCCAGTTCGTTGTTTAGTGTGTTCAAATGCTCGATCACCCTAACCACAAGTCAACCCCATCGCCACCTAATCCTAACAACTATCTTACCTGTACACATGTTGAGAAGGCCGCCAGCAGCAGCGATCTTGATATAAGTTTTCGCATGATGAAGTATAATTAAGAGCCAAGACAATATTCCAAAGAGTGTAATATCCAACAGACCAGCCGTGGTATGTGGGAAGGAGAGAGACGTCTTGGATCTCAAAAATGAGCGTGACCGGCAGCTGTAGAAACGAAGGTAAAAGGACGAAGTGTAATTACAAGAAGGAAGGGTGATGCGAACAGTACCACAACGGAAACGCTATCGAAGGTGATCCGGTACCGTGCGGAATGGCATTGGTGCAGCGAAAAAGGAAAGATTGGAGCCGCCACGTAAAACCGCAAGAACTGTAGGAGGATATCTCAAGCAAAGTAGAGGAGAAAGATCAGATGAGATAAGGACCCACTAAGCTTGGAACATTGCAACCGTAAGTCTTTCCCGAAAGGTGTTTCGTGATGCAGAAGCCACGGTCAACCCGGCAGCCACGCAGTGATGGAGCATAAACAGCAAGGCGCCAACGATTCTGGTTTGACGGAAGCCGTACCAAACAGTCTCATGGGAGTCGGAGAGTAGGGCTCGTCAGACACCCAAGTCTTGGTATTGGTGAAAATGAGATTCCCCAGACATGTGAGGTTTCATCGAGGACCTAAGCGAAGCGATGCGGGAGGGATCGAGATTCAGGGGCTTCCCAAAGCACCAATCACAGGGCAGTGTTCCACGGATGCAGATACGTTCTTGAGGTCCACAGGCTTCATGTCAAGATGTCAAGGTCAGACCAAACATTTTGAATCGGTGCTGAGGCGGTGCTTTGCGGGTTAGGGCTGTTGTTTCGTTTGATGAGGACACGACAACGTGCCCTATTGCTCAAACATGATAAACATAGCATCATAGCATTCGTTCCACCTATTTCTGACATTTGAAAGCAAAAGACATGCAACCTATGTAGACAATCGCACAATAAAGCCTTAAAGGAGATGCTCAGCATGAGCTTGTTCAGCGGATCAGTTTGAGATCACGTGGTTGTGACGACTCGTGCCAAGTTTGAAGATCCGGAATGCCACCTTCCATCAGTGCCAAGAAGCATGGAGAGGACCAGACAGAGAGCTTACGACTACCGTACAGCTATGAAAATTGAGGAACTAGAGGTTCAATAAGTGATTATATCCTATTGTAGATCTTGTGGTACTTTGTAGCACGTATTGGATTGAATTAGGAAGGGTTGCAGGATAGGTATATACTTTGACTTGGCTTCACTCTTACTTACTGCGTAGGTATAATAGTTGCTGATATTGCCTGACCAACGACTACCTAGGCAGGCTACCGCCAACCCGAGTTGAAAAGCCTAGGTATCGTACGACGCCTCTCCTCTGACTCGGATAGAACAACAAAAATACAAGGCATGTTTGGCCTAATCCGTAGAGCACTAGTGTCTACTGTTTAGGCTCAGGATTCTAGCGCGATGATGAATGTTAGCGGCTAGCCCAATTTAGGTGGGAAGCCCCCTTGATTGGGGCGAGCGAAGGGGGGGTAAGTTAAGAGATGTCGGGTGCGCCGACAGTCCGGACCTCCCCATGGTGTCCTATACAAATAATCTTGCAATCTTGCAACCTCTCCTTTCTCTCTCGATTATATTATTCCCCCTCTATTACCTCTCCAAGCCTTACAATTGGAAAAAGCATTCAAGGCCTCCATCGAAGCATTTTAGCAGCCTGGGCGCGGGGCTGCAGTGTGAATTTGAGTGGGTTTAACCTTACCTAGCGGGCCATGGGGTACCAAGAGCTGGGCTCATGCTTAGTATGTCCAGCAATTCAGGGGTAAAATACACACTCCAGCTAAAAACCCCGCCTTCGAGCTTTAACCTCAACTTAATCCCCATCCTCGAGCTTCTTGATCCAGCTTCTTGATCCAGCTCCATATTCACACTCCCCTTTAGATTCTCGTGCACTTTGCCTTTCGGCGTGGTGGATGGTGGGTATCTAGGTATGCAAATGGTGGGCAAAAACACGCATCGGCAAGACTAAGGCCATAGTCAACGTCAACATGCCATAAATAGCCACGCCTCCTTCTCCATACAGCACCTTCTTCTTTCCTCTCCCCTTCTTCCACCTCCACCACTTCACTGCGGTTCACACGAACTCAAATCTCCAGCTTCAGCTTCAACTTCCTCCTATTGCACTCGTGGACTTTAGTAAACCTTTTTAATATCGACGAAAGTTACTACAGTCGCTTTGCACATCAACAAGATGCGTTCCTCTACTAGTCTCCTTGCGCTTGCAGCCACCCTCTCAACTGCTTCTGCCGCCGCATATAAGGGCTTCAACTACGGTGCTACCAAGTCTGATGGATACGCTCCTCGACTTCAATCCGACTTCCAGGCTCTTTTTCAGACGTCCAAGAACTTGATTGGAGCTTCTGGCTTCACCAGTGCTCGTCTCTATACCACTATTGTACGTCTCTCCAGTCTCTACTCTATATCAAAGCTGACGTGTATCTAGCAAGCTGGTACTGCTAGTGATCCAACCTCCGCTATTCCAGCTGCCATCGCCGAAGACATCTCCCTCCTCGTTACCCTCTGGGCTTCAGGAACTGCCTTCCCCAATGAATTGACTGCTCTTAAGACTGCTATTGCTCAATATGGAAGTGCTTTCACATCTCGTGTTGCTGGTATCTCAATTGGAAGTGAGGATCTCTACAGGATCTCGCCCACTGGTATTGCGGCTTCCTCCACTGTTGGAGCTGACCCCGCTACCATCGTCGACTATATCAAGCAAGTTCGATCTGCCATTGCTGGTACTGCTTTGAGTGCTGCCCCTGTTGGACACGTCGATACTTGGACTGCTTGGGTCAATGGTTCCAACCAAGCTGTCATTGACAACTGTGACTGGATCGGCGTTGATGCCTACCCATACTTCCAGAACACCCAATCCAACGGCATCGAGAATGGTGCTGCTCTGTTCAACGAGGCTGTTGACAACACTGTTAAAGCTGTTGGAAGCAAGCCAGTCTGGATCACCGAGACTGGATGGCCAGCATCAGGAAAGACCGAGAACCTAGCAGTCCCCAACACCAACAATGCCCAGAAGTACTGGCAAGAGGTTGGATGCCCAAGATTTGACGTTGTTAACACTTGGTGGTACACTCTTGAGGATACCGACAACAACGCTTCTCCCAACCCAAGCTTCGGTATTGCACCAGGCTCACCTCTCAGCAGCACCCCTCTCTTTGATCTCTCCTGCTCTGGAGTCTCTTCTGCCAAGCCATCATCCACTGTTACCGCTGCTTCTAGCTCCGCATCCAGCGCTATCTCATCTGCCTCGTCTTCTATCACTGGAGGTGAAATTGTCGCTACTGGAGGTGGTCTCTCTCCAACTAAGCCTGCTGTTGATGGTTCCGCTGGAACTGTCTCTGCCACTGCCACTGGGACGGCAGTCTCTGGTGGATCAGGATCAGGAAACAACACCCTCTTGACCACTGCTATACCAACAGGTACTGGCTCAAGCCCAAGCTCTACAACACCAGCATCTGTATCTGGCAACTCAGCTTCCACCGTCTCTGGCTCCATTGTTGGACTCATTGGTGGATTGTTGGTTGCTTTTGCTCTTTTGTGAACTTTGTAGAGTTTGAGTATGGGTTGATGGCATTAAAACGGCTGTTGTGCGAGCATTAGGGCTTTGTAAATTAATAACTATTTCTTACAGGACTAGCCAGCGTATCAACGGTATCCTTATACATAAATAGTATCAAGAGTTCGAGGTTATTAATAATCGGGCATTTCTCTATAAATATACTTATACTATAGTTTATAGGCGTACGTTTATATAGAAAGCTCTCTCCAGGTTGATAGAGATTGTACAGCTGGTGGTAGGCTTGAGAGGCTCCATAGAATCAGTGTTGGCCTTGGACATGAACGATAAGATCACGGAGGCAGAGATGCCCGAGTTAGTGGCGTCGAAGATGACTTCCAAGCTCTTCTTCTGAAATCTCTTGGTCTCAGCGTTGACGACACCAAAAGACTCCTCCACTTTGTTGGCTACTTTCCACCAGCGGTTTCTGTCCGGCTGAAGGCTCTTCTCATTGACCACTGTGGGACGCCTGACCTTTGCAGCTTCAGAGAACTTGGATGCCGCGAAGCCAGGCAAGCATATGTAGACGAAGTTAGAACCGTAACCTTTACCTGTGTGGTAAGGAATCTGCACATTGTCAAAAGGCATGGTGGTGCTAGTATAGTTTCCATACTTAAAGACGATGGGTGCCTTCCAATATCTCATCTCAGGCTTGGTGCTCCTGGTGAGCTCGTTGGTGCTCTCATTCTTGCCTGTCAGGACAGGTACCACAATTTCGATCTGTGACATGGTGTCCTCTGTCCAGCTTCCGTATGTGGTGAAAGGGTTCTTGTTAGAAGGAAGACCTTGGCCCTTGGCCTTGGTGCCTGCGGTCGTCTGAGGAGAAGACATCTTCATGTTCTTAACCTCTTCAGTAGGCTTGACCTTTCCGGGCGTTGCAACGGAACCTGGAGGGGTCGTTACGCCTTCATATTGCTCGCCATTTACGGAGCCTGCTTCATCATCGGTGATCTCTACTTCCTCTTCCTCCTCGTAGGTATCTGTAAGATTGGTGTTATCAACGTTATAAGACATTTTGTTGCGTGACAAGGGTGAAAACAAGTCTATGAAATGGTACAGCTTGTTTGGACTGTGACGTTGTGCAACAGCCTCCGGCGTTGCATCTGTACCTTTAGGAGAGATCTTTGTTCCCGGTAGCTTTGATACCCCTCATTATAAACCCCATGGGTGTGTTCTCGACACATGACATAAAGATAAGTCTGCATCTATCTACAAGTCTCGTAGGTGTCGTCCCTAGCAAACCCGATAATAAGCCTAGAACTTCCCTTCCTTGTAGCATGCTTACGCTTCCCACGGGTACCTCTGTCACCAACACTAAAGCTTTGAAATATAGCGATCCGCATAGTGTAATCAGTAAATTATCTGGAGATATAGGCACATGGTCGTACTTCATCCTGATATATAAGCAAGAGCACAAAAAATCCATTTTGACAACTGGATCACTAGGATCGGGTTCGAACACAGCCTCTGCCGTGTCTACGTCCATCTTGACACAGATCATACGTCTGCTCAGGGCGTCAGACATGAACTCCGGATCTCTTACCACGTCTGGTAGACCGTTAGTGGCTATGATCATGGAACACACAGCTTTGGAGGAAAACTCTCCTACTTTTACTATGTCAGAACCTGTCACGTTCTTGAACATAGACATGTTGACTTTCTTGTTGTCTAAGTCTAGTTCGTAGCATGATACCATCCTAGACCTTACTATCACCTGTGCTACTCTGTCCTCTACCCCCTCATATGTCTTAGTCAGTATGTTGTCTGGTAGCAGGCCCAGGCAACCAGACAGTGCTGCAGATGCCATTCTTATAGCGGTACTTTTACCCGCTCCTCCAGGTCCGCAGAGCATTAGGCATCTTAGCCTCGCTACCGGATTCCTAGCAGCGTTGCCTACTATCCACATGTATGTGACCATAGACCTGATATCAGGGAACAGCGGTCTAAGGAAGCTCAGGACTTTACCTATACCAGGAAAGGTGTAGGTACTAGGTATGTTGATATGATCAGCAAGCTGGTAACATAAGCCATAGACGAAGTCGGGGACCTTGGCAGACCTCTGTCACGAACCAGGCTCAGTCTTGGTACAAGTCACGGGTTGGCACCATAATACTGATGGTACTACCAAGTGGATGGCACCAGTCGGTGTTTGGTACCAAAGGGTTGATGGTACCATTGAGAGAATGGCACCAACAAGAGAATGGTACGAATTAGCGAGTAGTACCATACTCCACGCTCATTGTCATAATAATAGTTATGTTGATCACGGTGGACATGGGTCACGTGATGTGCTAGCTTGCTAGACGGGCTTGCGGGCTTACGCGCCCTGCAAGACGTCTTGCACGGCTTGCACAGGAAGTCGGAAGTTCTATATAACGAGTAGGTAGTTTCCTAGATAGTAGAGCTTCGTGCTCAAATCAAATAGCAAGTTTACACCTAGTTTACCACTGCTTGTAACGTCTCAATTCCTATTGAGAATCGAGCGTCTTGTTACCTTACTTCATAGCTGATACCAACCGACGAGTCTGTACTCACGACACCGACCGAGTTAGAAACGTTACAACCTCCTCGTCAGCGGAAAAGGTGGCACGGTGTCGAAATTCAAGGTCTTGTTGGTAAGGTCTATCTCCATGGACAACCTCTCCGTGCCTATACAAGTACTTACTGGCACGAAAGGGGCTGAGTTAGCACTGCTAGCTTTGGAAAGTTTACAATAGTAGGGTTCGTATGATGTACCGTAGTTTACGGACACGTTGTCATTTCCAATTATCTGACTGACTCTCAAGGCTGCTGTCTTCGATACTAATGATATCCAATAGTTTGAGACGTCCAAGAAATACATCTGTTAACCACATAATTTCACTATAACAGTCCGGTATTCACTCGCTGTAAATACAGAAGGCTGCAGTTAATCTCTGATAATCGAGAGGTAAGTGTATCACGTAGATAGGAAGATAGTTACTAAGTATCAGAATACTATTTAAAGTTAAGCACGAAGCTCCTATCTAATAGCAGATATACTAGTCTCATATAGAACCTTTATTCTCCTTAGATCCCTTGAGATACTAGATCCTTAGATCCCTTAAGATACTAGATCCTTAGATCCTTAGATCCGTTCCCCTATAAAGGGATCCAGGGATCCAGGGATCTATCACGTGACCTATTATCTACTATAATCTAGGTAACTATTACTACTAAGCGTAAGTGTACAGCAGTACTACTCGCTATCCTATATTATTCCCTAGTTAGTACTACCCTATTAATAGCACCGCTCCATTATTAGGGTTTAGGGTTAGGGTTTGAGGTTTGGGTTATATTTGTTTCTAACTACGCTAGCTTGCGACGAGTGTTTTTATCTCTCTCTAATAGTCTTGAAATACAGAAGGACTATACTAATAATACAGAGGGTAAGAGCCTGAAGGTGTCAGGGGTACAGAAGGTAGAGTACTAAGACAGAAGGAGATAATACAGGGTAAGTGGAGTGTGTACCAAAGGGTAAGTAAAGTGTGTATCAGAGGGTAGGCGTAGTGTGTACTAAAGGGTAGGTAGAGTGTGTGCCAAAGGGTAGGTAAAGTGTGTACCAAAGGGTAGGTAGAGTGTGTACCACAGGGTAGGTAGAGTCTGTACCATAGGGTAGGCAGAGTATGTACCACAGGGTAGGTGGAGTGTGTACCAAAGGGTAGGTGTAGTGTGAGTCGCAGGGTAGGTAGAGTGTGTACTATAGGGTAGATAGAGTGTGTATCACAGGGTAGGTGAAGTGTGAGTTACTTAGGGTAGGTGAAGTGTGTGCCGTAGGGTAGGTGTCGTGTGTGCCGTAGGGTAGGTGTAGTGTGTGTTATAGGGTAGGTGTAGTGTGTGCTGTAGGGTAGGTATAGCGTGTGTTATGAGCTACCTACGTGCTAGGATCGAGGTTGTAGTGATTCCTCGAGCCTGAGTTAGGGTGCTAGCGATATACCCGTCTAACCACTTAGCCCTAGAGTGCCCTAATAGGCCCTGTAGGGCCTTATAGGTCTTCGCTGTTTCGGCTTCTATTAGGCCTCCTGCCGAGAAGATCAGGGGGTGAAATACAGGGCCTAAGTCGCTGTATTTAAGCCGTTTAGCGTTTGCTGCCTCTGATAGCGTAGCATAGGCTTCTTCGCGTGCTGAATCCTTGTTGATTGCTACTATTTGAACGTCGTAATAGTGCCTAGAAGTACCTATAAGCACTGAAAAATCCGGTCGTTGGCTGTTTTCTAGGGCTATAGGCGTTCTAGCTGGCGTAGGCTCCGATTCCACTTTAAGGTCTTCCCGGCTAGAAAGGGTAGTAATAAATGCACGGGTAACCTGGTTATGGCGTATAATCCAGCGTCGTTCAGCACCTCTACAGGTGTCTTCGTGGCCTATTTGAGGGTAGGCTCCACAGGCGGTACAGGGCGAAATAGGGGGCTTTACAGGGAGTAAGAGCCTAGTCCGTAGTGCTTCGGTAACTGTAGAATCCGCTAAAAGGTGGTGTTTTTGCGTGGGCAGGGTTCTAAGCCAGTATCGTCCGAGGTAGCTAGCGTTCTCAAGCTTCGATTTTAGCGCTTGTTTTGATAGGGTAGGTAGAATCTTCTCTTCTAGGTCTTGGTTAACACTAGAGAAGACCTCTTGGGCTGTCGGTACAGGGCGTCCAGGGGGTTCCGGGTAGAGATTAGGGCATATAGCCACTAGAATCGATCGAGAGGCTTCCTTAGCTGCCCTATAGAGCCCTGGGGCTAATAAGGCGTGTATAGGGAGCCCTAGGCCTCCCTCTCTCACTGGAAGAGAGAGTAAAGCCTGGCGAATTAGGGTAGTCTTCTCCCCTGGCTCCCTAGCGATTAGGGCTTGTACAGCGTACTTGATTCGTAGGTCCGCTAACCTCCAGAGGTCTAGTAGGTCTTCCGAGTACAATTGGCGCTGTAAGTGTCGTAGGAGTAGGTGTATACTACCCCGTAGGAGTAGGGTAGCGTGTTGTTTAGGGAGGTCTCGTAGGGTATATAGCGCTGTAGCGAGAGTGTCGATTTTCCCCTGGAGGAACGTTCGGCGGTGTGCTACAGGGCCTATAAAGGTCCCTAAGGCCTTAAGTCCAGTGGTTTGTAACTGGGAGATAGGGCTTTCGGTGCTCTTTTGGCGGTTAAGAGCTACTGGAGAGTCCCTGAAGGCTTCTATAACTACAGGGAGTAGTGCTGTAGTTTCAGGGCTAAGGATATAGATATCGTCCAAATAAGCTATAATTGTAGCCTTCGGTAGGGTCTTTTGGAGGTGCTCTAGCAGGGGGCGGATCGCTAGAGAGAATAAGAGGGGGGCAATAGGGTCTCCTTGGCGTACTCCTTCAGCGCTTGCTAGCGTGTGGCCTTCGTTTGTTACTAGCACTGAAGGCTGGTTATAGGCCCATTTAGCGGTCCGATAGAGAGTAGGGGCGTATTTAGCGACTGCAGCTGCTATTGAGGTTCGTCCGATTCGGTTATAAGCGTTGATAAGGTCTAAGGAGGCGATTTGCTGAGTTTTTAGGGTATTTGGGCCGGTAATAGCGTCGTCAAGGAGGAAGATTATAGGCTCTACACCACCTGGGGTGCTAACGCCTAATTGGCAGGGTAGAAGCATAGACGGCTTGAAGGAGCTGATAAGGATCGCTTTTAGGGCTACCTTATAAATAAGGTCCCCTATAGCGATCGGTCGCACACCTCCGTCAGGCTTCTGAAGGCCTATAAGTCGGGAAGCACATAGGAGGTCGACCCCTGGAGCTGTACCCTGTCGAATCATATTCGCTAGGTGTGTAAGCGCTATAGTTACAGGGGAGTTTTCCGAATTTAGCGCTATATCAAGTAGCGGGCGGGTCCAGCCGCTGAGGCCAGGGGCTTTCTCTCTATTAATCGATCGAATAGCCTGTCGTATCGTTTCAGGGGTGATATTTTGCCCCGGGGAGGGGTTAGCGTTACTGAAGGGGTTATTATGCCCTATAGGGTGCTTCGAGTATAGCGTATTTAGCGTCTCTGGAGTGCTAGGAGCTAGAGGCGTAGGGTCGATTAGGGCTCTAGAGGCACGCCCTATATAGCCTTTTTCCAGAAGCTTAGTCGCTCTTTTGGCGGGGGAGTCGTTTGAGGGGGTAGGGGGTTCAGGGGGAGGTCCCTGAGTTTCAGGGATATCCGGTATAGTCGTAGGGTAGGCTTTCAGCGTTTTAGCGAGCTCTTCCTTCTGTAATCCTAGGCCGAGAACCCTGGGAAGCAGTAAAAAGTCCAGTAATTGCTTCTCTCTAGGCTGCCGTAAGAACGCTAAAGCCGCTCGATTAGCGGCCTCTGTAAATAGCGCTGCTTGCCTGGCGTGGAGACGTGTTTCAGGGACCTTAATAGTGCTATATCTCATGAGGGATTGCATATAGGGGTTTCTTAGCGCTGAGCTTATAGCGTTCAAGTGGTCTTTAGCGCTCTCGTCTAGGGGTGTAGGCGCTGAGGAAGCCTGTGGGTGTAGGGGTGTAGGTGCTGAGGTAGCCTGAGGCTGGGGGCAGTGGATCGATTGTTGTAATCCAAAGGGTAGCTCAGATGTGAGGGGGTCGGTAGGGCGTTTTAGTGTTGACGTTCTAGGGCGTTTAGGCGCTGAAGATGCTGTGCCTTGTGTTGATATAGGGCGTTTAGACGCTGTAGGCCCTATAGTACGGCCCTGGAGTGTTGGGTTACAGGGTAGGCTAGGTGTGGAGGTTTCGCAGGGTAGGTGAGTTGTGGTGTTTTTAGAGGGTAGGTGAGTTGTGGTAGTTTTGGAGGGTAGGTGTGTTGTAGGGGTTGTTGGGGGAGAAGAGCTTATTATTATAGGCTCTTTAGCGTGAGAGGGTGCTGAAGCTTGGGGAGCTTTAGGGGGTGGTTCTAGGGGTGAGTAGCTTCGGTTGCTTATAGGGGAGCCTACTCGTGATAGTCGAGGGAAGTAGGGGCTATCAGAGGGTAGGCTAGGTGTGGTAGGCGTCTTATCGGTAGGTGTAGTTGGTATAGGCGTTGAGATAGCGTCTTCAAAGCTAGGGGTAGGGGACGATGGCGCTGTAGAGGCACTATAAAGATCTTCGTCGGACGAGCTGTCTTTGATTATAGGCTCTATAGGCTGCGTAGGGCCTATCTTTTGGCGTGTCGTAGGGCGTTGAGCCCCTGGGGAGGGTGTTCTTGCAGGGCGTTTAGTGGACGGCTTCGGGGGTATATAGCCTGTAGCGACGATTTGGGCGTATGTAGGTGACGTAGAGCCTGTAGGCGTGGGGGGTCGAGAGCCTGGGAGGGAGTCTGGTTCAGGGCCTGTAGGGCCGTCGTACGCTGGGAGTATAGCGTCTACTTCCCCTGGAATCGAGTACCAAATACCCCGTGGGGTCTGAATCCTTCGGGTGCCTGTAGGGAGGTCGGGGCCTAGAGCCGTCGGGTACTTGGAGCCTGTAGGTACTGACGGTACAGGGGTCTTAGAGCCTGTAGGTGCTGAAGGTGCGGGGTACTTGGAGCCTGAAGGCGTAGGGTGCTTAGAGCCTGTAGGTGTTGAAGGTGCGGGGTACTTGGAGCCTGGAGCCGTAGGGTGCTTGGAGCCTGCAGGTGCTGAAGGTGCGGGGTACTTGGAGCCTGGAGCCGTAGGGTGCTTAGAGCCTGTAGGTGCTGAAGGTGCTGGGGTCT